GCAGCCGCAGCCGCAGCCGCAGCGAACTTTTTTTTTGGCAATCCATCAATCCGATCCGTATCTGCAACTTTCACATTTGCAGAATCAATTCTTCGTCCATCACATTCATACATGATCAAGACACGCAGCGATTGGATAAAACAGACCTTATCGAGAGTATCTCGAAGCTCTCGCCCTGTCGCCCTCCCCTCCCCTGCTTAGCTGGAAGAGTTTCGTAATCAACTTGTCGATGCCATAAGGTAGGAAGTCCGTGATGGGGGATAGTCGTGTCTGCTCTGCAGGTAGAACGTGCGCGGTGGCCTTGAGTACCACTTCAGTACGAAGGCCTTCGGCGACTTCCTTCTTCCACTAGATACCCCATAACATCCATGGATGCCTAACCCGGGGTGGTGAAGCCCGCCGACCAGAGCGCCCTATGGGAGACAGAGACAGGGACAGAGCACCTGGAAAGACTATCCTCACCTCCTACGGATCTCTCGCCTTCTGTACTGTACGGCACGGCACGGCTTGATAGTAGCCTCTAAACCATACAAACAGAATGTTCACGTATGAATCCATGCGCAGGGATATCCTGACAAACGATCATGTGGTGGCCCATGACCACGCTCTCACAACGAAGCACGTGCACCTAGACAAGGTAAGCGTCCGCGGAGCTCAATCGCTCTCACAATCGCCAATAAAGCTGAACAGGCACCCTTCGAAGGATCTTCCCCCCACCTCCTCGGAGAAATTTCCGCACGCCCACTACATCACCTCCCACAACTTTTTGCTCGCCGACGATACCACCTCAGGACCGTCTCCCGGCGACAGCGCCAAGCCTCAAATGGAAGCAAACCATGATGGGGCCGGGCCGGTGAGGAAATTTTCCAGCCTCTTCGTACAATGCAAGATTTCCTTATGGCTCCGGAGCTAGGCAAGAGAAATCGAAGCCGCTCGCGAAAGCTCAACCAAGGAGCAGATTAACGCCCTGTAGCAAAGAAGTCCGGGTTTTCGCGGTGACGGTGCTCTCGAGGCATGACGAGGTTTTTCGCCTTGGAGGGAGATCACTGCCGGATACGGCGGCGCCAACCTGAGGAGTCAAGATAGGCGATGGTACGAAGCGTTTGGGCGGGCATCGATATGTGTGGTTCGGGGGAGATGTGGGATGGCCGGACAGGGGTCATCGAAGTGGGAATTGGCCATAGCAAGTAGTAGACGGCCGTGGCTCTACGATTGTGCTTCGCAACAGATTAGTAGCAGCTAGCTGCGCATCTCAATTCCTCGATGGATAGAGAAGGTGTTCTAGTGCAGGATTGGAGAATGGCAATGCAACAAGCCACGGCGGCCCAAGTAAGGTACGGCGATCTTCCGATCACGTGTCGTCGTTTATTAGCGCGTTTTCCGCTGGTCTCGAACCTCTAGCTGTGTCTCGAATCAAATCAGACATACACTTCGACAATGTCCACGATTCCGCGACGATGACATCGAGACCGGCGCCCTCGAAGCGCTCATCGGCCGCCGCGCCTCCGTCCGAACCCAAGCCGCCGTTGAAGATCCACTCCCTCGCGGTGATCAGTGAAAGAGCGCAGATCACGGGCTCGAAGCCCATCGAAATCGGCGAAAACACCATTATCCATCCCCACGCCGCGATTAGATCGGCAGGCGGCAGTGTGACCATTGGCGACAACTGTACCGTGTCAGAGACCGCGATTGTAGGTAATGAAGAGGGCGACGTGGTGATAGGAGATGGCGTGAATATCGAGACGGGCGCGATCGTGCAGGCGAAGAGTGTAGGGGATGGCAGCGTGATAGACATCAAAGCGACGGTAGGGAAGGGCGCTGTCATTGGGAAGGTAGGCACGATTGAGAGAGCTGTGTAGAAGACGGGATTGACACGCTGTAGTATTGCAACATCGCGCCTCTTTGTGAGGTCAAGGACAACGAGGAGCTGCCAGACTACACGGTTGTGTACGGCGACAACCAGCGGCGCATCAACACGACCGTCGCCAACAATGCTGAAGTCCGCGATGCGAAGGACAAGGGCCAGATGATGCAGATTGAGCTCTTGAAGAAGCTGATTCCCGACGCTCCGAAATGGAGATCTTGAAGAAGCTCCATCACAGGATACTCAAGTGGCATCAACTTGTCTGGTACAGCTCCATACCCCAATCGAACCCATACCGATTCCAATGCTCCGGAATGCCATTCCCTTCAGCGTCCTCCGCATACCAAACCAGCTGTTCTTCGTCGCAGGCAAGGACTATTCGATCCATAAAGCCTCGCAGCACACCTGTCCGTTTGATCTGGCCCACGATCGTTCCAAGCGAATACAACGTCGTCTTCGGGTTCGTGTCCCGCTCTGAGAGTCGATAGTGCGCATGTTCATCCTCCTCATCTGGCACTCCACGACTCTCGATGGTGATGCGAAGCTCTTTCAGGTGCAATGGCTTGGGAAGCAAATACCGCGAGTCTAATCTCGGACCGCAATGGACGAAATGGTTGAGTGTCTGGTACAGGCCGGATGTGATGCCGTGAGGGCCTCCGTCACCCCATGCCTGGAATCCGCGACTGGCGTTGTAGAAGGCATGGAGATATTCTGTCTGCTGAGGCGCACAAGGGAGACGCCTCCATGTTGTTGTACCGAGAGCCACGCCCCGGCGAGTTGCTTCCAGATCGAGTGTATATGTCCTCTTCTCCGCATCTTCAAGGAAGGAATTTTGCCGCATGCGAGCCCGGATCTCGAATGCGATGGTTCTGCAGGTGAGCTTCAGACACAGCCATGGAATGCACAGCGTCTCGCTCGTCAAGTCTGGTACGCTGACGAAGCCTTTCTCAGCGCTGTGTGTATCTGTCCATTGATCCAATATTGCATGTTCCAGATCTAATGCGAACACCTCTTCGTAGATCTGCAGTCTCAGCTCTCGGGGCAAGCCGAGCAGGCTCGCTTCTCGGGGCATCGGTGTGGGTTGTCGAGTGGAGGCAGTGGCCATCATGTCGCGTATCAAGGGAAGATTGGAATTGTTGTCGCGTGAGACGGTGACCAGATTATTTTCAATTGGCAAGCTTCTTCAGTGAAAGCTATGGCGCGATGACGGAATGCGCTACAAGCTGGCAGCGTTCAATCGGCTGGGTGTTTCGGCTTCAGGCAACCTGGAAAAACAGCAGAGCAACGAAGAATTCGCAGCCCTACGATTGGACGAAAAGACGATGTGCTGAAGTTACACTTATTATGGGTAGAGTTGAATCTTTGACAGCATGCGAGGATTGCCATGTGGTGGTGTGTATGTTCGCAGCAATTGACCTCGGCCGGTAAGGTACTTGATGACTTTGCGACTTCATTTTCGTCAAGCTTCCTCTGCGGGCGGCCTTGCTGTCCACGGCCGAGAATGATTAATCATCACAAAATAATTCGGGCGATGTCTTGTGAATGAAGAAGAAGAAGGAAGAGGGAATGAAGCATGGCCGTTTGGTTATGCCATTCCGTGTGCGCCCTCTCCCACCTGCTGTTATTCTCTGCAGACCACGTGCGTCTTCGGACATTGAAGGAGAGTTGTATGCCTATCAAGCGAGGACGTGTCTGTCTGTCTGTCTGTACTACCTCACAGTGCGCTGGCAGCTGTAGGAGAGGCGCTATTCTGGGCGCCCGATCCCGGTGTTTGAATGAAAGGACTGCCCTCGGGCGGCGACTGCCCACCATTCGCTCGCTCTGCAGTCGAAATGAAATGAAATGGGCCATCTGCAATTGCTTCTCCTTTTGTGAGGTGCTTCACATGAGACTCACACCGCTTCCTCTCACAACGTGATTGTCGGCGCTTGGCTTGAGGAAGGAGCGGGTGTGAGGGGCGAGAGTTTCGGGAAGTCTCCCCCAGGCTGAAATCCGTTTCGTTCAATGCTTGTGGTGCCTGCAGCGTCAGTGGCTCCCGCACTACTTCTCCAGGGTAAGTCTAGGTAGCACCTTCTCCATGGGCCACCAGATGTGACGGGCGGGGAGAGAGGCCGGGCGCCTTCCACTTCCACTTCCACTTCACATGCGAGACTCCAGCCGCGACGGGGAGTGGAGGGGCACCTGCAGCTAACGCTCTCGGTTGATCCCGTGATCCGTGCGCTGTAACGGCCCCACCAAAGTGAAAGGCCCCACGGCTGCGGCCTCAGGCTTGACGCAGTGGAAGGTGGTCACTGCTCTCCGAGCCGCAATTAAATACCCAACTTCCTACTTCCTCCTTCTCACTCACCAACTCACCAACTTCCTACACACACACACACTTCCACTCTCGACCAACAACACCACTCTTCAACACTTTCCCCAACTCAAACCAACTCTCCCAATCACTCCAACAACCCACACCGTCACAATGGGCAAGGTACGTAACTTCCCCGTCTGGCCGACATCTTCAACCTGCAACATGTGATGTCCGGGCATTGTGAACAATCAACTGACTTCCTCACAGGTCAAGTACATTCTCCTCGACTGCGACAACACCCTCTGCCAGTCCGAGCGTCTGGCCTTCGAGGCGTGTGCCGACCTGACCAACGAGGTCCTGGAGAAGTACAACATCGACGCCCGCTACACCACGGACTCCCTCCTCGAAGACTTCGTCGGCCACAACTTCCGCAACATGCTCATCGGACTGCAGAAGAAGCACAACTTCTCCATGTCCAAGGAAGAGGTCGACAAGTACGTGGACATGGAGCTCGGCCGCGTCACTGCCAAGCTGAGCGAGAAGTGCGTCGAGTGCCCCGGCGTCACCAAGCAGCTCGAGTGGGCCAAGGCTCAGGGCTACCCAATGTCCGTCGTCTCGACCTCCGCCAAGCCGCGTGTCGTCGCCTCCCTCCAGAAGACCGGCCTCATGCGCTTCTTCGAGGACAAGCACGTCTACTCGGCTGCCACCTCTCTTAATCCACCATCCAGCAAGCCCGACCCGGCCGTCTACATCCACGCCTGCAAGGAGCTCGGCGTCAAGCCCGAGGAGTGCTTGACCGTCGAGGACTCCAAGTCGGGCGCCACGGCCGGCATGCGCGCTGGCATTCCACTCATCGCCTACGTCGGCATCTACGGACTCGAGGAGGGCAAGGAGAAGGAGGAGAAGATGGCCAAGCTCCTCACCTCGGAGTGCAAGGCCAACGCGGTGATGTACAACTGGGACGAGTTCCCAGAGTGCGTCAAGAAGATTGAGGAGTCCATGTAGGTGGCCCGGTGCCACCTGCGACTTCCCCTCACGGGCTGCGATGATTGCATGTGTTATGATTACGACTCTACTCGGGCAAGGTTGCCACTTCAGAAGGTGCTTGGCCACATGGATGAGCGTTCAAGCAGTTTAGACTTCTCCAGATGACAACAGAAGCGATCGATTGCTTCACTCCACACTCTCTCACTCTCCTTCTCTTGTCTCTTCACCACGGTCGTGTCTGCCTTTGTTGCGTATCTTCTCGCCCGAATGCAAGTGAGGTGCGTCACCCTCGGCCCAACCCCGGCCTTGATGTCACTCACAGAGCACACGACACGCTCCAGGCCCCAGAATTGGGGGCAAGTGGGACCCATTGACGAGGAAGTCACCTCACAAGTGGAACGAGATCGTGAACGGAGCTGGTGATCGTGGTTCGACGCGCCCATGTGACGATGGATCGCGTATGTACATGTACGTGTGGATCTTTTTCCGCGATCAATTCGGTAAAATGGTATGATGCTTCTTGTATTAAAATCGGATGTCCACCTTGTTTTTGTTCTTGTTTCGGCCCGGTTCTTCCTTCTTCGATTGCCGCGCCGCGCCATGGCGAAAAGGCCAATGTTCACTCCGACCTCGAGAGAATTCGTTTGTGCTGGAGAGTCATGTGAAGGGGTGATTCGGCTGATGGTTGATGGACTTCACTTCGATCCTACAATGGCAGACGCCGTACGAGGAAAAACACAATACCGACTACAAGGAAACATGGTTTCATGGATTTTCAATCGTTGATCAACTTTTTATCATGGCTGTCGAGCTATCTACAGCCTGCTTTTGGGTCGTAAAGACTCTGGTAGTCTACGTATAGCCGCTCATGAGCCTCCGTTCTGTATGAGGCAGCAGCTACCGCATGCATGCGCGCTGCTGAACGGGTGCGCGCTCACCTCGTACGGTTGAAGGTCTTTGGCCCGGCTGGCTTGTTGTCCAAGATCTGCTCAATCTCATCCATGAGCTCGGGCGTCAACTTGGGTACGAGCTTCAGCGCCTTGACGTTGTCTTCGATCTGAGCAGGCTTGCTGGCTCCGAGAATGACCGTGGAGACATTGGGGTTCTTGACACACCAGGCCAGAGAGAGTTGGGCGACATTGCCACCCAGCTTCTCGGCGATTTCCGTGAGCTTGCGGACCTTTGCAATCTTGGCTTTTCCTTCGTCGCTCTGCAGACTCTTGATGGAGCCCTCGAAGAATGCCTTGTTGTTGGCGTAGCGCGAGTCCTCGGGAATGCCGTCGTTGTATTTGCCGGTGAGAAGACCCGAAGCGAGTGGGGACCAGATGGTTGTTCCGTACTGGAACTGCTCGTAGAGGGGAGCGAATTCGACTTCGAAGCGCTCGCGGTGGAAGGCGTTGTACTGAGGCTGCTCGGCGATCGGTGCAATGAGGTTGTACCTGAGGAGTGGCGTTAGACGAGACTTGACGGCTTGGGAAGAATCAAAGCGAGTTACCTCTCAGCAATCTGGGTTGCCTCCATGATCTGAGTCGCCGACCACTCAGATGTACCCCAGTAGTAAGCCAGGTTGAGGTTTCGGATGACCTGTGTGAAGCCCTCCACCACCTCCTTCATCGGCGTGCCAACGTCAGGACGGTGAGCGAGGACGATATCAACATATGGCTGCTGGAGTCTCTGCAACGAGCTCTTGAGACCTTCCACCACGTGCTTCCTCGACAGACCGCGTGTGTTTGGCTCTTGGCGTCCCGTTCCGAAGAAGACCTTTGTGCTCAGGACGTATTCATCTCTTGGCCAGGCGAGCTCCTTGAGAGCGTTGCCCATCTCGATCTCGCATTGGCCGTTCGAGTAGACCTCTGCCGTGTCGAAGAAGTTGATGCCGTTGTTCCACGCTGTTTCTAGGATCTCCTTGACGATGTTGCCCTTCTGGGTACCGCCGTAGGTGAGCCAGCCGCCGAGCGAGAGGACGGAGACCTTGAGGCCGGAAGGCCCCAAGTAACGGAATTCCTACAGAGCGCGCAGGTTCAGTGAGTGCATGTGGCGATGGGACTAAGAGCTGTTTCGTACCATGTCCTTGGGGTCAAACTTGCTCTCCACTGCCATTGTTGCGGATGGTATGCTGCCTGTTCAATTGTTGGTTGGGATGATCTGGTGAGTGTGGTGAAATAAATCCAAGAGGAAGAGGAAGGAGAGTCGAAGGGAGGAGGGTCAAGTTATACGTCGGCGCGCTGGCTAAGTCCCTCCACTATCTCCGTCCATCGGATGGAAGCGTTAGGTTGCCCCGCACGTCATCCCTGTGCTTGCCCGAACATTGATGGGCGCGGCCTGAAATTTCCACTGATCAAAGACGGCAGGACAGTGACCCGTCGTAGAGCCATGAACGATTTCACTTGTAAGTGTCAACTGAAGCTGTCACATCTGCTTGAAATCATGTGCTGATATGTAACAGTTGATAGAGGTGGAGCTGGAGATAGGGGTGGAGCTGGAGGAATTCGAACCCGAAGCTCAAATATAGACATGAGATTGTAAAGTGAAGATTATAACGTTCAGTACGTGATTAACATTGAGTACGTAAGTCCAGTTGAGTCGGCCACTACCGTCCACGGCTGTCTAGGGGGGGACTTCCGAGCTGGGCTGGCTGGATGGCGCTTACACCTGTGATATAGCAGCACCTGCAACCCAACCTCAACAGTCCGTGAACTTCTTACACCTTGTTTGCCGCATCCAATATACATAGTCCATCATGGCTGTCTGGGCATCTCACGAGGCAGCGTCGCCATGGCCGGGGACATTTGATGGCAACTGGTCGACATGGGGGATCACTCTTGGACGACCAGCGCAGAAATTATGGGCACTGCATTCATCAAGCGGTACAACCATCCAACTACCCGTTTCTCCATCCTGCAGCGAAACGGACCTCGTCTTCACACCTACATACAGCCTCTCAGAACCAGTACAGCCGCCCACCATCCTCAAAGCCTTCGATGCGAATTCCTCCGAGACTTGGGAAGCTGGATCCAGATGTGGCCAGGGGACCGATCTCCTGAGCGATGTGTTCCAAGAAGGACATGTATCCAGTAGGGAGCGCTACTTCAGACCTGCTCTAACGTTCCGCGCCCCCCTGGAGCGACTGAATACCACCTATGTCGAGGGACCTTATGAGACGCCAGCTTTTATCGGAGCAGGAGCGATTGCTAATACATGGGATGGGCAACGTGACTACGTCTGGGACATCTTGCGTCGAGTACCCAAGTCTCTGTTCCAGATGATCCCATTCCTGAGGTTCCAAACGTTTTTGCTCGGGAGGCGATTGCCCGTCAATTACGCCTATACAGCTGGCGCATGGTATCGTATGACTACCGCTGCTCCGGGAGCAACCCTCCTTGCCAAACGTTCAAACGACAAGAGTTTCCACTGACGCACGCCAGCACAATATCCTGGATCTTTCACCATAGGCGGCTTTTTGCAGGCGCGTATTAAAGACACGTCCATATCTTTCCCATCTTTCCCACTCTCACGTGAGGATGATCGTTTGCTCGTCCTGGACATCTTGGCCCTCGATCTGGAACTCAACACTTCCAGCTCCGAAGTCGGCAAAATTTCCCTATTGAACGAGCCTTCATCCGCTGTCTTGGACACAACTAGCCCGTTCCTAGAGCTCTCAGAAGAGATTTGCTTGCAAATAGCCCGAGAGTTGAGTCTGCGCCATGATCCAAGTAGGAACCTTTTCCTCATGGACGAGCAAGTATTGCGACATCTACGCATTTCAATGCCCTCGCTGCACCTCACACTCGGCGATGCAGACAACAATGTGTCTGTCATGTTGCCCTTTAGCGCCTTCGACCACAGCCTCAAACTGCAGAATCGGACAGAGCCATATTTTCCAATTCGAATAGGAAGTAACGGGGCCAAGTTTGTACTCGGGCGGACATTATTCCAAGAACTGTGAGCATAGCGCCGATCACTTGCATGAATCGTGTCTGGCGACGCGATCTCGGGTCTTGGGCTGACTCACGCTTGCTTCCTTGTAGGTACATTTTCGTCGACTACATCTATTTGCAATTCAGAATCGGCGAAGCTGCGTTTCCTTGGAGCGATGGTCAACCATCAAATCTCCTCAATATATCTCCCATGTGGAGCCCCGCTGTAAAAGCTCGCGAATGGGACAGGGCTTTCACATCCATCTTTGGCCTCTTCGTTGTCGTGTGGGTGTTCGGGATATTAGTCACCGTTGCGATAAGTTTTCTACTCGCCACATTTGATTGGCTAAAATTTCGGGCTCTTGAACGACGGAAAAGCCAACTTGAGAAGCTATGGATTGAGATACACAGTACCTGATACTGGATATGCGCGCAGAGCCGCTGCGTTGCGCTTGAGCGACCGGACAGCGCGGTTTGTTAGACTAGGATAATAGTCGTAGGTTCACAGTTGCGGAAGAATCCTGCTACATCGATATTTGGCTCTGGATATCGAAAGGCGCGCCGGCTTGCAGGTCTCAGACTGCTTGGAAATGCGAGACCCCCAAGGGTCTTCTTCAGCTCAATATAGCCAGCTCTCCGATAGACGTTCCGTGCGGTGTCTACTGGTACCAAAGCAAGGCCGCGGGTGGCCCAGGGTGCAGAGAAGTCCTCTTTGTCTGCTCTCGTAGCTGGCTCTACTACGATACGGAGACATAGTATTTGACAGCCCTCGTCAGGATGCCCATCGAGCGAGTCCCAGATTACAGATCCTATGTCGTGGGCGTTCTCGTCACGGAGAAGATTGATCTCAGGTCCTTGTGTCGAGTCCTCTGTGAGAGGTACGTACCGTGCCAGATCATGGTGGCGACGAATCTCCGGAGCTTGTGATCGATTACGCCCGAGGTAATACAACTTTTGATCCTCTGGTAGCCTGTGCCATGTAGCAGCTTTCATGATGCCACGAACGACAAGCTGCTGCAGATGATCTGTCGGCCATTGCAACACTCGGATGCCACAGGCTTTGCTGTTCGTGTTCCCTTCTAGGGAAGCATTGACAACAATACCGTCTACAGCTGCCCAGCTCAACGAAGGAGCACGTGGTACGGGACGCAGTGTTGTTGCGTCCCTAACATACCACAAGAGCCCAGTGGCGAGAAACTCGCCAACCCAAATGCCGCACCAGTAGCGGACGGGATTACGGTCATAGTCTCCGTGTGCCATCTGAAGGCTGTGAATCTTTCTCTCGAAGCGAGTAGCCAGGCCCGATAAAGCAGGAAGCTTGTCTGTCGGCTGCGAAAGGTAACGCTGAGTGTATTCTGTGACCGCTTGCCACCACAGCTCTCGCTGCAGATTGGAATAAGTCTCCGAGAACGTCTCGTCCGAGTCATGTGTATAAAAGGCGAGGGGGGTGGTTGGATCGCCTGCGGCCCGGAATTTTGCCCACGAAAATGACAGATCAGGCCAGAAAGGATGTGGAACGTCTTGTCTCGATCCAGTGGGATATAGTGGTTGTACTTCGCTTTTCCTACAGTAGTTGCATCGCAGGATCACGCCGTTGTCGCAGAAGTATATGATTCGTTTTGCCAATTGCTCTTCCTGGAAAACCCAGCCTCGAGATCGCAATCTTGAGAGATGGACATCATCGCCAGATAGGAGTTCCTGAGTTCTTGTCGGCATGGCGAAAATCGCTGCGCCTGAGGCAGGTAGCCGTTCGCAAGTCGTGTCAAGTTTGCCACAGATATTGATGAAGCACGGCGACTTGGCATGTGCCTTTTGGTCGATGAGGAAGTTATTTGAGCTATCCACTGCTGCTGCTGCCGCGATGACGAACTTGGCCCCTGAGTATATGTCGTGCGTTGCGGCTATTTGTATCTGCTTGTCTTCGTCGGAGTCTTGTATGATGCACAGAGAGTCAACCCAGAGCATACGGAGACCTAGTTGATAAGTGGCTTGTACAGCATCCCGTATCGTGGGCGGCATCTCTGCGGTGCGAATGCCGCTCGTGAACTGTGAGTACGAAGCCATCCTCAAGAAGAAGCTTTCTTTCCCGCGCCAGCAATAACTGAGAGCCGCATAGGCGCATTCAATGCCGTCGAGATGGACTCCCCGTCCATAGAACCCTAGAGTATGTTCTACCAGACGTACTTTCGTAGCCGATTCTAAGAAAAGCACACGAGCTGGCGTGTAACGATGTCTCATTTCTTGAAGCGCAAACGGGCGTTCAATCAAGTCGCTTGACACATCATCCTGGCTCGAGTCGACGTGCTCGTGCGAGGCCAGAGCTGTCTGGATTGACTTGATGCTGGCGTCTGAGCCGGTGGATGAAGGAAAGAGAATACGGGTCGCGTCGTCGAAGCTTGTCACTTGCACACAATCAGTACAATCTTAATTCGTGCAGCGGTAGAGATTATGCTTACCTACTGCATGGATCTCGATTGGATCTATCAGCTCATTATGTCGCTCGATCGCCGGATCTCTTCCAAGAGTATAAGCTCGTAGGACAAACTTCTCCTCTATCCAATAGCGTGGCACTTTCCGCAAGCCAAAGTGAGGCACGAGCCTTAACATGCTGGGGTCCATGTCCCGTCCTCCAGTCTTGAACCACAGTTGTACTTTCGGATACATAATCCTAATATAAACTGCAGTACGGAGGGGAGCGGGGGCAGATGCTGAGCGCGTGTCAGCCAAGTCGCGCTCCAACAACGTTTTCTGCTGAGGGGGGCTCATGGCATCCCATATCATATGACATATATGACATCCATTGATAGCAGACGCTTGCAAGGTAGTGGCGGAGTCCCAATGGGCAAACAATTCTTCGACAACTGCTCGTGCGCGAAAAGCGGCTCTTGCATACAAATACCATCGCTGAACCATCGTCACAGAGAGCCTCCTTAGTAGGTCCGATCCACTGCAGAAAGCCTCGCACTTTTCGCAAAGCTGGTGAAAGGTGGCATTACCAACAAGTGGAGATTCTCGTTCAGATTGCTGGTATACGTCAACATGTTGCAAGAATGGCTCACGACGAATGTTAAATTCAGCCAGCCTCTTGTCCGCCTTTTGTGTCGAATCGTAAGCTGGGCCTGAGGGACGTGTAGCTGGCAGCTCATCTGAGTCAAGACAGCAATCGCAACGTGCAAACAAGATATCCTGAGGGTTATCAACGTCTTCACCGAACGTCTGTAGCGGAAAGTCGGCGATTCTCGAGAAATGGGCCTGCAAAGAGGTCTGTGACGTCCAGAGCCTGTCCCACCGTGATGGTTTGCTGTATTGAAGAATCTTTTGTGTCGATGGTCCACTTTCAACGTCGGATGGTGCCAGTAGGAGTCTTTCACTGCCGCATAGATTTCGGGCGTCGAAACACGCTTTCGCGCTTCAGCTTGTTGCGTTCTTTGCTGTTTCTGGTCGAGATAGGTCATCCTCAAGCCTGTGTCTGGGTTCATCAAGCGATCCGATGGGTTTCTGAGGGTCGAAAGGGCCAAAAATGCACGAGCAAACCGACGTCGTCTCAAGTAGGAGCCGATGAGATGGACCAAGGCTGCTACATTCAGGAACATGATGCCATGCTCCGATTCCTGATACAGATACCCAAGCTCAGTACGGAAAACAAGCCAAGCAAGAGACCATACGCAGAGACCCAGGCGGCAGCAAGACGTGACCAAGTGTGCCATCAATGTCGATTCTCTCGGAGTCGCATATCCCAATGCCCAGGTGAGGACGGTCAACACGCCTTGCACGTAGATCGGCCATCCAATCTCGGCGATGACATGCAGAGGCGGATGCACATATTCTCGGCTTGCTCGCAAGCTTCTGGGTCGCAGAATGGAGATGACTGCTGTTACCATCATCGCCATGTCAACCAAGAGCATGGCCGCGACGTCCCAGTCCCAGAAGTCGAGCCGTCCCAGGTTGCGAATGATTCCGGCGACATATCGCAAGACCCTGAAGGCGCCATGACAGACACTCAATACACATTCCATCTGCTCAGATCAGAATGCAAGAACGCGTAAATCATTGGCTTCGTTGCCCTGAATTGCGGTAGAAGGGGCCGAAGGGCACTGTCGGGTGCTTTGCTTCAGAACGAAGAGGTGGACAACGCACAAGCCTCCACCAAGCCACGACATCGTGATGGTACGCGAGGTGCAAGGCTGCGGGAGTGCAGTGCTCTTGATACCGGAAGTGAAGATGATTCGCTCAGAGAGCGCAGCGGCCGGTCAGGTGCGGTGCCAATTTGATACGGTATGTAATGCGGTATGTAATACGGTATGTGATACGGTATGTAATACGGTATGTATTACGGTATGGTGTGGTCGGGTATGTCGATAATGGGCGTTATCAGAAAACTTTGCTTACACATTGAAGACCCATATCCAGCCCCTCTTCGGAACAACCCGTATCCTTCACGTGTGATCATCCCGATGACTCAGCCGAACAAAGTCTCAACCGCATCCATCACCATGAAGAAAGCATCTTGGCCATACAACAAGACAAGACAAGAATGATCCTACGATGATACAACTCACAGTCGGCGTGCTTGCCCTCCAAGGCGCTTTCATTGAGCACATCACCCTCCTACAACAAGCCGCATCGACCTTGAAAGCAGCCCAAGACACAGAAAGAAATGGCCACCCATCATCCATCCAATTCTCCTTCATAGAAGTCCGCACCCCCTCCGAGCTGGAAACCTGCGACGCCCTCATCCTCCCGGGCGGCGAGAGCACCGCCATCTCCCTCATAGCAGAGCGAACCAACCTCCTCGAACCCCTGCGGGAATTCGTAAAGACCCACCGGAGACCCGTCTGGGGCACCTGCGCCGGCCTGATCCTGCTCGCGGAGAGCGCCAATAGATCCAAATCCACCGGCCAGGAGCTCATCGGCGGGCTGGACGTGCGCGTGCAGAGGAATTATTTCGGCCGACAGGTCGAGAGTTTCGAGGCGGAGCTCGAATTGCCTTTCCTTCATGATGGTGATGATGGTGGGAGCAGACCTTTCCATTCCGTCTTCATCCGAGCGCCCGTGGTGGAGAAGGTATTGCCGCCTTCGCCGGTCTCGACGGAGAAGACGGTGCTTGCGCCGCCGCGACGAGCGACGCATGCGCCCGTGGAGATTCTGGGACGGTTACCCGGCCGTGCCAGGGCGATTCGGGATCAGACGGTCACGGCGGAGGATTTGGGAGAGGACGGGGATATCGTGGCCGTGAGACAGGGGAATGTGTTTGGAACGGCATTTCATCCGGAATTGACTGGTGATGAGAGGATTCATGCTTGGTGGTTGAGGGAGGTTATGAGGGTGAAGGTTGAGACTGAAACTAAGGCTGGAGAAGCGTCATGATATGACTTGACTTGGTCGCGGCAGGGCAATGAAGTTGTATTGACCTTCCAAAGTAATACCAATGCGATACCGACATAGAAAATACATTATGGAAAAAGACTGACTGCCACACTCTACTGTTACATTCAACGCTCCCACGAGCCACACATCTCTCCCCCCTCCCTCTTCACCCTTCTTCCCCAAAGCAGATATGTGCTTCATCTCGGCACCTCAACAGGCGCCCAAGCATTCGACTTCTCCTCCGTCCCGGTACTCCCCCGCTTCTTCTGTTCCCCTTCTTCATCATCCCGATTGTCGCTCCAACCCCTCTGGTCGAGAGCAGCCCACCCGCTGACAGGCGCCTTCTCACTCCTCAAAACCCTCGGAACATATCCCTGCGAACTCTTATCCGCCTCCGCCTGCGTCGCCGGAGGCACAAAGAACTCGTCATGCTTCCACGATCTCTCCCCGTCGTGGTGCGAGAGCGAACGTCTGGAATTCGAGGGAGGATAGTCTTCCTGGTCGTTGTAGACGTCGTTGACGGTGGGGACGGCCGTAGTCTTGGCTCGCCTGGGCTTGAACGAATCCGCCGTCATGTTCCAGTCGGCCATGGATTTCCGCGTGTATTCGTCTAGAGACTTCTGCAGAGCGGCGGAAGGTCTCCAGGGTTCGTAGCCGTCGTCTTCGTCTTCATCGTTGTTGTTTCGGTATTGAGGTGTGTCGGGCTCATACCGTCCATTGGAACGTTCAAACTGCGGCGTTTCCTGGCTCTTCCACTGAGGGGTGCCGGCCTCATATCGTCCATTGAAACGTTCAAACTGCGGCGTTTCCTGGCTCTTCCACAGGGGGGTCTCAGGCTGATACCGTCCATGAAAACGCTCATATTGGGGCGTTTCTTGTCCTCTCCATAGAGGGGTTTCGGGCTGATTTCTCCAGTTGAAGCGCTCAGAGAGCGGCGTTTCCGGATTCCTGTAGAATTGGGGCGTCTCCGGCTGATAGCGTCGATTGGACTGTTCCTGCCAGGAACCACTGGAAAAGCGCCGGTTGGACTGTTCCTGCCAGGAACCACCAGACAAACGCCGATTCTGAAATCTTTGCCATTGGTCCGCAAGAGGCGTCTCCACTGACCTCCTGCGGTATCGCTCGCCGGCTGGTGGAGGCCATCGATCCCCGACGGGCGTTGAGGCTCGATGAGAGTCGTAGCGTTCGGTACTCCGTCTCCTCCAGCGGTCGTCGACAGGCGTCGAGGCTCTGCGATAGTTGTAGCGTTCGCTGCTGCGTCGCCTCCAGCGATTCTCCATAGGAGTTTCAGCAGGAGTTCCGTAGCCTCCAACGTTACGCCTGTGCCAGAATGAGTCTTCAGCAGGCGTCGTGACAGACCTGTTCATCCACCGGTTCCCGTTCTCGTGTCCCCAGTAATCTTCGGGCGAAACTCCAGAGGTTCGATGGTGATCGATACTTCCACGATGCCAGTGGTCCTCGGGAGAAATCTCAACAGACCTGGATCGCTGACCATTGTAGCTCTGATTGGAAAATCTCCGGCCCCAGTAGTCATCCTCATTTGACTGAGGAGCAGGTCCATCCCAGCGACGACCGCGGTAGAAGTCATCGTCGTACTCTTGCCACCCGCGATCATTGCTAGGCCAATCTCCTTGTTGGTAGCGCTCGGGATCATTGTTGTCCCAGTCGTCAGCTCTGTCCCAATCCCGGTTGTCATACACACCACGCCCGGGCGCGATGCTTCCCAAGGCAACGTCGAGTTTTCGCTGCTTCTCCTCAGACAGATCAGGCGGCGGCGTGACGGGGAAAACTGGCTGTTCTCTCTCCATCTGACGTTCGGCATCCGCGACTCTGCGACGCTGCACATGATCCTCAAACCCAGAGGTCCGGCCTCCCTGCCAAAGAGAAGCCGGCTCGCGTTCGGGATGCCTTTGATTGGCTTCGTCGAAGCGTGACTCGGAAAATTCCAAGAATTGAAGCGGACCGGGCGCTGGACGACGTCCTGGTGCATCTCGGTCGGGAGAGAAAGAATTATCGGGTGACCACTGAGGGACATGGTCACTGTCCGAACGAAGCAGCCGAGCCATGTATTCCGCCGCCGTGGGAATAGCCGGCGTAGGGGCCTTTGGCCTCACAGGAGCATCATCTCTTTCTCCATCATTCCTTCCATCTTTCGCGCCCGAATGAGATTTCTGCCCCGGGTCCCGAGCGAGATCCCAACTACCATCGCTTCCGCGGACATACTGATGGGCCGGATAGTCAGTGGAAGCAATGCTGGAAGCCCTCTTGCGACCCTCAGCCTTGGCGGGTGGTGGAGGTGCACCTTGGGTAACCCCAAGACGCTGTTCCTCCTCAGCCGCGTTAGCCGAATCAGGCGCCTGCGGCGGCGGCGTGGAGGTAAGCTTTATCTGGCCGAGCTCATAGGGCTTCAAGTTCCGTGGCGATCCAGGGGGAGTGACTCGGTCTTGTCCACTGCTGCCATCGGGATGCCACATCTTGCGGGTCCCCGTTCCACCAGGCGAGAGTGGTGGTGAAGGCGGTGCGCTGGCCGGAGAATCAGGTCCACCGTAGTAGGCAGGCGAGTCGTACGCAGAGAGACGCTTGATACCAGCCGCATACTTGGAAGGTTCGGAAACCCATCCTTTGGGGTTCACGACGCCGTCTTTCTGCGAGAAGTATCCCGTCTTCTTGTTGTAAGGCGTTCCTCCATACCCGAGCTCTGCCAAGGGAGTATCTGTGGTTTTACCGCCATCGGCAGCAATACCCCGTTGGTAGGTGTCGTAGAGATTCCGGCCCCCTTGAGACGGCAGCGTTTTAACATCATTGGGAATCGCGACTTCTTCGTCATCCGTGGAATCTTCTTGACTTGCGGAAGGTAGCGAGACACCTTCCAGATCCGAAGCGGGCGTCGTGTCCCAGGAGTCGTAGATCGAAGGCGAGTAGGGCAAAGGAAGGGCATCACCCTGAGACCTGCCCTTATCGTGGCCGGGGGGACGCAAAGTGTTGACCGACGATGCCAACCTTCTTGCCTGTTCATCTTCAGCTACATCTCCCTCGTCGTACTCCTTGTCACGCGGTGTCAAAATATGATGTCGATCCTCATGTCGATCCTGCTGCCTTGGAGGAGGCCCATTCCGCTTCTGCGCTGGGCCCTTGTCCTCTACCCTTCCTGCGCTTCCTGGTGCAGTCAAGAGATGGTGCTGGCCCCTTGCTTTCTGAGACGGATCGTCCAATTGGAGCGCAGGCCCATCTCCGAAGACGAACGGCAACGCAGTGTAAGCCTTGGAGGAAGTATCCGTTCGCTTGTGCTTGGTATGGTCGTCCTCTCGACTTCTCCGTGGATGACGCTCCGGCGCTTGCTGATCTCCCTCTCTGCCTTCATTCTTCGTCGTCTCCATCGGCGTGACGTCCTCAAAGAACTGCGCCTGATCCGGAGAGATGTTCTCGCCAAAAGGCTGAGCTTCGCTGCGAGCGGATCCATACAGCATACTCTCCGCCGCCTTTCGCTGCTCGTCTCCGGAACGTGTGTGTCGCTTATTATCGCTCGGATTATCTTCAGTTTCATCACTGTTTGATCTGTTGCAAGTCAGAGAACCGCGCAGGCCCAAGAAAGAGTAGTCGAATTCATGGTCGTGCAAGATGTAAGTCAAATCACGAACTCATCAAAGAACCAACGACGAGAATTTTCAACAAACAGGACTCAGAATGCCATGCCATACCTCGAGGCAGAAGTCTCTCGCTCTTCCAACTCAGACCCATTTTCATTCTGCCAGCCGCGACGCAAATCACCCTCTTCGTTCCCTCCACCGGCAGAAGGCCTCGCAGTCAGCTGCAGAACGCTGTCCGCATCGTGTACGGAGGCACCCTTGGTCCCATTCTTGCTACCCTTGCTGCTTCCGAAGTTCTTCCATTTGGAATCACTAAGAGAGCTGTGCATGGAAATGGTATCCCCCAGCCTCCTGAAGAACCGCTTCCCGAGGCCCGCCATCATGGGCATACTAAATCATCATCAGCATTACTTCTCAGAACACTTGCGTCGTTCAGGGGTATTACACACCAACAACAGATGATACTCAAGTAAACCTCAACGACCCTCGTAACAGCAATAGGAAAAAGGTCCCATGTCGGGTTTTCGGTCCTGGAAACGTATTTGATCAGATAGTAAAGTTGCACGACGCTCGTCGCAGTGACGGCGAAGCCCACCTATATCACACACGCACATGTCAGCGTTGAGCAGCGGATGAGGTATGACATAGGTGTAACCGGTGATGGACAGGAGACTAGACTGATGCGCGCTGGTTTGCCCTGGGCACGAGTCATGGTCACGTGTTCGCGCCAAAGTCAATCGCGAGCCAGCCATACATCGTTCACTTGCACGGCTCATGCAACGCAACGGCGGTATTTGGTGCCTTGCAGTGACGCACGTTAATCAAACGATGAGGAAAGTGTGGTGCTCACCGAGAAAGTCGACAGGATCCCAATCTTCTTGGTCCGACCCATACGCAGTCCGACGACGTTGGAGACAGGAAGCAGCAGCACCACAAAGTCGAAAGCAATGTTGATGCTCGAGTTGGTGTACAGCTGAGCATCGCGGTTGATGCAATGGCCCTCGATGTGCTCGGTGAGTGAACGCCACGTGTAATCCACAGGCACGCCTGTCCAGAGTCAGCATCGTTCTCGCGAATACTGATCAAGTTGTTTGCGCTCACAAAGGAATATAGTCGAGAATTCGAAGCCAAGCAATGCCATGACCAGCAAAAGTACAACGCCCTTGCAAATCCTGGGGAACACGGTGTGGACATCCTCCCAGACGCGAATGTACAGCAGTACGAATGCAATCTTCGTCCCAATGACGACTGGAGCGTAGAAAGTGTTGCCAATGTAGAACAACTGTCGATGGAGTCAGCAAGGGAAAGAAGAGCACTTCGGAGATGGCTGTGTGGAAGGACTTACCATGACGACCTTTTTGATCTCCTCAACAGACAGCTCCCACACGTCCTGACCGAGGCCGGCATGCTGTTCCAGATATCCCGTAACCGTCAAGCCAAGCATTGGAAAACACGTCGCAAAAAGGACCCAATCGTCCCAGCCATATCCCGCCCCTCCGTTCCATTGACCTCTACTCACAACTCTCGCAGCGACAAAAGCAATCGTCAGGGCAAACAGTATGCTCTGTGTCACGACAAGAGCCGAGATCCTGTTGCGGATAGGCAGCCCACACATCTCCGCCTGGACCTTCTTCGACGCAAGCAGATCCGGGACGCTGCAGTTGGATTTGATCGTACACTTCGCGAGCGCATTTTGGAGTGGAACGTTTTCGCATACGCATTGCGTGACATTGCTGCAATGGAACGTGGGAAAGATGCTCAAGAAGCAGTCTGTCTAGAACGGCGAGGTCAGCGGTGCTTCGAACATCGACGAGCCAAGGTATAATGATGTGATTTGAGAACACTTACAACACAGGGGGACAGGGCTGCAGTGTCCTGTCTGGGAAGATTCCCGTGCGCGTGACCTTCTTTCGCTCGAATATTGTCGTTCCAATCACTGGCGCGATACGTGTTCGTCAACGCAAGATTCTCAGAGGCAAGTGCTGATGTAAGGAAGGAAATCAGTATGACAAAGACATGACCGACTCTTGTCATTGCGTGGTCGACCCCGAGATCAATACTCAAAACATCAAGAAAAGCGTTCACCTCGACTCCGAGCAGTGTGCAGGATGGGACCAGGACCAGTAACAATCCAATCTTATCAGGGCACTTACGAGTTACGAGGCAGCGAACGTAGATATGACTGCTGGTAGTGCTGCTCTCTGGCCCCAAGTCATTATTGCGACGGAGATTGCTTGGACACCTTGCCCTGGCTTCACAGGCATTGCAGTCGTGTTGCCCCAATTGCTACAACCTTCTCAACACATGTGTTGGGCTCACGGTTTGAGCGCATCGTCAGGGCGTGGTTGACTGAATCGCTGTGCGCACATTTCAACAGGGTCGATTGGTCCGGGGTGATGATGAAGTCGAGGATTCGATGGTCGTAACCACTCCACGAGTCAAGAGATGCAGAACCCCACAAACGAGTTACGGATCCCAGCCATCATCGTGCAGATGGTCCACTGCCATGACCCGTGTACATGTAGCGGCTTGCGAGTGAGACTTCGGAGCTTGTCGTTGTTCCAATTTGATGGTAGTCATGGCCCATGTTCAGCGATCGTATTGAAGAGTGGTTATAGTTCGGAGCGAACCGAACCTGAAGGCCGAACGAATGGCATTACGTGCCGCCGGCCTACTTGATGGTTCGCTGCGACGTCTCTCCTAACAAATGCGCTCTTTTTCCACGTCCGCAACACACGGTAAGTCATGGTTGGGAGCTTGCGTGGAAGTCGGCCACGAGAAATGAGAAGCAAAGCCTTTCCTACCTGCGGGCCCGATGGTGGAGCAAGACCTGTCTATACCGAACATTCGAGTACCGAAACCTTGGCTGTACCGAGTTGCAAGACCGCCCTCTCCGAATTCGGGTGAGACTCCCGAGTTATTGTAACAGCGTGAGAGCTGAGGGCGTCTACCACGCGTTTTCGGTGTATGGATGACCGCGTATAGGCCCTGTCCGGATGCTTTAAGCTAGACACAGGAGCCCTCGTATTATAGTCCGTAGAGTAGTAACCACCTTAGTCAGGATCTATTGAAAACCGAGTTACGGAACCGTGGCTGCACCGAAAGCAAAGGAGGCTCCCTGGAGGATACAAACAGGTTTTGCTGTATCTGAAAGCCTTCGGCGAGTCGGCAAGCCCCAGCCTACGCTGTTTGAAACGCCCCATGCTTGACGAGATTGTTTCCCAGGATTCCGTCCTCGGTCTGCTCGCCGGTGTGATCTGCAGTTGGAGGACGTGACATACCAAGGAAGACCCAGCGTTCAGGGAACATGGTATACGGGTGTCAATAGTTGAACGGACCCGGATTCCCAATATTGTGAGTAGCTCGTTCGTTCCAGATTCCAAATACATATCGGGTATCGTTTCGGCTCAAAGCATCCGTGTCGCTGTGTCCCGACTCCTCCAACTCCATCTGGTTCGCATTCTGATGCCGAACTTATCGGTATTCATCGGCGTATTTGTCTCCTTCCTGAAGAACGCGACCGTAGCCTCCACGGCCCGGATCGTACTCCTCGCGATACTCATCCCTCACCTGACCTCCGCTCTTTCCTCTCCCATACTGCCGTCCCTCTGCAAACCCCTCGTCCAGGTCTGTGCGGATGATACGCTCATCCAACTTTGTACCACCGACATATTTCAAGCAGTCCAGCGCGTCCTGATGCGAGTAGTATTCAACGAAGCAAAAGCCGCATGGGGTCTTGGCGAAGCGGTCGAGGCCCATGACAAGGCGCTTGATCTCGCCGCATGTGCTGAAGAGGGTGTGGATCTGTTCCTCGGTGGTGTAGAATGAGAGGTTGCCGACGTAGAGGGTCGTGGCGTTGGCGAGCTTGTCCTCGAGGTCCGGCGAAGGAGGGCGGCTTTCGTCTTCGGCAGTACGTTGGCGCTTGCGCTTCTTGTCCTGAGACCAGAGCAGGTGTTAATTGGGGTGGAAGTGTTAGCTCGACGGCGGGAATGCAGCGCACCTTGCTGATGGCGTAGCTGGATGGACGGTCCATACGCTCGACGGTGTTCTTGAGGTTGAATTGAGGAGCCATCGTGAGGATGGTGCAGGTGTTGCGCGGTCGTGGTGGTGAAGGTTCCAATCCCAAATTGAATTGTTGAAGCTGTACAAGTGTCGGATGTGGCCCGAGCTCCTCCACGCGAAAGCACGCGCCAAACTTTACAGCAGCTTCGCCTTCACTTTTACTTACTTCCGGCCGTATTCCAATCTGCTGACAGCTCCTCGGTCTGCACGTGCCTGATCGATCGACCGATCCATAGATATGCATGTGAGATAGGAATTGTATTGCCGCCACGATGCCCAAGATCCTCTCGCGACAGCCGCGCTGGCTGGATCACTCGACTGCCAGCCGCGACTTCTTCCTGGTGAACGGCAAAGACAAATTGACCACGGAAGAGACAACGAGGGACGCACCCTACCGCAGAATCGCCCAAAGAGGAACAGAAGTCTTTGCAGTGGTGGGAAATGAGCTTCGCTGGACCGACCTGGGCATATTGAAGGAGGCAGGGGAGGAGAATGGAGGTCGATATGGCAGGCCCGGAGAGCCAAACAAACAGCCCGTGTACCAGGTTGGTCAAGACGAGATATCAAAGGAGGACGAGGGACTGATTCGGTTGGTTTAGGTCCTCAAAACACCAGCAGCGCGGCCGATCTTGCAGCTCTCGGTATCCCCATCGGGGGACTTCATTGCCGTCCTCACCTCGCATACATGCCATGTGTGTCTTCTCCCTCCGCGCGAACATCTGAACTTCTATGACTCCCAGCCTGTTAAGCTACGGTCTTTCCACGTTGGTCCAACTGCGCATGTACTGGAACAATCTCCTCTCGTCAGTGCTGTCTGGCACCCGCTCTCGCCTGCCGGCAACGCACTGGTCACGGTCACGAAAGATGCCTGTGTGCGGCTATGGGAGCTCGATCACAACAACAGGAGCACATTCAACGAGCCGGCATTGGCCGTGGATCTCAAGAAGCTGAAGAATGCAACGAGCGCACGCGAAGACTTGGGCGCGAGTAGATACGGCACGAGTAATGGCTTCTCTCCGGACCAAGTCGAAATGCAAGTCGCATCCAGTTGCTTCGGCGGACAGGGAAGGGAAGACGAAGATGGGTGGTCGAGCATGACACTTTGGGTCGCCATGACGGAGGGCAACGTATATGCACTCTGCCCGTTCTTGCCTTCCCAATTCTGGACACCAGCAACACTGCTACCTAGCTTGAGCACCAGTGTCGTTTCAAAGAAGCGCGTCATTGAGCAGGATCGAGAAGTCACGGAGCTTGAGAAGCTCGTAATCAATCAACAGAGTGCCTGGCTGACCGACTTGGACGAGCAAGATGCAACTATCATTGAGGGAGCCACGGTCATGGAGGTGTACTCACGGCCCAGTAATCTCAGCCCTATTCCAAGGCTCCAAGGGCCCTTCGAAGTGACACCCGAGCCTGAATTTGGCGGCATCACCGATATTCACGTCATTGCACCCAAGACGAACGACGAATCTCTATTCGATGACCAGGAAGATCTCGACTGGCTTGGTACAGAAGATGGCCTGAGCATTGGCGTCATCTGTCTTGCAACAGACACGAGCAAGGTCCATGTGTGCCTCAATGTCGAGGGAGTGGAAGCAGAGTGGCTTCCAAAACGTTCCCGTGCCCAGAACTTGTACGAGATGGATGCTGTGAAAGACCTGCTACTTTTCGAAACGCTCGACTTCCCTCGTGGAGATCAGACAACCAGCGACGCATGGCCTACATTCACGCCAAGCCCGACAGACCGGTACCAGCTCTTCTCTGGCCAGCCTACTGGAGTGTACAGCATGTCGTTCAGGCCGTGGATCAGCGGTCTTGAGAGTGAACTTGCAGACCCTGGAGCAGCTCAAGAAGGAGTTGGTTTTCGTCTGAACATACTGCTGGAGTCTGCGAGGACAGACGTTGAGACCATGACATCCGATTTCGATCGAGCATATCCGGATATGAGCGCTGCCATCGCTGTTCTCGGCGAGGCTGACGTCGGTTACGTTCTGTTGACCTCCGCTCCGGAGCAGCCCTTCGCGGTTGTACTAGAAGTGCCATCCGCGACCTCTCACCCCTTCGCGCCGGACAGTGTCGCACCTGAGTCTGTCTTCTCTCCCGAATCCAGGGCTGCGTATCGACCGGCGGACGTCCTCTTCCAGGAGACGGCACTGCCTGCTCAGCTCGAAGCATGGCGACGCGAGAGCGCCACTGGCGCAAGTGGAGACGTTCGAGGGCAGATTCGCTTTTCGCCATACACCCTGCAGAAGATCACCGAAGCCCATCGTCTCCTCAGCAGCGAAACGCACAATTTGGGGATTGCTGCAGCCGATCTATTCCGACGGTGTGAGCGAATGGTCAGCGAGATGAAGGCGCAAGTGGAGAAGGTGAAGGAGCTCTCCAACCGCATCGACAGTGTCACGGGGGAGAATGAATTCCCAGAGCAGGCGGAAGGCTCGCCGGAGCTTGTGCGAGGAGGCCGGGGCAAGATCCAGAATCGCATCCAAGCTCGGCAGGACAAGACGGTTCAACTCCGAGAGCGCGTTGAAGGTCTCCGCAAGAAGATGCGACAGCTCGGCGGAAGAGAACTGTCGGCCAAGGAGAGGGCGTTCGCCGAGGAAGTGGACAGACTGGAACAGAGCATCCCGCCTGCGAGAGCTGCAGCACCCACGAGTCCGACTGCGATTGTCAAGATGGAAAACAGCGAAATCACGACGACAACGGAATCGCAATCGGATGCGGGAGGGGATCCGGCGTATTCCCTGGCTGCGCGGTTCCGAGCTGCTCAGGAGGTGTATGCACGACTGATGCAGCAAGCGGACGATGCGCAGAAGCAGCTCCAACAAGCACAGGGAGGTGCGCAGGAGGAGAGCGCTTCGAGACCGACGACGGCCGGCGGCTCGCACGCCGCCGCCGCCGACTATCGACAGCAAAAGCTCGCGTATGTGTTTGATCTGTTGGAGCGAGAGACGGCGCTGGTGGACGCCGTCGGTGAGAGGCTGGAGAAGTTGCAGGTCGCTGCGAGATGAGAAGTCGGGTTTTGGATTACGGCAATAGCGAGGAGTTGTGGATGGAAATGAGATATGGCATGGTCTTGCAACGCTCGGAAGATTGAAAGCTCCAAGATTGAAAGGATTCCTGTCACCAGGCATCATCAGTTGACCCAATCCACCATTCTATTCCGTCTAGCGTCTCCATCAATCACACCACACCACTCCTCCCAACCCGGACACGAACTCTTGTCCTCTTACAGCGGGGTGGGAATCGATCGCATCAGACCAGACCACTGCACTGCATCCCCCATCCCTATCCTCCCTCCCTCCCACTCACCCCCACCACCACACCATCACCACCCCTCTTCTCCCCCTTCCCCCTCCCCCTCACCAACCCCCACAAATCCCCCTTAACCCCCCTCCCCACGTCCCCCAGCGCCCCCCAACTCTCAACCACCGGGTAAACAACACAGATACACATACTACACCAGACCCAGAGAAAGCTGACGACGACCCAGCCTTTGAAAAAAGCTTTATCGAACACATAGGCGGTGCCGAAGAGGGTGAAGGGCACGAGGCAGACGGCGAGGAGTAGGAAGAGGGCGTTGGCGGTGAGGGCGAGGCGTTCGCCGCGTGAGACGGAGGTGGGGTTCATGGGTTGGAAAGTTGGGGCTGAGAGGAAGGAGGGGAGGGGGGTGTCGGTGGTGGGAGTCGTGGGGGTGGGTTTGGAAGGTTTGTCGGGGAGATGGATGGTGGTGGTGGTGGCGCTCTTCTCTTCGTCATGATGGACCTGCGGCGGAGACGGCGGCGAAGGCGAGGGCGACGAAGAGGGATCCACGCCTTCCGCGGGGTTCAAGATGCCCTGGATTTTATTACTCCGTTGGATATGTCTGGGATCCATGCTGACGTACTTTGCCGGGGAGAGGAGGGTGAGGAGCACGCAGGCGAGCCAGCCGACGCCGAAAGAAGTGACGTTGCCGGCGACGGCGTTCATGGTGTCGCCCGTCGTTTCGATGGAAATGCCGCCGGAGCGCTTGTAAGCGGTGACGAGCCAGGCCGTGAGGCCACAGGCCAGACCGATCCAGGGGGAAGCGATGGCCGCGAGGGTGGAAGTGCGTTTCCAGATGAGGACCAGGCCGACGGGGACCGCGCCGCCGCCGACGATGATGGCCAAAACGGTCAGGAGCCAGGTGAGATTCAACCCGACGGCGTTCAGGATGCAGCAGAAGCCCGCCAGGACCAGGGCGTAGAGGACGATGCCGTAGTGGGAGATCTGCACCAATCTCGCGGAACTCGCATCCGGGCAGAGATAGGTCTTGTACACGTCAAAGGTCAGCAGGGAGCTGACGGCGATGAGCTCCGCGGAAGTGCTGGAAGTGACAGCCATGAACAGAAGGACAAGCATCAGGACAGCACCCCCTTGGCCGAGAAGCGTAATGGCCGTGGCAGGCGAGGAGAGTCCCGCGTTGTTCTGCGCCGTCGAGAGAGGGAGCGGGTACGTGGGAAAAGCCGGATTGCCAGTCAGAGCAGCGCAACCGAGTCCCATGGCCGTGGCGAAACCGAAAGGGATCCCATACCAAGCGATCCCGCCGAGAATGTACGCCTTGACGCTGGTCTCCGGGCGAGAAGCGATGGCTCGTTGCCAGTAAGCCTGATCCAGCCAGACGGTACTAAAGCCCGCGGCGAAGAGATCGATGGCAAAGACCAGTCCATCGACGGAGCGGAAAGCAAGATAAGAGCCATTTCCCGCATTTGTCGCGATGGGCATCTTCTCCGACGCCTCCACCAGGAGATCGTACAACCTGCCGGGCGAACCGACCAAATCACTGGTAGCGTACATGGAGAAGCCGAAGACGAAAATGGCAACGAACAGAACGGCCGTGTGGATGTAGTCGGCGATGAAAGTGCTCCTCAGGCCTCCGGCAATCACATAGGCAGCCACGACCAACGGGATCAGGAAACAGGCGGCGTAGACGTTCATGCCGGAGAGCGCGGCAACGACCTGAGAGCCACCGAGGACAAGACAAGCGCCGACCAGCATGTTGGTTGCGATTCCATTGAAGAGGTACGTCAGATGGGCAATCTTGCCATGCTTGGCCAGTAAGATCTCGGGGAAAGTGTGAGCTCCAGGAGCGTTGGCCTTGATTTTGATGGCAATGAGAGCGAAGAGGAGGATCTGGAACGTGCCCATGGCGCCGTACCACATGGGTCCACAGACGCCGTAGGAGTATGCGAAAGTCGAGCTGGTGAGAAGTGTAGCGCTCCAGGTCCAGCTGGAGACAATGCCCGAGGCAATAAGACCGGGCTTGACGGAACGGGAGGCAGTGTTGAATTCTTCGGAGTTCTTGGTGGAGAAAGTGGTCTGAATTGTCTGGTCAGTGTTCAGTTGTCTTGGGGGGTGGTGTAAAGAGAACGTACGTAGCGGTTCTGCAGCCAGGTGATGCCCAACATTATGAGGGCGAAGACGCCTCCGATTCCGATGACAATGGCATAGCCAGCGCCAGACGGCAAGACCATGATGCCATCTTTGGCTGGCATTTTGAAGAATGCTGCGCGTCAATGTCTCGTGCAATAAAAGAGGCAAGATGAAGAAGATGGAGGAGGAAGGATGGAGTAGGAGCCGTCCTACCTTGTAGTCCCAATTGATAACATGATGGAGTCGCCTCTATCGCGCCTGCGGCGTCCCCTCGTCCTCATCATGCTGGGCTCATACCACCGCGCGATTCGAAGTATGGTTGGTGATAGTGGAAAGGGCCCCTGAAGGGACAGGGCCGAGGGCGAATCGATGTGAGCTCTGTCTAGACACAGCTAGGTGATGGCTGCATGCGACATGGAGTGCACCGATAAGGATACAAGACAAGACGGGTCAGGTGTGGAGGGTGCGGTGGATAAGGGACATGTAGGCCGTGGAGAGAGCATCACAATGGAAAAGTCACTTGGCCGAGGTGAAGTCCCGTGACGTGTTGGGAGATAGGCAGAGATAGATCCTGGCTGTTGGAAGTTCTTTTTCCTATCCTCTGCTAAGTCATGTCGCGCGAGAGCTGGGGGCGGCATCCTCTAAGTATCCACCGAATCCTTCGAGCCAAGAATCATGCCATGATACACGCGCTCGTAGGGCAAGCCAATCACATCTCCCCATATCACATGTCCAGCCAGAGCTTGGCATTTGGATGATGGATTCCCGCTTGCGCAACATAGCATGTGCATTCTTCTTCCCGCTTTGCAAAGGCCATGCAGATGCCATGCGCATGCCGTGGCACAGGCGTCTCTTCCGTATGGTCACGGGGCTGGTCGACGTCCTTCGCCCTCTCTCCCTTGGCGGGCCGCTAGAAAGTACCGTACATCAACACGGCTGAGGTGTTGAGGTGTCTCGGAGCCGCAGACATAAAGCGGTCGTCTTCCCACTCATCTGCCTTCACCCATCTCCTGCCCTCTCCATAAAAGACAAGCTGAAACTGCACACCCACATGTCGCAGAGGTTGCATTCCATCGGTCGCTCGAGCACCTCCAGCACTGCCAGCTCGCGGGCGTCCACCGCTTCGGCCGGGAGCTGCTCTCCATCCAGATCATCACCAGCACTGCCATCCCCATCATCAGCATGCAAGCCAACCTCCGCCAAGTCCAAACCGAACGACAGACCGCGCCAGACCAGCGGAACGTTCGGCGACTGCGGCCGACACAGCAACCAATGGCTCTTCAACAACGTCTCCATCACCGACGCAGTCAGAGCCATCTTTGAGAAATGAGGGACGGAGAGCGTTGACAATCATCGAAGATGGCAAACGTCGAAGAAGAGCCCGAAGAAGAATACAATACGAGCAACAGCAAGCAGAAAGAGTAATCACTACCTCGCATCCCGACACCCACCCGGTATTCCCCGCTCCTTCACCGCTTCCACCACCGACTCCGCAGAGACAGCGACAGCGACTACAACATCACTGATCAATCGGGGGAAGGACACAATCATCCACACAATCCACTTTCTCGACGGGAGCCCGAAAAGTCGGGCGGGTGGAGGAGATGTATGAGATTGATGGGGACCCCGGTGAGGGAATTGATTCAGTGTGGAGAATGGGGTCCCCGGGGTTAATGAAGTTCCGACTAATGCGGCCCACGAATTCCATCGGAATCGACATATCGTGCAGTCATTGAATGCTGATTGAGGGTTTTTTGGGTACTGTTTGAATGTTGATTCAATGTTGATTGAGCGGTGATTGAATATATTGATGGAATGGGGGACTTCTCCCACCGATAATCCTTCTCGTACTAGTTCAGTTTACCCACTTTCCAATGCGAGATGCGATGGAGAACCCACTCACTCTGTTGTGCAACTCGCGAACTTCACATCTCATCTCACTTGGATTGAGTCACCGCCGCCGCGCCTGACCAGCGACCTAGCTTTTTTTTTTCTCCTTTCCTTCCGCCCCCCCGCGCTCACATTCCCCAACTAACACAGTAGTACCTAGTGTGCTAAAGCACAACAACCTTGGAGAGAGCAAAACAGACCCTGAAACTCTACTCGGCTGAGCACCTTAATTCCCAATCCGCTTCACAGCCGCAACGATGCGCTACACATCTATCAACGAGCCATTATCTGGCATGCCCACCTCCATGATGACCGGCGATCATGATACCTACCAGAAGTAAGTCACGCACTGCGGGAGAGACACAGAAGTGCAATGCAGAGACAGCATTGGAGAGTGCGTCGGCGCGCGAGCAAAGAAAGAGAAAAAAAAATTCACCCGTTGCACGCATGACGCCTCCGATGCCACAAAACTCGGAGGACCTTTCCCCTTGTTGGACATACATCTCGAGCACGAGATAGATCCCCCGCGCAGATTCTTCACATGGAGAAGAAGAATGAAATACGAAGAAGAATTCCGGCTAATATGAAAATCTCAGTCCCCTGAATTCGAGGTACTGCTCCCGGGAGATGAAATACATCTTCTCGCCGCGCAACCGCTTCAGCACCTGGCGGCAACTCTGGATCTACCTCGCCAAATCGCAGAAGGAACTCGGTCTGCCCATCTCGGATCTGGCGATTGAGCAGTTGGAGGCACATAAGCGGATTGAGGGCGATGAGTTTGGCGCTGCGGCGATCGAAGGTACGCAAGAGTCCTCGCCTCTGCGCTTCCTCTCGCTCTCCAAATTTGGGTGGATCTGTCTGGAATTCTTTACTGAATATCTTCACAGAAAAACGTCGCCGTCACGATGTCATGGCGCACGTGCACGTCTACGGGACCGTCGCCCCCGAAGCAGCCGGCATCATCCACTGGGGCGCGACCTCCTGCTACGTGACCGACAACGCCGACCTCATCTTCATCCGCGACGCGCTCAATCTCCTCCTGCCGAAACTCGCCACGGTCATCCAGCGCCTCGCCGCCTTCGCCATCGAGTACAAGAACCTGCCGTGTCTCGGGTACACGCACTACCAGCCCGCCCAGCTCGTGACGGTGGGCAAGCGTGCCAGCCTGTGGATCACGGATCTGCTGCGCTGCCTGCGGAACCTGGAGCGACAGCGTGATGAGGTCCTCCGTTCGTTCCGGGGCGTCAAGGGCACCACGGGGACGCAGGCGAGTTTCCTGGCCATCTTCAAGCACAACCATGAGATGGTCGAGAAGCTGGACGAGCTCGTCACGGAAAAGGTGCGACCGTTGATCCACTTCACGACCCTTCCCACGCTGACACTCTCTCCAGGCGGGATTCCAAGAAGCCGAAATCTCCACCAGCCAGACCTACTCGCGCCTCATCGACGTCGACGTCATCCACGCGCTGAGTTCCCTGGGATGCACGTTCGAGCGCATCGGCGGCGACCTGCGCCACCTCGCCCACGACAAGGAGATCGAGGAGCCCTTCGAGGCCGACCAGATCGGCTCGAGCGCCATGGCCTACAAGCGCAACCCGATGCGCTCGGAACGGCTGTGCTCCCTGGGCCGGAAGCTGCACAATTTCAGCGCCGACGCCGAGCAGACGTATGCCTCGCAATGGCTCGAGAGGAGTCTGGACGATTCGGCCATTCGACGCATCACGCTGCCCGAATCCTTCCTCAGCGCAGATGCCTGTCTGATCCTGGTGAGTTTGCCCCCCAGCCACGATTGAGAGTGAAATTTCAAGAAACACCACAACTGACATGATCTCTCTCTCTCTCTCTCTCTCTCTAGCTGAACAACATCTCCAACGGCCTCGTCGTCAACAAAGCCATCATCCAGAAGCGCGTGGACGAAGAACTCCCCTTCATGGCGACGGAGAACATCATCATGGCCATGGTGGAGCAGGGCAAGTCGCGGCAAGCCGTGCACGAGGAGATCCGCGTGCTGTCGCACCAGGCCGGCGCCGTCGTCAAGCAGCAGGGCAAGCCCAATGACCTCATCGAGCGGATCCGCAACAACCCTTACTTCGAGAGCATCCTGCCCGAGCTGGATGCCCTGCTCGACCCGAGCACTTTCATCGGCCGCTGCCCGGAGATTGTCGAGAAGCTCGTCGTCGCCAAGGTGAAGCCGGCGCTGCTGCCGTATGCGGATGATCTGGCCAACGCCGAGGTGGCGGAGCTGAGCGTGTAAGTCGCATCTTGGACGATGCGCCGGATTGCTGTCCATCAAGAATGGATTTCAACGGGGAGATACTCAAAAAGAGGATTGGCGAGGTAGAATGTGAATGTGAATATGAAGAGGAGTACTAGGGAATCAGCGTGTGTCTTCCTCTTCTTCTTCTTCTTCTTCTTCTTACATATGCATCATCCGTGTGTAGAAATCCAAAAGACTTGGAATGCTTCTTCTTCTTTTTTTTCCGCCTCTCAGTCGAGTTCAGGGATGGAAAACGCGCAATCGGGTGGCATTCGAGGCAGAACTATAACATACAGCAGCAGATGTCGAACCAGCTCTATCCATTCCATCCAATCCCATCCCCATCCCCATCCCCATCCCCATCACAGCATTCTGGAAACTCCATCCATCCAACTCCATAACTCCATCATCCCTCGAACCCCACATCTCCCGTCCCTCCCCTCCCCTCCCCTCCCCTCCCATCCCCCCCACGTAAACCAGAAAGATCCACATCTTAGCCCAACAAAAATTCAATCCCCATGCCATCCCCATCACAAATCCCCATCCCCATCCAAAATCTAAAAAAAATCACCACCAAGCATCCCCCCTCCCCCAAAGCAGCAACCCGCCCCCAACAGCCAAACAATTCACCACCCCCACCGCATGCCCCACGACGAGATCCCTCACCCCGGATTTCCACACAATCACCGTATCCGCCACCGTCGTGATGAGGCCCAAAAGCACCGCGAAGCCCAGACTGCGCCGGTCGCGCGTGTACAGGGCAAAGGTCAGCAGGAGGGCGCCGTTTTGCAGGTTGCGCGCGCAGAGGGCGCGGATGAGGGCTTTTGGTTGCGGGGGCGGCAGGGGTTCGGGGTCGGAGGCTGGAGGTTGAGGTTGAGGTTCCGGGGTGGGAGAGGAGGAGGTGATGGGCAGGCCGTAGCCGGCGGCGAAGGCTTTGGGGTCCGTGAGGCCGCCGAGGCCGAAGAGGAGGAGTTCGGCGCTGCCGAGGAGGATGGCGAGGCATTCGGCTGGTGGGGGTAGGTGGGCGAAGTGCGAGCGGAGGGAGAGGGTGGCCATGATGGCGGTGTTTGTGGAAAGGGGGGTTTTTGGTGGTGGTGGTGGTGGTGGTGAAGAGGAGAAAGAGAAGGAAGAGGAAGAGGAGAGGACTTGTTCCGGATGTGTAGTACTGGTACAGGTACAGGAGCAGGTACAGGAGAAGGGGGGCTGGCTTTGCTTACCTTTTGGTCATTAGTGTCAGTATAACACTGTGAAGGCGTTGCACCGCCGTTGGATCACAATCGGTGTCTGTGGTGTTGTCGTCATGATCATCGGAGGTCCGAAGGAGCCTGCACACTGGGTCAGGAACAGGTTAGCGTTCCAGATTGTACCTGAGGGGGTCTGAGAAAAGAGACCCATCATGATCTGGAATCCGTATATTATCATTATTACCAACAGCCAAAAAATAATAAAATATCCAACTACGAAGCGACATAGAGTATACTTCTACTTACTACACAAGAAACTCTTCCATCCTTTCATCTTCTCTACACCAAAAACTCCATCCATCCATCTCCTCCCCTTCCCTTCCCTCCCCTTCCCTTCCCTTCCCTTCCCTTCTATTATCTTCATCATCTCCATTAGATCCAAGACAACACAACACAACACAACACAACAGAACCAGAACGCTCAAGGAATACACCACCACCACCACCCACCACACACACACTCTCTCTCTCGCACCCATTCCAACCCAACCAACGAACGAGAAGAAGAGGTACCCTCCACCGCATCCCCCTCCCTAAAGCCCAGCGCAGAGCATCCCGCTTCCCTCCTCCCTCCCCTCCCCTCCCTCTTCCACACACACACACACCCCCTATCACGCCATCTATATCACGCCATCTAGTTCCAGGTGTGCCAGTAAAAAAGCGAGAACCTCATCCCTCGAGACCGAGCAAACCCCATTGATCCGAAATATCAGAAGGAGGAGGAGGAAAAATCTTTCGGGCCTCTCACTCACTCCATCATCACTCAAGGTATTCGAGAAAGAAAATCGGCAAAAAAAAAAAAAAAAAAAAAAAAAAAAAAAAAAAAAAAGAGATGGAACAAGGCACCCGCACCGCAGTGATGCGTAATAGGAAAAAAAAAAAACAAAAAACAAAAAAAAAAAAAAAACCAGAGCGGCGCAGATTTGGATTTAAATTTTGCTCAAACGAGAAAAACCCCCCAAGGTAGGAATGCAATACTTGAGAGAAGGAAGACGATTATTCACCTCTCAGCCATCCCATCCCATCCCATCCCATCCCATCCCTCTCTCAGGAGCTAATAAGCGTGCATAGAATCGCTGACTACATGATAACTTTGCCTCCGCATTCCCCGCCGAGACCTGTCACGTAGAGACAAACAAACATGTGGCAAAGCAAAGCAAAGCATGTGCCGCTGCTGCTGCTGCTGCTGCTGGGCCCTCAGAAAGAAGATCAAGATGAAGGTGAAAGAAGAAGGATTTTGCATCTCGCACCGCGCACCTCGCATATCGAACAGCAGCAGCACCACCAGCAGCAGCCGTGAGAGATCATCCTCTCGCATGCATGCATGGAGACGAGGCCGAGAGAGTTCGGCTCCTCCTGCAGCGCACCTGCAATGCAGCAGAGGAGAGAGCATACGTGGCAGGCCGTGTCAAGGGCACCCGAGGCTGAGAGCAGGTGCAGCTCATGCAACGACGGACGTGTCATAGGGGGCCACGTAGTGTGTATGCTCCGATGAACCCAAGGAGAACAGCGGACACTTGTCGGAAATGGACACATCTCAGCGAACAGAGAAAGTACATTGCCAAATGTCCACATGGCAACATCGTGATCAGACGGGCATCGACACTGCAAAAGCCATGCGGCGCGGCTCAATCCGACGTGGCGTGAGAGGAATCCATGGCAGAGCGTGGCAAATCGCTAACGAAACAAATTCCATGGAGTATCAAACTCATTTCATCGCGAAAAAAAAAACTTTCGTTCGTGGTATCACCTGTTCGCTCGCAGTGGTATCCTTGGCGCACATTTGCATCTTCTCATCGATCCCATCCAAGTCGCTTCAGTAGTGCTCCCAAGCAGATGCTCTCATACAAAACCGCCAGCAATAGCACAAACAAAGGCCATATAGAGCCATTTCGCGGCGCTCCTCAACCCAAGAGTCAGACCGAGAGAATCCTCGCGAACATCCTCGGTGTGGCAGGCTCTGTAACCATCCAAGCCATGTGGTATCCAAAGTGGCATCAAAACTCCATTGTGGTGTATCCTCGCCATGATAAGATCCCGGAAGGATGGTGGCGTCCACGCGTAAGCTCGGTGCACATCGTTCATGAGTGAGGCCATACCCGGCAAGATCCAGTACTGCCGGGTCCATCTCCGCCGAGTGGGTTCAGAGCAGTCGGTATCCATGCCTGGTGCTAATGCTCCCCGGCCGGCACCTGCGTTGTGGTAGAACGATGCAAATGCGAACCAGATCAAGGCAGGACGGGCCGTGTAGTATGGGAAGAATGCCAGGAAGAACACCAGGCCTGGCTGACGGCCATCGGATCCTGGCGGCTTGTATCACAGAGAGCAGCCAGAGAGAGGAGGTGGAGCCCACAAGCAGCGATCATCTCCGGCCACTGCGACTGCTTCCACTCGGAGCACCACTCGTACGCATCATTCCAGCCATACTATGGCGATTGGGGTTGGCACCTGCCGGTCGGCTGGAGGAGACTGGCGCCAAAGGTGGGCCGGAAGTGGGAGGAGCTGAACACGAAGCCATCAGTTCCTGTCTGTACGAGAGCAATCAAACACATTCGCACTTTAGTGATACTCACGTCTACCGCCGTATGAATCGTACTGACTCGGCGGCATTGAGCCATAGTTACTGCATGAGTTAGCAAGGTGCGTCGTCGGAGCGGGTTGCAATCACACTGCGAACCTTGGCTGTTGCGAGCTGGATACCTGCTCCCGATCACGAGCGGATACGGAGGAGACGGTGGCCGCCGGACTAGGGTAGGCATACCTTGGGTCCGCGTACTCGGGCTGTTGATATCCACGTGGTGGTGGCTCACGGCTCTGTGGGGGCTGTCCAAATCCCGGGCCATAGTTATCCGATCTGGAAGGGACTGCGGGCGCAGGCTCATACGAGGACACGGGCACGTAGTAGTTGCCTTGCCTCACGTATCCAGGCGGAGCGCCATCACTGTTGGGCTGCGGGTAGCTGGGAGCGTACCGTGGTTCCTGGCCATATGGTGCAGAGACTGGGGGGCGTCCGCCTCCAAAACCTCCGGACATGGGAGTGTCGGGCTGAAACGATGACCTACCGTCCGGGGCATAGCCTCTGCTATCAGATGGGAATGCTCTGCCGTCCGGTGGGTATGCGGAGCGGCTGTCCGGCGGGTAGCCTCCTCTACTCTGTGGTGGCGGATCCACCTGCATGCGGTCCACCGGTATTCTTTCCCGACCTGACGGCAGGCCGTATGGTCCGTCGACCGAGGGCGAGTCCGCATCGCGACGGTTGTGCGAGGTCCGGCCGGCGCTGGACGCGTGGTACGTGGAGGATCCGACGTAAGGTTCTATGAGCTCGTCAGGTTCCGTTTTCCCTGACACCGTGTACGTCGGGCTGTGGCTACCTCTTGTGCCGGTCTGGCGCTGTTCTTGCCGCCAGCGTGCGGAATCGGCTCGCAAGTCTGCAATCATGGCCTGGGCAAGGCAGGTCAGTACTGGGGCATGGCGCGGCTCGTGGGATGCGAGGCGAGGACAAACATACGGAAGTCAGATTTCGGTAGGCCTTGATCCAGTACCCTTGGACACCCTGTCGCGCAGTCAGTACATGTCACGCACGAAAGTCCATTCAAGGCGAGGCGAGGCGGCGTCCTGACCTGGTGCTCTCCGGTGCCCACGCCCGGACGGACAGTGGCATCGTTTCCCAGGTATCTTTGGATGTCGGCGGAGATGACATGGCGGTCAATACCCTCGCCGGGGACGAACCACTGGCGAGCAATCTCCTGAGGCATGATTGGGGTCCAAATTCCTGTGTGGGCTCAGACGGGACCGACAGATGGCAAGCGCAGCAATCCGGGAAGGGGAGGACCTCAAGATGGAAGATGGACGTGAATGTCCTCCTGGTGGCACGGAGGGAGTGGAGTAGATGGGCCGGCGAGGATGGTATGGGACAGGACAGGCTGGGTAAGAATCAAGTCAAGCGCAGAGAGCGTCCGGCGCGGCCGTGGGCAGGAGACCAGCAATCCTGGTCGGGGGCGGCAGAGGTATCGGGAGCAGTGGAAGTCTAAGGCCGGCAGAGTTCAGAATTTGCTGGGAGGTGCGGGCGGTGAGGTCGAGATGGTGACGGAAAGCGCTCGACGACGGCAGCAGCAGGTGATGTGCAGCGGGAGGGATGTTGGAGGGAAGGCGCGGAAGAAATGGCAGCAGCAGCAGCAGCAGCAGCAAGTGGAAGGAGGAAGTCGCGAGGGGCGGCACAGCTGGCAGATTTGGGGGAGAGGGTCGCGGCTGCCCAATTGGCCTGTGCTGCGTGTCGACGGTGGATCCCGCGTCGGCGCTCCTGAGGATAATTCTCTGATCAGAGACGTGTCGTGTGTGTAAGCAGATCTCACAACGACGGAGTAGTGTGAGTGAGTCGACAGGCAGGAAGCGGAAGCGGAAGCGGTCTGCGGGTATGGCTGGATGGATGGATGGATGGATGGATGGATGTAGTAGTGTAGTAGTATGGGATGTAAGGTAGCTGAGAGGGTGAGACGAGACGAGGAGTGATAATCTTTACCTCAGCCCGTCGGGTGTGCGTGCTTGCGTGCGTGCTTGGGTGACGGTGACGGTGACGGTGACGGTGCTTGCTGTGGCGAGCCCAACACTAGGTAGCACCTTCCCACTGGCTGGAGCTGGACAGCAAGTCAAGTTGGGCAGCAGCGACGGCACCCAAGCTGCAGCACTAACCGAGCTCTACCCTGCCCTGCCCTGCCCTGCCCTCACTCTTCCATCCATCCATCCACGCAACCACGCACTCTTGATCATGCATGAGATTCTCACGGCGTCGAGAGCGACTGGCGACCCGTCGGATGCTGACTCTCCATCCCGGCGTGAGACAGAGACAGCACAGGCAACAGGGTGATAGCACAATATCTTCTTCCAGCAGCGCCAACGACAAGTACCAAGGTACCGATTCATGTGCTTCCCATCGCCGCCTACCCTCCTCATCAGTGTAGTGTCATCACGTCGACCGTGTCCAGCGTGAGGTACACCCATCACCGCCGTCTCCCTCGCACCGAGCCGCCATTGCCCTCGCTCTTTCCCTCGCCCTCGCCCTCGCCCTCGCCCTCGCCCTTCTTGCCGGCGCGGTGCCAGTCGACGGTGCATGTCCGACGCACATGTCCGACGCACATGTCCGACGTACATGCCCATCTGCAGCACAGGCATATTTCTCCACGACACAAAACACTGTTTGGGTCCCTAGTTGCCGTGCAGAGACGGTGCACTGTCGAAGCAAACCGCCTCACGCCCACTGTCCACTCGCCTCCGCGTAGCACGAGAGCTGCCGTAGCATTCTCAATCTTCTGCAGACGTCGTCGTCGTCGTCGTCGTCGTCGTCGTTAGCCACACGCTTCCTCCGCCATCCTGCGTCCGCGGTCCGCATTGCAGACGCCATCCCAACACAACACGAGAGAGAAAGCCTTGCTGATTCGTTCAACTCGATACCAATTCTGTCGCTCCTCTCACCACTAGATTCTTCTACAGCATCTTTTCTCATTGAAAATTCATTCATCCCGAATATCCTAGCGGAAAACAAGGTCACAGCGAGCCAGCCAGCAGTAAATCAGTCATAGCGTCCCGCGAGAAAGAGGCTCGTCAACACGACAACAGCATGCACTAACCAACGCAGATGATAGCGCATCCGCCCCATGATTTGGCAGAATCTCGTCCCGCTCTGTGCTTCAAAGTCTGGCGCCATCAATGGCACGAATTCGAAACTGCCACCGAGGCGCATGGACATGCATCTCCTCGCCGCCCGCCGACTGCACAGCCAGAGCGACCTCATCTGGGCTGAGCTTCACGAGCCGTCCGCGATCCTGCGATACCGTCAGCTGCGAGCGCGACATGTAAATCTCGGACTGCATTGATCACCTGATGCGTGAAACCACCCCCGTCGGTTGGAAATAGCTCGACCATAGCACCATCCTGCAGGCGCATCGGATCCGTGCTGTCCACCACCAGATCCTGGTCGGAGAAGGCGGCTTGGGTGACGAGACTCACGGCATCGGGTCCCTTGAGCGACACGGTTTGGGGTGCTTGCTCTCGCGCTGTTGCCAGTGCCTGCCGGAAGCGACTCCGCCATTCATGGACCTTTGGGTATCGATCCTCGCCAAAGTACTCCGGTTTGGGCCGCAAGTCGTTCAGGAACCAATCGAAGACCCAGATACCTGTCGGTAGGTGGCTTCAGCGTCTGTACCGTGCGGCCGGTTCGCGGTGCCCAATATCAAAACTCTCATCACGTACGTACCTTCCAGATCCGCCAGAGAAACCTCTTTCGTACCCGCGACCCATTGTCTCCCGTCGGCGAACAGACTCTCAGCCGTGCCAAAGAAGTGCCTCATGTTCACCAAACCTTCGCTATACGAGCTGGCGTCGACTCTCCACCCGGGCCCAAAGAACCCAGCTCGATCTTTCTGAAACGTGGGGTCTTTCAGCAACGCAAAGTCCTGCGGGATACACTTGACAGCTTCACGGAACATATTCTCCACCACCCACTTCTGTAGTAACGCGGCCATCCCCACCGTCTCCCGCGACGATAAGCCCGGGTGCTGATCCGAAGAAGGGAACCGTTCCTCCAGCTTTGCGATGATCAGTCGGGTGTCGTAGTAAATATCCCGACCGATGCTCATCACGGGACTCCGACGGTACGTGACGCCCAACGCCGCGAGGTCCGGGCGAGGGAGCATTGGTGGTTGAATCTGTATCAGATTTCCATATTAGCTCTGCAGGTGTTTCCATGGGGGGATATTATATCTTCCTCGATGAGCCATCATCTTTTTGATGTGGAACAAACTTACACATTCTGCATGTGCGATCTTGCGTAGCGTCAGGTACCATTTGACTCGTCCTGTCGGGATCACCCTCTATGAATTAGCGCTGCCGACTCTGGCATTCCATGTGTTTGGTTGTTTCTCTATACGTACGTCCATAGGGCGAGGCATGATACCTAAGAAAGAAGCATCATTATCAGTCAGTCAAGAATCCATATCATTCGTTCAGTGGCAGTAGTAGTAGTAGTAAGAGAATGATCATCTCTTAAGTATACATACCAAAACAGAATGATGCCATTGGGAGGTGCCTCATTGGTATAATTATTCTTATCCATGGTGGACATTTCGATAGTAGTAGTGTGGTGTAGTACTGGACTAGACTGGACTGGACTGCTTCGGATGATGATTGATGATTGATGATGATAATTGATGTAGCTGTAGATGAAGATGTAGGTGAAACCGATTGTATCTATCTGAACTAAATTCTTTGATAGGAAAACGGAGAAAAAAACGAAAAATGATTTTCGAGATTTTGGTGTATGATGATGGATAGTAATGATGATGATGATGATGATGATGATGATGATGATGATGATGATGATGATAGTGATGATGAAGAGGTCGTTGTGGTCGTTTGACACCTCTAGTGGGCAACCACCAACCCCCCAACCTCTCCACTCTCCACCTGGCACTCCCGTCTCCACACTCCGACGCATCATCACCTCGGGATCCTCCTCCTAGAGGTTCTCTTCGGCCTAGAACTAAATAACGTATACACCCCCGCCCCTACCTATATTACTATCTCTCTTTAAGGAACACCCGACTGCAGTGCTCTCACATTTACGGTCCGGAGCATGTTTTCCTACGAAAAAAAGATACAAAACAATGAGATATGTATATACCATTGTATTACTCAAATCTTCCAAACGATGATGGGCCGGCTACCTAGAGAGATCTCTCCCCCCATCCATCTAACAAGCACGCCCTCATAAAAGTAAAAAAAAAAACTATCCCCATGCATGCATGTGAAGCAGCTGCCCCTAGGGATATAGGAGTGTGTACTCTCCCCCTCTCTCTCTCTCCCCCTAATAATAACGTATCTACAAGCGTTACCTTACGGCAGGGCCTAACGCGAAACGAAAAAAAAATCCCCCGTCTTCTGCTGTTCTGCTAAAAGACCCGCATCGCAAAAAGATCAAGGAAAAAAGTCTCTCGGTGGGGATTGATCAAGGCCGAAAAAACATTGAGCTGTCCGGGGGCCTTTGTGCCTGCCTGGCCTGAGGTGAGCCAGGGAGGACACGGGCGGACAAGTGAGATGGATGGATGATGAAAAAAGGGTAGGAAACTAGTCTCGTAGATCATCTGGGCTCGCATGTGTGTGTGTGCCATGTGTGCATGTGACATCCACGCGCGGCAGAAAGACATCCGGGATGATCAAACATGATCCCTCATGACTAAACACCAAATACTCCGATCTGCTGTACAATGCTGTCTGTGGCGTTCACCTTTGCAAGCTGTGGAGATGGCAAGGTTGAGATCCGGGTGGACGGGGAGAGACATACGATGCGAGATACCTAACGTTGGGTAGCAATACCTTGCGGACCCTGTTGGAGGCATCTCCGTTTGCATGTCTGTCGTAAGTGGCAGGTGTTCTTAGTCTGTCGTAAGTGGCACATGTTCTGAGCAGGCATTTCGACGTGAAGCTCACGTGTTGCATTGACGACCACTCGTACGGCTATCTACGACGAAGGCTGGGTATCTGAGCTACATGCTGAGCTACATGGCCAGCGAATGAGTCCGCGTTGTTCATACGAAAAAGCATCCTCCTCTTCTCAAAGCAATCACTTCAAGTCGATCACTTCAGGTCGATGAGGTCCTCCTCGGCTGCGCTCTGGGAGCTGCTGGAGTCGCCACCCATTCGCACTGTGTCTACCCACTTCTTGCGCGGGCCAACACTTGCCATCCGCTTCTCCAGGCTGTACGAGCGTGAGTCGGCACGGTCGAGGCCGTTTGGGAAGTGCTTCTTGGAGATGTTGCCTGGCTTCGACTCCACAACGCGAAGAGGCATGATTGCCGCCTTGCTAGCCTGAGGCGAAGGAGACTGGTAGTTCTCGATCTGCGCCTGGACACGCTTTGGCTCTTCCTGGGCAAAGGACTCCCACGAGGACGTGTTGGACAGATCCGCGGTGGATCCTGAGGTGGATTGAGGCTTGAGCGTGGGAGAGACCTCCGATGTGTGTTGCTGCTTTGCAGGCAAGCAAAGCTGGCAGTTCACCTCCTCGTCTGGAAATGGATGGCATGTGAGTTGACACGGGTGGCCGCACGGGAGCACTTCAGCGCACTTCTCGAGACATCCGCCATAGATGTGGTCCCAGTCATCTGGCTTGATGATCTCCACGACGTTGTTGTGGTTCTTGCAGCGGATCGGAAACGTGTTGTCCAAGCGGTTAGGGACGAACTTGGGAGCCTCCTCCTCGTTCATCTTGCCGGCGATGATTTTGATGACTCTGGCCCAGGTCTTACTCTCATTGTACAGAAGCATGCCATTGCCGAAAATGTAAAACCCACACTGTGCACGCGACAAAGCGACGCACACACGGTTGACCACGTCCAGGAATCCGATGGCTTTGTTGTCGTTGGACCGTACCAGACTCAAAAGCACGACCTTGTTCTCTTCACCCTGGTAGCTGTCGACGGTGACGACGTTGAACTTCTGCGACTCTGACTGAGGCAGGGCTCTATGACGAAGCTCACGCAGAATACGCTTCCTCTGGCCGTTGTAGAACGTCAGAATAGTGATGTCCTCAGCATCCACGCCGTTGTAGCGCAGATGCCCGAAGAAGCCTACGATCATGTCCACCTCCATCTGGTTGTAGCAGGACATCTGGTCGTCTCTCGCCTCCGGCCATTGATGGGTGAAGAACCAGGAGTTGACGCCGCCCATGCCAGGAACATTTGGCCGGTTCTCGGGGTTGGTGACCGAGACATGATCCTTGATGCGATTCTTGTAGATGGGGTACAAGATGCGACGTATTTCAGGAATCATACGACGCTGCTTGGAAAGAATCTCGAAGCCGACTTTGTTGTTCACCAGACGCTCAAACATAGAGACGTTGAGAAAATATGGCTCGTTCTCGAATGCTTTGACCTGGACATGCGGGCGAAGTTGTTGATGGTCGCCAACAAGGATGAGGTGCTGCAGAGATGGAACGCAAGTAGCGGTGACCGGCGCTTCGAGAGTCTCTGCTGCTTCTTCGATGAGCACGATCTTGGGCTGCAATGCGGAGATGAGCGCGCGATATTTGCTGAAGCCGGTGGTTGTCATGCCGATAAGCTTTTGCCTCTTGATAATGTTCTCGTCCTTCTCCCAGCCTCCAATGCGACGCTTGGTGGCCTGCTCGTTGTACTGCTGTGAGATTTTGCGGAAGGCGTCGCGGATGCACTTCTTCAGCTCCGATTGCAAGTGGCGATAGACTGCTCCCCGCTGGACTTCGGGTATCCTCCACATGTCCTGCTCTGAGAGGAAGCCTTGAGCCCTTGATTCCATGCCTTGGACCTTGCGGCAGGTGAAGTTGTCAGCGACAGACAATGATAGGCCGTGCAGGGACTCGAAGTCTTCGTCATTGGCTATATTCTCGGCTTCCACTTCTTTGAGTTGCTCGAACTCTAGGTCAGCCTCTTCGTAGTCGAATCCAAACTCTTCGGGCTGCTGCTTGTATGGCACGGACACAAGCTTGTCACCAAGCCAGAGGGTGAATGGCGAAGCCTGCATATGGTTTGGGTTTGACTTCTTGTCTTGGACCCATCTCGAAGCGCCGTTTTCGAGTGAATCAGCTTGTGCCTTTGTTAAAATGTTAAAGTTCTCAAGGACGCGATGGTCCAGTGCTTTCTTGTCAGGTTTGAGTGGCGTCAGAATGATACCAAACTCCTTCTGCATATGCTGCATCTTCGTCCGCGCCATGCCTTGTGCGCACCCGGCAGGCGGGTTCTCGGAAATGGTATTACGCAGCTCATATAGCGTACGCTCCTTGATAATGCCCTGATCTTTGCTTCTTCCACCTAAGCGAACGAACTCAGTCTCGAACTGCGCGATATGCCGCAGAATCTGGTCGATAGCGTGGTTGGTTTGACACGCGATAACAATCGGAGGGTCATCGTCGTGCCGATTAGCGAGCATGACTTTGATGGCCTGGACCGACACGTACGTCTTGCCCGTGCCCGGAGGGCCTTGAATAATCGCGAGCTGCTTGGTGAGAATGCGCTGGAGGGCGGAGAGCTGGGACGCGTCCATGTCACTCTGAGGCTGACGTGGCCATTGCTTGAGAATGTGGACGTTCTCATAGGTCTCGTGTTTGTTGTCTCTGAAGAGCGAAGTCATATCTCTCTTGGGCTGCTCGAGGACGTACTTCGGTGTAGGGATCTCGCGCTTAGCATCGACGAGGTGCTCGGAAAGCGGGAACGGCTCCTTCATCATGTGCTGAAGTGCAAGGAGGGTGTGTCGAGATGCTTCGTAAAAGCCGCTGCGCTCTTCGACCATGACATATTCGATGGCAGGGTCAATCTCGAGCTCGTCAGTGCGGGCAAAGAACAAGTCAACCTCCGGTGGATTCTGTTGTACAGCGCTGAGTGGACGAGCAGCGACGGTGGCGACAATTGCTTGACTGTTGAACATGTCATTGGCAGGGCTGAGGACGACCAAACTGCCGCTGATCAGGCGCTTGGATTGCTCCCATAGTATCTTCTTGCCGGTCCGACGCAAGCTGAACGTGACTCGAATGGCAATACCGCGTGTTGAGATGGTCGTAGCACAAATGTGGACCTAAAATGTGGATCAGCAATTGTGCGCGAGTAACGTCCACGGTGCGAGGCGGGCTGGCGTACCTTTTCGTAGATGCCGATCTGCCCACTGAACTCATTTTCGTCCGCCTGTGGGTTCTCACGAACTTCGGCCACAGCTTCACGCAGAGGTCGGACGGCGTCCTCGCGGAGCAAGTTGTAGTGCGTTGAGAGATAGTTTTCCTTGCCTTTGAAGGCACCTTTGATGAGATTTCTGAGACTTCGAATGTCAAAGCCACTGTCGGAAGAGGACGAGCTATTGGTGTCGGCATCGAGCAATTCGGCGGAGTGTGGAACCTCTGGGCGTGCAAGCCAGTGGCCGCCTTCTGCTGGTGGACCTTGGTAGTACTCTCGAATGCGCGTGTTCAGCTTCGGTGGAAGCAGCCAAACCTCGGCGTGGTCCGTCTGTCGATGCTCCGGGCGAGAGATTCGCTTCGAGCGCCCGAAGCGCTCGGTGAGGTGTTCGTTCATGTTCTTACTGTGGAGAAAGCGATGTCAGTAACATGCCGTGTCCAGATGCGGCGTCAATGGCGCTGGCACTGGCGTGGCGTGGCGTGGCGTGGCGATGCTGGCGTGTCGTGTTGATGGTGGTGGTGTGGTTGGTGCGCGTTTGTAAGGGGAAGACGGAGAAGTGAGGGAAGAAAGTGAGGGCAAAGTGTGAAGTGTTTGTCTGCAGTGAGTGCGTGTTTGGCGGGATCGTAGCGTTTGCCAAGCCTGATCTTTACCGAGCTGCTGTTGCAGGACAGCAATTCAGACCAGAGTGTGGAGCATGCTGGCGTCAAATTGAGTGACGTGTGGAGGGGAGAAGAAGACGAAGAGGAAGAGGAAGAGGAAGGGGAAGAGGAGGAGTGTGGAAGTGTTTTGTCGAGTAAGGTATGATGCAAAGAGGGAAGGGGCTGGCGAGTGGAAGAGGAAAGTCGAACTGGAACTGGGACAAGGCAGACGCGTCGCGACGCGGGACAGCGAGGCTGCCTGAGGCAAGCGAGACTCACCTGCCTGTCCATCTCGGCCAGGTCGACAGTCGTCCCACCTTACACCTAGCAATGCTTACAACTCGTGACATTTCAAGACATTTCAAGAGCCACTTTGCCGGCCGTCCCGTTGTACGCAATGCCCGGGTTTCCAGTCTACGTGGTGATGGCTGTCTTCTTTCTAATCTGCCGCGCTCATCATGCGTCTGCATCGATATATGTCTTGTATTGCAGGACCTGCCGCTGCCCATGTTGGTTGCCTGCTCATCGCTCGGATTGCTGCAGATGGTCTGCAATCAACGCGGAATGTGTGTGAAATCGCCGCATATCGTTCGTTCCATCATCTACCACCAGAGCGGCGAGCTCCATGCATTTGGACAGCCTCTTCAATTCCGATTACTGACCGCGACCCTTAGATGCACCTCGTCGACGACGACGCCGAAGGGAAGGCGTGAGGTGGGAAAGCGGAGGCCGAGGCAGGGGTCTCTTGAGCTACCTCAGGTAGTCAATGCTGCGGCTCTGCGGAATTCCCGCGCGCCACATTCGGCCTTGCATGCAGGAGCTTCCGGCGTCGCGCTGGACAAGCTGAATGTGTGGACTCGCTACCGCTGCCGCTGCCGCTGGATGGCTGCTGCTTGCCTGCGCATAGCTTGGAATACTGACATGTCGCAGAGGCTTCAATAACGGGACTTCTCGCCAATGCGCCCGTGGGTCTGGCCAAGGCGGCAACGAGAACGAGCAAAGACTTAGACCTACCGCCTTACTTCTGGATTGTCCTCTACTACCGATTCCCACATATCAACACCCTACCGGCGAAGCTGCCTATCCGATAGAATACATACAATATGGCCTCTTTCGACGACGACAATGATCCCACCGCAGGATCTCAAGACGAAGATGAGAATGAAGACGAGGAAATGGAAGACATCAACGAACCAAATCAAGACGAAGATCAGGATATGGACGCTGGCGGAGATGATGACGAGGACGATGAGGGCGAAGATGACAATGGCGACGACAACGATGAAGATGAAGACGACGATAATAACGACCCGGACTCTCCTTCTCGACGTGAGAGCCGTCACACCATTCCTCGAAGAGACAACAGCGCTGAAAGGCGGGCCAATCCAGCCGTGGTCTTGACCTCCCCCTCTCCGCGAGCCTCAACAGCTCGATCGCCAGGAAGCCTGGGCATCGCCTCGTACGTCCTAGCCACGCGACCCGAGGCGCTTACGGCGCAAACATATGACATCGTCCCAACCATGGCCGCACCACAAAGCACGTCGATCAACGCGATAACAGCAACTCCGGACATGAAATGGGTTTTTTCGGGGGGCACAGACGGCTATGTTAGAATGTATAATTGGGTGGATACAGCGAACGGCAAAGTGCCACTCACGGTAGCGCAAAAGCATCCGTTCGTAGACAGCGTGATGAAGGCTGGGTCGCTGGTCACATACTGGGAGAACGAAGAGGCTTCAACGCTGAAAACGCCGCCATCACAGCCCGACGAGGGCAAGTGGACCAGCCCGGTGTATTCTCTGGCCGTTCAACACCAAGCGACTTGGCTTCTCTCAGGCTTGGAGTCAGGAGGAATCAATTTGCAGACTTGCCGACACCACGCTGGCACTCGGATAACGACGTTGAAAGGACACACCAGCGCTGTCTCTGTTTTGTCTCTTTCCTTGGACGAGACGAGTCTCCTGTCGGGTAGTTGGGACAAGAACATCTTCGATTGGGACCTCAACGCGGGCAAGGTGAAGCGCTCTTTCGGAGGCTCAGGAAGTCAGATATCTGCAATGGAAATCCGACCGATGAGCGATACACCCGTGCCAGAAGTTACCGAGACACAGCCGGAGCCCACCAGCGGCACGTTCTCCAGCAACAACGCGGACAAATCGCTGTCGAACGGCGCTTTCGCAAGTGCTCCTGGCCGCCGACCTTCCCGTATGGGTGATGGCGAAGAAGATGCAATGGGCTCGCCAGACGGCAGTCTATTTGGCGATAATGACCATGGTTCGCTTTTTGGAGAAGACACCGCCGCTGGGGGTGGGGCCAATGCGTTTGGCGAAGACGATGACGATCTCACGCGGGCCTTGCAGGATGAGATGTCAAACACAGAGCAAGACGCAGCCGGTGAGGCTGATGCTGAGATGTCGGGGCTGCGTAGTGGTGGCTCAGTACAGCCTCCTGATGCTGCTCCTGTAGAGTCCGGTGAGGCTGCTTCCGGTGCAGTCGATGGCCAGTCGAATGGGACGGCTAGTGGTGAAATCAGTGAGCCCAGTGCCATCCTAACAAACGGTCTCCCGCACTCGGACGAGCCTCTGACGGCCCCGCCGACCAACGAGGATCAGAGATCGACAACCGCGGACCTCCCACCTCAGTCGGAGTCGACTTTTCTGGATGCGGCAATCGACGGAACGCTGCGAATATGGGATCGCCGAATGCCAACAGCTGTCGCAACGATCCTACCTTATGGTGGCACTCCGCCATGGTGCACTGGAGCATGTTGGAGCCCCGATGGCAATTTCTTCTATGCGGGACGCAGAATCAGCACAGTCGAGGAGTATTCAATACACCATCTGGGTAGCAAGCGATCCGAGCCCAATCGTACTTTCAAGTTTCAGAACGGCAGTGGACCGGTCTATGCGGTGAGAGCGATGCCAAATAAGAAGCATCTCGTATGGTAAGTCGCCCGAGGACATTCACCACCGTTACTCCCGCAGCTAAACGAACTTGCAGTGCTTCGCACGACATCCTGCGCATATACGATCTCAAACAAGCCGAAACGAAGCACAAGACAGTCCCCTTCACCATCGTTCCAGGCCACCGTGGAGGTGTCATCTCTTCCGTCTACATCGATCCCTCTTGTCGATTCATGCTCTCAGCTGCTGGTAATCGCGGATGGGAGGGAAATACCACAGAGGTATTGCTAGGGTACGAAATTGGCTTTCAGGATGAAAAGGGCATTTGGCATAGATGACGACGCGATGACAGTCAGAGAATGTGAGGCATAGTGTTGGCGTGGGCGCATCGGATGTGGCTTTATTATTAAGATACCCAATTTTGCGTGCGTGTAGGTGTTGGGACAGATTTTGTTTCGATGGGAGTACAAGTCTTGTATAAATGGACACCAGGAGGAATCTTTGCACGTTTTGGAGATTGATTCCTGCAAGTATTCAATAGGCGGGCCAGTGGGAAATTTACTTCGAGATGGCGGCCTTCCCATTTGTGTCTGTGAAGACGCACGTCACGTGTACCGTAGGTACCCTGGCAATTCTGGGTCCGGCTTTCCATCCTGACTTCCTCCGTCGAACTTTCCCCGAAACATCTTCCACATGGAAATGGATTCCCATCTCATCGTCCGACTTCCGCCGATGTCCCCCCGCCATGAATGCATCAATTAATCCTTTCGATTTCAAACAAACGGAGATTCCTTCGTCCCTGGGACGCCTCAGTTTGGCCGCAATGGAACCTTCATCTCCCGGATCAAACAAACCACGGCACCGTCTGAGGGAATCTTGGGCGCAAGCACTCAGGTAGCCTCAGAACGAGCCCTTCCGCCGACGACGATCCAACTTAAGTGGCTACAGGCTCTCCGGTCTATACACCCCGGGCCTGCTCTTTTAATGCCATCGAGACGAACAACAACCACGCTCTCGGCAGTGAGAAACAGGCAGTATCACAAGCACGCTCATCTCATTGTAGTCTGGAGCTATCCCGTCATTCATGACTAGATATCTGACTGGACAATTTTGAATTCCACGGGTGGGGGGAGCTCTGGATTTGGGATTGTGTTATAAGCGCTCCGCTCGCGGCGAGCGCTCTGGGCTTCTTGGATTGTACAGATTCTGGGTTCCGCTGGCATGGGTCGGGTCGAATCGAATCGAACCACGTCAATATGAAGGTTGTTGGATATGGATGTTCGGCTGTGCACTGCTGAGTTGATCAGCACGGTTTCAAGCAATAACACGTGTGTAGTACAAGGGACTTCGACTACTATTTGCATGGTCTATGTGACGGGGACTGAGACATCCACTGCATCGACAAGATACATCACAGCGCCTTTCGTGGGAACCGAAAAGCTACCGACGGACTATGCAACTTTCACCCGGACTATGGCAACCAAAACCACGAGTACGACAGCAGCGACTTCCATCCGGAATACAACCTCTACGATAGGGTCAATTTCCTCGTCGATAAACACTACTTCCACGCTTTCGGCTTCTGCCTCACCCAGCTGATCGCCCACAGGCTCGACAAGCACTACAGCTCTCCGCTCAACAGCAGCCAGCTCCAACTCTTCCGGTAGCAAAATTACTTCTCCTGGTACGACGCTGAGCTCCGGCACATTCATGGGCACAGATATGACTCCGCCATCGACTTCGTCTCGAGATGCAGACCCTATGACATCCGCAGTGGGATCTAGTTCGAGCGGAAGCAGGTCTGCCCTGTCGTGCGTTTCTACATGCTCCATAGCGAGCTCAAACAAACCAACCGCATCTAGCTTTGCCGCCTCTAGCCTCTAGTCGAGAAGCGGTTCGACCAGCAACTCAAGTACTCACTCCTTCGACGAGCTTCACCTCGGCCAGCACTCCCTCGACCAGCTCGTTCGCCACAAGCTTTTCCCAAACCAGGCCTCCTTCGGCGGTCAATCTTTCGGTACCCAATTCTTCAAGTACCTCAGCGATCTCTTATTACACCCATCACCAGCATCACAAGCGTCCTCGGTCCATTCTCGACAACGACCCTTCCATCAAATCCAGGCTGCACGTCATATTTGACCAGTAACGTGACTTCTACGTCTTAGAGGAACTTCTTCCTCGTCGGCCATCTCGAAACCAGGTCCCTCCAGGACGAGGACGGCTGGCATGACGAGTATCTGGAATCGTTCCATCATCAGGCATGAGTAGCTCATTACAGGCCAATTCGATGACTTCTCGTAGTCGAAGTAGGAGGGGCAACAGAGGAAAGCCACCGCGCACCCCACAAAGATCTCTATTTCTGCCGCAGCTAGTAGCTCGACCTTCCCAAGCATGTACCTTACCACAACCTCCGTGATGTCTCTTTGATCGACGAGCGGCTTCTGTCCGGCCTACGAGAACCAAACGCTCACCATCCTATCATGTGGGAGCCAACACCAAGTCAGATGTGGCTACGACTTTTCGGGAGTCCAAATGTGAAAACCCGTTGCCATCAGACGTGAATCTTCCGCGAAACCCCCATCAGAAGCCTCCTGTATGGCTACATGTGACGGTCTTGCTTCCTGCCTTGCAACCAACGTGTCACCCAGCGGTTGTCAGTACTTTTTCTAGCGTGGTTGGTCTGGTACTTGTGTCTGGAGATCTCGCTTTGCTCAAGACGACCCCGAACATCACTGTTACCAGTTCTGTCTGCTCAGCAGGGCAGAGGCGCCAACAATGGTCTTCGAGATGGCCACTCAAGACGACCCGAACATCACTGTTACCAGTTCTGTCTGCTTAGCAGGGCAGAGGCGCCAACGATGATCTTCGAGATGGCCACGATGACTCCACTTACGCGTGCTTGCCCGACTGTTGTGAGGTCTGTCCATGCTGTATAGCGCTATCTACTATTTGAAAAGCAATGTCTAAAGTCGCAGGTTTATGGCAACAAAATACGTGAGATATCTGTAAGTACCCTCTCCCGTCTGGCTTACACATTGAACCAATGCAAAGGCTGACACTTCGAACAGGAAGCGCTGAACTCGACAGAAGGAATCCTTCGATGCACTGGCCCGTTCGAAGAGTGCGTCTCAATTCGAAATGATACAAGATCTACTGGGCAGGAACAGCTCTGAATGTCTTCAAGATTGTCTGGTCCAACAACAATCGACGAGTTCCGTCGGATGTCCAAGAATCGTAAGCGTCACGACACAAGTAAGACATCTTTTCTGAACTCTTACTGCATCATCTGAAATCCTTTCTTTTCTCTCAGCATTTCTGTCGCTCGTAGTATGGAAGACACTGGATGGAATCAGGTCTCTCTAGTCGATTTCACTGTGCTACTACAACACCAAATACCTCGTCCAGTTGACCATGCTGAAGAGCGATAGTGAGACTGCCTTTACGCCTGCGAACCAGCTTGGAAGTGTCTCAAGTTGTTGTTCTGTCTAGATGTTTCTGCAGGAAGTTTCGAACTGATTCCGTCCGGATCGGGAAAACTTCACTTTTCACATGCACTCGAATTTCGCTCGTGCCGAAGTTCTGCCGGAGCCCCTCGCTTCTTCAAAGGCCGCTTGACCTCTCCAAACCAACCTCCAACAACCACGCCACCGCTTCGCCCGTCAGTTTGCCTGCTGCCGCGCGCTTTGCGGAACCACCTTGCTAACATCGAATATGTGTAGATCCATCATCATGCCGAGCTACAGAAATGTATGCGTGTCCATCCACGACGTCGCCGGTGAGAAGCTTGAAGAATTCGGCTTCCGCAAGTACGAGCGCCACCATGAAGCAAGCTGCTATATCGAATCGGTCGCCGGCCGCCGGTTCCAAATCGTCATCTGCCTCGACAAGATGCCCTTCCGCGCCGTCGAAGAGCCCGATTACGACTGGCACCTCCTCGCCACCCTTCGTCTAGACGGGCGCTTGACACCAGAAACGCAGGCCTTGGTGTTCCTCGACAAGAGCCACCCATACTACCCGAGTGACGGCTGTTTTGTGATGGGCGAGAAGAAGGTCGGCACATGTCCTTACACCAACTTCACATGCTTGAACTCTTGAACTGATGCACCATGACACATCATAGGTCTGCGGCTCGGACAATATCGTCCGCACCCACCGGTGGATCTTCCGCGATGTCGGCATCGAGACCCTTCTGGAAGATGTAGAACTAAACAAAGCCGAGATTAGCGAGGAGGAAGAATTGGAGAATGCCCTGCAAGGTATGGGCGCGGATTTGGAAGAGAAGGAAGAGACAGGTTGCGTCGGTAGGATTGAGGTTACCCTGGAGCGCGTTCACCTGGATGGAGCTACGTACTTGGGCCCTGAGAGAGTTTCGTCCGAGCAGGAGGGTTCCGCCACCAGCATGGCTTTCAAGGTATGTTGCTGCAACTGAATTATCATGGATTAAGCTGACTTCTTCGACACAGCCCAGCAGAGAAATCTCCCACACCGCTCAGCTCGATGAGGGAACTCGCTCCCCGACCAAAAGCACGCACTACCTCAAATGGTACCCTTGCACAGCCTTCGAGGCTCCCTTTGCCCGCATCAAATTCTTCTATCGCAACGCACAGGTCCTGCGGAAGTATGGCTTTGCCGGTTTCGAAGACAAGGGTGTCATCCCACGTCGGGCCACTTTCCAAGAACAGATGACGGCCATGAGTCCATTGCAGAGCAAGCGCAGCGCAGAAGATGCTGAGCAAGAGGGGGATAGTCTGTCGAGAAAGAAGGCTAATACGGCTATTGAGTTGCGTGATGTTGCGAGCAGCGCTCTGCGCACGGCCGAAGCGGATTCGGATGAAGATGATGAGGAGGAGGACGACAGTGCCGACGACCTGCCCACTTTTTCAGAAGATGAGGACGAGATGGAAGACGACAAGGAGAATCTTCCCCAGGCACAGCCTCAGTCCGCAGTGTGACCAGCCAGACTCTGTTGAGGACGATGATGAAGTTCTCTGATGGAATACACATGATCATGGTAACAGGATGAGCAAAGGGCTGTCAAACTCTTAAGCTGCAGTGGGGATGCTTTCTTGGAAGGCTCGTCATCTGTGGACCGCGACTGAGAGCGAGCTCCTAAAACTTGACTTCACGCCGAGCTTCGAAGTGACAGGATACGGCGGACTTGACTTGAAGGAGGCTGCATTCAGGTCGTCAGAGCAGACTCTGACACGATACCACAATTGTCAAATCGAAACTCCTCTACAACTTTACCCTCATCTCGCTGACGATCTTCCTAACCACACCATCCAACTCCTCCCCGCTCAACCCCAACTCCCCCATGGCCAAATCACTGCCCTTACTCTCCTCCCAATTCGCATCCACCGTCCCCAAATACCAAACCAAATTCTCCACCGCCTCCGAATCCCCCTGATCAGCCTTGGCCTTTTCCTGCCGCACATATGCCTCCCCCTCCAACCTCTGAACCTCCCACTGGGCACCCGTAGCCCTCTCAAACGAAGAAATTACCTCTCTTTGCGAAACCAGAAAAGACTGAATATAAAGCACGCGATTCGCCGTGCTGTCCGGCCGCTGGAGGATCCTGCACGTAGCCTCTCCAATCTGCCGCAACGTACTGAGGGAGAATTTCGTCTCCCCATCATCCAAGATCTCCGCCCGTCGCGCGTGCGGATAGACGTGTAGGAATTGCAAATCCCGGTCGGAAAAGAAATGCCCGCAGACTAGACTCGTCCAGGTGAAAATCGTCGGGTTCTCGCGTGATAGTGTCTTCAGATACTCCCGCAATTCCGTTTTGGCCTGGTACAGCGGCACCAGAGCCTGCGTTAGGGGGGACGAGGAATCGCAGCTCCCGAAATCTGCCGGGATGAAGCGCTTCGGCCGTCCATCGCCGGCGCTGGCTCGCACGCACGCCTCCGCGAGGCGTTTCTGCAGAGCAGTCTCGCTGCCCTTGATACTGACGATGACGGCGTCCTTGTCGGCGAGGATGGGGACCAGTTCTTCGACGGAGAAGGCGTCGGAGACGGTGATTTGGTTGGGGTAGGAGGAAGGGGAGCGGGAGGATTGCCGTTTGAGGATGGTGACGTGGAAGCCGGTTTCGATGAGGGAGTGTAGGATTGAAGGGCCGAGTTTTCCGTCTGCGCCGAGGAGGACGACGTTGGAGATGCTGCTCTTGGTGGTGGTGGTGGTGGGAGACATGGTGGAGAGAAGCTTTCTGGACTCTCTCCGTTTCAGTGCTGGAGGGGGGGACTTGTATTTCCGATGTTCTGGTAGGAAGCAGAAAAGAGGCCTTTTCTTTTTCTTTTCTTCTTTTTTGCTTGGAATGATCGTCTTTGCTCTTGAGTTGGAGCCGAATTTGTTTTCCTGAGGTGTGTATGTCAGATGGAAACGTGAAGTTGAGTCATGTCAGACTATGTCAGACAAGGCTGAAGTTGTTGAGATGATTCATCAAGAAACGCACAATACTCCACCGAAAAGGCAATGTAAGCTGCTGGTCCACCTTGTAGTTATCTCGCTTTGCACCAAGCTCGACTAAACCTATGCCTATTGAATCTCCTCTTGTCGAGGAGTCGTTGCAGCGCAGAGAGATGTATTCTTAGAGACAGACGCAAAGATGCCCGAACGCTCGCGGAACACTGCCGCCGTCTCAAGCAGTAAGTTACATATACGATCTTCCATCTTCAAATCTTGCTTATTCAGCATCGTTGGTCTAGTGGTTAGGATTATCGCCTTCCAAGCGATAGGGCGGGGTTCGATTCCCCGACGATGCAGTTCATTTTTGCTCAAGAAGCCATTGAAATAGAGGAGAGGGTGCTGAGAGGAAGATGTTCCTTTTTTTTTTGGAAGTTGTAGCGTTGGAATCTCGGGATGAGGAGTTTGAGACGGCAACTTTGGATTATTTTTGACGTGGATAGATAGTGTTGGTGGGGCTTGGGTTTTGGCTTCTTGGAAGAGAATGTCGAGTCGAGGTGATGAGGAATCAAGGAGCATGTTAAAAAAGTTGCACGAGTAAAATTGCACCAGTGAAATTGCCACGTTTTTGGTATTTTCACAAGACTACGGGATTGTGGTGATCAAGAGTGAAGGGCGAGGACCTAATTCCTCACTCGATGCACGACACCGCAGCCGGAATGAGAAACGTCAAAACTGAGAATGTCCAGTATTCCATCAATCCATCTACATTCTATCAAACTCGCTCATGCAACATGCAAACTCATCGTCCCACAACTTTCATGTCCAAGGTTGTTTTTTTCAAGAAGTACCAGAGCAGCCGACAAAGTCGTTACCGCTAGCACCGGTATGCGTGATGGCACCGGCGTACTCGCCATCACTATTGAAGACAACACGGTCGGCACCGGGAGAGCCTGCGAATACACATAAACAAGAAAAAATCAGTAGAGCCCATCCATTTCCGAGGAGTCTCGGATGCACGTTCGGTACTACTCACCACCGGTGTAGACACCGCTCTCTTCGATGGGGAATTCCTGGTATGGTCCGCTCACGGGGAAGTCGAAGCCCTCGTAGTTGTTGTACGTGTGTGGGTAGTCGTCCGATCCGACTTGCTCGCCCGAAGCGTAGTAGTTGTAGCCTTGGTTCAGAGCGTCGTTGACTTGGTCGGAGGAGTAGTAGTTGTTGCCGCAGGTGGTGCTGGATTGGCGGGTCTCGAGATCGGACGAGGCGGTCGGGAGGGCGATGGCGCTGGCTGCGAAGAGCACAGCCGAGGACAGGAGGGAGAAGCGCATGTTGACTGTCGGGGGGAAGAGAATGTAGTTTTGAGCGAGTGTGTGGTCTTCTTTTGCGGCTTCTGTCCTGGTCTGCTTTTGCGAAAGAGATGTAGGAGACGGTTCGACATACTTATACCTCCCCAAACCCTCTCACGGGATCCAATGTCTTTGCGTCGGCTACACAAGTCTCATACACCAGTACAACGAACGAATCGTAGTACCCCAACAACTTCAGTCTGCAGTACGACGATCATTCGCCTTGAAACCGACATTAACGCATCTCCTCGTCGCAACCCAAGGCATGAAGATTCGGGACATATGTTGCAATAGGAAGGTCGCGCTGCCTTGATTTGTTCAAGTACGGAGCTAGCTGCGTCGTTCTGATAGAAGATAGGCCAAAGAAATTGCTCCAAAGAGGCACATGGTCTTATTACTTCGCTCTGCAAGGCACAAGGTACAGTAAGTTCGTGACTGCGGGAACGAATCGAAGATGCATAAGCTGACGAAGCTGCGAAATGCTTATTTGCTGTCGGTGTCCAGTGAGAGTGGCAAGCAGAGTGGCCTCGTTGGTCCTTCGTCCAGTGAGAGTGAGGAAGTCGGATGTTGGAGGGACTTTGTGTTCTCAGCCTAGAGGATTTAGCGTTGTAGATCTTCTAGGCTGATCTTGGAAGGAGCATCCCTACGAGTTAAATCCTCCGTCTTCAGTTCCATTTGAGGCTCTAAGCCTGGCTTGCGTATCGCTCGGACACTACGAGCGTCAATTGGGTCAGCTTGTCGTGTCGTGGAGGGGCTTGGTGGTTGAGCGATCTGCCTCGCTTGCGAAGGTGCCATGTAAATTCGGCCCACTTGGTAATGGAAACGCTGTATCGCCCTTGCGTTACCTTTGCGTTATTGACGGTAGTGTTGTACGCAGCGTACTTGGGCTCTTTCGACCTCGACTTCTATATGTCTTGAGCCGGTACGGCTGTGTGGTAGGAGATAGCCAAGTGGATCGACGAATATAGAGCGAGATATTGACGATAGTTCGTGTGCAAGCGATTTGCAGGCTCTTGAAGTCCATGTTGATGGATTGTATATGCGACCATTGCACACATTAAGGTCGAGATACTTTCAGATGCCTTATAACGTTGCTGTGCCGCATCTCAAGGCTGCTTTCGAATCCTTCGGGTGTTGTTGTCCACGTGAAGCTCCGATTCGAGGATGCCGTTATTGTTGTAAATGACCTAGCTGACGATTACAAGAAATTAGCTCCCCTCCTTTGCAGTCACCTACGGACGGGACCTCAGGTTTTCCACACGCTCCGCACGTGCTCTCATCAGATGCCTGGAAGCATGCCGTGTTGCTCAGCGGTTCGCTCACCTGGCCGGCAAACCATGTTTCACTTGGCGTGGAGGCAAACTGCAACTCGGAGTTGCCGTCGGTGATTTTACTCCAATCGGCTCATGATGCAATGAGCAGCACCTCAAAGCAAGAGCTCATGTGCGATGGAAACGCGTACCTGCACGAAGCTCAGAAAGTTTCGGGACCAATACCAGAGCCTGCTTCATTTTTCGACTGACCATCCAAACAACTACTCACTCAAGCAGTAAAAGCAAGCGACGATTCCTCGCCTCGACATCCAACGCCAGCAAGATGCCAGGACTCATTGCAGACAATGTCAAGCACCATCACTCCTTCGCTTGCCTCCAAGCCTTTTTCCATGGGGAGAAAACGCCCGTGAATGCATTAGACGCCTTCTGCGAGCCGATAGAGAACAAGTGGATGACGACGCAGGACAGCGGAGAGGTCGAAGAGGAGCTGAACATGTCATGGAGGGGCCTCTTGAGCCAGGCAATGAACACCTCGTTCAAAGATCCAGCGCGGCAAAAGCTTGTAGACTTCGTGCATAGTCTGCGAAAGAGACCGAATCTGGCGAAGGATGGACAAGTATGTGAGGTGCAGGGGATGACTGTATGGCGAGATCTTCCAACCTTTGGCTATAAAGTGCGAGATGCCTGGAATACGCGTGAGTACTGGGAGTGAGTTTTGGGGTCCTGTTCTATCAAGCTGATATGGTCGATGGCAGCTGCCGGGCAGAACAGCGATCAGCACAGCAAAGACCACTGGATCAACTTGAACGCCTTCACGGCCGCGCTTCTCGCATCGGATCCGAATGACAGCTTGGATCTCTCCTTGTTTGGCCTATGGTCTACCCGCATGGCTCTCGAGGAATCACACAAGGCTCCGGATGCAGTCGTTGCTGCGGCAGCTGCATGGTTTGCCTTTGCTGGCCCTTCGATATGGAAGTTCTCCCAGCAAGGGAAGAGCTTCGACGGCAAAGTAGCGAAGCCGGGTTCTGCGTTTAGCGAGCGCGAGTGGAGAGGGTTCAGTCAGGAGCGCTGGATAGCATGGCAGGACAAGTTTGGCGCGGTGGAAGGACAACTGTCGGAGGCGAGCGCCAAAGAACTCGTGGCAGAAGCAAGGAAGGCGATGGCTGAGGCGAAGTAGAGCAGTCGACGAGCAGGACCAGGGTTGATATTCGATAGTAGCCAAGCAACTGGAAGGGAGCGGGTATTTTCAACCACAACGTAGTAGTAAGGCAGGAACAGCGGTTCTACGGGTTGGTTGGTGTCCAACGGTTAGTGATGAAACAAGCGCCGCGCTTCAGCCCAGAAAGTCGTTTCAGCATCCCGAGTATGCCCCTGCAGCTGAAGGATGAGTTGACGCCTCACCAGCACACAGCGCGCTCGTGAAGGTGGGACCAGGCGTTCTGGCGGTCGAAAGGCGGACGACAGAGCGAATGGTTCGATGGGTTGGTTAGGTGATGAGACGACGGACCGTTGGCGGAGAGCGGAGAGCGGAGAGCGGAGAGCGGAGAGGGGAGAGAGAGACCTGGTTCGATTGACTTTTGAACTCCACAGCGTTGTATGATGAAAGGGGGAAGACGATGGTAGAGCCGTTGAATGCGCGCGTGGTTGCCGGCGTTTGAGGATCACAGATGTAGCCAGCTGTGATGAGCGTGCTGGCAAGAGGTGAGCGTTCTAGACCAACTCTCCCGGATGCTGCTTTGCTTTGCTTTGCTTTGCTTTGCACTTCTAGCTTCAAGTTCTTGGTGGGAAGAATCGAGGGACGCGTCTTCCCTGCCAAGCTCGGACGCTAAGGGACAGGAGCGGGCGGCAGGACAATGAACTGCCCCGTTTCGCACTGCCACCGACAACCTGTGAGCTCCTGTGCCTGACACCCTCGACTACCTACCTTACACCCTCCCGCCGACCACCAATTCCACCACTACTGCCGCCCACACCCTCACCGTCGCTGCATTCCGCCGCCCTGAGAGCCTCGCCGCCTCGGCATTCCGCTCCTTTTCGTGCGCCCAACACCACCACCTCGAATCACCACAACCACCCACCACCAGCCAGGTGCTGCTGTATCTACCACCTGCGACGACTCCACTGCCTCACCAGCCGACCAAATTCACCTTCGTAACAACACATACAGACTTCCAGCCGGCGCGACTCCGCGATTCGGCCTCCTCCCTGCGCGCGCGCGCCCACAGCCACCGACCTCTCCCGTTATTGTCACTCGCTTAAACAGTATCTTTCCGTCCCTACGACTTTGTAATTCATGCCCGCCTTCGGCAGCAATCATACCGCTTCTCCCGAACTGCAGAAGATGGAGATGGGCCACTCCCGCTACGGCGGCGGAAAAAGATTCTCCATTGGAAACATTGTCGGAGACCCTTTCTGGCTGGGCACGATAGGCATTGCCATTGTGAGTCTATACACCTGCGCAAGAGCACTGCTTCGACATACAACTAACACGCGACAGTCCGGCTGGCTCATTGCCTTCATCAGCTCCATCATCGCCGACATCTCCCAGGATTACCCAAACTACTCGTGGTGGTGCTTGGTATACATGCTCTTCTGCATTGTCGGCGTCATCTTTGTCGTTGGCGCCGATGCCGTCTTCACCTACCATGTCGGTATCGCGGCCTACCTCTCCGCCGGTCTGGTCTTCACCACTTCCTCTGTCAACTCGCTAATCTACTACCCGGATGCCGCCAAAGAGGCAGCAGCCGCAGGCTTTATTTTGCTTTCAATCGTCGCGGTATGTGCACACGCGTGCATTCCTCTCTCAGACACATACTAACGCGCCAGTCCAGATCATCTGGATGTTCTACTTCGGCTCTCAGCCCCAGGCAAGCCACCGTCAGACGCTCGATTCGTTCGCCTTGCACAAGGACCGTGCACCGAGTCGCAATAGTAGGAATATGCGACAGTCGTATCGTCCAGAGACCACGCACTCTGCAGGTCAGCCGCAAATGTACAATTCGAATCACCTCGCCGGTTTTGAGACCGCTTCGCCTGTTACCGGATACCACGGCGGACCTGCAGGCGCATCGAGCCGCCAAAGCGCAGCGCAGCTCCCGGGACAGCAATTGCACACTCAGCCCAGCGGTGCTCTTACAATAGGCACTAACGGTGCTTCGGCAACGGGAGGTCCTACGCACGACAGCTCGATCATCGCACCTCCGACCGAGTACCCATACCGCGCCAAGGCCATCTACAGCTACGAGGCCAACCCCGACGACGCCAACGAGATCTCCTTCACCAAGCACGAAATCCTGGAAGTTAGCGACGTCTCAGGGAGATGGTGGCAGGCGAAGAAAGAAAATGGCGAGACTGGTATTGCTCCGTCGAATTATCTCATTCTGTTGTGAGATTCTCTCGGCGCGGCAAAGGAAATGGCACATCATATGAATTGAACGAGAAACAGCGCCGGCACGCTCCAGGTCAACAAGGGGGAAACGCGACAGACAACTTCAGCAAGAATGCTCATGCTATACATGCGGAACGGCCGGTGTCATCCATGAGTCCCGAAGGCTTATCACGGGAAGCGGTTTTCCTTTCGGTACGCACTCGACGGATGGACCTACACATATGGGTGAACAATGGCAGGGATAGCGAGCGAGGCACACTGACCCGAAAAAGGACGGAACGGAACGGAAGGCACGGGCGCTTTCTCTTTCCTTTTTTGGGGGGGTTTGATTTTGGCGATGGAATTGCGGGTGCTAAGTCTCATGATGGGAAACGGGAGGGCTGGAGAAGTCCGGAGGATGGAATGTGTTTCCGGACTTTCCCAATTAGTGTTTGATGGAAAGCGACGATACCAGTTACTGTGGCCCTTTTGTCGGGCAATGTTTTGTTTTCCTGTTGAAGATGGCTGGGCGCTGAGGAAAGTGTGGGCGAAGGAAGAACAAGGTAGAAAGGGTATGACCTGTAAAAGAGTGACTTGAGATTTCACATGTGTGTTGGATGGTTGATGAGGCTTGCCTGTTCAGTTGGACAGCTTTATACAATGTATGTGAGAGCTGATTGACGAGTCGAAGCTTATGATACTTCAATTTGGTGTACTTTAAGTGACGTTCTACACATTCTCGCATCCATCCCTTCCTCATCCTCTTTCGTAAGATGATGACAAGTCAGGAGACGATGTCATCATCATCGTACACATGCGTGTGTTGTGTGTGTGTGTGTGTGTGTGTGTGTGTGTGTGTTATATATATCTATTGGGAGATTCCAATAACACCACAAGCGGGACGAGGACCGGCGTTGCCCGTCTTCTTGCTCTCCTCGTTCTCGCCCTTGCCGAGATCGTCGGTGCCGGCGTGCACGACAATGGTGCGGCCGAGCACGCTCTCCGGCCCGATGAGCTTGACGAACTTGTCGGCGACGGAGCCCTTGGCGTTGCCCTGGCCGTCGGTCTTGAAGTTTCCGAGGTCGCCGACGTGGCGCTCGCTGTCCGAGGGGGCGCCGTGGGTTTTGTTGTGCGGGTTGACTGTGGAAGGGAGAATTCGACGTTAGAGGGAGATGGAGAAGGAGGAAGGGGGAGGGGGAAAGGGAGGGGGCCTTACAGTGAGGACCAGCACTGGTGCAGCCATTGGTGTTGTCACCGAAAGCGTGGACGTGCATTCCACGCTCGGCGTTGGCGTCGTGGCCGGTGATGTCCCAGGAGATGGTGGTGTCGGCACCCTCGGATGCCTGCTCGAAGGTCACGGTGCCTTTGACGTTGGAGTCACCGCGGAGAACTGCGACTGTGGGAGCGACATGCTCGTTAGCATGATCTTCTTGAAGTGGTGAGGTATCCTCATCATCGCCCCGATGCACATCTCATGTGGTGTGATGAGGAAGAGGAAATCCATCAAGGTGTCTGCGCCACGACGTTCAACTCTTCGAATGGCCCCGTCGGCCACACCTTGATGACTTCGCTGCCATCAAATGAGAACAGAACTCGGAGGTCATCCGCTCAGCGGAAAACATGCTCATTCTTGCTGAACCAGCTCCACTCGGGCGAATCAGACATCCCAGACTCCCTAGTGATGAGTTACGTACCTGCCTTAACCATTGTGGCGGTGTTGTCGGTATATGAGAACTTGGTTTGTATTTGTTTGATCGTTCTTCTGTTGATGGATCTGTTCTAAGAGATGCTGGAGAAGGAGCAAAAGATTGAGGTGAGAGAGTGGGAGGACTCATGTCGAGTCGCTGCCCCGCAATGGTGGGGCTGACGTCAAAACCTAAGTCCGATTACGGGTCCAGCGTGGGTGGAAAACGTAAACGCAGCAGTGAGTTGCTCGCCGTGCTTGCTCACGCCTTCGCTCCTACGCCGGCGAATGCCCGAAACGCCGATTGTTTTGAAACTAGAAAGCGCCAGAAGATACCCAGTGAAGCTGCCAAGCTTGTTAACGCAGAGCGGATACGTCTACGGCGAGGCAAGGAAAGAGAAAGAATATCAGCTCTGGGAGTCATGTCAAATTTCTTCTAGCCCATCATGCATTCTCATCGTTACAGCGCTATTCAATACATTTTATGCTCCAATCTTCTGCTTCAAAATGTCCTTGAGTGTGACGGCATCGGCGGCAAACTTGCTGATACCTTCGGACAGCTTGTGCACCGCCATGGTGTCCTCGTTGAAGTCGAAGCGGAAGGCAGCCTCGTCGTTGAGGTAGCTCTTCTTCTCAATGTTGAGCGCTGATGCGTCCTCGGACTTGAGCTTCTGGGGGACGGGATCTTGGCTGTTGTAGAGCTGCTCCAGGAGGTTGGGCGCAATGGTCAGGTAGTCGCAGCCGGCGAGCTCCGTGATCTCGCCAATGTTTCGGAAGGAAGCTCCCATGACGATGGTCTTGTAGCCAAACTTCTTGTAGTAGTTGAAGATCTGCTGTACGGACTTGACACCAGGGTCGTTCTCCTTGGCGTACTCCTGCTTGGTGTTGGCCTTGTACCAGTCGAGGATACGGCCGACGAATGGGGAGATGAGGAAGGCACCGGCCTCAGCAGCTGCAATGGCCTGGACCAGGGAGAACATGAGGGTCAGGTTGCAGTTGATGCCGTGCTTAGTCTGGAGCTCGTGGGCGGCCTGGATACCCTCCCATGTCGACGCTAGCTTGATGAGGACGCGAGACTTGTCAATGCCCTGGTCCTTGTACAGCTGTTGCAGTTGTCAGTCTCTTGATCGTGCCCATTCATGTGCTAGCTCGTGTTGACTCACTTCGATGATGTGGAGAGCCTTCTCGATGGAGGCCTTCTTGTCGAAGGAAAATTTTGCGTCGACCTCGGTGGAAACCTTGCCTGGGACAATCTTCAAGATCTCCTTTCCGAACTGCACAAGCAGATTGTCAAGAGTGGCGTCGACCTTCTCATCCTCGGTGCTACCGTGCTTCTTTCCGTACTCGACCGCATCGTCGATGAGCTTGGCGTACTCGGGCTTCTTGGAGGCGGCGAGGATCAAGGATGGGTTGGTGGTGGCATCTTGAGGCTTGTATTTGCCAATGGTGGCGAAGTCACCAGAGTCGCAGACGACGGTCTGTTCAGTAGCGGAGCCTCAATCAGCTTCGTTCTCCTTTCAAATGCCGATCCCAGAGGCTGTACCTCGAGCATGGATGGGGACTTACGGTACCGGTGGCCTTGAGCTGGTCGAGAGAGGAAGACATGGTGACGATTGTGTTGTGCGAGGTGATTCTGGTCGCGACGAGGGTTGTTATGGAATCGCGGTGGATTGAAAGAGTAAGAAACTTTTCCAGAGAGAGCCTTGGAAGTGTTGAGAAAGCGATAGAGGGGTCTAAAACGGCCAGGGACCACCCTCAGTCACCCGCCACGTGCACCTCCACTGTGACGTACCTCCGTGTACCTCCAGATCGCCTCACCGTGCGTGCACCTTACAAAGCATCCCGTCGACCAAGCATATCAATCCCAGTCTTCCGACGGCCATTGCTCTTCTCGACCACGGTCTCGTCCACATGCACGCCTCGAGTCTATCGACGTGCATTCTTCTGATTGCCGTACCATATTTGCTTTGCTAGAGGCGGGATGAGTATCTCCGGCGCTGCGCGAAGCCCATATCTGTGGCTGCTCATCGACGCGGATAGCTCGGACAGAAATTGTTTTTCCATATGAGTCCTCGGGCCGCAGGGATACGATACGCTTCGCACCCTTCCTCCCGTCGTCGGCGATACCTTGGCGCAGTCGTCAGGTCATTGCTAAGATAGTTTTGGCCTCTCAGGCTCACTGCCATCCGGTGCTAGCCTTGCGGCTTCGGAAAGCTGGGCCGAGTTTCAGGTCAGCTTCAGCCATCGGTGAGGGGTTCTCAATGACAACAACATGTCGATGTTCTGTAGACCAGCAACAGGCGTCGTGGAGTCGACGACATCGAGATGCCATCTTGACCGGTCGACGAGGCGAGGCGAGGCGAGGCAGGTAAGCCGCCTGCATCTCGCACCGTCTTCTCTCCGATCGCTGGGCAATGGGCCATGGAGATCTCCTGCCTTCGCCCCCACAACCCGATAGCGGCTCTGCACTGCATTCTCTTGCAACACGCGCTCACTTCGTTGCTTCCTGATGGCCTCGCCACACCCCAACACCCGCTCGGACTCCTGGTCGAGCCTTTCGCCCACCTCTGACTTCTACTATCGACCATCTGGAGAGATCGTGAGTGGCTCATACCGCATCGTCAGTATCTTGCCTGGCCGATATGACGACCCAATACAATGCCGCCTTCGGGAGGTGCCCTTGAAGGACACCAGCGCTCGTTTCATTGCGCTCTCGTATTGCTGGAATAGCTCTCAGGCAGACCAACTCATCTGGTGCGACGGAAGACCTCTGGAAGTAACGGCCAACCTGTTCGCCGCTCTTCGAAATGCACGAGCTTCCAACTCCCCTGTCGACTTATGGATTGACCAGATCTGTGTCGACCAGACTAATATCATCGGTAAGTGCTTCTTGCCATTCTTGGCCAGTCCTAGGTACGTTCGCTGAAAGCCCTCACGACCGTAACGACCAGGTGAGCAAGATGGGTGCGATATTCAGAGCCGCCAGCGGCGTAATAGTATGGCTTGGTCAGGAGGCTCCAGGTACAGTAGCCGCGATGGAGCTGCCCAGGAGAGTCAAACGCTTCTGGCCAAGCCTTCACAACAACCCGACCGATCTTACCGATCACGAGAAGACTCCACCTGAATGTCCCAGGTGGGGACAAGGGGCATGGCCGGCGTTCATCACTCTATTAAATAGGCCATGGTTCCGCAGGTTGTGGGTGATACAGGAGGTGGTAACTGCTAAAGACATCATCGTGACTTGCGGTACAGTAAGCAATCTAGAGACGACAGCCTCTCGCTTGCAAGCTGTATACTGACTTCTCCGCCAGTCAACTGCATTCTGGGACGACTTTACCAAACTTGTGCGTGTTGTCGAGACTGTGCATAACTATTCTCTCGGAGCAAATACCATGCTTGGCTCCAAGACGGCCGCGCAGTACATTTCTTTCATGCAGGAACTCAGATCCATCACTCAGCAGGGAACCCAGCAGGCCGTGAAAGATTACGCCAATGAGGACTCCATGGCGCCATACGTTCTCCAGATGGCCAAGGATTGTGAAGCGACGGACCACAGGGACAAGCTCTTCGCGTTCCATCATCTCGTGAGGCTCTGGAACCGGCCAGACTACGCAATGAGCATCGAGATGCTCTACAAGCTCTTTGCAGTGCAGTACTTGCAGAGAATCGCTTACGCCATCTCTGAATTCAGCTGCGACGAGGCCAAGTTGTCTCGGAGGCAGTTGGAATTCATCTGTACTGCAGGCTTGTGCAACCAGAGGCTCAACTTGCCATCGTGGACTCCCGACTGGTCTGTCCCGTGGCAAGCGAGACCCTTATGGCTGGGCGCGAAATGTTATAGTGCGGGAGGTACGGACGTTAAAGAATTCGCGCCCGTAAGAGAAGTCGATTCCAACGGCGACGCCCAATTCCGCTTGCCAGTAGGCGCAAAACTCTTTGATCGGGTGCTTGCTGCTGGAAGCCAAGGTCTCCGTCTGTTGAAGAACGGATCGCAGGATCTCCCGGAGGCACTCCGCTCGTGGCTCTTCCAATCCAAGTCCCTCCTGCACGTCAACCGCAACAGACCGAACATCTACGCGAACGAAAACGAAGCCTTCGCGCGAACTCTCACCGCCGAACAGGACCAGGATGGCAACAAGCTCACGCTCGAAGATTCTATGCAACGGTACGGAGCACTGCTCGAGTTCCTCCGCCAGGCCGATGATCCAGACGCGATGCGTGCGAAGGGAGACGTTGCGGTACAAGAACATAATCGGCTCTATTACTCCGTCGCCAGCTTCTTGCGCGGCAGGGTCTTCTTCCTCACGGAAAAGGGATACTTTGGCCTCGCGCAGGAGGGCGTCGGCTGCGGGGATAGCATTGCCCTCGTGCGTGGTGCTCCGGTGCCTCTGGTCTTGAGACCTGGGCCTGCTACGGGGGAGGAGCAGTCGCACGCATATCGAATGCTTTGCGAGGCATTCGTTCTCGGTATCATGGATGGAGAGGGCTGGAGTGATGAGGCGATTCCCAAGGAAACAGTGACACTTGTCTGAGGCGGGGGACTTCTACCAGTAGTCTCTTGACACGCCAATGATGCTATGTCGAGATTTTTTTTTGGCTATCGCAGCCTGACGTCCGCTCGCGCCTGCTGCACTGGTCGTCGTCGATGATGCGCTGGGCTGCGGAACGCGTAGGACTGATTACCGATTCTCCATTCTGCGACAGGCATGAACCAGCATTACCTCGCTCCCCTTCCCCAAGCAGACGGCTCAACTGCCTCAAACCACGAGCAACGTGGACCATATTTCTAGCCAACGAATGTCCATTTCCGCCGCAGTTCCCCCGCGGACCCCGAGAAGTCTCGGAGCGAAGCGAAGCGAAGCGAAGCAGAAGAAACAAAAAGCACGAAACAGACAGACAGACAGACAGACGGCAGTGGTGGTGGTCGTGAGGCATGCATGCATGCATAGATGGGACTAGAGATTTCCACAACAGCAGCTTAAGGTAGGGTCAAGACAAACTGAATCAGGCAGGACACGTTCGATACGATACGGATCGTGCTTCCCAGGGGAGGGGCGCGCCCGCGCGCCGCAGCTGGGGCTTTCTCAATGCCAGCAGACTGTACTGTCTCGCTGCTACCTTAGCAGTCCTACTTTCGAATTGAATTTGGAAATATCAAGGCGCGGTCAGAAGTTGAGATCTTTTTCCGCAGGGCTGATGATGATGATGATGATGATGATGATGATGATGATGATGATGATGGGGGAGCTCGAAGATGATTCCCATCAGTCCTATCTACGCTGAATTCATTCAGATAAATGAAAAGAAAAGCGTTGAAATGCAATGGGAGAGGAGGGCAGGGCGTCTAGACGGCAGAGCTACTCTCTACGCATAAGACAAATCCATCCCAAGTAAAGTGGAAAAGGAAACAAAAAAAAAGCACATTCCTAACAATCAAGATTGTGTATATATATATTTCTCTCGTTACATAAAGTCATCAAGACCACAACGCTTTTTCGGGGGAAAAAAACACGGGGTGCGAGGAAAACAAGAAAATGAATTTCTTGTCTGATTCTAATCCCTCTTGACCAACGCCACGGGCCCCGCGTACACAAACCGCCCCTGAACCACGTACGTGACCATGGCGACAATGACCACGCCGGTGAAGATGACGGGAGCCCAATTGAAGCTCTCGAGATCCACGGGCGTGGAATTCGGCCAGAAGGTCCAGAAACTGGCAAACGTGGCGTATCCGGCGGCGACGATGTTGATGGCGAGGCCGTACTTGCCCAGGGACCAGCGGGCCTGGGGGAGGGTGAGGGGGTGTCGGATCTTGCGGAGGACGATGCAGGAGATGCAGATGGCGTAGGAGGCCATGAGGGAGGAGAGCTGGAGGCTGAGGATGGCGTTGAAGGCGGCGTTGGAGCCGAGGTTGATGAGGGAGAGGAGGACGGTGCAGGCGAGGGTGAGGAGGGTGGCGTTGACGGGGACGTGCACGGTGTTGTTCATGCGGGAGATCCATCGGGAGCAGGGCAGGCCGCGGTCGCGGGCAAAGGCCCACGCCTGGCGGGCGCAGGAGGCGGTGAAGGAGATGTTGCCGACCATGAGCACGAGGACTGCTACGACGGTGAGGAAGTTGGTGCCGACGTTGGTGTCGGGCATGGCGACTTTGAAGATGTAGAGGAAGGGGTAGCCGGTGGGGTCGTCGAGGGCGTCGTCGACGGAGGGGATGGCGAAGAGGATGGAGACGAGGAAGATGAGGCCGGTGCCGCCGTTGATGTAGAAGGTCCACATCATCGATCGGGGGACCGAGAGACTTGCATCGGAGACTTCTTCGCTCATGTGTGCGGCGGCGTCAGAGCCTGGAAGTATCAGTCAGCAGAACTCGATGATGATGACTTGAGAAAGCCAGTACGTACATCCCAGCGCTGCAATCGCACTGATCTGGCCGACCATCAGACTCAGCGGCATCGTGGACCACCCTCCATCATTCCTGAAGTGGAGAAAGACTTCGCTCGGGGGTGGATGTGGTGCGAGCGTCCATACGACGACAACAACCGCCACAAATCCCATGATATGGAGGACCATGGACAGGTTGTTCAGGACGGGAAAGTATTTGGAAAACCAGACGTTGAAGACTCCCGAGACCACCACCACGGCCATTACGCATAGAGTACTCTGCCAGTTGGGGGCGGTATAGCTTGGATAGTTGACCATGGCCAGACATTGAATGATGGTCCCAGCGAGAAAGAATCCCGAAGCATTGCCGGCCTGATATGACATGGCCGAGAGCCATCCCGTTGTGTAGCTCAGGAACTTCTGACAGCTGTCCGGGGCAAACTCAGAGACCCAGTGATATTGTCCTCCGGATGTTGGCGCCATGGAAGCCATCTCGGCCATGGAAGCAATGATCAAACCAAACCCCGTGATTGTCCAGACGTAGGACCAGAACAAGCCAGCCAGCCCACCGTCCACCAATCCTTGCGTATTCGCCGTGAGCAGGAACTCCCAAGTGGCCATGATGACACAGGTAAAGGACAAGATGGAAAATTGTCTGAAGACCCTCCTCATCTCTTGCTTCTTGCCCATGCGCGACATATCAAACTTGTCGTAGGCCGTCATTTCTCCCGGATCCACCAGGTCCGCATCGAGCCAGTCGTCCAAGGGAGTCGAGTTGTTACGGAAAGGTTTCGCGCTCCGTCTCCTCGAACTCCTCGCGCTGTCGTGGTACATGTCGGATAGTTCTTGCGCATAGCCACGACTGTACTCCTCGGAGACACCCATACCGTCTTCGGTCGCTTTCTGGAGGGCTGGTGGTCAGCGCGACAGGAATGCGAAGAGAGCTGAGGGAGAGGAGGTCATCGATGTGATGCGGAGAGCGGTGGAGGAGGAGGAGGAGAAGGGACATGGACGGGTCCATCACAACCTACCAAGACGTGCACCCGCATTGCGGGATCACAATGCGTGCAAGATTGCACGAGATCTGAAGCTGGTGTTACGACGGGTGCTATTCTACTCCCAACAGCAGCATGAGCAGCGTCGGCTGGGACGAAGCACAGTGAAGGGTCGGCGTCGGCGTCAGCGCTCGACTGCCACTGGCACTGCTAGCCCAGCCCAGCGCAGCGACGTCCGCTTGCGCGTACAGCAATCAGAGGGAAGAAAAGGGCAGCGCTTCATCTCGGGTTGAGGATGCGCAGTTGACGGTGCGGTGTGTCCCTCCCTAGTGTGCTAGTGCTGGAGGCGGGTTCTGTGGGAACTTCGGCTCCGGATGTGCAGGATGACAGGGCCAGCAGCAGATGGGTGCCGGACAGGGGTGTATCGGCGTGGTGCAGCTGCTGGGCGCTCGTTCGGGAAGGGCTGGATGAGGGAGGCATTGGATCGCAGTGCACATGGCATGGTCGGGGACGGGGACGGGACATGCAGCGCTTCCGATGTGTAATCTTTCGGTCGACGTGTAACCGCAGAAGATTCTTGGAGCCATGTGTTCCTGGTCTGGACAGATTCCGGAAGGTCATTGTCGGCGGTGATGGTGGAGTGGTAGTGATGGTGGAGTGGTGATGGAGACACGTGACGACACGTGATGAGGTCGGGAGGAGGAGGTGACGGCCCCTGATTTCAGCTGTCTTCATCTATTTCCTGCGCAACATCATCCACATCTCATGCACGTATCATGCACGTATCATCCACATATCATCCACATACATCTCCCTCCTTCCGCAACCACCATCCTCCCCAATCCTTGCCACGTGCACCCTGGTCCGCGGCCGCTCCTCCGCCAACTCGGCAAGACAAATGTCTCTGCTAGTTGTCTTGCCAAAGTAGTTGTCCTGCTTGTCCTGCTACTAGGGAATTATTGTCGTGCTAGTTTTCCTGCTAGTCGTCCTGCTAGCCTACTGGCTGTTGACCGGATGCTCACCCCACGCTTCGCTTCGCTTCTCCCCATTCTCATCATTGCTGAAACGTACTTGACGATGCTAAGCACGAGGACGGTAGTCAAGGACGTTGGAGAGCAACAACCCAATCTCAATGGGACGGCGCTCCGCAAAACGACAACACAGTCATGTGGTGACAAGACGCCGATCTGCCATGCATCGTCTCCTGCACTTCGTCTGCATTGGCCTCTCTGTGTCTCTCGAATCCAACAGACGACGAGGTGTGACAAGACTTTATCGTCGCTCGGCCGCTCGATAGCACGCCTGGATCCGGATGGCATTCCTTCATCCGGACGATGGACCGGCCACTATCAATCACACTATCCTCTCCCACAAGCCCTGCACACGGCTGCTTGCCCCCGCTCCCCAACCATGCACCGTTGATCTCCCTCTCTCTCTTCACCTGTCTTCATACACTGCACTCCTACAAAGACATGCCGCCGATGCGGCTCTCTAGTCCATCATCGCGTCAATCTCCCAGCAACTCATGAAGCGCCATCATGTCAGCCTACGACGCCATCGATACCTCCAACTGGGCCCCGGGTACGCGCTACTTCACCAAGATCACAGACACAGACCATGCTGGATGGCTCTACATCATCACCTTGCTGTCTTTTGTCTACGCTCTCGTCGCTCTGGCCATCCGCTTCGCTGCCAAGTATGGTATGATGGAAGTGCAACAGCATCCTCGCGTCAGACAGACTGCTGATCTTCCAAGGCATGTACGGACATGACGACTGGGCGCTTCTCGGATCCACCGGCCTCGCCATAGGACAGTATGTATCCGTTCTGGCTGCGCTCAGCAAAGGCCTAGGCAAGAGTCAAACCCTCCTCGGCATTCATCGCTTGCTGGAGCTGCAGCGCGTAAGCATCTTCTTCATCCGAGAAGCTGATCTTGCCGCTGATTCTTTCCAACCCAGTATGCAGCCGCTCACGCCTATCTCTTCGTCCTAGCACATTGCGCCTCCAAGCTCTCAACAGCAGTCCTCACCAAACGACTGTTCGACAATGGATCCCGACGCAACATCTACACCTGTTGGGCACTCATCATATCCAGTCTCTTCTTCGGTTTCGTCGGCATCCTCTGCCTTTCCTCGGCATGCTCCAATCCCTACGCAGACACATGCAGGCACCGAGTAAGTGTATCAATCCCTCCAAAACATCCAAAACATCCAGCTGCTAACTCTCATAACCATCAAACAGTTCGCCCGCTGGCAAATCATCCTGGCAATCGACATCATCACCGAAGTCATGCTCGTAGCGATCCCCCTCACCCTCATCTGCGACATCCTCATCAAGAGATCCGCCAAGATCACCGTCCTCGCCGTCTTCGGCGCCCGTCTCGTCGACATCGTCTTCGCATCGATGAACCTCCACCGCATCGCCCTTCTGGAAGGCACCCACGACAAAGCACTCGCCGTCGTGCCCTCCATGATGTGGACCCAAGCCGAACTCCTCTGGTCCATCGTCTCGGCCTCCCTCCCCTGCCTGAAGACCTTCATGCGTCCCTTCGACAAGATCGACGACGACGGCGGCGGCGTGTGGAACTCCACCCAAGCAAACGGATACCCTTCGACGGGGGCCAGGAGCTGGAGAGTAGGCGGGGATCTGACATGGGATAAGGAATCCGGGATCTTACCCGAGGGGAATTGCAGAAGGGCCGCCGCGGCCTCGACGTCGGGATTCCGTCCGGAGAACGTGAGTCATGATGTCGTTATCAGCCATTTTGTCGACGGGGAGGAGACGCGGAGGAGTTGGGGCAGTCAGGAACATATCATCAAGCAGTCTACGCAGGTGGAAATCACGAGGGAAGGCGGTGGAGGTGGTGGTGGTGTTGGTGGTGGTGGGAGGGACCCGTACGAGATTCCATGAATGAGGATATATATGAGGGCATGAGGGGAAAAAAGGCATGGAATGGGATCTGGAAGACTTTGTATGTATGATTCGTGGGATGGAATTTCTAATTCATGAAAGACGCATCTCGTTTCCTTTTTTTACTCCCCTTCTTTGCTTTCTTTCCTCTCTTCTTTTCTCTGCCTGGGGTCTTCAGAAAGCGGTTTGGGGTAGGATGAAGATTCAATCGATACCTGCAGGCTTCTTCATCAGAATTGCCGCTATGATGTAAATTGAAGAAGTAAGTGTCTTGCGCAAGCTGGGTGAGATCTTGAGTCAACGGGGCGGACTGGGGGACAGCGGGCATTTGGCATGTATCAGATGTGAAGAAGATCTATCTGGAGGGAAATGAATATTGACTCTCGGCCGGCCGGCCGCTCGGCTGCTGCTGATGATGATGATGATGATGATGATGATGATGATGATGGATGGATGGATGAATTGATATGTCTCCTATGTACCTAGCTCTTAGATCACCGCGTTCTTCAAACCTCAGTGAGCTTCAACGAACGAACCTGCTAGCTTTCGGAACAGCCAAATGCGCCGCGCCCTCCTCGCAATTTTATGGAAATGGAAATGCATGTCCTGCTGGAAGAGGGCCGAATAGTTGCGACGAGGCTCTATCCTACATGCATTAGGGACCACCACCGCGTGCCATCACTTCATCATTGGTACTACGGTCCTGAAGCGGGGAAATGGAGGAGGACAGGCAATTGGTTTTTGTTTTTGTTTTTTGTTTTTTCGCAAATTGGGAAAAGGTCTCGAGAGTCGTGGGAACATAAATTCGTCTATTGGATGAAAAGGGGGCCCAGCGTAAAAAGCAAGAGAAAACGTTTGAAAGTCGAGAGAGAAGAAATCACCACCACCACTCCATGATATTCCTTTTATCGATTTCTTATGTACAGCATAATTAAAAAAAAAACCCCAAACCACCACCACCACCACCATCGTCTTGACTATCCACTCTCCACGACCTCCGCAAACCACTGCCTCAGAGCGCCCGCCAGAACATTCGGCAGCTCCTGCACATCCCTCACAATCAGATAATAGCGAAAGGGAAACGTATCCAGGTACTTCTGCATGCGGACTTGCCCGTCCTGGAACTCGGCGGTCTGGAGATCGACAATACTCTGCTTCGTCGTCGTTTCAGGATCCACGACGGAATGCGTGCCCGGCGGCGCCGCCGCCGTGGCATCGACAATGATGAAGACGACCATGATGCGTTCCTCGTGCGCTTGCCGCACGAGCCGACGGATCGCGGCGTGGTTCTGGCAGAGCCCGTCGGAGATGATCAGCTGCAATTGCCAGAGATTGCTCGTGGAGCTGGCGGCTTTCAGCCTCGCGGCGCGGAAGAGCTCGATGGAGCGCTCGAGCAAGGCCCTCACGTCCGTCTTGGACTGCGAGAAGCGGAAATGGCGAACGACTTGCGCCCCGGCGTCCGAGGTGAAGGGCATGCTGAAATCGTGCGCCACGTGCACCGATTCGCCGAACCCGACAATGGCCAGCTCGCCGACTTCCAGCATCGACATGCTCTTCGCCACGAGCGCGAGGGTGTCGAACGCCAGACCTTTCCGCTCGCTCTCGTTCATGGATTCCGAGTCGTCAATGGCCAGCAGGATCTGGTACGAGCGCTTGCTGGGGATCGATCGTCGCATCCAGATCTTGTCGCGCTTGTAGGAAGATGCGATGTACGGGATGATCTTCTTGATGTTCAGCCTCTTGCCCGTGCGGAAGTCGCCGCGCATCTTCGTGGCTTGGGTCGGCTGCAGGATGAGACGAAGGTGCTCGGTGAGGACGATGGCCATGTTGCGTGTGCGGCTTTCGTGGTCAGACCATTCTTGTCGGGCCAGCTCCATGGGCAGCGCTTCCAGGTTGGCTTGCGAGAGATGTGTATTGGTGAGCTGTTCGTCGACATCGTCCACTTCGCTTGGCTCCTCTTCCTCATTGGCATCATCTTCCAGATCCATGTCGACCTCAGTAGGCTGTCCAACGACTGCTTGACTTGACTGAGCTCCAGAGTCCGCGCCCTTGTCCTTGGCACCGGCGCCGGCTTCCGTCTCATCTTCATCCACAGGCTCGGAATGTTCTTTCAGCTGGTCTCGGAGAGGCTCAGAGGTGTCCTGCTCTTCTTGTTCCAGGGGAACAGCGTTCTCATCGTTCAGAGCTCGGGATTGTTCCGCTTTCGCCGCGCCTAAAGCCTGCATTTCCGCTTCGGCATCGTCGGTGTGCTCGAAGCGCGCGTCGTCCACGTCCATTGGCTGATCTGACTCTGGCTCTGGCTCGGGGCCTTCTGCTTCCTGAGCATCTTCGATGTTACGATGTTGGTCGTACCACTGCTTTAACACATCGCCAAGCTGCTTCAAAGGCTGCTTCTTCTCGTCTTCCTCGGCACCTTGCGCCTGACCAGAGGGTCTATTTTGGTGCGTTCGATTACCACCCTCAGCTGTGCCGGACTGCTCATCCGGCTGCTCCGCGTCATTCTCGTTGTCTGCTTGCTCAGCAGTAGGCAGAGCGCCATTGGTATTGGCATCGTTCTGGTCCTGCTGACCCTGACCTTCTTCGCCAGAGTGCAGCCCATCGTGTGGCTGTTCTTGAGGTTCCGGCTTATCGAGCATCGCGATATCCGATTGTGCATCTTCTTCCTCATTTGGCGCATCCTGCCCTTCTTGTTCCAGCTCCGCCGCCTCGCCGTTTTCTTCAGCTTGATCTTCATCTTCACCCTCGTTCATCTCTACATCGCGAGACTCCTCCTTGTCGCTCGCTGCATCGCCGGCATCCACATCGCTCATTTCGTCCGGTAGATCATCCCCGCCATCGGAAATGTCTTCCACCTCCTTTTTGGGCCCATCCATCTCCATGTCCTCAGGTAGATCGAGGTTTTGCACTTCTTGAAGATGAGCATCCGCTTGCTCAGGCTCATTGTGTTCCGCTTCGTTGTCCATCTCGGAACCCCCCTCCACTTCGTCTTCTCCTTCTTGAGACTGTTCCTCGGTGCCCTCTTTGGCGTTATCAGCGCTGGCTGAGACATCGTCGCTCTTCGTGCCTTGTGCACCATCTGCCTCTTTCTCTGCCTCTTCCGCCTTCTCTTGATCGTTCCATGTCTTCTCATCGACAGCATCGTCTTTCTCGCCATCAACATGGCCAGCTTCTTCGTCAATCTCGGCATCAGACTGGCCCTCATCACCATCATCCTGATCATCGCCTTCAGAGCCTGCATCCTCATTAAACTTGCCCTCGAGATCCTCATCAGCCATGTCGACTGCATCCTTCTCGGCTTCAGTCTCGCCTTCCTTGTCTTTCGATGCAGCATCTTGAGCAAGCTCAGAGAGATCTTCGTCGTTGCCCACATCTTTACTGATATCTTCGCCTCCTTCGCCATCGCCAAGGCCGGTCCCACTCTCGACTTGTCCAGATTGCTGTTCATCACTTTCGGCTTTTTCAGAGGGCTGACAGAAACCATGACGGGCAAGCTGCACGAAAGCAGTTGCTAGCTTGTGAGCCATCTTGCTTGTCGTCGAGTGCAGTTCGATCATATTGAAAACAGCATTCTCCACAATCGCCAGGTAGGCGTAGAGGATAGGTTGTAGATGGTGACATATCGCTGCCAGCTGGGACATTGTGGCTGTTTCATCCACTTGCAAACCTGCCATTTGCGCCATTAGAGAGTTGAGTCCGCTCGCGCAAGATTCTATCCTCAACTCCTCAAGCGTACGTCGGGTAGCAGTCTGGTGGTCTATTAGCCATTGCTGCTTACTGTGCCCATTCGTTGTCGGGTGGCTAGTGCTCAAAGGAAGCGCTCGTGCTTTCTCGAGGATTTCGAACAGGCCATGTAGCCAGGTGTTGACAGGAGTCGAGTTCTTGCCGGGTCCTGACGTACGATCCGCTTTGCTGGCGCCAAAATTTTGCCATAGTAGCAGCTGCGAGAGGACAGGCCCCAGTTCAGGATGAGACTGAACCGTGTCTCTGACATGAGCGCCGATGCTCTCAACCGCAGTGTTGAATCGATGACGAAGAGCGTCAGTAGTTTCACTCTCAATGTCATCAGGTAAGGGCGCAGATGCGCTCATGCCTTCCTTGATCGCCTCCAATTCTACCACATCCTGCTGTAATGGTTGTACTGCAGGCGTGTAGTCCTTTTTAGAGAGCGTTCCTTGAGCATCTACACATTTCAGTGTGGCTCGGAGAACGGTGCCAAGGCTTGCTATTCCTGCTTGCAGCAGATGAGGCCCTCGGACTGTCTCCACTCGTGGGTGCGGGCCCTGGCATGCACCAAACGCAGAAAGCTTGTCTAGAAGAGCCTTCAAAGCAGCCAAACTCTTCAAAGGGAACTTCAGAGCATTGCGTTGATCGATCATGGTCCGCAGCATACTCTCCAGAAGGTTCTTCGCGCGATCCACCTCCGCCGGCGTGAGATCGTCAGATGGCTTCAAGTCGGAGCTACGAACAGCCTCCATGGTTTGAAGCAGGCGATGGAATTCCTGATCGGCGGCACTTGCACCACTCATATCGCCATCCAGAGTCAGCGGCGGAGACCTCGCCAACACGCCTTGCAAGGACCGCTGTTGCGTCTTGACATCCTCGCCCAGATTTGATGAGAACCCCATGTTGCGGACATCCCGGAAGACATCCGCGAGTAGTCGACGTTTCCTAGTCTTTAAATGTTGGACTAAAGTCTTCTTCTCCTCTGTGGCTGTGTTTGGGGTTTCTCTGCGTAGCTCCTCGCTCTCTTCCTCGAGTTCCTTCAAGAACTTTTCAATCTTCTTCGTCGCACCTGTCAGGCCAGTCGCTGTGGTTGCCCGTGATACCATGTCTTTAACTGTGGCATCGACGTTAATGAATTGAGATGGCCGATCTCTCCAGACTGTTATCCTGGTCACAGGAAGGTCCATGCCAGCGCTTTCGACGATTGTTGGCTGCATATTGCTCTCCGGTCGCTGTAACTCATACAAGACGTACGGAAACTCAGCACGCAGCAATGGCTCCACTGGCTCACCGAGAGCTTTGCGATACTTTCTTACAGTCTTGAACAGCTTCTTGTGAGAGGCCTTGGCGCCGTTCTTTAGCGTCTCGATGTTGCGGTCTTTCCAGCTGGCAAGTTGAATCACATTCTTGATGTCTTTTTCAAGCTCAGCTCTTTTCTTGGCGAGTGTATCCGCAATGGCGCCTTCAAAGCGTGAGTAGAAACTGATCACGCTTGAAAGTGCGTCATGAACGACGCCGAACGATGGCTGATCCGGGCACATAGATGCCAATGCAAGCTTGAAATCGACCAACATCCCAAGGCGAATGCGGTATTCTCCAAGTCCACAGTTCGCCAGGAACCCACTCAATGTCTGGAGCAATTGCTGCGCGAAATTTTGCACGCTGTCCTGATCTTGCGAGGCGCTTCCAGCAGCTTGGATGATGGTCTCATAGGCAATGTACCACCATGAGGCTGCATTCTCCTTGCATTGCTCATCTTCAGAATCGAACATGCCTGCCCAGGTAGAGAGCTCAAGCTGTCTCCAGCCCACAATCAAATTGGTCGTGTCTTCCAGCAAAGTGGCAGCAGAGTATTCTGAGCTTGCGACTTTCTGCCACTCGTTGATGGTGCCGTGAAGTTTCTCCACAGGAGGCAGATAGCGGGCCACCGGTTCCGCATGACCTAGGTCAAGTATCTGTGCACATGCTCGAAGCACTTCGATAGGCGTTGCATGCTCAGGCCAGGCGTCGTGGATCGATTCAAAGCGCATCTGAACCTTCTCCACGAGAGCGATCAATGCTCTGCTCTGCCCGATGTTCGCGTCTTTGTATATGTTGTGACTCTCACGTGGGGAGTTCAAGCCAGTCAGCGTGGAACTCATGTTCTCCAATCCCAACATTAGTGCGGGCAAAGCGTTATATTCCTTGACCTGAGCAGGCCTGATGGCTGCGAGCTCGGCCCAGTGTCGAACTAGGCCGAGAAGCTGCTCTGGCTGTGAGACGTCAGGCGAGAATAGGGAATGGTATAGGCAAGCCAGCTTAGGTGCCAGAGCTTGAGCGTCAGCTCCCGATCGCGTGCTGTGTTCAGCGGTATCTGCACCTGTGCTGTAGTCCGGAAACAACTCGTCGAGCTCAGTCTGCACAACCTCATCTTGGTCAATGTCGCCACCGCGATACTTGTACAGACTAGAATTTGCAGCAGCGAGCTTCTGGTCCCGGCTAAGTTCGACCTTCCAAGCGTCGTAAAAGCCCCTGAAGGAATTCTCGACGGTGTGCTGCAGCTCTGGAGAGAACTTTGAGACTGGTACGAGAGTCGATCTGACTGCGACAATAGCAAGCCAGTGGAGCTGTTCGTCTTTGGACCGGCAGGCCTCGCGAGCTTGGATGAAGACCTCATCAGATAGCCACTCGACAGCCCCAGCACCCACTAAGGGCGTCAAGTTGGCTGCAGATGAGTCGACAGTAGTAGAAGCAGCAGAGCTACTTGCCAGGATCGCGAGTCGCCGCGAAACGAACAGGCAGTCGATGAAGCCAACCACGGGCATAGCCAAATCCGCGTAAGCACGATACTGCTCCTGCAATCTCGTCCGAATGACACGAAGATTGCTCCAGGCATTCGCATCCAGTGCCTGCACGTCAACATTGTTAATGGTACGTAGAGGTCGGAGGATCCTCATGAGAGCCTGAAATTCGCCATGTAACTGCGCCAGCTGAGAAATGTGAGGTCTGCATATTTCAACTGTCGCTGGACCGTCACCCAATGCGCGAATGTCTTCTAGCAGCAGACGGGCACGCAGGGAAGACTGATCCCCAAACCAGGCTTCTCTGAAAGCACGCAGTGCGTTCAATCTCGATTCCAGATCACTCCTGGTGTGTTGGTATACCTGTCGTTCAATATGAGCTTCTTGAACCGGATCGAATCCTTGGCTGGGCACGTAAAGCTCCAGACTACCGAGTGCGAACGATGCCCACGCCGTGGAGGCGTCTTCGGCATTGTTTGATTCACCGACCAGATAGCTGATCACAGAAGCGAGATGCTCGAAGACCGAGCGATGCTGCCTGCTAATGCTCGATAAAGCAATGAGATCATCAGAGCCTTCGTGGAAGGCTTGAAGCAACATGGCAGCACCTTGAACCACATCTCCGGAGCTACCAGAAGATGCAAGTGTCTCGAGTACAGTCTGCAGAAATTGTCGAAGAGAAGACTTCAGGACTGGTAGCTCATCGGTGCGTACAAGATGAGCTTTCGAAGAGAGTGTCTGACCGAGAATCCGGGTCTCAGCGTCCAGGAGTGACATATCGCGCAAAGCGGCTTGATCCACATTCAGGAGACGTTGCAAAACGCTCAACCCGATTTGTTCATCCTTTTGAACATCGTCTCTGGCTTGCCCATTGAGCTCTAGAAGGCGGAACTGGCTTGAGATGGCTCGAGTGTTTCCGTCTCGCTGGAAGGTCATGCCCGAGACAGTCTTCCTCTGAGCAAACATTTCCAAGCTCACTGCTTCGGTCGGAAGCAGGCACGGTGATGCCAACATGAGCACTGCAAAATGCCGGCATAGCAGCTCAAAGCTGTCTGCGAAGTGTGGTTTCGAGACTCCAGGCATAACGGTTGTCTCGTCCTCTGCAGGCTTGCCTGGGATGAGACCTAAGGCCTTCTCTGCGAGTACAACCATATCGCGGCCAGTCGCTGTGCTGACACTCAGGGCTTGCTGAAATGCCAATTTCAAGTCCACGATCTGAGCTACAGGCAAACGCATGCTTGACACAGCCTGATCAAAGCGATCGACCACAGCTTCGAATCTGAGCAACGCTTGCAAGCCGTCGATTGTGCTTGGCACGGTCGGCCTGATAGCCTTCCAGAGGCCCGTGAAACCGCTTCCGGTCGTTCCAGCTGCTTGAGGGCTCAGCGAGCATAAAACGGAGTAATATTGGCCGATTGCGGACGAGACCGAGGCTGGTGCGTTTTTCAAGGCTATTGTAGACATCGATTGCCCCGCCAAATTGAAAGCTGCGAGCGAAGCCAGGTCGAATGCTTCGGATTGTATGGCTTGTAGAAGTACCCAGGCGTAGGAGAGGAGGCCGTTCAAGGTGGCCTTTGCGTTCACGACTTCATCCACATCTAGAGAGTCAGCTTGGTGTAGCCAAGACCAGAGATACTGCAGCATTGCCTCGATGGTCGCGAGAAGCCCGTCGTTGTTCCGATTGGAGCCGGCATTGAGCTCCTTACGTGCTGTCTTCCAGAAACGACCGAGCCGGTCAGACATTTTGCGATCATCTTTGCAAGCCGCCAGAGTCTTCGCAATTGATGTAAACGCGAGAGTAAGATCGTAACGTGCACTTAGAGAAAGAGCTTCGGCAAACGATCGTTGAGATTGTTGCACAAGTGGCTGATTGTTGAGGGGATGAAGGGTCTGTAAGGAAAGCTTACCGTTAGCTATTGTGATACTTACAAGAGAGGGAGCAGGACGACTGACCTGGACACAAGCATAGTCAGCAGGCACCTGCATATGGCTTGTTATTCCCTGATAAAATAGGCCTAGAGGAAGCCTGGCTTCTGTCCTCGTATTCAAGGCTTCAGAGGCATCAGCGAAGTCAGCTGTTCGCTCGAAGAGACCATTGCTGATCTGTTGCTGTAGTCGAGACACCAGTGACTGATCAGCCAGAGCGAAGTGATCCCTAGTGACCTCGAGCAGCTCCTTATCTTGAAAGTCCTTAACAGCTTTTAAAGCTTTGAAGTTGGCCATGGCAGACTCAGCATACAGGCCGTCTGTTGAAGAAGCAGCCTGGGCTGAGGTTGCCGTCATGTGCAATTCAACCGCGCGGTTGCGCATGGCACGAGATAATTCCCCGAGCCGAGGGTCGACTGTGAGAAAGATCCTGAAGCTTGGGTGCGGTCGTAAGATCCGCGGGGATCCATCTTCAGTGCTGTGCTCGTTGATGATGAGCGCGCCATTAGGCTCCAGCAAGGAGTTCAAACGGTCCAACACTGAGGCACTACACAAGTTAGCGTTATCAATGACCAGCCATTTGCCTTGCTGTAAGGCTTCGACAAGAGGACCATCGACCCACTCGAAGCGTGCCTTGTCGATGGTCGTGGTGCCGCCTTGTAAAGTCTCCAACAACGGCGACCATTCTGACAGTGCAGAAGGAGGCAAACAAGCAGCCACCTCGTCCAACAGAGCCTTGTCGTTTGGTGATGATTCCAACTCTTGGAAAGCTCGAAGAAGCAGGCAAGCCCTAGCTTCGGGACCTTCTAGAAGTCCACTCTTGACCAAACTATCACATCGAGCACGAAGCTCGCTGAGAACACGTGATATCTGTCGATGGGGATCGTGCTGCTCGTAGCCACCGATGAGGTCTAGAGCATCAGTCTCAGCGCTCATGGCAAGTGTTGCAACGTTCGCGCCAACCGAAGCTGCTAATCGCTCTACGAGTCTTGTCTTGCCGACACCGGGCGGCCCTGCCAGAATCACAGGCCATCTCCGCTGCACGCTGAGCATGGCTGACTGCAGTACTTGCAGATGGCTTGGACCGAAGAAATTGAGGTCCCGATGCGCAGGCTGAGGTGCTGCACTGAATTGGTCTCGTCGAAGTAAACCGAGCCCGACTTGCAGAGAGTTTGGAGACAGATTGCAGAAGAGATCGGCCACTGGTGCGGCTCCAATGAACACGTGATCAAAGAGCTTGCGAAGACAATCGCGATCGTGTTGTGTCCTGAATCGCTGCGTGAAAAGTGTTTCGACGAAGTCGCGAGGGGTTCCCGCCTTCACTAACCCTTCATCGGATGAAGCCAGCTCCAACCAACGCGCAATGTCTCGCAGATTAAACTCCCAGGGACCGCCGTTCGAGCCGAACTCACGACGATCTGCAACTGCATCATGAAGCTCCGTGACGAAGTTGACTGCTTGCTCCAGGTATTTGCGGTCGAGCGTTGGGAACATACGCTGACAGATAAGCATCAGGTCCTCGAACCTGAAAGAGTCCGCATAAACAACAGTGAAGCGGTTGACAAATGATGCTGGGAGCCCCTTACGACCACCGCCCTGATGATGCGGGTTCTGAGCCGCGAACAGGCGGAAGTCCGGATGGCGAGCAAAGGACTGACCGAGCTCCGGGATGAAAACTTCTCCACGATGATCCAAGCAAGCATTCAGGCCTTCTAGAACCGATTGTGAGGCCAAATTCATCTCATCGAGGAGGACCCATTCACCATTCTTCATGGCGCGGAGGAAGGGTGCATCCCGCCAAACGAAGGTCCCTGTTTGCGCGCCTTCCACAGGCGCATCCGAACCAAACAGATCTAAGAGGTCGGTCTGATCAGAGAGATTTATTCGCGTCAGAGGCATGTTGACCGCAGCGGCGACTGCAGTCACCAATGCCGTCTTGCCAACGCCCGGACTGCCTTCGAGCAGTAGAGGCTTTGAGAGCTGCAGGGCCCTCAAGACCCTCATGGCATTAGATCTCGTGGTGGGTGGGTCGAATGTGAAAGATTCATACGTTGCCGAGGCGTTTCGGGTACGAGGAAGACTGAAAGGTCCGATTCCAAAAGCCCCATCGTCTTTCCTGACCTCGAACGTCCTGCCGTATATCTCAAGAGCATTGACAGCCAAAAGCCGACCAAGCTCGACTAGACATGCATGGCGCTCTTCATCGATGCTCTGCGAGGTAAGTGAGATGAGGCCAGCAGGGTTGGCACCAAGCGTATCAATGTACACCATGGCTGCACCATGTACCACAGCGGGCAAGACGTCGAAGCGCGCAAAGACGTTGATGAAGTCTACCCATGCGAGCGTGTCTCGAATGGATACAGAAGAGCTGGCGGAGTTGTCGAATCGTTTCTTGAACCAATCGGCAAACCCGACCATGGCTTGCGCATGTGGAAGTGCAGAGTCCACCAGCTTCGCACGTACGATCTGCAGCACATCCTCCAGATCCGAGAGGGAAGGCACCCAAATCTCAGTGAAGCGGTTGCGCAGCGCAGGTGACAGCTCTCGCTTGCCATAATCACCTCCAGGGTTCATGGTCGCAAGAAATTGAAAGCCATCCGCAGCTGTAACCGAGGAATCAAGGCTTCCTTTCTCGGCAAGCAAGATTGTTCGCTGCGATTCCAGGACACTGTTCAGGCGTTCTAGAACAGAATCATCTGCAAGTGAGATCTCGTCAAGCAGGAAGAGGTCTCCGCTTCGCATGGCCTTCACCAGAGTACCGTCGGACCATTCAAAGATTTGTCGGAGGCGACCACGCAGCACCTGTATCTTAGCGTATGTCGGTGTTTGGCTGTAAGCCTCGCGCTCTTCTATTGGTATCGAAGCCAAGATTTCGTCGTGTGCAGCCAGCAGGTCATCAGTTGACCTGAGGTGAGCACGATCGTACGTCTGCAGGAGAGGCGAAGTAAGCAAAAGCTGTCTGAGAGTGGAGTCGGTAGCCGCCCGATCACGAACGGGGCGATGTGATCCTATGAGATCTCCAGTCTCAGTGTTCTGATGAGCGTTGACAGTGTGTAGCTCTTTGCGAAGAGCATCTGCTAACATCTGGCACACGGTTGTCTTGCCGCATCCCGTCTCACCGACGAGCAAGACAGGTTCGTTGTTCAAGATTGCCCGCGACACAAGAACATACAGCCTTCGCATAGCTTTGGTCCAGACAACATCTTGTCTGCCAGCATTACGTTTATGCTCAAGAACTTCAGGGCATTCGTCTGCGTAGAGACTGTCCTCATCAATACGCACTCGAGGCCCGTTCTTGCTCATCACATTCTCAATGACAGTTTTCAAGGCTGTGCGTTCTTGCGGCTTCCGCACACGCTCGCAAAGAAGCATGTAGCCATTGGCCGCGAGCTGCTCGATGGTGTCGTTCTGTCGCAGCGCCCAACGAAATAGATCTCGCAACGTTGCAAAGCTCTTCTGCTCAAACAAACGAGTCTCTTGCCGCAACACCGACAGTTCTTTGTAAACATTGACTATGCGCTTGGCGCGAGACTCAGGCAATTGTGTACGGCGGTGCAGGATCTCTTGAAGCTCATTGACAGGTATGTCATCGAAATGCAGCTCCAGGAAGCGATTGCGGAACGCTCTCGAGAGCGTTTTCCGCCCGCCATACAGACCAGCAGGATTCTGGGTAGCGAACAGCATGAAGTCAGAATGTGGTCGTACGACTTCTTGTGTCTCAGGGATACGCAGCTCGCGATTGTCGTCCAGTAGTCTGTTCAATGCCTCAAGAACATCTGTCGGAGCCAGGTTCAACTCATCAAGGACGATCCAATGGCCTTCGCGCAGAGCTTTCACGAGGACTCCCTCCTGGAACTGAATTCGACCATCAGCGCCTGAAATGTAGGTGCCGAGATATTCTTGCAAGTCAGTGTGCTCATGGTTGTTAATACGTGTGAATGTGTGACCAGTCCGCTTCGCCAGATACTCGATCATGCTCGTCTTACCACTTGAAGTGGGTCCTTGAATCAGAACGGGAAACTGTCGAGTACTTGAGGCGCGAACCAAATTCTCCAGATTGCTCCTCACGAAAGGTGTGATGATGTAGTGATCTTGATCTTGAAGCTTCTGGACGCCTTGACGTATCCAGTGTTTGCAGCCAGGATAGGGCTCAACATACGCTTTCCCCTCGTTAGGTTTGCGAAGAGGCCTCTTGAGCTCAGCTTCCATCCCCTTTATTTTGCCCAAGAGGTGCTGCTTTATCGTTGGCTGTACGAGCTGCGCAGACTCAGAGTCCAGAAATGTCAAAAAGCTCATCTGGAACCCCTCAAAAAGTGCTCGGCGAAGACCGCAGGTCGCTTGTATCCGCTTTGCATAGCTCAAAGTTCTGGTCAGAGTCCTAAGAGAGAAGTGCGGCTTCTGGCCAGCGCCATCAACCAATTTGTTCTCCTCCGAAAGTCCGATAATCTTCTGGTGTAGAACGCTTACGTCGCGGGCGACTGCAGGATCGGCCGATATCGATTCTTTTCCCAGGTAGCTCGACACGATGGCCTCCAGACTCTTGAGATCCCGATCGGGACCTTCAACGTACAACTCGGTGAATCGTGATCGAATACCTGGTGGTAAGTCCTTTTTACCGACGTCAGTTGCAGGGTTCATAGCAGCAAAGACTCGGAACTCTGGATGTGCCTCAATCCGCTCGATATTCCCGGCCTCGGTCAGCAAGATAGACGGTGACGTGTGGTCCAGAAGGTCGGCAATGGACTCCAGAGTGTCAGGAGCTGCCAAGTTGATTTCGTCTAGGAGGATCCAGTCTCCATTCCGCACAGCCTTGACGATATTGCCCTCGACGAAAGTGAACGCAACAGCGTCATTTCTATCTGCGAGTTTGCGCTCTATGTTCTTGACATTGCCTGCAAAGTTGTCCCAGCGGGCAAAATCAATGGTCTTCCTAGACTCAACTTTCCGCTTCTTGCTGGGAGCCTCGCCTTCTCGAGGAGGAGACTCAGAACGCTGTTGATCGACCATGATCAGTGCTTGGCGCCATAGCTTGCATACGGACTTCCAGTTGCCTTTACTCATCTGCCTGCCCAGAAGCTCTATGAATTGTTTGTTCTTGGTCGCGCTAAAGCTTTCTGCAAATAGCTCATCAAATTCGTCTTTCATCGGAACGACCAGAGTCCGAGCGTTGACTGGCTTGAAGCCGCCAAGCAAGTCACCTGCCTCACTTTGCTGGGACAAGTTGAACGGCACGAGCTTCTTGCCAAGGTGAGCCGCCAGGTGCTGCACAGCCGTCGTCTTGCCAACACCAGTCTCACCAACCAGGAGAAGCGGTTCTTGATTGAGAACAGCAGCGCTCACTCGTTCAAGCATGCGATTAGTGTGTGGATTTGTAGAGAAAGAAGTCTGAGATGACCTGAGCTGCTTCGTCTTCGGCAGAACGTGACGGCCAATGACAATTCTCGAGTCCTCCGCCTTATAGGGGACCTCGCGCTGATAGAGTAACCAATCTCGTCGCTGAGGATCGATCTGAAGTTCTTCTGCGATTGCAGCAGCCAAGCCGGAGCGTGCAGAGTCATCCGGGAGCGAGCCAACGAAGCAATCTATCGCTTCCAAGAAAATATGGTCCTTGTCACTGCTCGTAAATGAAGAGTGGCTCTTCAAGAGTAATGAGACCCGCTGGCACCACTTCAAGAGATCTCTCGGGCTTACTGATCGCGCAACGCCTGTTTTGCTTTGGCCCAGCAGGGCAAACCGTTGGCGAGCCGCGAGCAGCCTTTCGTACACCGCCATAAATTGAGGCAGCAGCTTTTCAAGACTCGGAAACAGACTTTGCGCCACAGCTGCATGCTCGACGTCCGAAGGCATCGTGATGGCCACATTTTGCCAATGTCTGTGGCCAAGCATATGCGTCAGAGGCTTCGTCTCCTCCCCACGATGATTGACAGAGCTACGGACTGTTGCGAGAATGCGGAAGCCTTCTGATGCGTAGATGGTCTCGTTGCGATTAGGAATGAATAGTTCTCTTTTTTCGATGAGAGGAAGTAGAGTACCAAGAACCTCATTTGGCGTACGATCCAAGTCCTCGATCAGAACCCAACGACCTTCCTGGACGGCAGTCGTAAGGACACCAGGTTTCCAGATAAATGATCCAGGCGTGTCTCCGGAGGTGTAAATGCCAATTAGAAGCTTAGCATCGCTCTGTTCGTTGAGATGCAGTGTGACCATCTTATCAAGATGTCCGAGGTTGCGGGCAGCATGACGAATTAGTAGAGACTTCCCCGAGCCGGCGAGGCCGGTGAGAAGAATTGGGCTTGGAGATCTCAGAGCTCTTGCGATTGATTCGAGGTTGCTAGATATGGTATCCGTAACCACGACCCCCGGTTCATCTCTATGGGTCGATTGTGATGAATGCGCTCTCGGGAACAAGATGTCCCCGAGGAGAGCTGTCGACGGATGGAAGCACTGGAAAGGAATTGTTCTTCTTCCTACAGCTGTTGATTTTGATATTGCTTCTTTGACCTCCAATCGCAATTTCAAAACCTGCTCGAATCTTTCCTCTTCCCAGAGCGACAAGAATCGATAGTCAATCGTCTTTTCGTCCCATCGGCCATTCAAAGCTCCATCGGGTCTATCTTGACCGAGGTAGCGTTTGATCGTCGACTCGAACCAGTGATCCGCAGCTTCCAGATATATTTGCAGAATCCGTATGGTTAAATAGGTGACCGCTCGACTACTTCTTCCCAGAAGCGATGCGAGCTCCTGCGGCCGAACGAATCTGCGGAAAAGTCGATGGTCTGATCGAAGAAGCCGGAACAGACCCAGAAGGTACAGGACATTTTGCTCCTCGCTTGAGCCAAAGGAATGACGCTCCCTCTCCAGCAATCGTGCGGCGTACGGTGTAAGATAGGTCGCGTGAGGTACTATCCGTGCAAGCGTGGCAACAGATGAAGCAAACGATCCATGTGGGCGCAAAGACGCGCAAATGTGAGCGAGCACGTCTTCACAGTGAGCCAGCAGTCGATATGTGTAGCGAGCATCGAGGGCGGCCTTCGTGATGCCTTCCAGATATAGTCGTGGGTCGCTTGTTCGGTCCTGTATCAACTGTAGCAGCTCTGGCGGTAGAAGCTGAGCGTCGCCATCCTCCAGAACCGCATCCCAAGGACACTCCATCTTCAGGTAGCTCCCGCCGCAAGTACCAGATAGAAAAGACCTTGCGGTCGATGGAGAGGGAAAAATTGCAAGATTGAAAATCGCGGAAAACTTTCTGCCCGCGCGAGATTTGGACTTCGGCAAGTTCCGTCCTCCGCGGCGAGAACCTCGTCGTCTCGACATTGGACTCCAGAGACAGGCACACGACCAAACGTCCATTCCTGTCACCGCCATCAACATGTCGCTCGCTCCTTCGTTCGCCGCACGGCGATGCGCTCAATGTCTCCGATCAACTCAGGCCAACACCTTCCGATTCGCAGCCTCGACCGCACCCAGGAGAAGACACCAGCAGGAACAGCGAAGATGGGAAACGACAGAAGCAGCAGCGGCCGCGGCACCGAATCCCAAGATCGCACAGATTGTAGACCAAATCGGTCAATTGACGCTCCTTGAGACCGCGGACTTGGTATCAACACTCAAGGTATTGCCTTAGCCCTTCCTGGGGACCCCACCGTACACCCACGTAACTAACATCCCACAGTCCCGCCTCAACATCCCAGACATGCCCATCGGAAACTTCGCGGCCGCAGGTGGATCTGCGGCCGCTGCAGCCCCAGCGGCAGCAGAAGAACCCGAAGAAGCCGCCCCTAAACAAGAAGAAAAGACCCTCTTCAACCTCAAACTCGAATCCTTCGACGCAGCCTCCAAACCAAAGGTGATCAAGGAGGTAAAAGCCATGTTGGGACTGAGCTTGGTGGATAGTAAGAAGTTTGTGGAATCGGCGCCGAAGGTGATGAAGGAGGGAGTGCCAAAGGAGGAGGCAGAGAAGATTATTGAGACATTGAAGGGGTTGGGGGCTGTGGTGAAGATGGAATAGAGAACTCAAGGCAACCGGGCAAAGAAAGCAGCAGCTATAGATCGGACGTGTCTAGAGTTCTGGAAAAGGAGTTTATGATGGAATTCCCAGCCTACCCATTCACATGGCGCTTGACGGGTGGGGCGAGGACACATGGAGATATGGAAATGTACAGTAAAGCATGGTTGCGCCGTGGCAAGAGCAAAACATTATCTCTATTCTAGTACTGCTTGTCGTGTCATAATCGTGGGAAAGCTATATCGCCGCTCATCGGAGGTATCGCATATCATTATCAGTCACAAACCAGCTCCTTGCACATCAAAAGCAAACGCCTCGCTGATACGCGCATCGCAAACAAAAACATCGTCGACTCTTCACCGCCTGGGAAACCACGGATCGGGGCTCTCCTCTTTGTCCGCAGTGGCTCCAGATTTCGGATTCGCGCCACCTGACCACGCCAGCGGAGGACTACTCTGCTGGCCTGGCACAAATCGCTGAGAGCCATAAGCCTGGCTACTGGAAGGTCGCGAAGAGTATGTGGGCGTGCTCTGCCATCCGTTACTTGGAGAGGGCATCGAGCTCATGTTCCCCCAAGAGCCCGTGGGCGTCGCATGGGACGTTGCGTGCTGCGGTGATGTCCCTGAAACCTGGTGGTGCGGCGGCCCACCTTCGTACATGCAGTCTCTACCGCTTCTTATGCATGAACCGCAAGGATGACCTTCGTCGCACTGCCACCTTGTTAGCGATGACTGCAAGTTGCATGGCAATATCTCAACCTACTTTCTTCTTCCCAATCCTGCAATGCGTACAGCTCGTCTTAGCCCGCTGCACCGGCTGAAAATATGTCTGGGGAGTCTGCCAGGTCTGCGGAGTCGTGATTCTGTATTCGTCTTTGTTGACAGGTTTCATAGTCGTGAAGAGGCCTTGTGCTGGCGCCTGGCTGGAGCTCTGCTTAGATCTTTGGCTTCCCGGCGGCGCTTGCTTTGGCTGGCGTTGTTGGGGCGCAGCCTGCCTTTGATTCGTGGGCTGATATGGTGGTGGGTAAGGAGGTTGATAAGGAGCGTTCGTGGTAGGCTTATTCAAATTAGGAGGCGGCGTTTGCCACGACGGAAGCTCGTAATTGACCGGAGGCGCAGTGTTCGATAGCTTCGGTTTTGCGGTCTCCGAGGCTGGAGTGGGTGCGTTGGCTGTATCGCTCTGCTTCAGCAACTCCATAAGGGAAAGCGTTTTATTCGGATCTCGGGGAGTCTGCATTGCAGCAAGAGGGCCATAATCTCGCTTCCTCTTCAATGGTCTTCCTATGTTTGAATTCTCCGATCGCGCTGCCAATGGCGACTCCTGGTATGGATTATTCACCATCTGCAAGGCCGAGCTCGCATACTGCTCCGCCTGGTTCGACGTCTCACGCTGCAACTCAGCAGCCAGTCCACCAGACTCCTTCTGAACTCGAGGTCGTGGCGGAGGTCTCGCAGGTGGCTTCCTCTCCGCAACAGTCTGGTGAATTGCATAGTGACGATAGTACACATCCACCCTCTGCCTTCCGCTTGAGAATTTGACGCTCACACTGCCTTTGCAATCGTATGTCGGTTTTCTCGGTCCTCGCTCTCCTTCACCCTTCAAATGCTTCAACGTTCTCGTAAATCCATTGGCATGCCTATCCTTATTCTGCATCGAATCCTGGCAGATGTAGGAGAATCTGCTTCCCTCTTCATCCTTCGCCGTCCACGCATTGTTGAACGAATATCGATAACCATCTGCCGCTTCCACAGCTTGTATTATCCCGCGCGACGCTGCTCTTTGCACAATCTGCCTGCTGCGTCCATCGTTGACATTCACAATAGATCCCACTGTTGTCCGTGGATGCGCTCCTTGCTCGCATGTCGTCCCGTCGTGGTTCACCCGGAATTTCTCTGGCAAATCATGTTCTCCTCCACTGGCGTAAGGTCCTATCGTAGGCCGATGCAACGCAAGAGTTGCGCCGAAGCTGAGCGATAGTTCTACAGTTGTGCATTCCGGAACGCTGCTCTGCTCGGCGGCATGTATTTCGTTCCTAAGAGCTTCGCCCAGTGCATCGAGGGAATCGAATGGTCCCCGGGAGAAGAAGCCCGGCGAGTTGCTGCCTCCTTGATAATCGGTCGAGCCTCCTGCACGTGATCCGAATGACAAGCGGACCGACATTGCTGCTACCGCATTTCGCGTGGTCTAATCGTGCGCGTTGAGAGGAAAGGGTCGTTGTCGCAAGTCGCATTCAGAGACGCGTGGTGGACGAGTCCGGGTTCGGTTCGGCGAAAGGTAAGATAGCTCCGTCAATGGCCCGAGCTTTTACGAGAAGAAACGTCACGTCGAGGGAACAAGTCTAAAGATTGAAACCAGCTGTATTTGCGAGCTGGCTGTACATGGAAGGTACTGTTATCCCTGCCCACGCTCATCCTCTTCCAAATCATCGAGCCTGTCTTGATCGCGACTGAGTAAACCCGCCTCATCTTCGCGGCCAGAGACGTGTTCTCTCAACGCCCCTGCCCCTGAGCCAACCCTGCCGTCCTCTGATTCATTTAGGATGTACCACAAGTCCTTCTTGGTCATCAAGCCTGCGAGAAGACCGCGATCAGCGAAGATCACATAACGCAGTCCGATTCTGTGGAACAGATCATTTGTCAGCGACAAGCTAGATCGGGAGCTGAGCGTGATTGGCGTCTGGTCCATCCACGGTCGGAGGTCTAGAGTGATGGTTGGGTCTGCCAGAGGTTGATGTTGGAAATAGCATTCGGTAGTCGATGGCAACGAACGCCCGGACCCAATAGCGGTATCCAATGCGTACTGTAATTCCGTTCGGGAGATGTATCCAAGGAGCATCAACTCACGAGTGTCGTTTACAACCGCAAATCCTCGGAACCTGTGCTCTTGTAAGAGTTCACGGAGAGACTCAATGGTGTGTCCAGTGCCCGTAATGCAGACGAGATCTTCTACTCGAGTCATGATTTGGCTTATAGGTACGTCGGGGACAGGATCGTCCTTCTGATCCAAGAAAGGGTAGCCTTGGAAGTGGATCCAGCTTTCGTAGATTCCACGCTTTCCGAATGCGTCGCCAACCCATTTCGACAGTAGAACTGCGATCATGATAGGCAGAACATACGTAAGCGCGCCTGTTAGCTCGAACATGATGACAACGATGGAGACAGTCATCCGCGTGGCTCCAGCAAGAGCAGACGCAGCACCAACAACGGCATATGTGCCAGGTGTAACACAGGGTATGTCCGGCTCGCAGCTCGCGAAGACAATGAAGTTTGGATGTTCGCGTTGCCAGACCTCTACTATCAGTCCGACGACGCGACCATACAGTGCGCCAACGGCCATTGATGGAAGCAGTATTCCTGCGGGAATTTGCAGTCCAAATGTGACAGTGGCCAGCAGGAATCCCAGGAGCGACGACACCAAGAGTATGAAGATGACGCCAGTATTAGCGACGCCCGACTTGCACAACCCGAGGTAGTCATCGCGGATGTCCTTGCACTCCGCGAACAGGTACTCCACCAGCTCACTTGACTGCGCTCGCAGGAAGCTAATCGGAAAACTGATCAGAGCCGTGATCAACGCAATGACAACCACTTCCAGTACCGGACGCTTGTGAAACGGGTTGCTGCTAGAAGCACGCCAGCTTGCGACTCGCATATTGAGTTTGATGAAGAGCGCTCCGTATAGCCCGCCAATTATACCGATGATCGCGAACGGGGCCAGTTCAAAGGCGTGCCATCCACTGTGGTAGGTCACCTGGTAGAGAACGAGCTGTCCCGTTCTGAAAGGATCAAAGGCCTGAAGAGTGACAGCTGCTACCATAGCACATACGAAAGATGCCCACATGGTCTTGTCCGGGAAGTAGTATGAGAGCTGCTCCAGCGAGAAAAGCACGCCTCCGATCGGGGCACCAAATGCGACCGAAATGCCAGAGGCTGCCGCAGCAGACAACGTCTCGCGCTTTCGGGCCTCGTTATTGTTGATGCTGTCACACAATTTCATGAACACATTCGCGCAACAACAAGCAACGTGCACGAGCGGTCCCTCTTTTCCTAGCCACATCCCAGAGGCTACTGCAAGACAAAGTCCCAGTGACTTGACGATCAAGGTCCAAGCACCTAGAAATCGTCGGATGACAACACCACCAAGCAGCGTCTTGATTTCCGGAATTCCACTCTGTTTGGCGTAATTCGAGTATCTGTTGACCAGCAAGCTCGCGCATGCAGCGAACACCACCGAGAATACCACGAAGGTGAAGTATTCGATGATGTAGCTTCCTCCCTTGTTCGCGACTCCCATGACAGTGCTCCATGGCCTCCAGTCTGGGCATCGAGAATAGCTGCCAATCTCCCAGCAGCAAAATACTTTGTTTAGGTAGAACCTGCCTCCATCCTCCACATTGCTGCAGAGTCCTGTCTTGAGGTCGCCTAACCAATCACTTGCCACATCGATACCGGCCGCAACACCTCCGACAGCAATCCCGGTAAAGACTAGAATCCACCATATTTGGCTCGCGTCTGCAAGCAGCCGCAGGCTTCCCAGTAAGCCTGGCGTATCCGCGGCCAGCTGTCGTTGTCTCGTGCGCTCTTTGCTATATTCATACACCCAATCGATAGCCGTGAGATCGTCATATCCTACTCTTCTGCCATGTCCTTCCACATACCAGTCCAAGGTTGCCGGGTCTTTGGCGCCTGTCAGGTCAACTCCTGCGTCTGTAGGGCCATTCAAGTACGAGAGGATCGTGTTCGGAGTCGGCTGGGTGCCAGTCCTCGCTCGACCTCGTCGTGGAGGAGACGCAATCGTCGGACCGGGAGAAGGAGTAGCATCGCGGCTGCTGGAGAAGGGAGAAAACAGAAAGCGGGAGGCTAAGGATGGTTTGGCTGATGTTTGCTTGCGCTTGAACGATATGCTGCAGCCGTTAGCTTCATGCTATGCAACGACTTCATTCTGAATACCCAGTATCTAGCCCTCCATTCCTGTGGTGTAGTGGATCTTCTGCTAAGAGCTCCTCGTTATTGAGATCAAGCCCATCCTCGGAGTTGTCATCTTCGGCCAGCTGCGGACTTCGACTCGATGATGCTGGGGCGGGCGCATTGGGCGAGTGACTCGACGAAGAACTTGACATGGGGCATCTGTCGGCCGTTTGACTAACGCGCGGACATTGTCTTGCAGGATGAAAAAGATACTTACTTGTCTCCTCGATATGCTGCTGATCGCACGTGAAAGCGGCTGTGCTCAAGCCTTGCTTACTAACTAGCTCCGACCGCATTTGGGTGTGAAAACAACATCCTCGTCGCCTCCTCTCGACACATCTCATCCACAACCTCGCGCACGATAGTCTTGCCATCTTCAGGACGCGACATAGCGCTCGCCGGCTCAATGAGACCTGGGAAGCGGCGATGGAAGCACCATTATCTTCAGGGCGAGGTCGAAGTCTTTGCGATGCCAAAGCAGTGCAGCAACTTGATCAACTTTGGGATGACATCTCGATGCTGACGACTTGGAGATATTCCCTACTCAGATAAGCATTCCAGGCCTCTCAAAGACCACCAAGTGCTGATTCGAGACTATGCTGTGCCCGACCCTGGCAGATATTACAATTGGTGTGCCTGCATCACATTCCGCTGTCACTTTCCTACCATTGATACGGTGGAAAGAAACCTCCATCAGTAGGTCCATATCAAGCATACCGCGGATTCTCTTGTCGTTTCTCTGGCTGCTTCGTGCGGCCTACGCTGCCAGCATTGTCACCTGGGATCCCTACAGTCTCCTCGTCAACGATGAAATGACTTTCATTCAGTCTGGAGACTTTTATTGTGAGCGGCTGCCGGTACCTCAGCTGTGGAGGGCCGTTTTGCAACAGTACAAGGCCAACGATTCAAATGTCGTTCCGCTTTGTACGTTCACGGTACCTTGGGAGTTGCTGACGAACGTATCAATTCTACTTCTCTTGGAGCTATCAAAGCCCACGTGGGTGCCAAGGTAGCGGCGGCGGCGGTGGTGAGGGTATACATTGTGTTATTTGCCTCGTAGGAGGGCTTACAGGTTGGTGCTCTGGGTGTCTGTAATTGAAGAGGAGACAGATGCATTGTCTGTCTTCTTGATGCTCTTTGATGTGGGACGGATGTCCGATTCGTATTCGACGCTTGCTACTATTCATCGAAGTAATCCCTGTACACGATCCCAGTATCTATATTCCTCCGCTCGCAGACACATGAGAATGCTCAGACAACTCATCCTCCCTCTCAACCGCCAGCTCATCTCGAGCCTGAACTGCTGGCACCATGATCTTCATGCGCAAAGACCATAACAATGTGCTCAGCCCAGTGATGTTCAATTTCCCGGCATGCCAGAAACAGATGCAGTTATGTGGTTTCAGACGATCTCCACTGCATCACCTTTAGCATTGGCTGGGGACCGATAAGTTTAGATCCCGAAGGATTGGGTATAGGGTGTTTGAGTTTGGGCGGTATGCTTCACACGGGATAGGCAAAACTTGGCCTACTGTCGAGCCATCAACAAGCTGTTCATAAGGTCAGAAAGGTCGAAAGTCGTCGCGTGGTAGAGGAGTCATGCACCGAGAGGGGGCACACGACGATCTCTTCACTCCAGTCGATCCCAGTACTCCGTTCTCATGCCCAAATGCGCCAACGCAAAGACCACTTGCATCATATTCCAGGTCTCGTGAGCAACATGGTAATGCTGTCCCTCGGCGAATCTCACCCAGCAATCGTCCGTATGCGACAAAACCGGCAGCACGGGCAAGGCAGAAATCAACAACCTCGCAGCTTCCATGACACCGACAGCATCGTTCGAGTGGCAGAGCATTCCACGCGAATACTTTGCGCCTTTCTCTAGCGGCTCGTGCTCAAATGGGCCGTCCTTTGTCGGCTCGTCTGCATGCTGGATCATGACCAGATTGGTGCCTTCGAGGAGGAAGACGGAATCGTTCTGATGGACTGATTCATCATCGGAGACGAGACAGCTATCATTTGGACCGACATAGTTCAGTGGTCCAACACCATGGGCCACCATGGACCGTTGTCGCAGGCCGAATTCGAGTTGAAAACGTTGTGCGCCTCCCTCCTGGAACGAATCATCAGATGCCTGGAGTGTTCCAATATGGCTATACGCAATCCGGAACTCTTTATCCTGCGGAACGTTCCACAAGAACCCGTTGCGTTTGCTGAAAACATCGAGGTCGTGGTGAAGCCTCAGGATGTGGAAGATCTCGAGCGCCGACCTGATATTGAGCTCATGGGGAAGAGTCTGCAGTACGCGGACAAACAGTTCGGCGGATGACAGCGAGTAGTCCACTTGCACGTTCGTCTCAGGCTGTCGAGATGCAGCAATCCCAAGAAGACCAAATACCCGATCCCTGACGTCCAAACACTGCGCCCGACCAAACTGCAAAAGCAGCTGATCGAGAAACTTTCGCTGCGACGCCTCTTTTACCCTAAGCTCGCTCAGAACAGACCTCGCATGGCGCCCGCCAGGCGTACTTCCGAGAGCGATGTCGACACCGGTCCAGCCACCCATGACAAAGTGGCCCTTGGTAGAAGTAGACAAATTTTGAAAGATGGACCACAGCGTAGACTTCTCGCCGCAAAATACAACAGCGTCCCGAGCAAGAAAGAGCTCCTGGATTATCCAGAGACGTGTCCAGTAAGATTTCTGATAAACGGTATCTAGTGCATCTCCTTCCTCCGTGTTTGGATCGATGTTGGAAACTCGGTCAACCACCTCAGCATCGTCGGCTGAAGCAGAAGCAGCGTCGTTGCAAAGATCGAAGATGAAGTCACTCTCCTTCGTGCTCGGTCCAAGCCAGACCAAGACTTTGGCTGCTCCTGAGTAGACCTCCCCAATCGCCTGGACCTGAGCATTGCGTTCCAGCAGATCCTCTTGGTTGATGCAGATAGCGTCTGTGAAACAGGGCAGGCTGTTCTGTGCGCTACGGCTCAGTACCCTAAGAAAGCGGTACAGATTCTCTCGGATCATGAAGGGACGTCCATCGATAATGATTTCATGACAAGCGGCGGAATGTCCCCATTCATACGAGAGCGCATTGAAGACAGGCTGATCAGAGAGCTTGGCAGTCATCAGGCTCAGTGTGAGCGGCTCGTCGCTGTTCTCCTGAGTAACGGATCGAAACCGCACAAGCCGAATGTGGTGGCCATCCCTGGGGAGTGGAGTGTGTTCGAATCTGTCCATGATGCAAGTCTCTGCAGCTGATCTTGGAAAATGTTGTGTAAAGTGGTCTTCTCCGCGAGCAGCTTCAGCTGAAGTGATGTTGAAGCGACTTTAGGCAGAACCAACTAAAGCTGCAGCCTGCGCAACGTACTGTCTGTCCCCCTTTAGTGAAGACCACCTCATAGCCTGAGCTGAAAATGCCAGCTGTCTCGGAGACAGCCAGGAGGCGAAGAGTCTTGTAGTAAGGTCATAATGCTGTACTCACTATGAACGTCCGCTTCTGACCGAATGCTCAACAAATCCGTCCGTCCCATCCATATGCCCTCGCCTGCTTGAGAGACGCCTCAACGCCTCGCTAGCTAGTATCATGAAATCCTTCAAGTTTTCGCCTCGTGTTCCGTGTGTAGATCCATCCTTAAGCACTGAAAACTCTTACGTTCAAATCCACACTTCCGCACGCAATCAAGCACCTAATCTGCTCCTTGGCGCTCTCACCATTGGTAGCACCATTCGTCTTCGTGATGTCTGTCCCGTTTGGATCTGCCTCTTTGTAAAGGCTTGGAGCCCAACGCAAGCAACTGACAAAGTGATCGGCCGCTTCGATTACGCGCACGCACTTGCCTTCTTGGGCAAGATCCCAGCATCGAAGGGTTTTGTCATCGCTGCATGAAAGTAAGTATTTGCCGCCTGGATGGAATACAAGACTACGAATCCAGTTGTCGTGGCCAGTCAACGTCTTGATGGTCACTCCATTGGCGGAGTGCAATTTGATCAGCTTGTCTCTGCCTCCAGTCGCAAGGTATTCTGCGCTACTGCTTGCGGACGGCGGCTTCTTGAGCCCAGCCAGACCGGCGAGATGTTGATATGCAGATGGAGGTGCGAATGCGCAGCACTCGACAACGTGCTCGTGGGCGAGGAAGGTCTGCTTCTGGGCGTTTGAGTCCGGCTGTGAGAGGTCCCACATGCGGCTCGTTTGATCGGACGAAGTTGAAAGCAGCCATCGACCATCAAAGGTTGGCGATAGAGACCTGACCCAGTCGCCGTGCCCGCGAAGTGTCCGCAAGCAATAGCCGGTGGTGACGTCCCATATCCGAATCGTTTTGTCTCTGCTGGCAGAAGCGAGAAGATTGCCAGATAGTGGAGCACCAGCCGCACCCGATGGAATGAAGCGCACTGAGCTCACGCTGTGGTCGTGACCGGGAAGCGTCCTGATGTTTTTGTACTCCTCCGCAGGATCCCACAGCTTGATAGTCAAGTCGGAGCTGCAGCTCGCCAGGAGCGTGTTACCTCTCGGCCCACCAAAGTCAACGTCGAGCACAGCCTTGGTGTGCGACTTGAGTGTCCGCTCCAGCTCGCCTAGCTCATAGTCCCAAATCTTGACAGTGCAATCCTCGCTCCCGGAAGCCAAGCTGGAGAAGAGCGGGTGGAACGCGACGCAGGTAATCGGCTGGCGGTGGGACTGCAACGTGTGTCTCGCTGGTGCTCGTGGCAGCCATGTGTTCGGATCGTGGTTCTTTCGTGCGGCTAGCGACGAGGGTGTCGCATTGTCCAGCTCTGTCTGTAGTTGCTGCGATCTGGACTCAAGGTCCATGATCTTCTTCTGGAGCCTTACCACACTGGTCCATTTCTTCTCAATTAGACCCTCGTACTTTTTGGCAGTCGCGGCGTCGAAGTCGCTTTCGGGGAGGTTCAACTCCTCTCGCAATGTTTGTGCGCTGTTGGCGTGGCCGGTGGAGAGTAGATAGGCAATGAGGGACTTGTGCCTGTGGACGAGCGTTAGCAACATGCGCAAAGTAGAAGATGTTGGAATGGTGAGAGCGTACAGCTCCTCGGCTTGCCGCGAGGTCAGAAGACTGCTCATCTTTTTTGCAATCGCGAGCCAGCCATATACAATCAAAGTGATATCGCAATCATGTGGGTTGTTGGCTTCTCCTATCGCAAAGCAAGCGGCTTTGAATTATCCACAGCGGATGCGACTCGGAGGATCGGCAAGACTTGGGGGATTTCGATGAAGATCGCGATGACCTTATACCTGTCGTTCGAGGAAATGAAGCCGTTGGCAGAGGTGAGCGATTCTACTTCCTCATGTATTGCGTCGCGGGCGATATGATCGTTGGCTTCACCTGAGCAATGTTTCAAGATGGGCTGACAGGCAAGACAGGAACATGCGGGCGCAAGCTCAAGGAAGTGGCGGGCCGAGCCGTGCGTTGCCGCGGTCCCTGCGTCTGCATCATCTGTGGAACAACAGAAGGCCTCAAGATCAATCTGTTCAACTGCGGCATCATGTGAAGAAGCGCAAGAGCGCTGTAGCCAGTTGCGGAAATGCACTATCACAGAAGGGGCTCGAGGAAGAAGTCAGAGAAATGATTCATGAAACTTGATCAGACTGTCGGGAAGTCTTCCCCTTGCTTCGCTGCTAGAGATGACGCCTCTCCGGTGCTCTTTCGAGGGCTCCATCAGATCAACCCAGACTTTTATCAGGTTGGTAGTGCATCACATGTCAAGATCAAAGTGAGAGAGTCGAGTGAACGAGTGAACGGGCAGATGGTGGAGCTCAGCCCTGCCGCACGCACGGACCCGCTCCTTCCCCAGTCGGACTTGTCGTCGTGTAAACAAATCGCTTGTGGCTTTGGCAACGACTTTCCACCTTTCACTCCACCCTGCAACCTGCATGTGATTCTCAAACTTTGTGTCGACACGCGACAATCACCAAAGCAACACCAATCCAACACATCACCACCTAATTCAACCGACCGGCGCACTCCCAATCGGCTGCACACCACCGTAAGGGAATCGCCTGCTTTGGGCATCCCCGAATCTCCTAGTCGACCGCCGACCCAAGGCGCATTCACAACATCGGAGCAGAACCCACCTGCGGCTACATACACAACGCGACAGGGCGACAACACGACCCATACCAATCGACGCAATATTCCGCAATCATGGGTGATGAGGAGGAGTTCTCGCAGCTGTCACTGCCGGATCAGTTCGCACACAAGAATTGGAAGGCCCGCAAGGGCGGCTATGAGACTGCAGCAAAAGAGTTCCAGACGGCCCAGCCATCGGATCCAATCGTACGTGAGTTTACATTAGATAGCGGTTTGTGGAAAGCAGCAGTGGGGGACTCAAATGTAGCAGCGCAGCAGGAGGCACTCAATGCATACAAATGTTTTCTTGACGCAGCAGGTACTGAGGGAGCGCGACGGACGCGAGGCAACACAGTTGGTCCGGTGGTGGAGAAGGGCCTGACAGGAAGACCGGCGGCCAAAGCATCGGCGCAGGAGGCGTTATTGTTGCTCATCGAGCTGGACAAGTCGGACCCTGTCATTGAGGACCTTCTCCCATACCTCTCACACAAGCAGCCAAAGATCATCGCCGCGACTCTCGAAGCGCTCGCCAACATTGTACACGCCTACGGATGCAAGGTCGTGGAACCAAAGCCAGTCGTCAAGGCACTGCCTAAAGTATTCGGACACGCAGACAAGAATGTTAGAGCGCAAGCACAGAACCTCACAGTCGAGCTGTACAGATGGCTGCGGGAGGCGATGAAGCCGCTATTCTGGAGTGAGCTGAAAGAGGTGCAGCAGAAAGACTTGGACAAGCTATTTGAGCCGGTCAAAGCGGAGCCATCGCCAAAGCAAGAGAGGTTGCTACGATCACAGCAAGCCGCACAGGAGCAAGCTGCTGCCGCTGCTGGTGCTGGTACCGATGGAGAGGATGGAGCCGAAGAGGGCGAAGATGGAGGTGAGGTCGATCTCGAGCCAGAGTACGAAGCGGTAGATGTCTTCGCAAAGATACCGAAAGATTTCAGCGACCGTCTGGCGAGCTCCAAGTGGAAAGATCGAAAAGAGGCACTGGACGAGACATTTGCAGCTGTCAATGTTCCAGCCATCCAGCCTGGCCCATTTGACGACGTGATCCGCGGTTGCGCGAAGAGCATGAAGGACGCAAATATCGCTGTCGTTACAGTTGCGGCGAACGTAGTTGAATGCTTGGCGAAGGGTCTGAAGAAAGACTTTAGCAAATATCGTAGCCAGATCTTGGGACCGATGCTGGAGCGCTTCAAGGAGAAGAAGGCTTCTGTTACTGATGCTATCGGAGCTGCTTGCGATGGGCTATTCTTCGCAACGGGCTTGGGCGATATCCAATCCGATGTACTCGAAGCCTTGACGAACAAGAATCCGCAAGTCAAAGAGAACAGCGCCAAGTTCCTTTCACGGAGCCTGAAGACAACCCGAGACGCACCCACCATCGAACAGACCAAAGAGATCTCAGAGGCTGCAAAGAAGCTCCTCACGGAGAGCGCAGCTCCACTTCGTGATGCTGGCTCCGAGATTCTTGGAGTACTATGGAAGATCATGGGTGACCGCAACATGCTCAGCCATATCGATGCTCTTGACGATATCCGGAAGACGAAGATCAAGGAGTTTTCAGATGCCGCCGAGGTGAAGGCGAAATGGAAGCCTAAGGTTGCAGCTCCTCCGCCAAAAGCAGGCGGTCCTGCCGGAAAGAAGCCAGCTTTGGGTACCAAGAGACCTGCCGCTGGGGGTGTCAAGAAACCTGCCGCTCCCAAGGCTACGAGTCCGACACCAGCGGAAGATGCGCCTCTCCAGGTTCGTCCCACGACCCGGCCAGGTATCAAGCCACCAGGTGGACTGAAACCGCCGGGAGGGCTGAAAGCTCCTGGCTCTGGACTGGCCAAGCCCGGCACGGGACTCAAGACGTCAAGCGCGATATCTACCGGCACTGCATCTCCCAAGCGCCAAGGTATGGTACTGGATGACCAAGTGAATGCTCCTGCCACACCAAAACCAAGTGCAGGGAGGGGCCTTGCCGGTCGGCCGCTTGGAAAGCCCGCCGCTGCTCTCACTTCTCCGCCACCCGCAACACGCGAGGACTATGCAGCAAGCGCGCTGAGCTCAATAGAGAGGCAAGAATTGAAGGACCTCCGCCAAGAGAACGAAGTGATCCGCCAGCAAGCATCAGATCTGCGCAACGACAAGTTCAAGCTTACCTCACAGGTTGCCGAATTACAGGTGCAGAATGCTCAACTCATCGAGGACCACACGCGAGATGTGCTTCAGATCAAGGCCAAAGAGACCCAACTCGTTCGCGCGCGATCCGATGCCGAATCTGCAGAAGAGCGCGCCAACTCGCTGTTGAAGGAAATCGACCGATTAAAGCGCGAAATCAGCCGCCTCGGTCGGTCGCAAGCTGGAAGAGACAGTCCAATCGATAACCTCAATGGACCTTCATCGCCTCGTCTTGCCTATGGCAACGGAAGAAGCTACAATGTTCCATCAGCACGCGCTTATGGTACGATCGACGGGTACGGCGACGGTAAGGAAAACCACGAGGGCTCTAATCTGGAAAGCAAGCTAAGAGGTGGTGTAGATGGACGTTCGACAAGCTTCTCTTCGCGACCGACGAGCAATGGATCGGGACGCAACACGCCGGCCTCTGGTGATCGAGACGGCAGTGACTCACAGGGTGGACGAACATCGGCGATGGATCGTAGTCAAGGGGACGGCGTGGAGAGCTGGAAGCGCGCAGCGGAGGTCACACAGAATCTGAAGGCGAGAATCGAGATGATGAAGGCAAGTCGTCCCGATATGCATAAGACGTGACCTTTCGACACTGACTCCTGTGTACAGGCGAGGCAGAACATTGGCCGCGGACAATAACACGCGATCAAAGGCTACCGCTCTTACTTGCCACATGTCGAATGCGAGACACGACGTTAGAACGCGCTCAATGAGATGATGAACAGGACATGATCTGGATTGGTACTTCGCAGGACACGAAGTGCGCAAGCCGAATGGGAGGCGTTCTTGGGGAAAGGGAAGGTATCGACGAATGCTTTTACACCACCGCTCGATACCATTGATTTGCTGCTGTTCCATTCTTGGGCGTCGTTCGTAGTCGACACACGTATAGGATTGTTGATACTCCTCAGCGGGCCGTTCCCGGCTTGGGCTCGCCAGCGAATCTGATGAGAACGATGGCTTGTACAAAGCGATTGGTGATTGTGCACTGACCATAGACGTCTACTCTTTGTCTAAGTCCGACGCTCGTACGTCTTCTCGGGACCTTGCTCTCCAGGCCCAGGCACGAGCACATTATTGCTACTCGCCGCCAGCCTTCAACTATAAGTGGTTGGTATGGTAGAAAAAGAGGGCAAGCTAGGGTTTCGGCGGGATGTCTGCCGACTTCATCCGTGTTCCAGACAGAAGGTGAACTTTTCCCACGCGAGGCAGGCAGTCCTACCGTGAGGAGACGAGCGATGCTGGTTTTCTGTCCTTACGCTCAACGGCAGATGAAGAAGGCTGCAGGCTTGAGCTGGAGGACCTCTTGGGTGGCTACGGACCCCAGACGCCTCGCCTCGGCTAGCCTTTGATTATGCAGTTGAGAGAATGAATGGAGTAGAGACGGAGGTGATATAGATAGCAGATGCCGGGACGGTCGTTGGATTCTCTCGCCACCTGTCTCATCACTTCTCCCCTGACGTTCTCTACGATATACTTTTTGTCTTTCAAAGCAGGCGGTCGCTGATGAGGAAACCAGCATTCTCGTTCAAGAACCGCCAATGTGCCTTCCACTTACTTACTAGAAGCACTCACTGTCGCATCGTTCTCTCCCGCATCAAAATACCTCAAATCCAATCCGTGCATGTTCCCTTCCGCCCTCCAGTCCTCCATTAGCTTAATGAAAGCCGGGCTTCCACCTCCATACGTCGCATTTCTCAACGCGCTTGGATTCGCAGTGCCTTCATTATTATAGTACCCAGGCGTACACTCTCGCGCAAACGATGCTCCCAGAGCCGCGGATTCCTCGATAGTCCTCACCCAATCCTTCTCCGCTTCTTCAGTCGGCTCAACCGTCCGTATGTTGCGCTTCACGGCTTCGCTGACGACGTACGCGAGGTGCTTCGCTCGCTCTCCTGAGCCGTGCATATAATTGGGTGTAAGGGCCGATTGCACAGTGCCGACCCAGAAGCAGTTTGGAAAGCCTCTCGTCGTCCAGCCATGCAGAGTGCGAGTTCCGTCTTTCCAGCAAGAAGTGATGGTCTGTCCATTTCGGCCGTAGACTTCCATGTTCGTGCGGTGAGACCAATCCGTCGCGATCTCAAAGCCTGTGGCATATATGATGCAGTCTACTTCAATTTCCTCGCCGTTGGCCACGATTGCCTTCTCAGTAATCCGCTCGACACCAGCCCCGTTCGTGTCAATTAGATGCACGTTGTCCTGGTTGAAAGCTTGCAAGTATTCATCGTGGAAACAAGGGCGTTTGCAAAGTTGATTGTACCATGGTTTCAACTTTTCAGCAGTCGCCCTATCCTTAACAACTTCATCGCATCGACCGCGAGTTTGGTTCATCTTGTCGAAGTCGGCCATTTGACGCTCTATGGCGGCTTTCTCGGGATCTTCCAGGTCGTTCGCGCCGCGTGCAAGAAGCTTTTGGAGGACGTCTGTCCAGGCGTCCTGTACTAGGTCCACTGGAAGGATGGCACCATGGACGATGCTATTGAAGTTTTCCATGCGCTCTTTTTGCCAGCCAGGCTTCAGACTTTTGGCCCAAGCCTCATCAGTTGGCTTGTTCCCACGAACATGGATCGCCGATGGCGTCCGCTGGTATACGTAGAGCGCTTTGGCATACTTTGCAACGTTGGGGACAATTTGCACTGCAGTCGCTCCGGTGCCGATGACAGCTACACGCTTATCCGCCAAGTTTGTGAGAACACCGTTGTGGTCACCTCCGGTGTAGTCGTAGTCCCACCTCGATGAGTGAAAGCTGAATCCCTTGAATTCGGAGATGCCTTTTACACCGGGCAGCTTCGGCCTGTGCAAGAAACCGCCGGCGGTAATGACGAACCGGCATTTGATGTCATCGTTGCGACTTGTCGATACAGACCAAAGGCCTGTCTCCTCGCTCCAATGTAGCTCGCCGACCTCGGTGTGGAAAAGAGTCTTATCATATAAGCCCCATCTTCGACCAATCATCTCCGAATGATGGAGAAGCTCCTTGCCACGCGCATACTTCTCTGTAGGTATGTAGCCAAGCTCCTCGAGGAGAGGCATGTAGATGTACGACTCGATGTCGCATTGCGCGCCAGGGTACCTTAAGGCAATTAAATGAGGATCAGGATGCTTGCTTCAGATGTGTACTCACCTATTCCAATACCAAGTACCTCCAAAACCACCGGCCTTGTCAATCATCCGAATGCTTTGCACACCAGCTTCAATGAGCCTCACAGCGAACAATTGAGCTCCATACCCAGCCCCTACGATCACCACGTCGACAACTTCGGAGACTGGATCACGATTGAAGTTCGGATCTGCCCATATATCTTTGATAAAAGGTGCAAATTCGTTGTGCTCCTCGATCAGGTTGTATTGGTTGATCCCAGATACGGCTTGCTGGAGTCTCTTATCTCGCTCGGCGATGTACTTCTCTTTTAGCTCGACTGGGTCGAAAGGACGCACGGCTGGCTCCGTTTCAGCTTTTTGTTCTTGTTGTGGTCCAAGAAGGTCGACCTCGTCTAGAACTTGGGCCGTTGCCATGATTGTAGTTGATGGGTTTGTGCGAAGATCTTCAAGTGTGTGAGATAGTGGGATGAGGTGTTCACCTTTTCAGGACCGGGGTTCCCCGTTGCTCGTTGTCTTGGCCGCAAAGATGGTCCCGGGTACTTTAAAGCCGAGTACAAGCGCTGAATGTTCACAAGGGTGTTGGCGTATACGAGAGTGTCGCTAGATCCACTCTTTCGGCGCCGTAGTATGGTTCAAAAGCTCGTTCATGCTCTCTAGGCTTCGAGACTCGGACTCGTCCGGGGGCTCCGAATGTGGAGTATTCCACCAACGCTTGTCAATATCTTGAAGGGATCCGACTACTCAATGAAAGCGAAAAGTGTGTCTTCTTATACCTGCATGTCAGCTTTGACTAGAGCGGGCGTGTGGCAGGCTGAAATCCATGTACTTGACAGGGAAGCGATTTCCCCTGGTCCAGCAGATTGATGTCCACCGGTTGAAGCAGCCTAATAACGTGAATCTGTCCCGTTCGGGCACGATGTCGTTGCTTCGCAGCTTTAGCAACTTTCTCCATCCATCCGAAGACTGCTCATCGACGTCGAGTCACTAGAGTCAGTCTGTACTCCAGCATCAAGACACCTTTTGGGAAAGTGATATGTCGGCTGGGGCTGTGGCGGATGGTGGTCATGCTTAGAAGCATGCCGCGCCAAGCCATTCCGACTGACTCACTCCGAGAGTGTAACAGTAGTATGTGATTCAAGAGTGTTGTATAACTATCGTACATGGCGCTGTCTGACGATATGGCGGGAGAGATTCAGTGATATCACTAATAGATGGTCGAAGCGTTGGAAAGCTGGAAGGGCAGTGGTCGTGGGGAGGGAAGCACGGACTGCATCTCTGTTCCTTGGCACTCCCGACAGCCGCCGAATGACGACTCGTTGCCTTTGAGAGCTGCCTTGGACGAGTAACACTCTCACTAAACACCGTAACACCCAGCATCACCGCCCATCTTGGAAGAAATTGGCCCACCAGACCTCTCCGGCAGGCTCAGGAGCAGGTTCAGTCAGGATGGCGCCCTCACTCTTCCGCAGCAGGGACATGACCCTGACCCAGCTCTATGTCGCCAACGAGATCGGACGCGAGGTCGTCTCCGCCCTGGGAGAGCTGGGAGTCATGCAGTTCCGCGATGTATGTTGAGATGGCAGCCTTAAGATGAGAGGGAGGGAATGCGGGATACTGATACGATACAGTTGAACCCCGACACGACCGCCTTCCAGCGAACCTTCACCCAAGAGATCCGCCGCCTCGACAATGTCGAACGCCAGCTCAACTACTTTCGCGACCAGATCGAGAAGAACAGCATCGAAATGCGCTCCATCTACGAGTTCAGCAATACTATGGCGGCTCCGTCTGCCTCAGAAATCGATGAGCTGGCCGACCGCAGCCAGAGCTTGGAGCAGCGCATCAGGAGTCTCAACGAGAGTTACGAGACTCTAAAGAAACGCGAGACCGAGCTGACGGAATGGCGCTGGGTGCTTAGAGAGGCTGGTGGTTTCTTTGACCGCGCTCGTGGCCAGACCGAGGAGATTAGACAATCGATCGACTCTTCGGATGATGCTCCACTGCTACGCGATGTTGAGAATGCGAACGGATCCACCGAAGCTGGCCAGCAGAGCTTCAGCGTCATGAACATTGGCTTTGTTGCCGGCGTCATTCCCCGCGAGCGGATGGCGGCGTTTGAGCGTATCCTTTGGAGAACTCTGCGTGGCAACCTCTACATGAACCAGTCTGAGATTCCAGACGCCATCGTCGACCCAGAGAAGAATGAGGAGGTACACAAGAATGTCTTCGTCATCTTTGCGCACGGTAAGGAGATCATTGCGAAGATCAGGAAGATCTCTGAGTCTCTGGGTGCGGATATCTACAACGTGGATGAGAACAGCGAGCTGCGTCGAGACCAAATACACGAGGTCAACAGCCGTCTTCAGGACCTGTCCAACGTGCTTGGCAACACCAAGCTTACGCTCGATGCTGAGCTCACTCAGATCGGACGTTCTTTGGCCGCGTGGCTCATCGTCATTAAGAAGGAGAAGAGCGTCTACCAGACACTCAACCGTTTCTCCTACGATCCAGCCCGAAAGACCTTGGTCGCGGAGGCCTGGTGCCCGACCGATTCCCTGGGCGTCATCAAGTCAACCCTTCAGGACGTCAACGATCATGCTGGTCTATCAGTGCCTACCATCGTCAACCAGATCAGAACGTCCAAAACGCCACCAACCTACAACAAGACCAACAAGTTTACCCTCGGATTTCAAACGATCATTGACGCCTACGGTACTGCCAAGTACACTGAAGTCAATCCTGGACTACCTACCATTGTCACGTTCCCCTTCTTGTTCGCCGTCATGTTCGGTGACTTTGGTCACGGTATGATCATGACACTCGCTGCTGTCGCCATGATTATTTTCGAGAAGCCTTTGCAGCGTGGCAAGCAGGATGAACTATTTGGCATGGCTTTCTATGGTCGTTACATCATGCTCATGATGGGAATCTTCTCGATGTACACCGGTCTGATTTACTGCGACGCCTTCTCAAAGGAGATCCCCATCTTTCCCAGTATGTGGAAGTGGGAATTCCCGGACAACTACGAGATAGGAAAGACAGTCATCAGTGCAAAGAGAGTGGAGGGCTACACATATCCTTTCGGCATGGACTGGAGATGGCACGACACCGACAATGACCTCCTCTTCAGCAACAGCTACAAGATGAAATTATCTATCATCATGGGTTGGGCGCACATGACCTACTCGCTCTGCCTCTCGTACATCAATGCTCGCCACTTCCGGTCGCCTATTGATATTTGGGGCAATTTCATCCCGGGAATGATCTTCTTCCAGGGCATCTTTGGATACTTGGTCCTCACCATTGTCTGGAAATGGTGCGTTGACTGGTACGCCATTGGAGAGCAACCGCCCAATCTTTTGAACATGCTTATCTACATGTTTCTGAAACCCGGCACTGTCGATGAACAGTTATACCCTGGCCAAGGAGCGGTACAGGTCATATTAGTTCTGCTGGCAGTTGTGCAGGTCCCAATCATGCTGTTCTTGAAGCCGTTCTACCTTCGCTGGGAGCACAACAAAGCCCGCGCCAAGGGATACCGTGGCATCGGAGAGACCACGGCCGTCTCTGCTCTGGATGATGACGATGAGGGCGAACATGCAAACGGCGACCCAGGACGGCCAAGCTTTGCCGAGAGCGATGTCGATGGTGCTGTGATCACTCAAGATATTGGTGGCGGCGAAGAAGGTCATGAAGAATTCGAGTTCAGCGAGGTGATGATCCATCAGGTCATTCACACTATCGGTACGTTATGATGAGCTGTGCGCTGTTTACTGAAGTGGCTAACGAAACCTGCAGAATTCTGCCTCAACTGCGTCTCGCATACAGCATCTTACCTGCGTCTGTGGGCCCTGTCACTCGCTCATCAACAGCTGTCCATTGTGCTCTGGTCAATGACTCTGGCTAACGCCTTCAAGTTCGAAGGAGGCGTGGGTATATTCGTCATCTTCTGCGCCTTTGCCCTTTGGTTCGCCCTCACTATTGCCGTCTTGGTCGTCATGGAGGGTACTAGTGCCATGTTGCATTCACTCCGTCTGCACTGGGTTGAAGCGATGAGTAAACATTTTATTGGCGAGGGAGTGGCATTCGAACCTTTTAGTTTCAAGGACATGCTGGAAGAGGAGCTGACAGAACTGAAATAGTGCCGCACGCGTTGGCTTTGTCGTATGTAGTGCATTGTATAGAACACCTATTCCTTGCCCAGCCGCATCTCATCCATCCGGCTCGTCGGTCATTGTGGAATTAATGGTGAACGCTTCGTCGTCTCTCGGTTATAGCGAAGACCCCAGTCTTAGGTGGAGTGGTGGTATCTATGAGGTGCTAGCTGAGCTCCTTGACACCATCGACACTGTGGGTACTTGCGATGAGACAGTGCCACGACAGCATCGGCGTTCGGCTCAATGATTGAAGGCAAGCTGAGTATAAGACCTGTGTCGTCCGAGACGAAATCACAGCCAATCTACCATCCTAAACAACCACTCAAACAAGATGCCGGGCAAAGTTATCTCACCATACAAGCAGGTCCCTGAGACCCAGGCTGATCGTACGTCTCTCAAGCTTCACTTACCATCATGTTGCTAATTATGTCGCAGTCGACTGGGCCGAACTCGTCACCCTCGACCTCAGCCAGTTCGACCAACCCGGCGGAAAAGAAGACTTGGTCGAACAGCTCAAATACGCAGCACACCATGTTGGGTTTTTCTACGTGAAGAATTTCGGGATCTCTCAGGAAGAAGTTGATAGGCAGTTTGCTCTGGGGAGGGAATTCTATGAATTGCCGTTGGAGGAAAAGATTAAGTGTAAGCCTCGGGTCCAAGCACTACAAAGTCGACCGATGCTGATGTGAGATGTGTTAGATCACAATTTGAAAGAGTTGCAGAGTGGGGAGTACAATGGTTATCGACCTGCTGGGTTGAGAGAGTAGGTATCCCCGTTGACGTGGGATTGTGAGATGCTGACTTGGATTATGAAGGCTCACGAAGGATATCAAAGATAACATCCAAGTCTACAACCTCCCGAAATTCGACGGATACCATGATCGTCCACAACCCCCGGTCCTGGCCGATCATATCAAAGAAATCGAATCTTTCAGCCGGAAATGCCATGAACAGGTCGTTGTCAAATTGCTAAAACTCTTTGCTCTTCTCCTCGAGCTCCCGGACGAGAACCAGCTTGTTAAGGATCATCTGTACGACGTCAAGGGTGAAGATCATCTGAGGTATATGCATTACAAAGCTCGCTCTGCAGAGGAAAATCAACAGGTTGGGGAATTGTATACTCCTGGCCACACGGATCTAGGCTCCATCACTCTACTCTTCCGACAACCCGTCGCAGCTCTCCAGATTCTGAACTCAAAAGGAGAATGGAAGTGGGTGAGACCACAGGATGAAACCATCACGATCAACATCTGCGATGCTTTATCCGCCATCACGGGTGGGTATCTCAAAAGCAGCGTCCACCGAGTCCGAACTCCACCGGAAGACCAGGCGCATCTGGATCGTCTGGGAGTTTTGTATTTTGCGCGACCGAACAACCACGTGGTGTTGGATGTGATTGGGAACAGTCCGCTTTTGGAGAGGGAAGGGGTTGTGGAGAACGACTTTACGAGATTGGGGAAGAGGTTGACGATGGAGGAGTGGTAAGTGAACGAACCATGAGACCTTGTTATTGTTTTGACTCTAGAGAGTGAGGGCTGACATTTGATTGCGAGCAGGGTAAAACTTCGTCAGACACAACAGCAGCGTCGTACCCAGGCGCCCAAGATTGAGGGGAGCAAGTATGAGTATACGAAGAAGGAAATGGAGATCATTCCTGGACTCGAGGCGAAGATATATAACTGAGGAGTGTGGTGACGGTGGGGTGTTGGATGAGATTGATTAGGTACAATCTTTTGGAAGTAACGGAATGCACGTCAATGACGGCTTAGAGCTGCAACCTTTCGAACTTGTTGAAGAAACACACCGCAGCAACTTGGATGGAACCACCAGAATTTAATGCCTGAGGCACGCGCTGTAGACAGCAATTACTAAGCGTAAGATACATGCTGATAACGTGTATTTCATCTCGGCCAATTACTCCATTTCCATCTACGCTGCAACGCTCCAGCTTCTTCCTCACTGTCATCCACTGCATCTGCATCAATGCTGTCCACCCATCATCTCCCTATCTCAATGCTACACAACAGCGGCTTCGGGATGCCATGCGCCGCACGGAAGAGTTGAAAGGATAATCTCGTTTCTCCGCACACGCCAAATCTGCGGGCACGGCATTGCCGCGGGAAGGTTTGAATGACTTGACGTTCTATGCATGAAGAGTAATATTACATGTGATGACGCAGGCGGAGAGCCGGCACATATATATTTCCCCTGCCGATCCGATGGAAGGGAAGGGAAGGGCAGAGGTAGGTGGCTCTTTTCACGCAAAGATGCTGTTTGGTTTCCTTGCTTTCGTTGCATTTGCTTCGGCCGAGCCGACTGCCTCTAACCCGCAGCCGTATGCGGGTGTCGTGCAGGCCAGGCAGGCATATGATCCTCAGACGAGTAATGCGTCCTCGTTGGAAGTGGACCTTGGATACAGCGTCTATCGAGGATATGCGAACGCTACTTCCCACGTCAACGTCTTCAGAGGGTGAGTTCTGCGCAATCATGGACTTCAATATCAACGTCTAATTCTTTGCCAGAATTCGATTTGCTCAACCGCCGGGCGACTCATTGAGATGGCAGGCTCCACGAGCGCCGACTGTGAATCGCACCGCCGTCATTCCCGCCACGGAATACGCAGCACAGTGCCCGCAGAGCCCTGATGCCTCGTACTCGATTATGGCCGTCAACGAGACCGGAGCATCCGAAGACTGTCTCTTCTTGAACGTCTATGCGCCGAACAATGCTTCCGGGCCTCTTCCTGTCTACTTCTACATCCATGGAGGGGGCTACGGCGCTGGAAACGGCAGATACAACCTCCAGAACATCATCAATACCAACGACAACCGGTTCGTCGCTGTCAGCATTCAATACCGCTTAGGTGCCTTTGGCTTCCTCTCCTCAGACGAACTCTACCGCAAGGGCGTGGTGAACGCTGGAATCTTGGATCAGGTGATGGCATTGCAATGGGCACAGCAGTACATCCACCTCTTTGGCGGCGATTCGGATCAGATCACAATCGCTGGAGAGAGCGCTGGTGGTGGCTCCGTCATGCTGCTTGATATGGCGTACGGCGGTTCTCTGGGCACACAGCTTTTCAGGAATAGCATTGCGGCGAGCCCTTATCTTCCGATGCAGTACGGATACAAAGACTGGATTCCGTCCCAGTCATACTATTCTCTTGCAGCTGCGGTTGGGTGCGACACCATGAAGCCATACGGAGCGAATCACTCTGTTCCTACATTCGAATGCTTGCGGAACGTCAGCTCTGCTGCCCTAGTAAATGCCAGCGCACTGATTTCGCAAAGTGGAACATATGGGACTTGGTGAGTTGTTACCTTCAAGCCACCTGGAAGTTTTGGCTAACATGCCACAGGGCGTTTCTACCAGTCACCGATGGTATTCTAATTCAGGATACGCCCTCTCGCCAACTGGGCCGCCGCAAGGTGAACGGAATCAATGCCTTGGTGGGCAACAACGCCAACGAAGGACCGGGCTTCACACCACAAAACATCCACACTGAGGACGACCTACTAGCCTGGCTGCGCCTTACATTCCCACTATTCTCTAACAACGATATTGCCAAGATTCTTTACTACTACCCCAGCACCAATGCCTCGGTGGATCCCAGCGATCCTCTCTTCGCAACCACGGGAAATAGTGGGCCAACTGCTCTCAATCAAAGCAGCGTCGGCACAGGCCAACAGCAGCGCGCCGACAATATCTACGCAGAGACAACTTTCGTTTGTCCCAGTTACTGGCTCACAGAAGCCTATTCGAACAACGCTCTCGGAGGCTCAGCATACAAATACCAATACTCCGTCCCACCCGCCCGTCACGCAGACGAAGTTAATTCATGGGTCAACTGGCCCGGCACTTTACCATACAGTTACGATTTCGCTGTTGCTTTCCAGAGAATCTATGGCAATTTCATCACCACATCCAATCCTTCCATTTCGAACGCTGTGGCCAATGGATTGACCACTGGAAATGCGAGTGGAAGTGTCGGTGCGAATGCTGCGTCGACTTGGCCGCCTTTCAGTATTTATGCTCCGTACCAGATCGATCTGAACATCACGTGCGGCACTCAGAGGGTCACGAATGATGATGGGACGTTTTTCTGTTATGGGCCGGGAACTTTCAATCAGTTTCGGGAGGTGAATGCGTATACGTGGGAAGGTGTAAGAGGCACTCGGTGTGATTTCTGGAGGGCTATGGGGGAGATTGTTCCGGAGTAGCAGATGACTTAGATCGACAGGACAATAGACATGAAATAATAACGAGGAATGCCGGATGATCGGAATGTTTCTGGTCGAGACCGGAGCCAAGCAAGCAGGTCGAGGTTGAAGTTTCGACCTTGAAGGAATCCTATTAGGACGCGGATGTGGAGGAATCGTCGCTCCTGAATGCGGTCGTTGGGGAGACTCTGCGTCTGTATGGGGCGGCTCCTGGCGCGCTTTGTAGGGTTGTGCTTGCTGGAAGTCGCGATTCGGGAGGCTGTTCCGTCCTCGCTGTTGCCCTCGGGTTTGCTAAGATGAGATAGAAAACACGTGAGAATTCTAGAACGAGTTCGTTTTCACCCCCCTGCATTTCAGTCCCATCGTTCGAATGGTTAGTCAAGATGTCCCTTCACGAGAATGCCCGTGACGCTGTTGTCGGAGGTTGGAGGGAAGGTTGAAGGTGGAGTGCATTTTGATGTTGTTCCTGCAGCGCCATCGTCATCTCTCAGGAGGTGGGCGAGTCACGTGGGCAAGCGCAAGCGGCGGGGGCTACCTTCCGCGTGCCGAGCCGTGCCTTCTTTGCCTGGGCTTGGCAGCAGGTGCTTCCTTTCTGAAAAAGTTCGTGTTCGATCTGACATCCCATCCGCCTCTTCACCCCATCCTCCGCTGCACCCAACAGCACCTTAGCCCCCTTTTGTTCGTACATTCGGAGATCAGGTCCAAAAAAATCAGAAAACAACCAAGAAAACCCGTCCCGGCTCTCACCCAGTCGGCTCCCACTTCATACTCCTTTGCGGTGCGCGCGAGCAAGCATCAAGCACACGACAGGTAAATCCACATGTTCCCGAGACAACACACTCGCCTGTGACTGCGACTGACACCTGCGACAGCTCAACAACTTCAGGTCGTTTGACAGCTTCGAGCTCGCAGTTCCGCGATTCCAGCGCAGTACCAAGTCAAGTCTACAAGCGTACGCACACACAGATCCTCTTTGTCCCCCAGTCAAAGCGCACGACAATACCATACCACAGTGTCGGCAGCAGACGAGAAGGTTCCAGCACGGAAGATAAAGGAGCGCGCGCTAATATCTGCAGCATACAGACAGACTCCGCCCAGCATCATGTCTGACGTGCAGAACTCGACTTCGCCTGCCGGCCAGGTCGCCTCTCCTCCGGCCGATGCTCCTGCCACCAACGGCAACCAGATCAACACCAGCGTCGCTGCCTCTGGCGAATTCAATGACTCTGCTACTCCCACCTCGGCTGCGCCCTCCACCGCCAACCCCAACTCCGCCTCCCTTTACGTCGGCGAGCTTGACTCATCCGTCACCGAGGCCATGCTCTTCGAGCTCTTCTCCTCCATCGGCCAGGTCGCCTCCATCCGTGTCTGCCGTGACGCCGTCACCCGCCGCTCGCTTGGCTACGCATACGTCAACTACAACAGCGCCGCGGACGGAGAGCGCGCTCTTGAAGAGCTGAACTACACCCTGATCAAAGGCAAGCCGTGCCGCATCATGTGGTCGCAGCGCGATCCAGCTCTTCGCAAGACCGGCCAGGGCAACGTGTTCATCAAGAACTTGGATGCCGCCATTGACAACAAGGCCCTCCACGACACGTTCGCTGCCTTCGGCAACATCCTTTCCTGCAAGGTTGCACAGGACGAGCACGGAAACTCGAAAGGTTATGGATTCGTGCATTACGAGACCGCCGAGGCTGCCAATCAGGCCATCAAGAACGTGAACGGAATGTTGTTGAACGAGAAGAAGGTCTTTGTTGGTCACCACATCCCCAAGAAGGACCGCATGAGCAAGTTCGAGGAGATGAAGGCGAACTTTACCAACATCTACGTCAAGAACATTGATCTGGAGGCCACCGACGACGAGTTCCGTGAGCTGTTCGAGAAGCACGGAGAGATCACTTCTGCTTCGCTCGCGCACGACCACGAGACCGGCAAGTCTCGCGGCTTCGGCTTCGTCAACTTCGTTAGGCACGAGGATGCTCAGAAGGCCGTCGAGGAGCTGAACGACTCGGACTTCAAGGGCCAGAAGCTCTACGTTGGCCGTGCCCAGAAGAAGCACGAGCGCGAGGAAGAGCTGCGCAAGCAGTACGAGGCCGCGCGCCAGGAGAAGAGCGCCAAGTACATGGGTGTCAACCTCTATGTCAAGAACCTTGCGGATGAGATCGATGACGAGGAGCTCCGCAAGATCTTTGAGCCGTACGGAGCCATCACCTCTGCCAAGGTCATGCGCGACACGACGCCTCTGGATAGCGCCGAGGCTTCTGCCAAGCCGGAGGAGAAGAGTGACGAGGAGAAGAAGGAGGGCGAGGAGAAGGAGGGAGAGAAGAATGAGGAGGATGTGGAGGACCTGTCCAAGAAACTCGACACCGTTACCATCGGCGGTGAGAAGAAGGTCTTGGGCAAGAGCAAGGGTTTCGGTTTTGTCTGCTTCTCCAACCCAGATGAGGCGACCAAGGCTGTTACCGAGCTCAACCAGAAGATGATCCATGGCAAGCCGCTGTACGTGGCTCTGGCGCAGCGTAAGGAGGTTCGCAAGAGCCAACTTGAGGCTAGTATCCAGGCGCGCAACCAGGTTCGCATGCAGCAGCAAGCCACCGCCGGCGGCATTCCACCACAGTTCATGCAGCCACAGGTCTTTATGGGCCCCAACGGCCAGCCTATGATGGTTCCAGGCGGACGTGGCCAGATGCCCTATATGCAAGGCTTGCCCGGCGGTCAGGGCCAGCGTGGTGGATTCCCAGGTATTCCGCAGCAGGGTGGTCGCGGCGGTCCTCAGGGCATGCCTCAGATGCCCCAGATGCCGTACGGCTTCCCGCCACAGATGGGCGGCCTCCAGGGCTACGGCAACCCAGCAGCTTACGCTCAATTGATGCAAGCTGCTCAGGCTCAGGCGCAGGCTATGGGTGGTGGAGGACGCGGACAGGGTCGTGGCCAGCCAATGCCGGTGCCAATGGTGCCAGGCGGCATAGCCCCGATGATGAATCAGCCACCAGGCGCCGGTGCTGGTCGCGGCAACTTCTCACAGCGCGGAGGTCCAATGGGTCGTCCAGACGAGCAGCGCGGTCGTGCACCAAACCGCGGCGCCGTCGGTGTCGACTTGGCCGCACTCAACGCTGCGCCACCTGCGCAGCAGAAGCAGATGCTCGGTGAGGCTCTGTACCCCAAGATCGCTGCTCAGCAGCCTGAATTGGCTGGCAAGATCACTGGTATGCTTCTCGAGATGGAGAACGAGGAGCTCATCAACCTGTAAGTGCCGATGATTGTTGAACTATCGAAAGAAAGCGCTAACACAGATGCAGCACTGGCGACGACAACGCTCTGCGTGAGAAGGTTCAGGAGGCTCTCAACGTCTACGATGAGTACCTCAAGAACCACTCCGGTCCGTCTGGTGAGGATGGTGGACCAGCGCAGACGAACGGCGAGAACCTCAATCCGAGCGTCGAGGAGGCGAAGGATTCTGAGGCCTAGAAAGCCGGCCGTGCCCCTTACTTGGCCCAGCCTTTCTGGTCTCGCCGACCGAACATGCCGGTGCACGCGATGGCACGCTGAACAGCATTCGGCCTTAGCTGGCGTCAGGATGTGACAGCCTATCGTTCTTGGAGGCGCGCCAGCGAACACGTGCTGCTGCTGCGGCTGCTTACGTTTTTCCTTTTTCTTGTCATGGACATGCTACGACCACACTCCATCGGATCGGCATGGAGAATACTTGCGATACCCCTTTACTGAGCTCTGCCTGCTGTTACATGCGGTATGAGCTAGTTGCCGACTGTACTACTACCCATGCAAACGACTACTTCTCCCAATACTGCTTTCCACTTGCTGCTCGGGTGTCACCGGCGTGCAAGCCGACTTACATCATCACTTCATATCTCACGTGTCTGTGCTGGTGGGGAGCTTTGCATTGATTTGATTGATATCGGTTTTTCTGTGGAAGGGGAGGTGGATGAGGCGTGAGCAATTGTTTTGTGCATCATATGGCACAACGTGTATGAGAATGGATAGTACGGTATAGATTTCGAGTGGATTCTCGAGCGTGTGTCCTGATATTTCATGAGGATCTTGGGTTGGTGGTGGATCTTGATTGCTGGAACATGCAGTGCGAGGTCGGGCGGGTCCTGGATCGTGGAAGACCCACCTGCCGGGAGCCGAATTCGACCGCGTGGGTCGATAAGGTACGCGACTTCACCTGCTTCCAGACAACTTGACCTTGACAGCTTTCCATTTCCCAGGCTTTCATTCTTGATGATGATGATGATGGAACTCCACCTGGAAGACTGCACGCAGTTGAGGCGGGAAACGTCTCAGGACCCCGCCAGCGAGGAGAAGACTTTCAATCCTTCGGGAAGTGCAGTGCACCTCAGTGGGAGCAAGCAGGACAAAGGAATGGAATCTGCGATCGGCGTGGCCCACTTTCTTCTGGCTTTCCCAAAGGACATAACCTAGGTAGGTACCTTACCTAGGTAGGTACTTTCAGCAGCAGTAAGTAAGGTGGCAATGTTCTGTTGTCTCCAAGCTTGATCCCAGCCGTCCGGCGATATGTGGTATGAAGCGACTGCATGATGAGTTGAGGAGAGCAGTACCGTTCATCCTCTCGCGCAAAGTTTCCCTTTTGTCCGAAAAAATGGCATGCACAATGCACCACCACTGCGGCCGGCCTTTTTTTGTGGGTGGCCCGCCCGGGAAAGCGATCGCACATTATCCTTCCGAAGCTTCGATACATCTCCACTCAACTACTACTGTATCTACCTGAGGGGAGGGGAGGGCTTTTCGTCAGCCCGCTGTGATAGGTTGTGTCATTTCATTTTTTCTTGCGTTGCTTGAGAGCCGGGGAGCAGAGAGAGCCAGCTTGGAAGCCTCCTCGTTGCGGCGCAGGGTGCGGAGTATTATTGCATTGCATTGCCCTCTGTGGACTCTGCTCTACACTTGACGGGCGCTTTGGGATTCCTGTCCGGTTGTGTTGGGTTGGGCGTTCTTCTTGGATAAGGTAGGAAGGAGGAATGTTGGGTTGGGGTGGATTATTATTATTATTATTATTATCGTCACGCCCGTGTGGCTTTGCTTTGCTTTGCAAGAGTAGCTGAGAATGCGTCTAATTGCAGGAAACGCAAAGATCGATGATGGCCTATGAATGCTTTTTGCCGCGAAGTCATGATGCGAATTGTTAAGTTCTCGGTTCCGGCATACGCTCAAAAGAATATCATATCATGACCCTATCTACTGCCAGCCTGTCTTTTTTCCTCCATCTCCAGAGAAAGAACTCGCAGTATCAGTCTAACCAGCTCACAAACTGCATGGCTGTGCTCATCCACACTTTCATCTTGTTCTTCTGCTTCTTCTGTCGAAATCATTTCGCCTGCGGGGAATCGCTCCTCTCCGTCTCCCCTCCCCCAACCTGCACGGGGGGGATCATAAACCCGCGCAAGAAGTCCTCCAGCATACCCAAATCCTCCGGATCCGCATATCCGACCCAGGAAACGACCTGATCGGGCCTCACGAGCGCCATCGCACCCCTCTCCGCGTCAACCTGGTAGACGGCATGCGTTCCCTCCTTGGCACCACCACCACCACCTGCTGCTCGATCTTCCAGACGATCGCCAAAGAGGGTGAAGTAATCCCTACCCGTGACCGGATCCGGCGGGAAGAAGGCGTCGTGGAAGGCTGCGATTTCGACGTCGTGGACGCTCGCGGAGTGGAAGAGGAGGACTTGTAGCCATTTGGAGTGCTTGGCGGAAGCGGAGGGGTAGCGCTGGGCGAGGGAGGCGATGCGGTCGCCGAGCGCGTTGATTCGGCTGAGGTGGGAGGGGTTGCGGGAGACGTCGCCGGCGAAGACGCAGAGGCGCCAGAGACCGTTGGATTTCAAGAGGGATTGGGAATTGTTCGGTGCGCCGTTGGATTGGTTGAAGATGGGGGTACCCGCGAGACGGGTGCCGATCGGGAGACCCGGGGCGGCTTGCTGGTGGGCGGAGGTATCGGGGGAGGCGATGAAGAGGTTGGGTTCGTAGATGAGATGGTTGCCGTTGGTCTTCATGGCGCGGCTGTAGACGCGTTGGGCTTCGGCTTCGTCGCCGTTGGCGCGTGCGGTGAGGACTCTGGCCATGTCTCGGTCCAGGCTGATGAGTTCGCGGGCCACGGGGATGCGTTCCGTTTCGTAGGTGGAGAGGACGGCGGGGGAGAGTTGGTTGCGGAGGACACCGGCGAGTTTCCAGGACAGGTTGTAAGTATCTTGCTGAGAGACGTTCTGCCCTTGGCCTCCCTTGGGTGAGTGTGCTAGAGAGGGGTCAGCTGCCAGATCTCGGACCACAGAAGCGAGTGATGGACGTACTGTGGATGGCGTCTCCTGCCAGGAAGACGCGGTCTTGGTAGGAGCAGTGGTTGGCTACTCTCTGCCCGATTCGGTAGATGGTCCACCAGTCGCAGTACTTGTAGTCCATGGTATAGGGAGCCAGGCTCTTGCGCGCCGCGTCCAAGATCTCCGCACAGATGGCCTTGTCGTCGCGGTCCTTGGCCGTCTTGGAATAGTCGTCCGGCAGCTGGACGTAGAGTCGGACCATGCCGAACTCGCGCGGGACGACGAGAATGAAGCCTTGACGGGACAGGATGCTGCATGTCATGCGGATGTCGGGGAAATCCGTGAGCGGGATGATATCTGTCGATTGAAAAAGGATATTAGCATGATCTGATCGTGCGCATGTCTTCCGGAGTCGCAGGCTTACCGAGCACACCAAAGACGGCATCGAGATTGTCGCCTTCCATTCGGAAATCGGGAAGCTGATGCCGCACCCACGAGTGAGCACCGTCGCTCCCAATCACATACTTGGCCCGAATCGTCTCCGTGCTCCCTTCCTCGCCGCTGACATGCTGCACAATCTCATCCGCATCCGTCCCATAACAATCGATATACCCCCTCTCCGCCTGCAGACTCCCATCCTCCAACACACGATGCGCGCCCGTCCTCGGCGCCTCCAACTCCCCCATCGTCGCCCTCCGGATCTCCGTCACAACGCCGTAGTCCCCCACCTCAATCGCAGTCGGCTTCGTCCCCCGCTCCACCCGCGGCCCACCCCGCTGCCTCGCCGCCTCAATAAACGCCGCCTCGATGAACCCCTGATGCATCAACCCATTCTTCTCCCCCGCCACATCCCTCCGCGAATACCTCAGAATCCCCCCCTTCTTCTTCTTCTTCTTCTTCTTCTTCTTCCCATCCTCCCCCTCCACCTCCTCCTCAACATCCTCCGACTTATCGAACCCCCAAATCGCCATCTCCCCAAACTCACACCCATACCGCCGCAAGCGCTCCGCCATCCCAAAACTCTCCCAGATCTCAATCGTGCGCGCGTGGAAGCCGTCCGCGCGGCCGTTGAGCGTCCGCGTGCCTTTGGCGTCGATGATGCGGTGCCCGATGCCCAGCTCCGACAGGTACATCGAGGCCATGAGGCCCGCGGGGCCGGCGCCGATGATGAGGACGTCGGTTTGGGAGTCCGTGTGCTGCGGCGGCGGCGGCGGGGAGGCCATGATGATTTGATGGATTGATTGATGGTATGCGTGCGTTTTGCTGTACTCCCGTCTCCTCCCTTTCCCAAAACTGATGGGTGGTGGCGGACTGATAATAAAGGAGAGTAGTATCGAACGAACGAACCAACACCTCAGAGTAGTATATCGTCGCACTTGCACAACACCACCCTAAGCTATGATCTCACCCTTCGAAACCCTCAAAGTACCCTCCTGAGTCCTGATCCTGTATGAGACGACGGCCTCTCTTCCAAAAAAAAAAAAAATCAAAAAAAGAAACTGCCCGTGATGATGACGGGGCCAGGTCAGCACTTGTGAGATATAAGCTTACCGCTGGTCTTGTCTGGTCTTGTCTCGTCTTGTCCCGTCTTGTCTTGTATGCATGTATCGTTTTGAAACACGACCTGAGAGGATCATCGGGCGGCAATTCACCCAAACAGGAAGGCCGTTTTCGCCCAAAGAAAGCTCCAAGCTCCCCCCTCCGGCATGCATGCGAGGTCATGGATTGGATCTTTGGAACCTCGGACGACAAACGTCGATCTCGGGAAACGTGGTACTGTATCGCAGGTATTGGGGGGGGAGAAAAGTAATAGTAATGCCGTCCGGCGGGCCGAGGAACCGGCGTTCGATCCGATCCGGGGTTTCAAAGAAAGTAATGTAAGGTAGAAAGACCGTAATCTACTCGTGTACTGATGATGAGACAAAAAAAAAAAGATATCAATCCGAAGAGAAGAAAAAAGATATCAACACGACGGAAGAGATGAAAAAAAATTGTAGATAGCAGATCTCTCCGCAGAACAAACATATCACACATTCGTCACATACCCACATACTCAAATACTATACCTATACCTATACCGTATCCACGCATGTACGGGCCATTATCCATACCATACCATCCATACTGCTCGCATTTTGTCGTTCGTCCGTCCACCATTCCTTCCATTCGGAGAGCGAGCGTCCGTCCACTCTCGACCGGGACACGCTCATCGGGCATCCTTCTTACCGCCGTGAGAGAGAGATAGGACCCATGCCCCCTACTGTAAACCTTCGATCCAGAGAAATCACACAAATGCCACTGCCCTTGCTGCCTTGCTGCCTCTGCCTCTGCCACTCCCGCTGCCGCCGCCGATGCTGCTGCTCCTCGTGTCACCTCTGCCATTGGCCATCCATGTCTGTCTATCAACCGTGGCCGAAGAGGTCAGTATGAAGTATTACAGTAGATGAAAAGAATGGAGAATGCGCTCCGCTGGGCCTCGGCTCGCAAGACCTACCGTAGAGGCCGTACATGTCGGAGCGAGAACTAAGGAGAAGATACCAGCGACAAGCTTCCTCAGCTCTCTCATAGTATGTCAACGTTTCTTTGAATTATGGTCCATTCTTTACTTCGTTTGAGGAGGAGGTTGAGGAGATTGAGGCCTGCCCCAAAAATCCAACGAGGCAATCACGTCGTCGCCGACTTCGTCTTCATAGGCGAAGAGAATCTGCAAAAGTCGTCTTGTCAGCAAAGCCGGAATGGCAGAGTCAATCCTGTGGTTGGTAAAACTCACCTCTCTCGTGCTCTGATGCAAGAACCTGATATTCTTGTGCGTCTGTATGCACACCAATCCACCCGTGTCGCTCTGCCGGATCTCGATAAACTCCGGTTCGAATGCAAGAATGTACTTCTCGCCCCACGTCGCAAACGCGTTCGGCGAGCCTTCCCACAATATCTTCCAGTCGCCTCGGGCGCGCCAACCGTTCTTGTTGACGTAGAAGGAGAAGTCATTGTAGCAGAGTAGGAATTCGGCAGTGTTGCGCTCAATGTAGATCGGCTTGACGTTTTCCCTTCGCGCCACAAAGTCAAGCGACGTGTCGGCCTGGTCGAGCAGGGATTGCGTTTCCAGTGTTTCCAGTGAGACAATCTCGAAGCCCTTGGCGCCGCCCACGCAGAGTTTACTCCGGAGGAAGTGAATACTATTGCTCTCCATCGGGATGTAGAACTCCTTGTACGGCTTAAGAACCTCTTGGCCACTAGCCAGCATCTTCGCCAGACCGGATTTCTTCTTTCCCTTGGTCATGGAATCCATCGGCTCAAACACCTTGACCGTGGACGATAGCGAAGAGGACTTCACGCAGCACACCAGATTCTGGCCGTTACAAGTGCCAGAATTGATGTAATTGGCGTGACATATTCTTCGGCCTCGCTTAGAGGGCGCGGCGGGTCCTTCGTCTTCGAGCGCATCAAGCGGGAAGCTGTAGACTGCTTTGTCCGCAAGAACAATCAGGATCGAGTGTGTTTCCAGGACCTCAATCTGCGTCACCAGCTTGGTGTCCAGTACCCGCTTTGGCTTCTGCGACGCATCCTTGGGCTTGCGTTCCGACACGTAGACGCCGAAATCGGTTCCGATGACAAGCTTCCTGCCGCTATCAAAGGGTCGACAGCAATTGACCCGTACAGTGGCATTGAAATATCCCTCGTTGAGTTTGGACATTGTAAAGATCTTGTGTCGTTCCGAAAGCTTCTCCTTCTGGTTCATGATATGCTCCATCCATTTCTCGCGCTGCACCTGTGATGTGCAGAAGAGTGTGAGCTCATAGCCTCCTTTGCCGAGACCCTTGAAGGTAATGGGGTATCCTTGCTCGTTGGCAGGTGGGCGCGGAGTACTACGTCCTAAGCTGGGCACCATGCTGGACGAAGGCCTCTTCGCGATGCCCAGTTTAGGCAACACATGGTCCATTTCCTTGATCTGCAAGAGCTCCAGAGGTATAGGCTTCCGATATACGCGCACTTCCTCCTTCTTGTTGACCGTCTTCACGCGGACGATCAGTACCGCGTGATCGAAGAGATATGCAGTCACGTCGGCTTGCTCGGAGGTAACTTGCTTCTTCAGATTGCTCTTGAAGATCAGTTGTCGAGACTCTTCAGTCAACTTGAGATCCATGTGCGGTATCGAACCCCACTTCAGTTGAGTGTTCAAAGTCATCAAGTTGAAGTGGTTTTCAGCTTTGCCGGACTCCTCGTTCACGCGGCTCAAGAAGTGCCGGATCTGCTCGACGGCCTTGGGGATGTCCTTCATATCAGGGTTGCTCTCCTCGGTGAATTTGAGAACATTCTCAAGCAATAGAGGATATCTCGCTAGACGGGTGGTGGGTTTGGTCAGGTAGCCGTTCAGCTCCAGCTTTCGCGATTCTTTCAAGCGTTCTGTCTCCTCCGTGAAACGGGCAAAGGCTGGATTGGAACCTTTCTCCTTCTCGAACTCAAACTTGCCGAACAGCTGATTCGCACCATATCTAATAAAAGGGTGGAATTGCGGAACGTACTCCAAGAAAATGTCACCGACATTGCGGACGACAGGGTTCTGCTGTTGCCGTCGCGTCAAGGCATTCGCCATACGAGCATTGACGCTGTGCACCTCCTGGCAGTTTGAGAACACGGTGCGAATGAACTTTTCCCTTCGGTGCTCGGGAATGGGTGAGATGTCCGGCATACGTAGAGGCTTGATCCAGAAATCCCTGAGATATTCTAGATCCTTCACGAAATCGCGTTCCGTGTACATGATTTCCGATATGACCTCCTGCCTCTTCTTTTCCTTGTCACTAACGCTGTCGGACACCTCCTTGGACACGGTGTTGATCCACAGTTTCTGTTCGCTCTCGAACTCGTCGTGCAAGCTGGACCGCGAAGTCTCTCGTTTGAGGCCAGGTGTGACCTTCATGTTGAGACGTTGCTGTTGCTCCAGTCGTCTCGGACACGCAATGGAATAGCAAAGATTGTCACGATTGCAGGTAGGCGAATAGCATTCAGTCAGGAGTGTGAAGACACCATTGACCTCCGGTGGTTCCTCGTTGATGGTTTCCTTGAATTGGTATACTTCATTGGGCGAATCTCTCAAACGGTGGGCGTAGGCTACCTCATGGAAGAATTTCTGCGCATCCAGTGATCGTCCCAAAAGCAGAGCCAAATTCCGATCCGATGTTCTGATGATGTAGGCGATCAGTTCCACAGCCTCGTATCCGCTGAAAGCATTCTTGTACACCAATCCATCTTTCTCCTTCTCTTGCAATGGCACTCTCTCTCGAAATGCCGAGGCTACATTCGACAAGAGCGCACCATATACCAGTGAGGGCCGTTTCTGAGCAACCATGGTGCCTGTCCGAGTATTCTGGCTGTCTGATCTCTGCGCGATACCACCGGCGGTGCTCCCAAGCGAAGGTCGAGGCGAGTGATTGTCCGAGGGCGAAACGACAGTAGAAGCCATCGACATTGACCGAGAGCTCTGACTACCACCACTATGATGCCTCACGGCCCCAGAAGGACCATTTGCATGATGGTAGCCATTTGTCAACGTTTGCTCGCTCACATTCGTTTCGCCCGATTCCCGCCTCCGATTGGGTATTACTCTCCCGCTCATTGTTTGTGTATAGTCATGATCTCGTGTGTATGAAGACATGGACATTGTGCGCTCATCTTGCGGTCTGTCTGGCACTATCCTGCCTTGCGCCGTTGTTCTTTGCTGTTGGCTCATGTATGGTTGTTGTCGGAAAGCGTGCGCGGGAGATATCGTGTAACTACTTCCGCCGGGGGGCTGAAAGGTTGGTCGCGATGTGGTAGCGAGAGATTGGGTACGAAAGGCGTCACTGTTCATGGCAGGACCCGGCGGACCGTACGGACGCTGTGCAAATGAGCGCTGATACGGCCCAGGTGGCGGGGGTCCTCGCGCATCAAGCCGTTGCGGTTGTCCATAGGGCACCCGGTCAGGTCGAATGGGTTGCGGAAGATTCTGGGGTGGAGGTCTTCGCTGCGGAGAGGTGTGGCCATTGCGATATTGCTGTTGAGGCGGAGGAATTCCATTGGGTCCATCTGCAGAGCCTGGAGGCCGCGGGTAGCCATTGGGCTGCACGCCCGGTCGTATAGGAGGCGCGCGCTGCATATACCCCATCGTCGCAGCCGACATGGTGTTCGATCTGTCTCCGGGTATGGGAGGTGGCGCGCCGGTCATCGTCTGGCTCCGGCCTGCTCCAGGCGGCGCACCTCCGAAGATGTTGGAGAAGGCGGCATCGCGTTGAGCGCTCGAGGCAGGGTCAACGCTTGAGGGGCCGCCTCGTGCATAGTGACGGCCTTGTTGGGCCTGGTATTGAGCCATGCTGGTGGTGGTGGTGGTGGTGCATCCGGGCCACGCAGCTCACCGCACCGGCCCCGTCGCTCACACCCTCAGAAGACGCCAAGAACCGAGGGTCGCTCTCTGTCTCGCCGCCGAGAGCCTACGACGCCCGAGGCCACCAGCGACGAAGGGGATGCAGAGGGTGGAATGGCGCGGTAGGCGGGCAAATCGGGCGGAGTGGTCGATATCCCTGCTGGCGGGCACGCCGCGAATCAGGGCGTTGAGGCGAGCCGGCGAGGCAGTCGGCGGCGAGTAGGCGGAGTCAGGGAAACAATGGTCGTCGGCGGGCGAGTCTCGTGCGCTCGAGGTCATGCGGGAGCGCTGGATTGGGTGGGGTTGGAGGATGCGGCGATATAGATTGAGGTGTGCGGTGCAGTGCAGAGAGCAGAGCAGAGCAGAGCAGAGCAGTGCAGTGCAGTGGCTGTCTCGAAGTCTCTCTCCGACAGACCACCACTCTATCCACCGTCGGCTTCGCCCGTTCGCCAGGGCCGCGCTAGAAGCTACATAGCGAACCAAGCTGGACCGGCACAGCATCATCGTCTGTTCCGTCTACGAAGCTCTACAAACACCCACATCAGCATCATAAACACACCGTCCAAGACTGTCCTCACGACCGACTCAAGCGTCCACGATTCTCCTCACACCGCCGTTGAAAACGCCACCATGGCATCAGAACTCACGCCCAAGTTTGCGCCCTTCCTGGGGATGGGAGGCATCGCGGCGGCAATGATCTTTGGATGTACGGACATCAAGAGCGAGCGCAACATTGGGGAACAACACTGAGATTCAGTACAGGCATAGGAGCTGCATACGGCACAGCGAAATCAGGCATCGGTATCGCCAATGTCGGTACCTTCAGACCGGACCTCATCATGAAGGTATTGCAACTACGATGAAAGAGCTTTGGGACAGCATCTGACACGGGCGATAGTCCCTCATTCCGGTTGTCATGTCTGGTATCATCGCAGTATATGCGCTCGTCGTCGCCGTATTAATAGCAGGAAACATGAAGCCGCCGCCAGACCAGGAATACAGCCTGTTCAATGGTTGCATGCACCTCGCATGTGGCCTCTCCGTAGGCTTGACGGGTCTGGCGGCAGGCTACGCTATCGGCATTGTGGGCGATTCGGTACGGAGAAGCGCAGTGCTCAACACAGGACATGGACACAGACGGCTGACAGAACGGAAAGGGCGTACGCGCGTACATGCAGCAGTCACGGATTTTCGTCGGAATGGTCCTCATCCTCATCTTTGGAGAAGTCCTGGGTCTCTATGGGTACGTGGAGCAGTGCAGAGGTGGACCGAAAGGCGCGTCTTGGAAACTGACCTGCTCCGATAGGTTGATCGTTGCACTGATCCTCAACACAAGAGCGTCGGGTTGAGCGAGTGGAAGACGCTCCTGCTGCCTTCGACATTCCGAGTTCCTACATGTTCTACGCGCAAGCACATCAAGGCTTTCTGGCAACGGCTCACATACAGAAGAGAGTGCCTCGAAGGCCCCAGCGAGTGTGTCTCAAGTCATCCAGGATACCTGACTGTGGTATTTCACCAGCCACACACGTCCAGCAGTCATCCCGGTTAGGCATGAGCACTGGGAGGCCACCAGAAGGCAGCCGAGAATGTGTATATGTAGAGTGTACGACCTATTGTATTTGAAGCGGTATTTCGCAGTACGAAACCCGACCGGCTTGCTCTGATCATCTTCCAACGTCAAGTATGCGACCGCTCACGATTCCTCGTGAAAAACCAAAGGGAAGGATGTACTGTACTGCCACGAGTAGCGATGTGTGGATGGTTGTCGATCGCCTCAACTCTTGGCGCTTGTGGCTGAGAAAGGGTCGTGGGGCGGCGCTAGCGAGAGGTAAGACCTCAAGGCAACGACATTCACACCTCCTCCCACCTCCAGGCTCCAGGCAAATCTTAATCGCCCCGAGATACACCTCGGAACTGCAACTGCACTCTCTACCAAAGTACATCGACACCAATCACATACATCTCACTCACGGACGACGGAGCACTACTGCCACCAGAATATAGAACGGACGCGACGACGCTCTCACTGGAGACGCACCATTCCAGCCGCCTCGTAACATGCTGCTGGGGTCCCCGAGAGAAGATGGAGGCTTATCGGCATGCGCACCAGGCGCATAATCGCACCAGACATCTGACCAAGTTGTATTCCGACGCAAAGAAAAGCGCACTCACGAACCTCCAGGTCCAATCTGCCGCCAATGCGCAATTCGCCTCCTTGCACAGGAAATATCGCATCCAGAAGGATCGACTGATCACCTGGGGACTGGAATGGAGCGACGGCGAGAAGGGCCCGGATGGCGCTATCGATGATGCTGTCGCCAAAGCTGGACTCACCGAGACGGTGGAAAGTGTTATGCGCAACATACAGGAGGTCTTTGACGAGTCGGAGCGCATGAAAGCGGCCAGCGTAACGCCGATGATCAAGCCAGGCGAGAAGATTCCTCAGCAGCCTGTTGAGTTTGATGCGGCTCGATATCAGGACCTTTTGCACGACTTGACTACTTCCATTGACACATTATACGATCTTTCTCAAAACCGGAGAGCGCTTGCGCGAGGCGAGCACCCGACATTCGAGGATCCTCTGACAGAAGAGGCCGCGCTCTCCGATCATGTGGAGGAGGCAAGCGTTGGCAAGAAGAAAGAGATACCTCGCAAGAGCGTCTTGCGGACCCCAAGCTATGCTTCCTATGCTTCGTCTGAGATGACGCTAGTAAATCCCACCTTTGCCAGGCCGAGCTTATCTCCCTATGCAGGTCTACCTGCCCGGATCGAAGTATCCGCGTTGAGACTACCAAACGAAGGACCACCGCCTTACGAGGCTATCGGAGTACCATCAACGACTCGAATGGTCGCCCTCCTCGCGCGGAGGAACATCTCGGAGAGCGTCCAAAATGCACTCGGTAGTCCAGCGCCCGAGGTACCAGTCTTGGTAGAGTACGCCAACTTCGATGCCGCATATCGCGCGACTGGAGTGCCGCCTCCGCTTCAGCGTCTCGAAGCACTGGCGGCCTGCTTTCAGCCAATGCGCGCGGACTCCCAGACGAACCTGAGCTTACTTGGGTACTTTGAGGACGCCATTCAGCCGCGAATTGGGCTTGTCTATGACTTACCATACTCAATACAGAACAGACTGCAAGCTGGCAGTCGATCTGAGCCGCTCGTCCCACTCAGCCTTCTGAAGCTCGTACAAAAGGCCAACAAGTCGCAGAATGCGGGACCCGAAGTGCCGCCCCCTGCGCTTGAGCACCGATTCCGCATGGCGTTGCGGCTCACAGAGCAGTTGCATTCACTACACAGCCGGGAACTCGCACACGGCAACATCAACAGCAGCAGCATCATCTTCACAACCACTGCCAACGAGCCAGAGCCGAGCCGAATAGAGGCGCTCAGGAAACCTCTCTGGGCATCGTTCGACCTTTTCTCAAAGTGTACCATTGAAGGCGTGCGGCGAGCAACAGACTTCAACATTTACCGCCATCCCCATGATGAGTCCAATAGTGTAAACCGTGACTTTCCCACTGACATGAAATACGATTTCTATGGGTTGGGCCTGGTGTTGCTCGAAGTTGGTCTGTGGACTCCGATTAGCGAGCTCTACAAGTCGAAGTATACGCTTCCTGATTTCAAGCTGCGCCTGGAGAAAATTTGGATTCCCAAATTGGCTGCGAAGTGCGGTTCGGCCTACATGCGCGCCGTCGAGACCTGCTTGCGGCTGTCGGACGACACAGATAGCTCGAGGCTTACTGTTGAAGGCATCTATGGAATTCTGTTGCAATTCTTGAAGCGATGCTGCTTACTGGATGACGTTGGATCCTCGACAGAACTCATCCCAGCCTCAGAGCTTACATTTGCACCCAATTCGCCTGTGCTATCAAGCTTCAGGTCACGAAGAAGGTTCCTTCCGACGCCAGAGAGAAGCTCCCTTGCTAGGCACCAGACCGATCCCTCAGATTTCCTGAGGAACGAATCGATATCAACAAACGCATCCGCAGTGGCTGCGCAGAGGATGAGTTGGCTACCTACAATACCAGCCGGCGTTGCGTCAACCGCTGCTGCTCCATTGAGCCGGACCGTAGCAAAGGAAAGCGCCACCCAAGTGCGTGATCATCTGAAGGAAAGGTTACAATCGACGAATTCGCCGTCTCTGCGAGACTTCAAACGGCGAGTAAGAATCTTGCAGCAAGCCTGGAGAGAACGTTGTGCCGCCAAGAAAGAGAGATCAAAAATGGCAAGTGATCAAGCTCGGATGGGCTCCGATAACTTGCGGACCTCGCGATCGAAACCCAAGCGCGAAGAATTCCCTGACGTGAAGCTTCCGGAAGACATCTTGGCCCACTGGCAGTCTACCATGTGCTTCCAATTGCAGAGGCTCGTGGAAAAGGCTCTCAAGGGGTCTCCTGAGACTAGCTCCATCCGACTCCTGCCTTATGGCGAGAGCCCCGAAACTGCAAAGCCGACTCTCATGGTGGGTTGTACTTCCACTGCCAAAGTGAAGCACGCTCTCAAGCGTCACTTCAAGTACGACGCCAACGTCTACGACGTGAGAGTGAGAAAGGAAGTCATCAGGCGATGCAGACGAGGGCGGCGACATCGCGAGTCGGACGTTTCTCGAAGCACGGCTCCGATGCATGATCCCTCGGCCGAGAAAGCTGCAAATCCTGACTATCAAGAACGACCTCTTTGTGGAGCGTCAATTGGAGCTTTTCGCTACGAGGAGCACCTGCCGCCCGTGTCTTTTGGGGGTGTGATCATGGTGGATGGGCGGCCGTACGGGATGAGCGTTCATCACATGCTGGAGCCTGAGGAGGAGTCAGACGATGAGGAAGGACAAGCTGATGCTGGTGCTGATGACGACTCGGAGACTTCTAGTCTTGGTGGTGGCTCTGATGATGACGGCCTTTCAGACGAGGACGATCTGAGCACGGTACGCCCACCATCAACTCATTCATCTGATGACGAGCCAGCACCAATGAGCGACACCGCGGGAGACTGTCCGGGTATCCTGCCTGGCGACATGGAAGAAATCGCCATCACGCAACCCGCTCTTGACGACGCCATTGACTGCAACCTCCACGCCGAAGAGGATGACGAGGACGAAGACGACTCCGGCATCGACGAAGACCATCTCCTCTCTTTCAAGCTCGGCCAAGTCCACGCTTCCTCCGGTCTCCGACGCACAGTCAAATCTCACGACGGCGGCTTCAAAAGTATCAGCCAATCCCTTCCGCAGGAAATCGACTGGGCACTCTTCGAACTCCTTCCACCTCGCGTCCATCCCTACAACATCATCAAGGGAGGCATGAAACACTGCGCCGCCGCCGGTGACCGAAGAGGCAATTCCGTGCCCGTTGCCGTCAAGAGCAGCTCCGACCTGGCATGCGCTAAAGTCCACTGTCTCGGCCGCACGAGCGGTCTAGGCAGCGGTACCGTCTCCACCACCATGGAACTCGTCAAGATCCACGGTCGCAGCACTTTCTCCGCGAGCTGGACTGTTGCGGGGAATTTCGGAATTGGCGGTGATTCTGGAGCCTGGGTCATCAGCAATGAAGATGGCAAAGTCTGTGGACATGTCCTTGCGTCGAAAACGGGGAGGACGTATATCTGTCCGATGGATTTGTTATTGGAGGATATTCGGGCCACGCTTGGCGCGGAGGATGTTACTTTGCCTGTCGTTAGAGCGGGAAGTCGACCAGGTAGTAGTAAGAGCGAGGAGAGAGTTGTGGAGGATGCTGTGAAGAGGATTAGGATTCAGGAAGCGGAACATTGTGTTGGTGGAGGTGTGGCGTTGCCTGCTAGTCCTGTGCGAGCTTCGACGCATAGGACTGTTGATCCGGTTGGTTAGAGAAATGCCCACAGAATGATACCCGGGATGTCTTCGGCTTAGCGAAGGCGAAAAGCGGTTGGCCTATTTTCTTTTCCTCAGCTAGAAACGTTTTGATACCACTTGAAGCCATTCAATCCTTCAATCCCTCCTGTCTTCTCACTTCCACCTTCTCCTCGCCCGACAAATCAAACACCTTCCCCGGGTTCATCACCCACTTCGGATCCAGAGCCCTCTTCAATTTCCTCATGACCCCAATCGTCCCCTCCCCCAATTCATCCACAAGACATTCCTTCTTCCCGATCCCAATCGCATGCTCCCCCGAAACCGTCCCTTCCATCTCCAACGCCCGGCCCATCATCTCATGCACCACTCTCTCCACCGCAGCTTTCTGCTCCGCTTTCGTGGGATCATAAAACATGGCCGTATGGAAATTCCCATCCCCGACGTGCCCCACCACCGACGCGAAGAGCCCCAGACCCGCGCAGTCGGTCTTGGTCATGTCGATGATATCCGCGAGCCGCGAGAGGGGCACCGCGACGTCTGTGCTCCAGATTTCCGTCCCGGGCGCGCGGGTGCTGACCATGGTGAAGAGGGCTTCCTTGCGCGCGGACCAGAGGGTGGATTCTTCCTGTTTGGATTCGGCGAAGTGGAGGGTCTGGGCGTTGTGTTGGGCGAGGAGGTCCTGCGTGCGGGAGATGTCTGATTTGATGGACGAGGGGGTTCCGGAGAATCTGGGAGGGATGGTGTTAGATGTGATTTGACTTGTGGGCAAGAGGGGATAAGGGTTTTGTATACTTGAGGAATAGGGTAGGTTTCTCTTCCCAGGTTCGTTTTCGCACTGCGGCGCTGCCGTGTTTGTTGAGGACTTGCATCTGTTGTCGTGGAGTCAGCGTTAGCACTCACGGGGAAATTCATGTCACCAACCTGGACATCATCCATCATCTCTAGTGCAGCCAATTGCATTCCCGAGCGTATCAGACTCTGCGCCGCGCTCGCGGCCTCTCTGATAGTCTCAAACGAGACAACAGCTACGCTCGTATCTTGCGGTATAGGCGCCAACTTCAACGTGACCTCTGTGACCATACCGAGCGTTCCCTCGGCCCCCACAAACAAGGACGTTAGATTATATCCAGCCGAAGTCTTCCTGGGCCTTCGTCTCGTTTTGATCACGGATCCATCAGCCAGTACAACGGTCAGATTCACCACCCAATCCTTCATGGTGCCATACCGCATCGCATTCGTCCCGGAGCAATTCGTCGACACCATCCCACCAATCTGCGCTGTAGGCGAGGGATCCAGCGGAGCGAAGAGACCACTGTGAGCAATCTTGTTGTTGAGATCAAACCAATTCACACCCGGTTGGACAACAACATCCATATCCTCAGGATGAAAAGCAACGATTTGATCCATGTAGGTGAAATCCACACAGATACCAGAATACGGAGACGAGAAGTTTCCTTCCACGCTGCTGCCTGCTCCAAAGGGCACCAGAGGCACATTGTGTTGATTGCAAGTCTGAGCAATCTTGATGACATCTTCTGTCGATCGGGGATAGACGACTGCCACGGGCCGTTCTTTGGTATTCGAAGTTGACCATTCCGAATGACCGTGGTGTTCGATGACGTCTTCTTCGAAACTGACCGAGTCCTCGCCTAAGCTGTCGCGGAGGAACATGGCAACCTACTATACTGCGTCAGCTGCCGATCATGATTTTGTACAGAACTTCCATACTAACGTTTAGCATATGAGCGGGACTAGCATACTCAATCTTGCTCCCTGCTTCCAATTCGGCTATCCGTTTGCGAAGCCGTTTGGTCTCATTGTTATTTCTCTCGTAATACTTCCCTCCAAAGTAATTCTCAATCCCTACAATCAAAGGCGGCACGGCGATGAGCCAGAGCAAGGAAGATCGGGACACTGTCCCTGCCTGAGAGGAAGCATGTCTTGACCGAGGCCTGGCTCTCTGGAATAGATTCTTTCGGAAACCCTTAATTGGAGAGAATTTGGTGAAGAAAGACATTTTAGACTGTCGAGTCAATCATGTCGTTGGCTACTGGTGAGGTATTGAAAGAGGTACATATGTATTGTAGAGTTAATACGGAAAGAGGAGTTGGCGGCCAAGTGAAGTCCGAAGACGGCAAGCCTTTGCTGACAAACCAGGTTACGGTCTACCGTAGCAAATAACACCTCAGGCAGCAATATTTGACTTCAGCTTCCTCTCTTCCTATCTTCTTGTGCTGTTTGTACTGTCTACAGAGTCTGGAAACATCCGATCGAAATGATTAGATGCCCACTCGCTTGATCTGGACATTATAGAAACAATTCCAGGTCGTTTGAGGCGCACATGTGAGACTCGATTCGGCGTACAAGAGGCTAACCATACTGGTTCTCTCGAAGGTAACAACATGAATATATGCTGGCCGAGAGCCATTGAATGCATAAAAATATCTGATTTCGAGGCGTAGATACCGACAGATCCTCCCTCCAAATCGTCGAAGCCGATGAGGCTCTTCACCATTTTGACTGTCAGATAGACCAAATTCGCCATCACCGCAGCGCCCAGCTCTTTCGTACCAGTCTTCCTTCCCGAGTGAAGACCACCAATCCCCGGGATGCCGATCAAGAGCGCGGCCCAAGTAGCCAGCACCGGTAGCCAAGTCCCGATCCGCACACCAATCCCGCCGATATCTGAATTCATCGCAGGCTGCTCACAGCCACGCACATGCTAAACCAGTGCTCGAATCAAAGCCATCGTAGAAAGCATAGAATTGGCGTAAATCGGACTCCAGAAACCTCCCTTCCCACGTAGCAAGACCAAAGACCGAGACGGAATGATTCTGCCGGACCATGTCGGGGACAGCAGCTTGATCGAGCAACAAATGCCGGACACCGCAGTCGAAATTGCAACGGACACGACAATCGCAACGTCCCATCCAACATCCGCTGATGGAGTAGAGACAAGACCAGAAGCATCGATAGGCAACGAAGACACTCCACGTGCAAAGAGCGTCACTGCCAGCCAAGATCGAGGCAACGCTCCATGATGGTAGTGATCGATCGAAAGGCGAGTATGACAGTCGCAATGATCACTACAAGATCGAAAATGGCAATACGAATGGCAATGGCGCGAGTGATCTCGCGGCGGCGAACCTTGCGTATGAACGAAGCGTTAGCAGGTAGGTCATGTAGCATGGAAGGAGTGCAGATGCTCACCTTTGGGTCTCTCTCTTCCATCGAGAATGGATCTCCGACTGTTTAATGTCTCCACAGAAATAGATCCAGAATGGTGAAGATTATATAGTTGCGCAGTTGAGTTCAACTCTAGAAGCTCCAAAGGGGGCGTTTGACTGCACCAAGAGCAATCAATGGAGACCTGCATCGCAGCGGAAACAGAGACACCCTTTCACCATTACCTTTGCATGACCATAATGCACCGTCCATGGACGACGCAAATAACAAGAGAATCCACTAGAAGCTTCAGACAAATCATATCAACGCCTCGATGATGAGGAAACCCCTACAGAAAAAGCATCGCGTCAATATGTACACAACCGCACGAAAGAATCTCACTTTCCATTCGTGCAACGCAAAATACCCTCGCTCGCGTATCACACGCGCAATGTAATCCGATTCTCCATCTATTCTCCCTTTAGCTTGTCCTGCTTAACAGCCCACGCCATGTCCAAAAGATCCTGCTCCTCCTTCATGTGCGTGCTCTTGAGACCAGTGGCCACCGACGCACTCGGGTTGCGACCCGCGTACATGACGTGCTTTCTATCGTGATGCTGGGTGTTGTTCAGCAGAGTCTCGATTCTAGGTTGCACGAAAGACCAGGCTCCGGCGTTCAGTGGCTCTTCTTGGCACCAAACGACGGTCTCGGCGTTAGGGTAGCTATCCAGGTTGTCTCTGAGCTGCGCCCACGGGAATGGGTTCAGCTGTTCGACACGGGTGATGGCAGTGTCGGTCAGGCCGTTCTGTTGTCTGTACTTGAAGAGCGCTGCGAAGACCTGTCCGGAGCAAATGATGACGCGCTTGATGTTCTCATGCGATTCAATCTTGAACTCTGCGTCCTCGTTGTGTGCTGGGTCTGGAATGATCCACTGGAAGTGGCTCTCACCAGTGAAGTCCTCAATGGGAGAGCGTGCAAGTGGGTGACGTAGCAGGCTCTTGCTGAAGAACGAGATGAGCGGCTTGCGGAATTGCCGGTTCATTTGACGTCGAAGAATGTGGAACGAGTTAGCGGGAGTGGTGCAGACCACGACTTGCATGTTGCAGTCTTGGTGTTGACGGTCGAGCTTCTCAGGAGATGGGAAGATGCGGGGATCTTCGTTGCAAAGTTGCAAGAAACGCTCCATACGACCAGAGCTGTGCTCGGGTCCTTGGCCGTCGTATCCATGTGGAAGGTTCATAACAAGACCGGATCGCTGAAGCCACTTCACTTCTCCTGAGGCAATGAACTGATCGATGACGCACTGAGCGTTGTTCGCAAAGTCACCAAACTGGGCTTCCCAAACGACCAATGCGGTGGGCGACGAGAGCGAGTAACCATACTCGAAACCAAGAGCACCGTACTCGCTCAAGCTGGAGTTCGCAATGACGAATGATCCTTGATCTTTGCCCACATGCTTGAGAGGAATGTAGGCTTCCTCGTTCTCCTGGTCGTGAAGGACCGCGTGGCGTTGCGAAAAGGTGCCACGCTCCACATCCTGACCGGAGACACGGACATGGTGACCCTCCATGCAGAGGGTTCCAAATGCAAGAGCTTCCGCTGTGGACATGTCGATGTTCTTACCCTCGCTCACAGTCTTTGTGCGGTTCGCTAGAATACGCTTCAGGTTGCGGTGGACGTGGAAATCCTCCGGCGGCTCGCCAATGACCTTGGCAATGTGCTTCAGTCGCTCGGCGTCCACAGCAGTTGGCTCGTGGGGAAGGACCTCGGTGGCAAGCTCCTTGGGTGACTTGAATCCGTGCCACGCGCTGGTCAACCACTCTCTCGCTGTTGGCTGGTAATCTTTTGATCTGGTGAATGAATCCTCAAGCATGCCCCACACCCACTTCTTGTGCTCATCGATGTCGTCCTTGGTAAATGTCTTCGCCTCAAGTAGCTGTTTCACGTACTTGTCAAGAACGGGTGGCTGTTCATTGATGCGCTTGTACATCAAAGGCTGAGTGAAAGAAGGCTGGTCAGTCTCGTTGTGTCCCTGCTTTCGGTAGCACACGATGTCAATGATCACATCCTTCTTGAACTCAGCGCGCCAGTCGGCAGCAAGCTGAGATACGAAGTTCAAGGCCTCGACATCGTCGCCATTGACGTGGAAAACAGGCGCGTCGACGAACTTGGCGATATCGGAGCAGTAAGGCGTGGAACGCGCGAAACGTGGGTCGGTGGTGAAGCCGATCTGGTTGTTTACAACAATGTGGATGGTGCCTCCAGTCTGGTACGCGGGAAGCGCGTAGAATCCCATAGTCTCGTATACAACACCTTGGGCAGCAAAAGCAGCATCACCATGAAGCAGAACACCCATTGCAGACGTAGCTTGCTCCTCATCGCCGTTGGAGTGCAGAATGGCGCGGGTTTTTCCGAGCACGACGGGGTCTTCGGCTTCCAAGTGAGATGGGTTGGCAACCAGAGAAAGCTGCACGCGCTTGCCAGATGGAGTGGGACGCTCAAAATTCATACCAAGATGGTACTTGACGTCTCCGGAACCCTCATCTGAAGGCTCGGCTGAGCCACCAAACTCCGAGAAGATAGACTCGTTTGGCTTTCTGACGACGTTGGACAGGACGTTGAGACGTCCTCTGTGGGGCATTCCAATCACAATATCCTTGACGCCGTAGTCGACAGAGCGGTCGATAAGAGCCTTCATGCCAGGGATGAGAGACTCACCACCCTCGAGACCGAAACGCTTGTCGTTGGGGTACTTCGTTGCCAGGAAAGCTTCGAAAGAGGAAGACCAGATGAGACGGTCAAGAATTCTCCGCTTCTCATCCACTGAGTACTTGTAGGGCTGCGGGACTTCTATCCTCTGTCGGAGCCAGTCACATTGATCTCTATCCGGAATATGAATATATTCAATACCGTACGGGCCACAGTAGAGGCGCTCGCAGGTGTCGATGATCTCACGCAGCGTCATTTTTTCTCGCCCTTCGGTCTTGAATCGTGGAAGAATACCAGGTCCCAGTGAGAACTCCTTGTCCATATCTTTCTCAGTAAAGTTATACGCCTTCAGTTCCAGCTCTCGCGGAACACCCTGAGGGCCTCCTTGGGGCAAGTTCTGATTCCTAATACCCAGCGGATCAATCTTGGCCTTGTGGTGTCCACGTGCTTGGTACGCTCGCACGAGAAGCTGGACCTTCAAGTGGTTTGTGACATCGCTGCTGTCGCCTTCTCCAACTGCAGCAGCGCCACCAAAAGTCGGCATAGTGGTGCCGCCGACCGGTTGAGGAACAATCGTAGGTGGAGGCGTGAAAGCGCGGCTCACGGGCATATCGCCGCTCTCCATGTTCTTGAAGTAGGCCTGCCATGATACGTGGACGGACTTTGGGTCACGCTTCCACTCGGCGTACATCTCGTCGACATAGTTGGCGGTGTTTCCTGATAAGAAGTTATCTGAAGGATCCACGCCCTTGTCCGTCTCTTCCGCGGCGACAGCATATCGGCGGTGTTGTGAGGTCCAGGCGTTGTAGGAGGTCAAGCCCAACTCCCTCCGATGGACTACCAGGGCTGTGCGAGGCGCATTTGGGGAGAGACTCGAGAATGAGCGGCTAGTGTTGGCCAGACGTTTGCTGCATGTTCGTAGCTGGGAGAGCAGCATGGCGGAGGATGCTCATCGGACGCTTGGCTCAGCACGGATGGGGCAGGTGCGGCAAACTCCTGCGCAAGAGTCTGTCAGTAGGTGAATGAAAGGTCACAACTAGGCGACGGGAGAGTGTGGTGTGAAGCAGAGTCACAAGTCAGCAATCGGCAGCAACAGCGGCATCAGCAAGTCGTCAAGCTCTGGAGAAGCTGCACTTCGCCTTTGCCTCTCGGCCAGTCCGGCTCAAAGCTCGCTTCCTCCCGGATGTAGCCGATCTCGTACTAGCTTCCCCGACTTACATCCGTCCAGCTCTGATTGGCTCACCATGACTAAGGACACTTGTGCCTCAGGCTCGGATGGATCACATGCAAAACACCATTCCCAGTAACGACATCTCACATCTTCCAGGTCTGTCCGCCAACACTGATGAGAAAACTCCATCTAGTTGCTCCCATGAGGCGTCGTTAAAGCTTTCGAACCCCCGACATATGAGTAAGGAGGCCAGGAGCCTCTTGAGACAGTGATTCACCTAGAGGGAAAGATCGGGTACAGAGGCTCTGCCTTAGCTAAGCGAATTGAAAGCTGTGTTTGCTAACATGACTTCCAGCGCACCTGCAACAATCTCACATGCAACGGCGTTTGTTGCGGCTTGGCACGCTAGCGAGCCGCTCCTTCCGCTTTACAACCCGTCCCGACTTCCGCATTCCCACTCCTCACATTATCTACATCAGCATTCCCCGACCAACACCGACAATAATTTGTCACTCGAATCATAAGCAGATGGTGCGTATCTAATAGAACGAACATCGGCCTTCATCCCTGTCTGACAATATCCCAGAGCACAATGGCAAACGAACGATCTGAACAACCCTTCATCGTCCGCTTCTACAGCAAGCCTGACAAGAACCACCCGTCAACTGAAGACCCAGAAGGGCGCACCCTCAAGGACATGCTCAACTACAGCAACGACGAGTTGGAATCCCACGTAAGCCCAAGCACGCTCTAGAATCCAGACCACAACGACAACTGCTGACATCTTTCTCTTTCCAGCACGACTACATCCAATACCTCTTCCCTCTCCCCGAGAAATCCATGGTCAACCCCGAAGCCGTCCTCATCGATTTGGAAACTTATCACGCTTTCCAGGAGGATCCTACCCTTCGGGCTCGACTCTTCGAAGCTTTCAAACGCATGGCTTCGTTCTACGGCTTTGACCTGACCGGCAGCGAGAAAGATCCTGTGCTCACACCCAAAGAGAACTTCAAGAAGCTCGCCGGTCAGACTTGGCTCACGCACTTCGATCACAATCATCTACGCATCACCCGGATCATACGGTATCACAGTGCTAAGAAACCCCTGTACGGAGTTACAGATGCTAATCATCCAGTAGGTGCCTCCGCGTTCTCAGCTTGGAGAAGGTAGCTACCGCATTCTTCGAATCACTAGAAGCATACGCCGGCAATAAGGTCAACGCAAAGTCTCGAGACGTGTGGAGGAAAGCGGCCAAGCGGCCACTCAACATGAGACCAGACAGAGATGATGCGATCGGTATCAAATGGCTCTATGAGGAGCTGAATCCAAAGCAGGAAGAAGGGAGCGATGAGTGAATCACGACAATAAATGTAATGACAAGCGACGTTGACATGAGTTTCGCTGCTACAGATCCCAGATAGCAGACTAGTAAAGGGAGACAGAACCGAACTTTCACTTCTCAAAAGTTGTAACCAGGAATCTCAACGATACTGTCTTAAGTGGTGGCACAGGCAGTTCGTGTGCATGATTCAAACTGGTCCTAGTGCACATGAGGCGAGAAGTGTGGTCTCAATGGCTGCAAGACGAGGCTGTGAGGTCAGCGTATGCAACTATCCGCGGTCTGTCGGATAGGAAGTTGTTTGCAAGCCCGCTTTGACCGCGTCGACAAACGCAGGAGATAGCGGTCAGAGGAAGGCTCTCTCCCACCTTCGTGACACTCACATCCACTACTTTCATTCTTTTCGTTCCATCGACACTGTCGCTTCAGACAGTATCTCGACCTGTTCTTCGCACCCCAGAGTCCAGCCCCAAAGCAACGACTCCCTCACGCTCACCCATCATGGCGGCCGAGCAGGCTGAACACGGCATCAACGGCGTCGGAAACGACGTCAAGAAAGAGGATGGAACTGAAACTGGGACCAAGAACATCGGCACCTCATCTCTCGAGGCGCTTCAGAGCAAGGACTCCCGCAAGATCATGGACACGGTCGACGAGCTCCGTCGAAGCGGCCTGGGCGGCATCATCAACCTACCGCAGCTCGTAGTCTGCGGCGACCAGTCATCTGGCAAGAGTTCCGTCCTCGAGGCCATAACGGAGATCCCATTCCCACGAAGAGAGAACCTGTGCACCCGTTTCGCCACCGAGATCATTCTCCGTCGTGCCAGCGTCGCCGCCGTCTCGGTCAAGATCATCCCGGACAAGCAGCGTCCTGAGCCCGAGCAAAAGAGTCTGAAAGCTTTCAAGAGTGTCATTGTAGATTTTGCCGAGCTTCCGAAGCTGATGGATGAAGCGACGAAAGCCATGGGTCTCACGGATGACGGCAATGGACCAGCTCGTGCATTCTCTCGCGACGTTCTCTCGATCGAGATCGCAGGTCCCGGCCGTCCTCATCTCACGCTGGTAGATCTGCCTGGTCTCATCCACTGAGAAAACAAGAATCAGTCCAAGGAGGACGTAGAGCTCATCCGTGGCCTGATGAACGACTACATTAAGGAGCCTCGAACTATCATCATGGCTGTCGTGTCAGCTAAGAACGACTATGCCAATCAGATCATTCTCCAGAAATGTCGTGAGGTTGACCCGAAAGGCTCTCGCACCCTTGGCATCATCACTAAGCCTGACTTCCTGGAACCCGATTCTGAGAATGAGGAGTCATGGCTTAACTTGGCGAACAACAAGAACATCCGCTTTGAGCTCGGTTGGCACATTCTCAAGAACCGGTCCGCCAAGGAAGCGAGCAACAGCTTTGAAGAGCGGAATTCTGCCGAGACGGCATTCTTCTCTCAGGGCAGATATCGTAGCCTGCCACGTGAAATGGTTGGCATTTCGGCGCTCTGCAATCGTCTCAGCCAAATGCTTTTCAAGCACCTGAGATTTGAGCTACCGGGTCTGCGGAAGGAAGTCAACGAGAAGTATAAGGAGACCGGCCACGAACTGGATTTGCTTGGTGATAAGCGTTCGACCGTTTCTGATCAGCGTCGTTTCCTGATGACGGTAAGCAATGAGTTCCAAGATATCGTCAGAGCTGCGGTGACCGGACACTATGAGCACGATTTCTTTGGCGATCTAGATCCCGGTGAGCCAGTCAGCCACGAGAGCAACATGCGTCGTCTCCGTGCTGTGGTACAACATCAGAACTCTCAGTTCGCCACTGTCATGCGCAAGTATGGCCACAAATATGAGATTGTCAACGAGGACGATGAGTTGACCGTAGCGAGCGTCACAGAGCCAGTGCCTGCATCGGCACAGTTAGTGGATCTGGACGAGGGCTATGCTGAGTTCGCGTTCTTACAGTTCGAAGTATCACGCGAAGACGAAGTCAAGCGCGTTCGAAAGATCATGGTGCGTTCTCGTGGTCGCGAGCTGCCTGGTGCATTCAACCCTTCGCTCATCAGCCAACTGTTCTGGAACCAATCAGCCAATTGGAAGATCATGGCGGAATATCACGTCAATCAAGTTGCTGCGGCCATGAACGACTTTGTGAAAGCTGCGATTGGCTTTTGCGTTTCTGAGGATGTGGCCGATCGCCTTCAGGCTCACAAAGTCGATGCTGCTCTTGCCCAGCGCCTGGAGGACGCCAAGGCTGAGCTCTATCGTGTCCTCGAGGATACAAAACATCATCCCATCACCTACGATCCAGTCTATGCTTCCATCGTGCAGACAATGCGGCACAAGAGGCATGCTACTAGGCTGGATGAGCTCGTCGATCGCGCGGAGACCACGGTGTACAACGGGAGCAACAAGTCCCACGAGAAATACCTAAGCCCAGCTGTCGTGAGGAGCGGTATGGACAGTCTCATGGAGCGTGACATGGACAAGACGTCAGCCGAGGAAGCCCTAGACAGTCAACAAGCGTACTACAAGGTAAGATTCCCTCAAAGAGCTGACAGGTCAGTGTAACTAAATCCTGACACAGAGAGAAGTCGAGTACTTCGTCGCCTCTGTGGCCAAGCAGGTCATCGAGCGCCATCTTCTTCGTAACCTCGCCGGCAACACCATATCACCTATCTTGGTCGGTGATATGACTGATGAGGATGTTGCCTTGATCGCTGCTGAGCCAGAGGAGACGACTCGCAAGCGCGACTTCCTGGAAGCTCGCAAGAAGATCTTCCAGTCTGCTCTTAGACTTTTGAAGTGAGACGATGTGCAAAAGTCGCGTTTCCAGACTTGAAGGCTTGAAGCCTTGGAGGATTTGAAGGCACCAGAGCCACCAATTGTCCGTGATAGCACATGTATGGTCCGAGCCACGCCGATGTTCCGGAGTGGTGCAATGATGGCCAAGAGATTAGCTCAAGTAGACATAGAAAGCATCCAGAAGAAGAAGCCTTCTGGAGATTGAAGTCCCGTATCTTTTCTTGCGGCTCCCATCCAGTAAGACTATGTTGATTGTTGAGGACAATGTCGAGGTGAAGTTGGAGGCGGACGAGTTTCCCGTTCGGTCTGAGGTCGGAAGCTTTCGGTAGTGGCTGCCGCTCAGTCAGCAACGGAGCTATGGTTTCTCCGGCCAGTCCGTCCTCCATCGTCATCCTCCTCACCTCTACACTCCCCGTCCCACCTCACTTCGCGGAACGATGACTACAGCTCCTAGACGATCGCTCGAATGTTGAACACAGGCCTTTGCTGGCGCCACTCCGTAAGAAACCGTCATGTCAAGCAGTTGAGGAAGCCAGCCAGGTAGATGAGCCATCATCACCCAAAATGTATACTTATAAGACTCTACTCCTTTACATCACATGGCCTTGAACCAAGACAAGCGTTCTCAAGCCTCTTTATGCCTAGTCAAGCTTTCATAAGCAGCTTAGATCTTTAGATCCCAACTCTCCTATCGCCACAGAGGTTTCTAAGTATTGCGTCTATCCCGATCACAACGATGATGATGATGATGATGTATCGCTATGTGTATCGCTTCAGGACGGAAGGCGAGTAGGTATGCGAGACATGATATTTTGAAAGTCTTCTAGATGAACCGCGGGGGGGGGCTTCCTATATAAGATTGGGATCTATTCTACTTGAATAGCGTCCAAGCAAGCAAGCGAGGCGTTGAAGATAGATGTGCAAGCAAGCAATCATAAGAAGAAGAAGACCATATGTTGTCAATTCCAAGACGTAGTAAGTAACCTGTACTCCTTCGAGCTACCGTTACAGATGATCTCTTTCCACTTTTTTCACACCTATACATTCTCTCCATTTCACAAGGGAACGACTCCTCACAAGGCTACACACAAATGAACCCTCCATCAAAAGAACTTTACACATGCAAGTCCCATTCCCATTTCCCAACGCCTTCGCTATGACTTGAAAAATGATTCTTCTGCACCTGATTCCACCAACGATAACAGTCGCAGAACTCCAGCCAACTAGCCTTCCAGCACTTGGTAAAGGCAACGCCGTGGATACAAAAACTCCCTTTGGCCAACAACAAATAATACAATTGTTTTTGTCGCGCCGACCAAAAAGCCTCGCTTGAACGCTCGCTGTACAATGCAAAAATCTTTTACACGCTCTTCCGGTCTCCTCCCAAGGGAAGCTTCTCAGAGGCCCATTTGCCCTGGCCATTGGACGGGTCTTCGTTGATGTACAATAGCTTCCGCATGCCGCAGAAGCCACCAGGGAGAGCCTTTCTCCGGACTTGTTCGAAATGGCCAATGAGATCCTTAGACGACTGCACAGTCCCTTGACGCAGCTTTTCCAGACTGTCTTGATGCCATACCCACACGCTATCGGTCACTTCGTCTCCGGGCTGCTGAAGTTGTCGTGGGTTGAATGAAGGTCGCTCTGCGATCCAGTTGATAATGCTGTGTACGGGTGTATAGAGTCTCTCGAATCGTTTCGTGAACGATAGCCAGGGCAAAACCGAGGCAGAATAGGCCACACGAATGTATGGGTTCATGTAGATGCCCGTCTCGTTCACACCCAGCAGATCCGAGTCCATGGATGACAGATCCGCGTGAATCAGACAGCATTCGGATGCATCCCAGTATGTGTCCGTTTCAGCTCGGAATCGAAGCGAAGAGTTGCTGCCAGAGAAAGCCACTTGCGACGTGTGCGATGGATTGTTTCTCGTCATGTCGACGTGATAGTACGAGTCGGCAGCCGCTCCAGAAGATTCCGCGGATGATACGAATTTCTTTTGATGCAAGTGTTGCTGGAACCATCTGGCCTCAAAAGCAACCATGCCTCCCCAACAGCTCTTCACCCTGACAGCGTCCTTCTGCTGTAGAACATCCTTCCTGCTCTCGCCTTCTCCGGCTCCAGTAAACCAGGGGTAGAATACCACGCCCATATCGTTGCCTTCCAGGTCTCGCGTCGCAAATGTATCGTAGAATTTGAACGGATTGATAAAATCGATGGCGCACGCGGCTCGATACTGAGTCCTCCCGGACTGCTCATCGACGTTGGTAGAGAAGAGCAGATTCGCAGCATCGATCGGATCGAACACTACGTCATTCAGGTAAAGTAACTTGTCGAATCGGGTACTGTAAGCTTTCGAGTCTACGTCCTCCAGAGGCCGCAGGGCACGATTTCGAACGTCGGCGAGAAATGCAATTCTCTTCAGCCTCTGATGGCCGTCGGGCGTAGAGACGTGTGGAAGCTTGTGCAGGTCCAACTCCTCGGTCACGATTGCCGACTCGCATGTCACGTTCTTTGCGAACGCATCGAGAGCTTCCTGCGCTTTCTCGTCGGGATCGTTCTCGTAGATGCTTAAGAAGACATTCTCTTTCCCAAGTATATCGATCAGGTGTAGCACCGATTGACCCCATAGACCTGATACCACCTCGCCCTCCCGATCGTACAAACTGGCCGCAATGAAGACTTTCTCGTTGTTCGTGTTGGCCGTCAGCCCTTGTTCCTGCACTCGGGCTCGAAGCTCCAGGTATCGCTCAGGAGGGTAGGAATAGGAAGGGAAGAAGATGCCGCAGAGAATTATCGAGGAGAGGACGATGTGTGGAACGAGGGCCAGTAGTTGCACCGCCCGATACAGCAGCGCTCGTCTCCGTCTCGGCGGATGTATTGTGAATAGTGAAGATCCCGAACCACCTCGTCTATGTCCCAGTCTCCGCGGCATCGGACGCCACCATCGAGGTCTTTGTGTGAATGTGAGAGGTGCAAGCGAAGGCTCATCGTCGAAGTCGTCGAGCTCGTAGCCGTCCGAGTCGTCGTCTCGTTCGGTGCTGCTCGCCGAGGAAACCTGGTAGAGCAGCGCTTCTTCCTCCGCTGGCTCTGTGGAGTCCATGTTGCTTGCAGGCGGACGCACTCAGCGTCTGCGGCACAGCGCTGTACGGATCCAGCCTGCTGAGTGGGTGAATGGTGTTGTAGGATGCGGCAGGTAGTAGATTGAAGGCGTAGGGTAGTCGTGTGGAATGTAAAGGAGGGTGTGGTGCTCGCAGTCGAAGTGTCGCGTGCTTATGATCTAAAGCATAGGATTGAATTGGGGTGGAGTAGAAGTTAGGGTAAAAGGAGAGACTAGAAGCGAATCTCGCGAGAAGGTGAAGCTGTCCGCATGGGCCGCGTGGATCAACCAACAAGGACGGGGCAGTGTCGAGGCAGGCGAGACAATCAGCCGCAGAGGGCAGTGGAGGCAGGCAGTTACGCGGGTGCAGGGTCAGACGCAGGGCAGGGGCGACAGCAACAATCAGGAAGGAAGAAGGAAGGTGTTGGTGTGCTGCTCGAGGAAGGCGCAGCAGGTGCAGTTGCAGGTGTGCTTCTTTCACACGGCAGGAGCTACTGGGCGCACAGACACCCCATCGGCTCCTTCTTCGTTCGTTCAGGGCCCAAGCCAGGTGGGACACGCACCACCTCAATCAATACAGTAATAACATAATCTTAGGTTTTTCACAACCGCTATTTCCCTATGCTTCTCCGCCTCATCCAGAGAGAACGCTCTCCACGTACATCATCCTCTTCTCCGCTTCTTATCTGCCACCTCGTAAGCCCAGACCCCTGCTTCTGCACAATGATGAGCACGACCCCAAAACAAAGGTAGTCGACCGACGGAAGTGTGGAAGTAAAGCAAGCCATACACGTGCATCTCCGATGGGGTCGCACAGGTCGATCTGGACACAGCCACATTTTACCCCGAATTGCTTGACCATCGGTACGGGGGCGCTAAAAGCTTGTCTCAGGCAACGATTACCTGAAACGCCTCGCCGACTTTCCCTCTTCAGACATCCCGGCTTCACTACCAACAATCTCTTGAATCCTCACTCTCCAATACATGTGAAACTATCGTCCAGCTGACAGCCCGTCACAGCCCTCCAAACATGTGCGTCATTGACTGTTACACATTCACAGAGAACCATCCGCTCGTTGGCGGGTGTGCCGCATTAGCTCATCGCAACAGGATACGACGTACCGCAGAGCGAAGGCTAGTGATCCTACAACTATGGAATTGGATGTAGTAACGACTTCGCTGACCGGCCACTTGCACGCCGCAGCTAATAACATGTACGAAACATGCGAATTTCATGCAACGAAGAGGTCGGAGCCCAGAATTCCCCCGATCGTCAATAAAAGCCGCGCGTTTTGCCCGGAAAACCACCGACATACGTGATCTCGATAATGTCTCTGAGGACCATCGAATCACGTACTCGTATTACACTCCCTTTTCCGCCGTAGGCGTGGGCGGCGAGACGCGGCTTCAGAACAGCACGCGGCATCGAGAAGAAACGGCAATTCTGCGATTCATGCATTCATGGATTCATGCATCACGCAGCTACGACTTCCCTCTCTCCTCCTCCAGCGCGGCGTCGACTACATGGAAGACTCCAGTGACGACTTTCATCGTCCCCTCATCCACTTTCCCACCGAAGCGCTGCTGCATCTTGTCGGGATGCCACTTCACCCGCTCTGCCTTCAAGATATGCACCCTGCTCCGCTCACCTTGTGGAATGTTCTGCATAAAGGTCTCGATATTGGGTCTTGTCACAGCCCTCCCCCCCAAGACGGGCCATGGTATACGTTTCGATGGCTCACCGCCCTCATCTGCGGACTCGCCTGCATGAAGAAGCTCATGCTTGAGCTCATCCCATGCGGCCAGGTATCTTTGCCAAGCCTGGGAGTATTCCCGCTGGGTGATGCTGGTGTGGCTCTCCGCGGACCGCTTCGATGCGCTCTCCTTCCTACCCTCGAAGTCAAACTCGTACTCATAATCGTCACCGTCCACACCGGCAAACTTCCGGGCGCCGTCCTGCTGTGCTCTTTCCCATGCAGCTCTTTGCTTTCGCCGCACGAACTCTTCTCTCCGCCTCGTCCTCTCCTCCTCCTCTTCTTTCCTCTGTTTCTTCTGCCTCTCGCGGTCTCGCACAATCTCCGGATGCTGCTTCTCCCACATCTTCGCCTGTACATACGCTGCGTACTCTTCGTCGTTCATTTGCTCCAGCTCTCCTTGTGCGGTCTCTTTTGTCGGTCGCGGGTATACGTGAATGGGCTGGCTGTATACACTCTCCCAGTACGCGGCTCCTTCATCATCCGCCAGCGCATCGAATAGCGAGTCGCGGAAAGCAGCATTTGCGTCAAACTGACCGGATTGATCGGAGTTCGTAGGCTCGCGAGGAAATGGATGTGCTGCCTCCGGCTCGTCAGGATGTTCCGATCGCTCTCGTCGGCGGTGTTTACGACGCTTGCGATCTCGAGGATCGGATGTGCCCGACTTGAAGCGGAATTTCACTGATCGTTCCCTCTCTCTATCGTCGCGTTCGCTGAAAGTATGCTTGCATCTGCGTTTACCAGACTTTCCGTCGTCGTCGTCGTCTTCTCGCTCGTTGTGGCGGTCGATCTCGTCTTGAAGGCTTGCTAGAATGGCATCGTGGTCTATGTCTTGGTGTGCATCTCGCAGGCTGGCTTTCACTTGCCTCTTGCTCTCCTCAATAGACGGCATCTTTGCAGCGGCCGTAAAGAGGTGCTCGCGAAGTTCTGCATGTCGTCCGAAGATGTCGGTCGCTTAGATTGGTCATTCGTGAGAGTGAGTGTTGCGAGGGTGATGGAAGTGCAAGAGAAAGCACGAGTCAGAAAGAGGAAGAGGGCGCATCGGCCCGGCAAAGGTCATCCGACATCCGAAGTGGACATGCCTTGACGCGCTTGTGACGAAAAAAGGCAAGCGTGTGAAACCTGCTGTCTTGCATGTGAATATCATCGACCTCCCGATCCACCACGAGACCGACAGACAGACCATGTCGCAGTCATGAAGCTGTACAGACTCCCGTCTCTACACTTCTGCCTTGTCTTCCAGTCTGGCTAGCCAGAAAACCAAAGTTCATGGCAACAAGCATGGCTCATCCGATGGCGACAGGAGAGGCAGCAACAAGCTCCGCTGCTGCAGCTTCCCCTTTTGACGATACCAACGTGAACGGCCACACCAACAGTAGGCCTCGCCATACACATCCCGCCTTTCCCACCGAGAACGGAAACACGACAAACACCAACAACAACAACTGCAACAGGCTAGAAGACTCCCTCTGCAGCAGCGCTTCCTACTCCCTCTACTCGGACGACAACGAGATGGACGACCCGACCACCGACACCTTTCCCGTCCCCCACGACCCGACCCTCCTCCCCGGCGGCTCCCGCGACCTCTCCTTCATCTCCCTCCAAGCCTTCCTCTGCGGATCCGTCTTTGCCACCGGCCTCCTCTGCTCTCTCTTTCTCATTCACCACAACGTCCCCTGGTGGCGGCTTCCAGCTTTCCTCACCTGCCTGAGTCTGTTCCATTACCTCGAATTCTGGACCACGGCAGCTTACAACGTCCCCGCCGTGCGAGCTTCGAGTTTCCTGCTCTACAATAACGGTAGAGCGTATACATTGGCGCATACCATGGCTTCGATAGAGATTGTGCTGTCGCAATTCCTGCCTTCCTACCAGAAATTTTTGGTCTCGCCATGGACTATTTCCCTCGGGATGCTGTTGGTGTTGATCGGACAGAGTGCGAGGAGTATAGCAATGGCGCAAGCCGGCACGAATTTCAACCACATTCTCGTCACGGAAAGGAAAAGGGACCACGAACTCGTCATCGATGGATTGTACGCGTATTTCCGACATCCGAGCTATTTCGGATTCTTCTGGTGGGCTATTGGGACACAGTTGCTTGTCGGGAATAAGATCTGTTTGGTCGGCTATGCGGTTGTGTTGTGGAAATTCTTCAGCAATAGGATCAGGAGTATGTCTTTTTACTTTTTGCGATTCTCTCATTGCAATACAGCGGCTGACATACTCTACTTAGAGGAAGAAAGGCATCTGGTCGATTTCTTTGGCGACAAGTACGTGGAATACCGAAAGCGGACGGGGACGAGGATTCCGTTCGTTCCTTGACCTCACAACAGCAATCGTGGCCTCTTTTCGTGTTCGCTCGTCAGCCTCAATTGACTCCAACATTACCATCGTCGTTGCCATACTAGCGGACGAAAGGCACGCCCAACTCTTCGGCCCCTCATATTTCCCCCGCTTCCCCTTTGCATACCATCTCTTGATGGTCTGCCAACGGGCCCCGGAACTCCTCCACGGCATCAATGGCTAGGTAAAAGGCATTCGGAACAACGACGACTTTCTCCCACGCATGAGAGTCTCAGAATCGCGCCTCTTATCGTCAGAAGTGTCTCGAGCAACACCGGGCATCAAGACAGGATCGCGGAAGCAAGATTCCAACCACCTCTTGAAGATTCTCCGACTCCCAGAATTCCCGAAGCTCGACAGATCTCAACGGGCAGGACGACTTTTGCCAAATTTTTCTCGGTTTTTTCCTGCACGCGCTTGAGGAGGAAAACCCGTGCCTTGCATACCTGCATTCTTGCAGATAGAAGTTTCTTTTCGGTGTAGTGGATCAAGCTGGCCTTGGGATTTGTTCGTTTGGAAGATAGATGAAGCGAAAGGAAGAGAACGGTTTGAATTTTCGCGATTCTGACGGCAGATGAAGAGCAGGACGGGGCCGTTCTGGAGAACCCGTGGATCCATCACGTCGATGCATTTGCCGGGAACGACGAAGGAGTCGCGGTAGATGGAATCGCTCTACTCGAGTGGAATTCCGAATAGGTCTGCCCGTCTTGGCTTTGGTGGATTACATCTTGAACGAGTTCCGCAAATGGTGGTCGTTGTCTCGTTCTGGCTCGCTGGTGTTCCTTTCGATGGTCTGGATCGATGGGGTCGTCTTTCGTCTTTCCTCTACTGGCTTTTCGGCCTTGCTATGCCGGATCCTAATGAACTGAATTGGCGCAGGCGAGTATTTGCAGGAATTCAACATTCAATCGCATCTTTGCTCATTTCCTTCTCTGCGATGTATCTCCTCGTTCATCATCATCCTCCTCCTCACAAATCAAAACTTGTCCTTTCAAAACCCTCCTCCGCCCCCCAAACCTGACCAGAACCCTTCGACCTGGAAGAGCACCAACGTCAAATCCAATCAGATTTCCCCCCTTTGGACCTACCTTGCCCTGCCAACGTCACCTCACATTGCTCGCTCGCTGGTAGCCCGAACCAAAATCCCCATCGCTCTCGAGATACGATACATATACATACATGTTCATCAGAGCATGCATCCGCATCGAACAATGCTGAAGTAAGTCTCCTTTTTTCCTTGTTGCCTCCGGGGAAGAAGAAAGAAGAAAAGATACATTTGGTTGGGCATGTCGAAAATCTTGAATGAACGGAACAGAACAGAACAGAACAGAAAGAAAGAGGATTCGATTGGTTTCCGGGGGGAAAAACCTGGAAAGAGGGGGGAAAAAGGAAGGGAACATGTATGGATAGACAGCAGCAGTTGTAGTAGCGGGTATGTGAATTGTCATGTGCTTGTAGAATGACGGGGAGAACGAAAACCGCAGGCAGACAGACCAGATCAGAGCAATGTTCGTCATCATTCCACTTCATTCTTTCAGATTGTTGTCTTCTTCTTCTTCTTCCTCTAAGAGTACTCGACTCCTGCAATGGGAGAATGGAATTATATACACTTGGAAAACCTCCTTTTCCTTTTTTTCAGAAAGAGGTAGGAGGAGTAGTAGTAGTAGCAAGTAGTAGCAGGAGCAGTAGCACCCTGTAGATAGCAGATTTTTTCATCTTCATCAAATCATCACATCAGCCATCCCGCACTGAAAGAACAAACAACCAAAGCATCTTTTGAGGGGGTATCCAGTCATGCCAATGATGCCAAACAAACAACCCAACAAAAACCATATCCAAAAGGATACACCAAATACACCACATCAGGTCCTTCCCTGTCCTTCTTCTTCTTCTTCGTCTTCTCTCATCAATATTCCTCCTCCCCCTCCATCAACCTCTCACCATCTCCCGCTTCCCTCCACTCCCGACTCCGATCCACCAACCTCCTAATCCCAGGGATCCTCCCCGCCCAGAGCGCCTCAGAGGCAGTCCGAAATGTGAAACCACGCTGCGAGCTGATGACCCCGATAGCCTGTAAAACAGCCTTCCTCGAATCTCGTCCAAAGACAGCCGCATGACCAATCCATTCCAGGGAAGCTTCCAGTTCCGAATCCAGAGCTTTCATCGTCTGTTTGTCGATCCCCACGGCCGGTGTGAAAGGGCTGAGAGGTGCGGCTGGGGAGGAGTCGAAGGGATATTGGCCTGGTGATGGGGTGCGGTTGCTCAGAGGAGGGAGAGGGAAGGGGGAGTCCAACGGGGAGGTTCTGGAATCCGTCATGCGTGGGGTAGGGGGTAGAGCGCCTGTGGGAGGTGGTGTCGGGAGGGGAGGAAGGCCGCCTTTCCCGAGGCCTTTGAGGATGGATCTTGTTTCTGACAGGAGATGTTGCGCGCGGTCGTTTTGGCCTCGGGAGACGAGACCGAGTGCTCGGGCGAGCATGTCGGAAGTCAAGAGCTCCATGCGGCGCTGGACGATGGAAGGGTGTGGTGGGATGGGAGGTGTTGATGGGCGGCCGTAAGGGTTTCTTTTGGTGGTGGGGGTCGGGAGCACCGTGATGGCCAGGAGAGAGGGACGGGGGAGTTGAGATTTGCTTCCTTCGCGGAGGATGTCGCCCCACGATAGGTCGGCTTGTATTAAGGGTACTTCTTCCACGGAAACGACTCGTTGGTCTTCTTGTTCCATTGGACCAAGTGCTTCGAGTCCGGAAATGATGTTTTCCCACGGATCTGACAGTAGGGAATCTGGAGATGTAGTATCCGCTTGTATGGCGAGCTGAACTAGTATGTCCCGCTTGTCGCCAAATCGTAGGTCGCCTAGGCAAGCCTCTGCATCGCGCCCGGTCGCGCGCTTGGTGGTGACCTGAAGAGCGCCGCTGATCTTGACGAATTTCGCCGGCGAACCCTCAGGCAATCGTAAACGAAGCTTAGCGTTCTGATGGGACGTGCTCTGCAGCCCGCCGATGCAACCCGCAAGACATTCCCGCAACATCATCCAGTCCTTGACATAGGTGTAGCTTGCTTTCGTGCGGGTGGAGATGTCGACCATCGAATCGGGTTTATGCGTTAGGCCAAGGCCGAATGAATGAATCGCCACCTTGGCCGCCTCCGCTCGTGAGACCAGAAAGTCGACACTCTCGGCGTCCGACGTCGAGGAGTCACTGATTAGCAGAATGTGCGAGAGCCCGCTGCATGACTTGCGTTGCATGAGTAAGTCCATGGCCACATTGGCTCCTTCGACGACGTCCGCACGCATGTTCTTGTGGTTGATTGGACGGATTGAATCCAGGGCCCCGGCCCAACCGCGCCAGGTCTTGCCTGTCAGACCCACCGCCGGAACACCCCCAGCACCAGATCCAAATGTGACAAGTCCCATGCGATCTCGCTCGCCGAGACTAGACACAAGGAATCGTAGAGAGTCGCGCAACAGGTTCATCTTGAGGCCATGCATGGACGATGAAACAGGAATCACAACGACGAGGTCCAAAGGTATGTGCAAAGATGAGGTCCCCAGTCGAAGGTCTTGTACGCCAGCTCGTGAGCTGGTGTACTCCGTCGGCGCCGTGACTTGCGAGCGAGCGCCGCCGTAGGATGAGGGTTCCGAAGAGACTCGCTTCCTGGATATGTATTCATCCTCATCGAATGATGGTTCGTCGTAGTCGAAATTCGGTCGCACCGGCGCGATAGGCTCTGGTCGACTGGCGGTGGTCAATGCCTTGCGCCATGTCTGTAGCTGTCGGGCATCCTCGAATAGCAGATGGAATTCTGGTAGCTCCGCGACGGACAGTAACAAGGTCAGAACATCGCTGCCGGGAGTCGACTCGACCTGCTGCAGATGTCGCTTGATCAATATGGAGCCCTTGAGCGTGCATCGCGACTTGGACCTGGCATCCTCTGCGCCATTCCATTCTTGACTTGCGGTCACCGGTAACCTCTTATCTTTGACACATATGAGCATTTCGGTGAAGAGATAGCATTCCAACTCTTGCCAAGCCTGACGGTCTTTCCCCACTCGCACGGGGCCATGCAACAAGAGCCTGCCGAATCTTTGGAAATCGAGACCATGCCAGTTCTCAACGCGGTGGAACAGGTCGTCTCTGGCCTGGTCCAAGAGCATCTCTTCGTGAACACTATCAACAGGTCGCGACGTCGCTGAAGGTGTGGCTGGAACACTTGCGGAGTATTGCGACTCTTCTGGAATAGGTGAAGGGCCAGGGGGGATGATCGGCGAACATCGCAGATCTTCGGGATTGGGATGCCATTTCCCTTCCACAACTTCGACCGTGACCAGGCAAGTCAAGCTCTGCTGCTGACGAGACTTGCCGACGGTGGGAAACTCGCTGCGCACGGTGACAATAGGGGCCGGAATCGGGTTGCGTGACGGGCGGATACCCTTCATGGAAGCTGTCGTCGACTGAGCGTCGAAGTCGTGCCTTCTGCCCCCGTTGTATTGCGTCTCCGCATATCCGCCGCTCGATGCGATGCCAGTACTCCCGCTTCCATTTCGGCGGTGAGAGGGTGCGTATCGTTCTGGCCGGCCGTTACCGTTACTCGCGTGTATTTGCTCCGGCAAGAGATGGTCTCTGGAGGGCCGCTGTTTGATGGGCCGCTGTGGTACGTGCTGCTCAGTGCTGACACTTGGTCCGCGGATGCTCTCCGTGTCCCCCCAAGGAAGTGGTGTTGCGTCTGGATCTCTTGAGACGCGCAGATCCGGTGTGTTTGAGTTGGCATTCCGTACAAGCTTGTTGAGATTTGCGAAATCGAGGTTGGCGCCTCTGCTGGTGTCGAGGCCCAAAGGATGCCCACATTCGGGGCATGTTTGCTCTTCGAACTCCTTGATGTATTCGTAAAAGCAAGCTTCGTGTGCGACGTGGCCGCAGGAGAGCTGTAGGATGCGCTCTCCTCTGAGCATGTGCTCCAGTGGCTCTTCACAAGCTGCGCATCTGCGATGTGTATCAGCCGGGCATTGTAGACGAGGGTATGTGTCCGAATGGGACGACTTACTGCGTGCCGATGAAGGTCCTCTCCCGACGACTGGCAGCCTTCATGTCGTTGTCGACGTCGTCGTCGTCGCAGAAGATGTGGTGGAGCTTCGACTTCGCGGACAGGCTCCGGGTGATATTGTTGGCAGGGCGTGGTCGGGTGCAGGAAGGGCGCAGCGATGGCCCTGCTGGATGAAGGGCTAAATTTGGAGGTGGTGTTTGACTCTGCTGGGGGAATGGACCTGAGACGGCGCGAGAGTCCGCGATCAGCCACCACCTATAAGACTCCAACACACACAGCGCCTTATCGAGGAGGTGATCGCGGATGTTTCGTACTGGATTGTTGCGGACATGCGACGGTCTTTGTTGGTCGCTTGCCGGGTGAGTCGGTGTGGGCAGCACCTGTCAAGCCCGAGGCGATCAAGTCTCCGACCGTCTTCCTCCAGCCGGTGGAGTGAAGCAGGCGCAGTTCTTCCGGGGTCAATCCGGTGTGGTGGTGGTGGTGGTGGTCGTGATGGTCGTGGTGGAGGAGGAGGTGGTGGAGGTGGTGGTGGTCGGGAGCAGCAGAGCGATGGAGGGGATACATAAGGATGTCGAGGGCTCCGGAGAGGTGGGCATATGGTGTGGTCAAGGGAAAGTGGTTCGCGTGTGCGTAGTCCCACGCTCTACAGACATGGCCGAGTAGATGGGTGCGCTCAAGGCGACCGGAGATGGAGAGTGGGTACTAGCAGGCTCTAAGTAGTAAGTAGCAGGACTAGGGAGGAGCTCAGTCCACAGTCAGGTCGGCACGCTGGTCCCCTCGCGGCGAGAGGACCAGTAGTGTGGCACTGGCACAGACACAGCGGAAGGAGTAGTACGGAGATGGGCAGGCAGGCGAACCTGGTACCGATGCGACTGGAATTAGGCTGGCTAATCGCAGCGTATAGCAGCGTGAGCAGGCAGAGAGGCCAACAGGCCAAGAGGCCAACAGGGCAAGAGGCCAACAGGGCGGCAGGTCAACAGGCCAACAGGGCAACAGACCAACAGGTCCACGGGCGCCCATGTGCATCCAGACGCGCCGGAGCCCGATGGATCATTGCACAGGTTGCACAGATTGCATTCATGCATCATGCATAGGTTGCGTGAGTGTCCTGAGGAGCACAGAGAGGGGAGGAGAGTGATGAGCGAGAGGCAGTAGTAGTGAGGATGATGTGGTGGTGTCAGGACTCAGGACCCGAGACTGTGGCGAGGAAGGACCTTCCCGTGCGAAAGGATCATGGACGGCAGGTGGCATCCATCTGTGCATCCACATGCCACGCGTGGGCTGCAGGCGAGTGTGCAGGCGGATCATGCCCGACCGGAGCAGACCGGCGTAACTTCGGGCTGGGACCGCAACTGCAACTTCATCCTTTCTGCCCTTCTGCCTTCTGCTTTCTGCTCTCTGCTTTCCGTTCTTGCCGTTCTTGCTTCTTCGTCGCTCCTGCCAGGCTGCATTCGTGCCACGTGCTTGCCAAGAACGGAAGCCCTCATCGTCATCACCCCCGCCCTCTTCAACACTTCAATGTCTTCGCCGGAGATGAATCTGAACCACGCCCTCACCCTCAGTGCTCACCCTCATCACACTCAGCGTCAGCCTCACACTTGGAAGCCAAGCCGGCACAAACATGATCAGGCTAATACCCCTGCTCTATGCACGCCGATCCCCCTGTCAGGATCTGCCGGACCTCATCAGTGCACGGTCATTGCACATCCGCAACAACTCTTCCGAGCCCGGAGAACCACGACTTCGCCTTCGCACCTTCCCACTTATTAGACCGCACCGCTGGTTCCACCCGGCCCTTCCATGTTCATCTCAGCCACCGGCCCGCGCCTACCCTACCCTACCTGGAATGATAACGTTAACCAGGGCAAGAACACCTTTAAGCTACTTTCATCAATCACAAACATGTCCCTCCGTTGCGGGACTGCACACGCATCGTCTGCAGATCGAGCGAGCGTACTGTCTAACCTTGCGCTGACCCACACCAGCCAGAGTGCATCGCGCATCCCCCCCTTCTTGGCATCGTCTGGATTCTGTACCTCGAGGTGCATGACTTGCTCCGAAACAAAAACAACCATATAACTTCTGGGGTCCGAATCTGCATGCCGAGCAAAAGAGCTCTACCTTACGCTCCCGGGCGAATCCGTGCGTGTCCAGGGTAACACGAAGCTGCACGCGTATATCCTGCCCGCAGGAGCCATCTATATCAAACTTCTCGTATGGTCGGGAGTTTCAAGTCTTCCACGCAAGCCTTGCAACGTGTTGCCATATCTGCCTCTTCCCTATTGCTATTACGAGATTTTCCTGTTGACAACACGTCTCGCACCGCAGCGTTGAGGCCCAGACAGGGACGATTACAGTACTACCATGTCCGGACGTTCAGTAGCTACTGAGGTCTGCGAGTCGCAATTCTGCAGGGTCAAGGAACAGAAAAGCAATGTCGACTCGGCAAGATTCAACACTTCACTCGACATGCTGCTGGCTTGCATGTCAAGACGCGCTAATCCGTGTCCCTCTGCCTCCCACTTCGCGTTTCACCAGTCACGAACCCCCAAGGTATCACGTATACTAATGAGACGCGCGGATCGATAACCTCACTGCCGGAGTCGCATGCTGGATCTGCACATCCTAGTAGATTCTTCTTCTTCCCCGTGCACAGCGTGCATCTCATCATCAACGGAACCATCCACCCCTACTCATAATCCAACGCTGGAAAGCGGCACCGTCTTCTTCGTATCTTCTAGCGCCCGCCCCCTTGGCTCTCCCTCGACGTGAAGTCTGTCGCAAGTGCCCATTTCAGAATGGATCCGAACCCTATTATCTCATCTCGACACTTTCCCTTTCCGCACGACAACCATCGAGCAACTGTCGGGGCTTCTCTCATCAGGACAGCACGCACAGATCTCATGAGCATCTCCCACATGCGCCCACTGGGGTTATCATCAGGATAATCATAGTCGTCTCGATGCCGCTACACACGCAGCCCTCCACACTCTCTCATCATCATCCATCACGGGATTCCTCCCCTCCCAACACCACAGACGAAATTCGGTAGTTTCCAATTGGAACTCTAACATTCCTACCTTACCTCCGTTCGACTTCCGTCTGACTCTGCACAGCTTCACTTCTCCATCCCGCCTATCATCACCAACTAGATGCCAGCTCTTATTCAAAGGTTTGCTGAATTCCCGCTGCGGTGCTCTCATCATCAGCTCGTCGACTTTGACTTTTTCTTTTGGATATTCTCTTTTCGACATACTAGATATCTATCATACAGAGAATGCACCAACCAACCTACCTTGATGTCGGTTTGTTACGATTGATATGATTGATGATTGCCGGCATGTGCACCTAGGACACGCAATAATGGAAGAATGGTGAAAGCGCCACCACGGGCACGGCACGCTCCTGCTGTTGTAAGGTTTTTATTTACCACAGAGGCCGACGAGGAGCCAGGAGAGAAAAGAGATCATTAGTGTGTTAGTATTAGTTATTCCCACGGACAGCACACGTGTGCACGGTTCGAATAATAATAATAATGCCGAGATAATGATGCATAGGGAGGTGAGGTGAGGTGGCAGTTAGCTGTCTCCTGTCTTCGCAGACTTTGCCTTGCCAATCGTAAGTAGTGATGATGTCGATGACGATGATAATCTGATAATCTGATGGTAATAATAATGATGATCAAGAAGTGCGACAGTACCCCAAAGCACCTCTGCGGCGGTGAGGGGTGTTGTTGGAAACGTGAGTTGGAGGGAAAATCGAGCGGGTTTAAGGTATTAGATCAAATAAGCTAAGGTAGGTACGATAGATACGACTGGAGTGTTACCAAGCAAGCAAGCATCGTCATCGTCATCGCCATCGCACGCTAAACATACTTTATCAAATCGTGGAAATCTAAAGGTTTCCAGAAGAAAAAAAAAGACATCCATTCATAGTAGGGGGTATCATCCAATTCCATTCCATCCGTCGTCGTCGTAAACGCGAAACGCCAAAACTCGGTTTTTCGCGCGTCCAAAATCATAATGATAGGACATCACCCATTCTTTCGCCTTCCCTCCTGCAGTAAAAGTGTTCCGAAAGCTGTGCCCGGGTTCGGAATCCTCCTTCCGAGTTATTAGCACGCCTACTAAGCGCCAGAGGGTATGCTCGGCTTGCGACTCGGCGCCATCATGCTTCGGGCTCCTGGCACGACGCTGCCTCGTCGCGCATGTACCATTCCTTCGTTGTCGACGGTGGTACCCGGAGCAGGCGCGGGATTCAGCGAGGCAAAGAACCCACCACCTCCGCCACCACCACCGCCGCCACCGCCTCCAAAAATGCTCACACCGCTGCGGCCTGTAAATGTAGATTGCATGATGCCTTTCATCCGGTTCAGTTCGTATTTCTTCCGCAGAGGGACGTGCATGGCTTGGTAGATGGGTTTCCCGCCCCAGTTGCGTGCAATCGCGGACATGACCGAGTCCTTCTCTTCTTCGCTGTCCACGGGTCCAGTCGGTAAGTTGTCGTCGTCGGGATTCGGTGCGTTGGCATCGAAAGCGGCCTTCTGCAGTTTCGCCTGATTCTTGCGTTGATATTCCATGAGCAGTTTGTCGTACGGCGCACTCCGTCCCGGTACTGCTCTCTTGGCCCCCATACTATGGCTCTTGCACGTCAAGCTCCTCGCGCACTGGCCGCCCTGTGGGAGCTCTACACCACACTGCTTCTCAACATCGACAGGCGCTTTCGGTCGCGGCGCTTTGGCCTTCGGTTCGTCCTTCTTTTTCTTCTTCTTGGTGGGGGCGCCTTCCTCGCCCTCGTCCGCTGCCTTGCGCTTTTTGCTCGCCGTCAGACCACCCGTCTTCGTTGCCGTCTTCTTGGCACCATCCTCCTCTTCCTCTTCGCTGTCTCCTCCTTTCCCCTTGCGCGCTGCAGCATCACGAGCATCTTTGGCTTCCTTCTTCTTACGTTGCTTTTCTTGCTTCTTGTTGAGACAGGTTTCGACGTGCTTGACCATTGCATGCTTCGATACGGCGCGTTTACAGTGATTACATTTGAGCACATCGGGTTTGTCGGCCATAGGTTTGCCATTCGGGAAGGCTTTCGTTACAGGCGAAGGGACCCGGCTGATCGATGGCGTTGGTCGCGCGGTGGTGTCTTTCGACCTACTGACTGAGAGAGAGTCAGGAATGATGCTCTGCTTCTAAATCTGAATGATGATACTTGTGCCATACCTCCTGTGACTTCAGAGTTCCAATTTCCCGGATTCTTCACCTGGGGCAGCCGCTTTTTGGCCTCAATCTTGACCTCCGTCGCATCGCTTTCCAAATCGTCAAACAGGGTTTCTAGAGACACGTCGTTGCCTCCGAGTCGCGCGTCCGGTGCTGGGAGGGTATCATATGTTAGATCAGGCAGTCCACGCTGGAACGATGGCTTCGGAGCAGTTGCTCACCCTTGCGGCCGGTCGTGCCGTTTGGCGCCATGATGCGCTGCAGAAGAATAGATAGAGCGCGAGTCTATGTAAGAGTATGTGGCGTGTGTAGGTGAGTGAAAAAGCGCAAGCGTGAAGTACAACGCAGAGGTGAGTCTCCGCAGTTGGCTCCGAGCCCTAGGTAGCTGGCTACTAGGTAGTCCTGCCTGAGGCAACAAAGACTTGATCCACTCGTCTACCCCTGCAAACTTCCACCTTCGATAGTTGACTACTCTGCGAGCAGGTCAACAAGGTCAAACCGAACCACATCAAGGAAATATCATGCGATGCCTGCTATTCAACCCCGGTCAGCCATGGACGGCAGGACTCAAATCTTCCAGAAACTGAAGCCACCATGCGTTGCGCTAGGCGATGCAGCCCGTACGCTCAATGGACCTGAGGCCGACGTGAACAATGTAGCCGAGCGACTGGAGAATTTGAAGGGAACCCTGTCAGATGTGACGCATTCTTTGGATGAGCAGCTGGCCGACTATGCTTTCTTCCCGCTGGCGCTCGTCTTGAAGGCGAGCCAGAAAGTCTCGATCCGATGCCTCGAGCTTGCCTTACAGTGTCTGGCCATCCTGATAGCACATGGATGGCGTTCCCGTATACAGTCAGAAACGGCGGTGCAGATAGCCATACTCTGCACCATGATGGCAAGCAAGAAACCGACAGGCCTGGCATCAACTTCCTCGACAGATGAACTGCAGGCGAGTGCTCTCCGGTGTCTGCAGCATCTCTTCAGCGTCTTAGACAAAGATTCAGAGATCACTGCTCGTTTAACGTCGGAAGCGCATATGCCGCAACTTGGGATGACCATCAGCACGATTCTGGAAGCCGTGCTAGAAGGCGATTCCGTCGAGGTTCAGACTGCCGCCGCGCATGCCCTGAAGACTTTGCTCGAGAACGTCACGACTCGGGACATCCAGGCAGCGTTTCTTCCCGGTATAGTGTCCAAACTCACACAAGTGCTGACACCGCAGACAAAGCGAAGACGTAATCACGCGATCCTTACGATCTGTCTTGCCATCTTGCATCACCTGTTTGCGAACACACTTGGTGCAGAGGCTGTGAACGTGGCAGCAAGCCATGATATCGCCGCAAAGCAGAAGGCCACAGCGACGAGTTCAACAGTCATCACCACTGAATGGCTAGAATCAGCAGCCGCACAACTAAAGCCAGCTGTGGCCAAGATCGTACGCCTGCGAGACCATGATCGTATCGACGTGAGGGAGTCTCTTGCACAGTTCTGCTTCACTCTTTTGAAACAATGCAGGCGTACCCTCGCAAATTGCGTATCTCTCGCGCTCGAGACTCTTCTGTCACTCTCGTCAGATCAAGCCGGCGATTCCATCAAGTTTAGGCTTGAATCATTGCTTACTGCCGAACCCTCACTCGCAGATCAAGTACTGGACAGGCTCTATGACTGGCACCAATCGCTCACCACCAAAATGCAGTCTGCGGATGATCAAGCCAAGGTACAGATGCTGCGACAGATGACTACAGCTTTCGACATCGTCACGGCCAGCGGTGCCGATACAAGCACCGTTGATCGACTGCTAGCTGATACCCTGCGCGATAGCGTCGTTATCACTCTCCAGCTTCCCTCGCTGAAGCGGCAAGCGAATCCACACGTATCGCCGGTCAACGCTTTGTCGGTCACCAACTTGGAAGGGACAAGGCACAATGTGGACTTCGCCTCGCCGTTGGTCAAGTACGCAGGACAGAAAGCAATATTGGATACGATCGGAAGCTTCGCGCAGACAATCAGCAAGGCCTCGTCCTCAGCAGCACTTCTGGTGCAGCTTGCGCGATCGCTGCGTCAATCTCAAGGGGATGCACAAATAGCGTCCTTCTGGCTGCTTCTCAACGCCATCGAAACCACGCTTGGGCGAGGTTTAGAAATAGATGCATTCCTGGCTGTTGATCTCGGGTTGGCTCAGTCCTATATGCCCTACCTTGAAGACATGTACTCCTTTTCTTTGGGCATCCTGACGGCATCTCCGGATGAGCCTGTGGATGAGCGATTACAGGCACTAGCTCTCCGCACGCTGGCACTGCGCTCTCGCACAGCAGGCGAGGAATTTCGCTATGAGCTGATCGATGCCCTATACCCGGTGTTACACACCTTAGCAACTCCGAATGAGCAGCTCCAACAGGACAGTATCACTACACTTAATGTGTTCACCGCGTCTTGTGGCTATGCATCGGTCAAAGATTTGGTCGTCGAAAACGTCGATTACTTAACAAATGCCGTTGCTTTGAAGCTCAACTCCTTCGATGTCAGCCCTCAAGCACCGCAGGTCCTGCTGATGATGGTAAGATTGGCCGGCCCAAGCCTCTTACCCTACCTCGGGGATACGATCGACAGCATCTTCGCAGCTCTTGAGGATTATCACGGATACCCACTGCTCGTTGAGCTGCTCTTCAAAGTTCTCAGCGCAGTAGCTGAGGAAGGGGTAAAAACTCCACAGCTCGCAATTACACAAACCCCTGGAGAGACAACATTGAGCGCTGGTAGTACTCCGCGGCTGATCAGTATCGCCAGCCTCGCGGAGTCACTGCGGGACCGGGCGCTCGAGGAGAAGCAGACAATGTCTGTCGGAGGCCAACCAGAATCACACCCGAAGCAGCCTTGGAAGGCATCCACCAGCGCGGAGGAAGATCTACCAGACGAGGATTCAGACAATGAAGCGACATCTAGGATGGACCCGGAGCTTCCTCCTCCCGCTCCAAAACAATTCGAGTTACTGCTCAAGATATCAGAGCTCACGCAACATTTCTTGCCATCTGCATCTGCCTCGCTACGAGCATCTCTGCTTGCTCTTATCAAGACGACAGCCCCTGCGTTGGCGAAGCATGAGAACTCTTTCTTGCCGCTAGTCAATACACTCTGGCCAGAAGTTGTTTCGAGACTGGATGATGCAGAGTCGCATGTGGTGTCCAACGCCTTGGATATCATTGCAGTACTGTGTGAGCAAGCCCAAGACTTCATGCGCAGCCGCATATTGCAGCTATGGCCCAGCCTGGTGGAAATGCACCAGCGGACAGCAGAGAAGATCATTCACATCTCGCGCTCAAGAGACCACGCTCGGGAGAATGCCAGACAACATGATTCAGAAGCCCTTGCCTCGAATGTCGCTCCATTGAAACAAGCTCTCATTCGAATGCAGCGAACACCTACCGACTACAGCGATACCTCTGTGCGCACAATGTGGGATTCGATTGTACATACGATCGCTACAATTGTTGAGTACGTCGAGCTTCCTTCTGAGCAGTTCGACGAAGCTCTGATCATGCTGGAGCCGGTGATCGAACAAGACCACATTCGGAAGGCATTTGAGAAACACAACGCTGATGCTGTGTGGCTCGTTCGCTTGCGGAGTGGCCTTATCAGTTTACCGAATGTAGCGAACCTCGATATAGGTAGCTACAACCTCGCTGCGACTCCCGGTTGAGACGAATAATTATTCGTCGCCCTCGTCTCACCGATGTGGTATTGAACGCGCGGTGGAAGACACGCCTGCGAAGCAAACCAATTCGCACAAACGCATGCGTTAAACTGGACTCTGAATTTTCGAATCCTGAGCGGTCAATCGGTACATGCACCGATTCGTATTTCCAATGGTCCTGCGAGCAACATTGTGATAGCGCTTATGTTTGCATGAATGTTGTTTGAGCAATCAACGCTGTTTGTTGCACACTAACAACTCGAATCCGGCAAACAGGCGGTATTTTACAAGCAGGGACAGCAACCAAACATTGTCAGTGATACATTTGCATAAAGACGACTCTGAAGCTTGCCTCTTTGTCGGACTCGCTGGCAATCGTTGTCTTCGCTGCACACTGCACCGCACTCCAACATCTGCGCCAAGACGTTCTCGACTTCCTCGGTGCAGTGATCAATATACGACTTCAATCTATTCCACAACACTCTGGACGGCACATTTGCTCTTCAGCATACCTCCTTCGCCGATCGAAAAAATAAAGTCGCCAACATTCCATCGGTCCGCATCCACCATTGCGCTCTCCCCAGTCGGACCCAACTTCTCACCAACCATCAATCTTTCCCATCTCTACAACAATGTGCTACCACGAATACACCCACTACATCACCTGCACGGAACACGTACCCATACATACTCATGTGTGCCCCAAGAACGTCTCCGACGACCCCAGCCGAGTCATTTTCTGCGAAGACTACGAGACCGTCCAATTGCGATCGAATGGGTTGTGCCCTCACTGTCCGTCCAGAAATACCACACCTCCAAGGTCTACCCCGAGCAGATACGGATATCCTACACCACCAATGACTGGGACACCGGGGTCGGCGAAGTGATTGGTGCGAAGATGGAATGATTACAAAGGACTTTTTGGGATGTTAGGTAGATTCTGCTGAGAAGCGAAGGGGAGGGGGTTGTTGATGAACACATTCGCCCATGGGCAATAGACGAGTGAAGGGCTCATCAGGCGGCGGCGTTGGGGTGTTAACGCATGTACGATATTGCAACGCGACGGATGGGACAGCAGGTCGGAGCGATTGAGCGACACTCAGATCATCAAAGCATGGTCTCTCGCCACAGCAGGACAAATAGAGGGCGTTCAGGGGAAGGGAACAAGAGATCAGAATGAAAGCGGGTTTCTGTGAATGAAGAGCAGGATCGGAGGCATAATGCGCACGCACGCATGGCATACATTGTCATTTTTCGAGAATCCATTCATCCTTTTCACAGCTCGCTTTCCGAACATTTCCCCTTTCGACGCCGCGCTAATACCCAGAACCATTTCCACATCGTCGGCGTGCTCGCTCCACTTCTCTTTCAATCTACCTCCATCTTCGTCTCAAAATAGCTAGTGACAGCATCCACCATGTCAGCCTTTTTCGCTCCACTCTTGATGCCCTTGCTCTGCAACCAAGCCTTCAAGTCCGCATTCTTGAACTTGTTGATTCGATCCTTGGCATACGCATCACGCATCTTTTCATCCGTGACGAGATCCTCGTCATCTTCATCTTTGAACTTTTTGCTGCTCTTCAGGGGTGCAGAGGAAGCCGGGCCCGCGGTGCGCTTGGAAGAAGATCCGTTGGTTGCAGGCTTGATTCTGTCCGCATTCTCCGCCTGCCATTGATCGAAAGCCGCGTCGAGTTTCTCGCCCCATTCCACGGCGTACTGTCCGGCGCGCTTGTCGATCTGTCTCCAGCGCGGGAGAGTCTTGTCGTCGGGATGCTCTGGTAATTCCTCCTCGAGCGCCATGGCTTGCAAGATGCGATAGTGCCATTGCAGGGAAGGGTTCGGATACTTGTGTGGATCGTAGGCTGCTTTGGGGAGCTGGAGTTGTTGAATGATGAATCGCATGGCGTCTACGACGTCGTCGGGTGCTTGTACGACGCTTGTGTCTGGTGGGCTTCGGATGTCGTCGGCGTAAGGCAGGGGATGGACCCAGAAGCCGGGCGGCAGTTGTTGTTCGCCCTCCTCACTGCGTTCTTCGGAGCCGGGAATGATGGCTGCGAGGAGAGGTTTCGCATTTCGACGGGCTATGAACCAGCCGAGACCCATTTTCTGGTCTTTGAGGAGCTTCTGGTGGAGAGCAGAGAAGACACGTGTCGATCCCACGTAGTCTTCCTCTGAAGGATAGATGAATGTTGACCGACTGATTGAGGCCCAGATAGGCAGCATGCTCTGAGGTTTGAAGCCGATGATCCGAAGCACGGGATCGCCGAAGTTCTTAATCTTCTTTAACTCCTCTTCCGAGAAGGAGATGGTCTCGCCTCCGAACTTGAAGGCTTTCCGAAGCTCGCCCTTTTCAACTGTACGGGCTGTCTCTTCCTCCACAAGCGTGCTACTCATGACGGCAATCTGTGGCTTCTCCGCATCGGGTGGTAGATAAATGTTGGTCGTCTTCTTGGGCACCTGCGGCATCAAAATGTTGTAGCCTTTGATGCTGATCTTGAGACCTGGGCCGATCTCGAAAGGCATGTTCCCGAAAAGAGCTCTACGCGGTGCCGCGCGAGAAGCCACAGAGGACAGCAAAGACTGCAGCAAGCTGATACCGTCCTTCGCAGTAGAGTTAGCAGACTTGATGTCCTGGGTGAGCGGCGCTGGAGCATCTGGGTCTGAAGGTGTCGAGGAATAAACGATGTCGTTGTAGAATTTGCTCCGGTCGAATGTGTAACCTTGAGTGGGATGCGAGATAGGAAAGAGCTCAATTGTGACGCCCAGATCGTACAAATCTTTTGCACGAACGGTGGCGCTGTTCCTGTCGCTTCTGCTGGAGGCATGAGGGAAGTCGTTGTCTGTCACCAAGAAGAGACGCCGTGATGTGAAATTGGGTGCCTTGGATGTAAAGATCTGATTGGCACAGAATAACACGTTGGCCATGCTGACTTCGTCTTTGCTTGCCTGCAACAATTTCGCTGCTTCCTCTTCGTCTTCGACCAGTGCGCGAAGCAGCTTCACGTCAGCCGCCGCTGGGACGTCCAAGTCGGTGAGTATGTAGCAATGCGGATACTGCAGTCCAGTACGCCCAGAGTCGTCGTCGCCATCCTGGGATTTGCTTTTTTCTGTGCCAAACAACAAGACGCCCATCATGTCGCTTGGACTGCTGATGATTCGCTGTTGCATCAACGCATATGCGCATTTCAGAGCAGCCAGAGTAGGCGAGAGCGCAGTATCTGGCTTCTTGGAATCCGATTCTGCCGGCTTGCGGAGCATGCTCTCACTCACGTCGATTGCGAACAAAACAGCATCTTTGGGCGTCTTGTAGGCGGTCTGGTCATCGACCTCTTCCTCTTCCTCCTCGTCGTCGTCGTCGTGGCCACGGCCATACTTGGATTCGTCTGCCATTCTATAAGGTAGGTCCGTCATTTTTTCTTTAACAGCAGATGACACCTGGTTCCTTGACTCGAGCTGGCAGCGAGAAATGTGGAAGCATGTCGAAGATGAAGCTGATCAAAGGAAATGGCGTTTACTCTCGCTGTTCGTTGCCTGAGAACACCAGGCGCCAGAGCGCGCTAACGGCTCGCTGACACGTGATCTCTTGCTCCAGCCGTCCCGCCCGATAGCTCCGATTGCCGGCAACGGGCGAATGACAGCGACACTGACGCAGATTACTTGCGCTAGCGACGAGATTCAGATCGGGCGACGTGCTCGACTCTGTTGCCTCCCACTCTTGCTCTCCTGTCCATCTCTCGCAAGGAAGACTGCACAAACAATGAGCGTCCAGCAACCTCTGAGAACGCTCACGCAGCGGGCGGCATCACGGCAAAGTCTGGGTCTACCACACAAATCGCGAACATGGCAGCCGCAACGATCCATGGCCACTGTCAATCCGCCCGTCTTTCAGGACTCGACCGGCAAGAATGGCCCAACCGCCATGGTCTTCATGAACATGGGCGGTCCCGCGACGACCGATGAAGTGGGCGGCTTTCTCTCCCGCCTCTTCGCTGACGGCGATCTTATTCCGCTTGGACCTCTGCAGAATTACCTGGGACCACTCATCAGCAGAAGGAGAACGCCCAAGATCGTAAAGCAATATGCGGAAATCGGCGGAGGTAGCCCTATCCGCAAATGGAGCGAATACCAAGCAGAGGAGATGTGCAAGATCCTCGACAAAACGAACCCCGAAACGGCGCCACACAAACCATACGTTGCGTTTCGATATGCGAATCCTCTAACAGAAGAGATGTACAACAGGCTTTTGGCGGATGGCTTTGGCAATGGGAAAGGGGGAAGAGCAGTTGCGTTTACACAATACCCTCAGTACTCTTGTAGTACTACTGGCAGCTCTTTGAATGAGCTATGGAAGTGGAGGCAAAGACTGGAGTCTCCTACCAGATCTCCAGACGCTCCATCCGAAGGTTCAATTCAATGGTCGGTCATTGACCGTTGGCCAACACATCCGGGACTCGTCAATGCCTTCGCGGAAAACATCACCAGGACGTTGGAAACGTACCCAGAAGACATCCGCGACAGCGTGGTGTTGCTGTACAGCGCTCATAGCTTACCAATGAGCGTGGTAAACAGAGGCGACCCTTACCCAGCCGAAGTCGCGGCGACAGTATGGGCCGTCCAGCAGAAACTCGGCCACCGCAACCCCTATCGTCTCGTCTGGCAGTCGCAGGTCGGGCCCTCCGCATGGCTAGGAGCGCAAACCGCAGAGACGGTCCCGAACCTCATCAAGAAAGGCCAGAAAGATCTCGTCCTCATCCCCATCGCTTTCACATCCGACCACATCGAAACGCTGTACGAGATCGATAAGGAAGTCATCCACGAAGCCGACGAGGCCGGTGCGGACGGGAGGGTTCGAAGAGCGGAGAGTCTCAACGGCAGCAAGACATTCATTGGTGCGCTTGCAGACCTCGCGAGCAGCCACTTGAAATCGGGAGAGATCTGTAGCAGGCAGATGGGTCTGCGGTGTCCGGGATGTAAGAGCGAGCGGTGTCTGGAACAAAAGCGCTTCTTCATGGGACAGGGCAAGCAGGATAACGCGGCTGTTACCTTGTAGTAGTAGTAATCTAGGATGTACGTTTGTGTAGCTTTGTACAAAGTCAATACGCTTCTCTATGTGGTGTTGACGTGATGCTTGATAGAGCTCTAGTTTTCAATTCGATTGTCTTGCCGCAAAATCAACGAGACCGCCCCGCGGCGCTACCAAGCTTCTAAAAGTGCAACCGATATACAGGATGCAGATATGATGGACTTCCCCCATCTCTTCACTACCCTCCTTACTCTTCATACTGCCCCGCGGGTATGACTTCTCTCGCCTTCTCCAGCACGCCCTTCAAATACTCATAGACCGCAAACGTCACCGCCTGTCCCGGAGCAACACGCGCCACTCTCGGCGTAATACCCATCCAGAAAGCCCTCGCGCCTTCCTGCTTAAACATCTGCTGCGCAATAATCGTAATGCGCTGCATGGCAGACTGACCCGGTTCCGCGGGCATGCGCTGTAGACGAGTCTTGATCGTGTCGATGGGTGCATTACAGAAAGGGCCCACGGCACCGGAGATGAGACCGATGCCCATGGTCATGTACGAAGGCAGTGGGGCCGAAGGGTCTTTGCTGTTCTTTTGCAACATGTCTTTGAGTTCGGTGTAAGCTGTGAAATTCGCGGCTTGGTTTGTTCCTTGTCGGAGAGCTGTGAGGGAGACACCTCGCCAGAGAGCTCCGACGCCTTCTTCTTTGATGACCGTGTAGCATGCGTGCGCGGCGTTGCGATATTTCGGTACGTCGAGGGGATCTGCCATGCTGTGGTGTTGTGCTTGCAGTCTGATCTTGACCACTTCCATGGGCGTGACGACCGCAACGGCTTCTGTGACACCGGCCGCAAGACCCGCCAGGAAATTCTGAGGCCCATGAATCGATCCCTCTTTATCGGCGAGCAGTTGTTTGTACCATTCGTAACTGGTGAACCGGATGGCCATCTTGGGAACGATACCAGTCAAGACAGCTCCCAATCCCTTGTACAGACCCAGTGGAGTCTCTTTTCGCGCGATCTCAATACCAGTCTTGATGAAACCGCGTCGTTTCATGCCTGGCTGTCGCTGTCGCCGAGAGAGCTGCATTCGAACTTTGATCGTGTCGAGAGGGTGGCATACTAGAGCCTCCATCATACCGGCTGCTCCTCCAGCTGTCGCAACAATCTTAGTATCTGGCGCCATGGAGAACCTGGTGTAGTTTCAAGCTCACCAATCAGGTTGGTTGCCGCAGAGGCAGGCTTTCGGCCTCCAGGGCCTGATGTTGTCTTTGCAGACATGATGTCTTTCTTCGAGGGAGAGGCACTCTAGCTGGTGGCGGCTCTTTGAGCTACGAATCCGACAATAAACACTTGGCGGCGAAGTCCTTTGTTGGTCTTTCCAGCTTGCCAAAGAGTAGACTATGATGTTACAGGACGCATTGGGTGAGGCAAAGGAAGAGACAGCTGTAGAGCTCGTGGAAATTGTCGCACAAGCACGTTCAAGTGACCGAGGAAGTTCAGAAGGCTCATTACGTAGCGTGACAGGTACAGCCAAAAGCTTGCGGTTGGCTCGAGCCTATGCGCGCGGAGCCATCGCGTGTTCCTGGCTTTCCTGGACGAACGGAGCAAGTACCTCGGGCCATCACGGGCGATGCCGGAAGATGCACTTGAAGAGTGTGCGAGTGATCCAGTGCAGTGATGACTGTATCTTCGTTTAAGCCATCCCGAGGCTCGTTCGTAGCCCACTTGCCCACGTTGTGCTGTTGCCAGGGGAGTCTGTCTGTTGCTCGATGACAAGCCGAGCTTGAATTGCATGTGCTCGAAGCCGAGAGGAAGGTTCGCGGGGATGACGCGCGGGGCTGATCTCCGGCCGGATCATCCCTCATCAGCGAAGAGCCTCATGTCTGCACGTGCAAGTCGACAGAGACAAAGGTACATCGGTATTTTCCCGACTATGCGCGTTCGTACAATCGAAACTCCAGATTCACTTGCTCATCGCCGGCCTTGTCAACGACAGACCCTTCCTCAATCTCCTCGCCTGCAAAATCTTGCAGCTCGGCATGAGATGCTTGTGCCCAAGAAGAGGCCTGATCTCCCTCCCCTAGAGTCTCGGGGAAGAACGTATCACATTCGTAGGGACACGAGATTCTTGTTAAGAGGACCCGATTCGTCTGTGGCAGTTTCAGAGCAGCCCCATAGATACTGGAGCCGCCGATCACGAAAGCCCTCCCAACTGGTAAAGCCCTGCCTTCTTTCACCATCGCTTCGAGCGAGCGGAGTCCCGAAAGGATATCTGAGGCCACGACGACATCTTCCGGTATTGATGGAAGCCTTGAGCGGTCTTGGCTGCTGATGATAATGCTTGTGCGGTCCTTCAGAGGCCGGAATTTTGGAGGTATGCTGTCCCAAGTCTTGCGGCCCATGATCACCACATTTCGGCGCGTTCCCGACAGTATCGTGTCCTTGAGAGCATCGGATTGCAGCGAACCTGTATCCTTTGGCATCGGGACGCGTTTGGTGACGCGAGCGAAATAGCCCATGTCTTTCTTCAACATGGGCCAGGGCAGCCCGCCATTCTTTCCAATGCCATTCTTCGCGGTAGCCGCGACGACGATGGTCAAGGGTAGCTGCGTAAGCGACATGTTCTCGGCCATGGGAAATGATGCACCGTGACTCTTGTCGAGAGTAAGGACTACATGTAACGGGATTCGAGATTCTCGTCTGGCTTGATTACGTAATAGGCGATTGCGTCGCGCCGTCACGGGCTTTCGTGCTCTTCTGATGAAAGTTCACCCAGATGGACCCTAGCACACCTCCACTACTGCCAAATCTGCCATAATCTCCATCTCCCGCGCAGATGTACCGAATCGCAAGATTCGCTCGTGCCCAACGAACCGGTGCCAATCCGAAGGACATCCAACATATCTCCGGCTTCCAATGACAATGCGTACGACAGAATTCAAGCAAAGACGATTCCTGGCTGTCCAAACCGACTGTTGGCAGTATAGCGCGTATGTGGTATGTTGTGTACCTCTGATGAAGTGGAGGGTGGATGTTGTACGGAGATTGCTCGGACGGTCGCCAAGGCTTGTCCTCCGAGCCCCGAGACGAAGACAGCTCACAACAACACCACATAACATAGCAGTAATCCTTCCCGACTTGTACAATGAAAGATTGGTACACCTCCCTGCAAGGCTTCTGGAGACCTACTGGAAGAAGACCAGGCAGGCGCAATACATCCCATGTCGTAGTGTTGCTGGCGGCCGCAAAGCGCATTTCGACCATGCTCGTCGGACTCTATTGAATTGAATAATGTTCTGTCGCGAAGATAGCCTGGAGTGCTCTGCTGCGCAGCTCATGCAGGAAATGACGGCATTACGGAGCTCGTGGACGCGTCGCGTAGGAATAATACAACTACCGCTCACCGCCAGACGACCCACAATGGCATCGACGGTTGACATCAGCATGAACGCATACGAGATCTCCCGGCACTGTTACCTCTGGCCCGACGCGTACAACTGTACTCGAAAGATAAGCTGCTTGCCGCTTCTTCCACGACCACCACGAATGTGACAGGCGCAACTTTTCTTACAAATCGTGAAATGTCTTTCGCCTAATCGAGCATCCGGCGGGTGGAGCCGAATCCGCAGTTGACCAGCAGCGATAGCGAAAAGAAGAGTAAATAAGTCGCGAAACGTAACCGGAGAAGCTGTGCCACATGTTGCTTGGCATATCTTAGTGCCGATCACCACCAATGCAGCTCGGGGTTTGCCTTACTGTGTCGTCCTTCCACCTTCTATCATCTGCAACATTGACTGACTGGAGCCGGGCTTCGCTGGTATCAGGATTTAAGTGAAGCGTACTCCGAACCCGCCCCATTTACCATTTAGCGTACGCGGGATCGCCACTCAGAAACCCGATCACTTCAGTTCTCCACGTCTGATCTCATCTGTCTCGTATGCCAGGATGAAGACAAAAAGGACGTCAAAGACAGGAGCAAGCCTCAACAGAATTGCCAAACAACGCATCACCAGCCCAAAGAGACACCGACTCATGAGACAAAAGCTTGCTATGGCTGGCACCAGTTACATCCAAGGTCATGACGCTGCAACACTGCAATCTCATCAATCTCGATCAGCAAAGAAGCAGGCGGACTATCTGCTTCCTCACATTCGATCCGATAGCCATATACTCGACGTGGGATGTGGACCCGGAACTATCACGATCGATTTCGCAACGTACGCCGTGCAAGGGAAGGTTATTGGCGTTGATTCAAGCAGCGAAGTGATCGAACAGGCCAAGGAAGAAGCCATCAAGAGAAAGATGAGCAAGGAGGTGACGTTCGAAGTCGCCGGCGCCCACGACCTACCTTACCCGGACAATGGTTTCGATATTGTCCACTGCCACGCAGTGCTTGTACATCTGCCGGACCCTGTTGCTGCAATGAAAGAGATGCGGCGAGTGTGTAAGAAAGGCGGCTTGATTGCAGCCAGAGAGCCAGATTGGTCGACCTGCGTCATTCACCCCTACTACGCCAAGCTAGAGCGATGGAAAGAGGTATTTGGACAGCTCAAGAGGAACGAAGGCGCAGAGCCGAATGCAGGAAGGCATCTTAGCGAGTGGGCCGTCAACGCTGGGTTCTCTTCGGACGACGTGACTTTGGCTGCAAATGTGCTCTCATATTCCGGACGCGAACAGGTCAAATGGTGGGGAGAGCTTTATTCATCGAGGGTGAAGACAGAGATGGGAAAGCGAGCTGTGAGCTCCGGGCTCGCGACAAAACAAGAAGTGGAACAGTTCTCCAAAGCATACTTGGACTGGAGCAAAGAGCAGTCGGCTATCTGGGCGATGATGCACATGCGGTTACTGTGCCGTAAATGAGCTGATTGCCCGGTGATACATATCGATCCTATGAAGGATTGCAGGATGCCGAAGACGACGAGTACCGAGGGCACCAGGCACGTCCCGCTCTACACTCTGTCTCGCGAGATATTGCGCTGTCCATTGTGAAAAATCCGCACTGTAACTCTCCGGGACGCCTCTGGCCATGCATCTCCATAGAACGCAGGGTGCACAAACCCTTCCATCGGACGTACCTATTAGCACCGTCCATTTCCGCTCCGCCCCTCAGGCTTCAATGCACGAAAAGTGTGGATCGATCAGTACACACTCAAAAAGAACCGCCATGCTTCGTTCACGCTACGGATTGGGACAGGTACTGTTGTACGGTAGCACCCAGCGTCATGGAACATCAGGTGAAAGAATTTTTTTAATAGCATTGTTCAAGTTTTAAGGGGTAAGCCCCTCTGTGACGACTACAAGAGACCACGCGAGAAGAAAGGAGAGCAAAATCTACCAGCAGCACCTACCGTTCCGACAGAGCATCATAGCGTTCCTTTCTCTTCGCCATTGTCGCTATCAAAGTCGCTCTCGAACTCGTATCATATCATCGTAAGCACATATCGACTTCGCAGCCGAACCTCCGCATCTTCGAACCTCATGGAGTACTATGCTGTGCTGTTCTGCTGGGTATCTTCCCTTATCACATCGGGTATCATAGCTCTTCATGCTCCTACGTGCCCGTTCCTCGCTCGTCGCCGTAAGAGGGTGTAGCAGCTCTCTCTACTTGAAGCACGAAAGGCCGCAGAAGGTGCATCTGAATGGATTGCGATGAACGCCTTGCTTGTCAACGCGTACGCCGCCGCCGCCGTGCTTTCCGCCCCAGTTCTGCAACGCGCGTCAGTCCTATTCTTGTCTGTCAATCGGAGGTGATGGGTAAGAGGAAGGTACTTTGGTCCACATGAAAGGCATTGCGTCTGTCCTTTGATTTCGAGATCTGTCGATTTTTTGGTTCTTTGGTGCTGTCACGACTTTGTCGAAGGGGTAGCAGGTCGTAGACGTAGTTTGCGTTAGATGTGTCAGTCGCCAGTCAAAAGGCAGTCTTTTCTACCTCGAGCCATTGTGGCGTGAGGTCGTCGTTCAGCCACACTTTGTTACGCAGTTGCATCGTCAGCCAACAAGCACTTTCCTTCTGAAACTGGGATTGCAGGAGGCTGTGCTTTCGAGAAACCAGGCACCTGCTTCGAAGCAGCACAAGGGTGCAGGATCTGACACTCGTGACTGCCAAAGCTTAGCCTCGCATTGGAACGACCGCGAGTTTTCAAGTTCAAGCACAACGCAGCGCATGGCCAGACCAGCAGTGGAGAATAGAGCAACATTGACGTGATGAGCAGAACCATGAGGGAGAGACAGAGGAGCAACATCTGGTCGGCTCCGGCACGCGGCAAAAGCATCCCCTACTCTTCCCAGTCGGGTCCCTCGCAGTCTGTGACCTGTCGCTTTCACTACCTCACCCGCGTCCGCTCCACTCATCGCGTTGACGCCGTCCGGTAATTGCGTGGATGTCAACTGCATCTCCCGTGCTCTTCTTGGCGTGTTGCCCATGAATTTTTGGTTCTTCTCTCCTTTCGCAGTGGTTGATTCCCGAGTTCGTTCCTGTCGTACACTGCCTGTATCCACATCACGCAAGATTTATACATCCTTCGGGATTCGGGAGACGATTTGCTTGAACAGAATATCGCAGGCTCTTGGCCTTGTCGTATCCTCCTCTGCGCGAATGTCGTGCGAGGCATCGTACATAACTGAAAGGCGACTTCTCTTCAGGGGAATTGGAGCTGAGAAGGCGGTAACATCCACATATTCATGAGAGGCTCTGAAAGGTGAGATGCAGTCTGGTATTACGCATATGTTCACCAGCTTCTCCAGTACGGCTTGAGGGACAAGGCTTTCGGATATTGTGGGCCAACAGGTGTCGTGCGCGCCAACTGATACTATCGCTTCATTCTCGTTATATACAAGCTCAGAGAATTCGCTGTAGACTGAGTTGGTCGCGAGGGGAGCTGGTGAGACTCGAGGACGTATAGCATGTCGCTCCGTGGATGTTGAGGTCATAAAAAGGGCTTCTGTTGGATGCAGAGCTGCGGCGTGGATCTCGAGTGGGAGCTCCGCGGCCAGAAGGAGAAGATGACATGAGCTTGGTTCGGAGTCTCAGGTGGTCTCGTATTCAAGAGCGGTCCCCGTGTCGACTGATGAGCCGGGATGAAGCTCGGGTTGGTGGCTTCCGTGCTGGGCCTGTCTTGCAGTCCAAGGCTCGAGTTCAGAGCGTCAGTGTAGCAGTGACAGTATCGCCGATTGGCTTCAATGGTGAGACTCTGTCCGACCGCAGGCAACCGATCCTTCTGACGGTCGGGGCGAGGAAACATCGGCCTGCGGCGTGTGAGTTGCGTACCAACGAGTGGCCTTTGGCGGCGGCACTGCGCACCGCTGAGAACCCGGCGGATATCAGTGTCGAGCCTGTCCTAGTACCTCGACCATATCAATGCCAATTCCGCCGGTCAAAATTGTCCTCTTGATGGGCGCCGCCGCGTGATTTGATGCTGAAGATGGCCATGATTTGAGGTGCGGGCGTGGAATTCCGGGTTCCTAGCACTATGATTTGCCCGGATAGCGCCGCCACTAGCTGATGTTTGTCTTGGCAAAAAGTAGATCGATGTCTTGAAGTTTCGTCAAGTTCGGGAGCGCTGAGACCGCATTGTCACGTGATCTTCGCGGAGTAGATCCACCTTCGGGAGCTAGCCAGAATAAGCCCAGCCCCACGTGACTGAGTATGTCCTCACCACCCACGTTTCCACAGCGTCTCGATACCAAGACAGTGATAGGAACGATGCATCGAGTGAGCGAGATGGCGGAAAGCGTTCTAGTGCAATGAAACGCTAAAGCCACCGCCGAAGAGGTCCGACGTCGCTTGGGAATCCGTCGTTCCTTCTGCTGGAAAGTGCAATGTTAAATCTCCTGGCATCGGAAGCAGATGGGAAGCTAATCTGACACCACGCCCGTCCGCTAACCTGGATCCACCATGCTTCGATCGCACTACAAAAGCCCTTGAAGGCGCTCGGAAGGCGCTCCAATCGCCTCGCTTTGATCCTGAAGCTGCAGCATGGCAAAAATGTTGCTCGACACCCCCGCGAATCGACGCGCTATCCGCGCGATCATTTGGATCTTGCAATCACATGGAGTGTTCTGTTTAGCCTACACGATATGGGTTCTAGCGGCGAAGACATGGCAGCCTTTGAGTTTTGGGAAAGACCCCTTCCTTAACAATTGGACCTTGTGGTGTATTTGGTTTCCTGAGGCGTTTTTCTATCTGTACTTTCTGGGATATGCGCGATACATTCAGTGCGAAGCAGTTCATCCGCCCAAACGGACTCGCGAAGAACGGTTGGCGCTCTTCAGCAAAGTCCGCTCCGAGATCTACGATCCTGTGAGCTTCCTGAGTGGATGGTTTAGAGGTTCGAGGATCGAGGACATTGGACGCAAAGAGATGGAAAGGTTTGTTGACTGGGCTTTCTGGGATGGAAGAGCTAGCGAAGCAGGTGAGGAAGGCGATGCAGCAGAGATTGAGGAGTACATACAGAAGATCGAGAAGATGATGCCAGGCCCGTTTCCGGAAGGGGATGGCAGGGCTAAGAGTTTACGCCTAACTCTGGATCCGATTGAGATTGAAGCACGTAGTCTCTTTTGGTACGGGCTAATCATGTTGGCCGATACGATTGCGTTGGGCCTGCTCATGGCGAAAGATTTCGAGTACTACAGGCGCAGCATTCGGGACGTTGCTTCGGTCTTTCCGCCACGACCTGCAGCTTTTTGTACGCGAAATGTCTCGTCAGTGCCGGACTACTCATACTTCTTGCGGAAACATACGTCCAAAACACGGCTGCCAATCGTCTACATACATGGAATTGGCATAGGGCTTCTACCTCACATTGGTTTCCTGGAGGAAGTGCACAATGCCTTGAACGCGGGAGCCGGAAAGGACGACCAAGTTGGCATTCTAGCCATCGAAGTACTCCAAGTGTCATTCAGATTGACATCGTCAATGCCACGGAGAGCGGAGTTCTTGTCACAAATGACGACAATGATTGATCAGCATTTTGGCACTGGCCGCTTTGTTCTTGCTGCGCACTCATATGGAAGTGTCCTGAGCACGCACATCATGAATGATGCACAGCTGTCACTAAGAATTTCAGGAACTCTCCTTGTGGACCCGGTTTCCATTCTGCTGCACATGCCGGATGTGGCTTACAACTTCACCGTACGAACTCCAGTCCGTGCAAATGAATGGGAATTATGGTACTTCGCCTCCAAGGATCCTCAGATTGCACACACGCTCGGTAGACACTTCTTCTGGAGTGAAAGCGTCTTATGGAGAGATCAGATCGATCATCTGGTTGAAAATCACAACATGCGTCTCACGGCAAGCTTGTCGAGTGACGACCTGATCGTGAATACGAAAGCTGTCAGAAGTTACCTCACAGACGGGGATTTGCCAGAACCGGTTGTCGTTGAAGACATCACAGGCCAGAAGCAGATGCAGCTACAAACACACACCAAGGACTATCAACAGCAGAATAGCAAGTGGCGTGGAGCTGGAGTAGAAGTTCTGTGGTGGCCGGGCTACGACCATGCAGGCGTCTTTGATAAACAAGAAGATAGGGCAAAGCTGGTTGACGTTCTGGTAGAATACGTGAAGGAGCAATGATGAATGCATGCTATGAGGCCTGAAGAGATGATAGAACAGTATATACTTAATGTGTAAAACTATACCAGCGTCTAAGATGTCGAAGTGAACCGAGTGTTGCCCCTGCACCTCCTGTGAGCAGGCATTAGCCGATGAGAGGCAGCCGATTGGTTTGCTCGACGCGTCTTCCTTGCATGTCGGGGCAATTCCACTCACACAGACGCATTGGTCTCCGACTCGTCTGCGAAACATCAGCACTACCTCGCGCTCTCCTATCCATATCGAACATCTAATATTGAACAACATGCACAGTTCAATACGCAGGAACATTCATTGTGCTTTTGGTACTCTGGATACGTGAGCATCTCATTCGACAGCCTCGGGAACGGCGCATCCTCCCAGCGCGCCACGAAACCTTATTGCCCACGGCAGGATGCCACGCGTGCTCCTCTCAGCGCCTTCGTTCCACAGTCGTCTTGTACAGATCACCTTCTTGGCCGTCGTACTTATTGTACTGTGGTGTTTTATTCTACCGCAGTCGCACAGCTTCCGCCAACGTCTCGTCCCCTATTGGAGTGGCCCCGCTGCCGTTGCGATACCTTCAAGCTCAACTCCGAACACGAGACTTCCTCAGATCAAACACCAGAATAAGGATCATCCGATTGATCAATTGATTGTTCGCGCGAATGAAGGATTCAGGTTATTGATTGGGAAGAAGACGGAGAATGTGCACGATGCTGCAAGAGCTTATCGCGCACGGAGAGGTCGCGAACCCCCGCCGCATTTCGATGAATGGTTCGAATATGCTTCCAAGAATAAGAGTGCGATCATAGTGGAGGAATTCTTTGATAGGATATACGACGACCTGAATCCATTCTGGGGCGTTCCTCCGAAGCAGATCAGAGAACAGGCGAACGATTTCTTGCATAGGATATCTATTCGGGATGGAAACGTCACGAAGAGAACGGATGTACCGCTTGAGGATCGGCCGTGGATGCTGCTGTGGTCGGATATGGTCCAGAGCGTTGCGGAGTTCTTGCCGGATGTCGATTTGGCGATCAACGTGATGGACGAGAGTCGATTGGTGGTGCCTTGGGAAGAGATCAATGGCTACATGGCCAAGGCGAAGCGGGCCAGAAAATCCGTCCCAGCGGCAGAGCTGAGGAATGACTTCAGCAGTCTTAAGGAGTCGTTAAAGCAGCTGGACAAGTTTCCGCTGCAGGAGCATTTCGATCCTATGTTTCAGGCAGAAGGTCCATTCTGGCCTCTAGCGGTGGCCGGTTGTCCACCCGATAGTCCAGCTCGCAGCGCCTATATCGAATCCGACTTCTCACATCCGCCTCCTCTAAAAGGCGATTTACCTAACAATACCTACTACGGCTATGTTCAGAATTGGACCTACACGCAGTCTCCTTGTGATCATTCAGCCCTGCAAGGTCTCCATGGTAGCTTCGTGGAGCCGATATCGATCTCCACGTCGAAGAAGTTCTTCCCATTGTTCGGTGGCTCGAAACTGCCTATGAACAACGAGATCCTACTACCGCCTGCGATGTACTGGACCGATGATCCATTCTACTCGGGAGGCGAAGAGCACGGCCAGCCTTGGGAAGAGAAGCACGATCAGCTGATCTGGCGCGGAGCTGCAAGTGGTGGGCGGAACCGAGAAAACAACTGGACTCGCTTCCAGCGACATCGTTTTGTCTCCATGGTCAACGCCACCAGCATCAAGCAGATGGAGCTTCACTTGCCTGCGCGACCCCCAACCTTCGTTTTACCTGCGAACGACGCTTACGACCTCACGGTACAGAAGTCCGGCGCAGGCGAGACTCCTTTCAGCGAATGGGTAGCGACTTGGGCAGATGCAGCATTCGTTCACCTCCTTTGCTTCCCCGACGAGAGCCCGCCTCACTGTCGCCACACAGATCCTTACTTCTCTGTTGAGAAGGGCATGCCGATGTCTGAGCAGTATCTCAACAAGTATCTCCCTGATATCGACGGGAACTCCTTCTCCGGGAGATATCGCGGTTTTCTAGGCAGTACCTCAATGCCCATTAAGGCCACAATCTACCAAGAGTGGCACGACAGCAGACTTGTTCCGTGGAAACATTTCGTGCCTATGGATAACACATTCATTGATATCTATGGTATCATGCAATACTTTGTTGGGAACAGCATTGAGGGACTAGACGGTCACGACGAGGAGGCAAAGAGTATTGCGCTGGAGGGGAAAGCTTGGGCTGAGAAGGTTTTGAGGAAGGAGGACATGTCGATATATGTGTATCGGCTGATCTTGGAGTATGCGAGGTTGTGCGATGATGAGAGGGATCGATTGAGTTGGGTGGAGAAGTTCGAGGGAGGGTTGGAAGGGGCGGAGAGGCCGCTGGAGTAGAGACCCGGGTGTTCTAAAGTATAGGCAATACTAATGACTATTTCTGTGCAATGTAGTCTGCATCTCATGTACTTACACTGTAGGCTCCAAGCCGGACGTGTGTATGGTGCCTCAGGCATCAAAGTGCACGGATCATATTGCGCCGCATTCGCTTTTGACATTAAGTTGCATCTCACATTAGTTGTTTGTCTTTCTTGACCACGTCTCAGAAATCGCATATGCACCGGACGAGTACGTGTACTGTACGCCGAGTGTATGTACGGAATCTTCAGGACATATTGGTCTAGCTCCGCGCGCCTGATCCGACCTTGCTCCAGCAAAAACCTTTCAAAATTCGTCCCCATCCTGAGTCACGAGACATCAGTCACATTGCGACTGCAACGACATAAAAGCCGGCAGGAACGCCACATCTCGAACACGGCAACTTTCAAAATGGCTGTCTCGAACGGTCAATCCAACGGCAAAGGCAAAGTCGCCAGTATCACATCCCAGCTCGAAACACTCGGAATCTCAAATCTGCCCGCGCCTGAGGGTGTCCAACTGTATCCGGATCGCAACCCAGTGGACGTCTATCGTTCGATTGTCATAGATCAGATTCATCAAATTACTGGAGTGGAGCCGGCGATTGTCAACAATGCCGTGCAGTGGACGCAAGATCTCAAACACGGAGATCTGGTGGTACCGGTGGCAGCGCTCAGATTGAAGGGCAAGAAGCCCGATGAACTGGCCAAGGAAATCGCGGCCAAATTCAAGTCGCCGATCATCGAGGAGCCCACTGCCGATAAGGGGTTTGTCCGCATCTTCTTCAAGCCTGAGACACTGGCCAAGCTGGTCGTTCCTGCCATTCACAAGCAAAAGAGCAACTATGGCTGGAATCCGGCATTGGGGCTTGAGGATCCTTCAAACCCTAATAGCCGCAGGAAGAAGGTCATTGTGGAGTACTCGAGTCCGAACATTGCGAAAGAGTTTCACACTGGGCATTTGCGAAGCACCATCATTGGCGGTTTCCTCATCAAGCTGTATGAGCGCGCAGGATGGGACACTGTTTCGATGAATTACTTGGGAGATTGGGGCAAGCAGTATGGCGTGCTTTCCGAGGGATTCGAGAAGTACGGCAATGAGGAGGCACTGCAGAAGGACCCAGTCAAGCACCTGAATGAAGTATATGTCAAGATCAACCAGGACAATTCAGCAGAGCAAAAGCCGGCAAAGGTTTTGCGTGAGAAGAAGGAGGAGCTGGAGAAGGTGAAAAATCCACCCAAGCCGAAGAAGCCCGCCAAGGGCAAGGAAAGTGAAGTGCCCCCTGAGCCCAAATGGACTGATGAGCAGGAGCAGGAGCTGCAGAAAGTGACGGCAGAGCTGGAGAAAGTAGAGCAAGAGCTCATCGACCTGCCCAGCATCGACGAGAAGGCGCGTAGGTTCTTCAAGCGGATGGTTGACAGTGACGCACAAGCTCTGCAGAACTGGCAGCGTTTCAGGGATCTTTCCATCGAGGCATACAGGCACATGTACGCTCGTCTCAACATCCATTTCGACGACTACAGCGGCGAATCGACGGTCAAAGAAGAGGACATGGAGACGGCAGCGCAGGTGCTTGCTGAGAAGGGCATCAGCGAGGACAGCAAGGGCGCCAAGATTGTCGATCTGGCGAAGCACGGGGCACCGACACTGGGCAAGACGTTGGTCAAGAAGAGGGACGGAACATCACTCTACCTCACGCGTGACATCGCGGCCAACTTCGAGCGTTATGAGAAGTACAAGTTTGATCAGATGATCTATGTCATTGCTTCTCAGCAAGACGTTCATGTCAAGCAGTTCTTCAAGATCTTGCAACTGATGGGACCACCTTACAGCGACATTGTCTCCAAGTGCAACCACATCAGCTTCGGAATGGTCAAGGACCCGAGCGGACAAACGATGAGCACTCGGAAAGGCACGGTCGTGTCGTTAGCGGACAGTCTCGACAACGCACAGGAGTTCATGCACGATGTAATGAGGAAGAACCAGGAAAAGTACGAACAGGTCGAGGACCCCGAAGGAACAGCGGACATCCTTGCCATCTCGGCTATCATGGTTCAGGACTACAGTGGCAAGATGGTCAACGGTTACAACTTTGACATGAAGAAGATGACCAGCTTCGAGGGCGACACTGGGCCTTACCTACAGTACTCGCATGCTCGTCTCAACTCGATCAAGCGCAAGGCGGGCATCTCCGAAGAGCAACTTCTCGAGGCGGATCTCAGTCTGATCACGGCCAAGGAAGGCATCCAGCTCATCCGCTACCTCGCGCAGTGGCCCGATGTCTTCCTCAACACGTACAAGACCAGCGAGCCCGTGACTGTGCTCACGTACCTGTTCAAGATGACACACCAGCTGAGCTCGTGCTACGATGCCATCGACCGGGAGAACAAGAACGCCAAGACGTTGAGTGTGATGTACGCGGAGACACCGGAGAAGAAGGTTGCCCTGATGGCGATGTATGAGGCCGCTCGGATCGCGCTGAACAACGGAATGCAGCTCCTGGGTCTCACGCCGGTGGAGAGGATGTAAGCGTGTGGACTGAGCATCATCATCAGGGCGTTATGGGGAAGAGAGAGGCAATTGCGCACGACATTTTTCATGGCACCGAAGATGATGGAAGAGTGGCCGAAGGCATCGTTCTTCAGCTTGCGATGCGAGACCATCGGTTACTGACGGCAGCAGATAGACGGAAAAGAATGCAAACGTGATGGTGCGCAGCCATGCGCACCCGAAGCTCAGCGACAAGCCGGCCGAAAGTTTTCCTATTCTTCGTCGTACAGCAGAGGAAAGAGCGGACCCCGTCGTAGCAGTGCAGTGCAGATAAATGCGGAGCGGCGGAGCGCGCGACCACAGCAGCGGGTGGGCGTTGTGGCTACACGACAGGCCCGGCTTCAACGACGTGGTGCGTTTCCAGCCTACACTTTTGCTCGAGGAGTGGGCTCGTGGGCGGGCACATGAAAGCTTCTGTAGGTGTGCTGGGCGAGGTAGTGTAGTAGTCCATGAAAAGTCTTGACTCTCGACTCTTGATGACCATGACTTTCACATGTGGAGTTTTCTTCTCTGGTGCTGGTGGCGATTGTTATCTCGTTCGATTGGCGGTGAGTGTAGTGTGTGGTGAACAGCGGACGGAGATGGAGAAGCTGCGAGCCAGCGTTGGAAGACGTCCACCCACGGTCCTCTGCCAGCCCAGCGTACATTCCAGCACTGCATGCACATTACCGTCCGCTTTTTTTTGTTTTCGCATGTCGGGGTTGCCTCTCTCTCTCTCTCTCTCTCTCTCTCTCTCTCTCTCTCTCTCTTTCTCTTTTCATAGCATTTACGGAGAGAAGGTAGCGACATCGTCACGAGGCTGTTCGGCTGATTGCTGAAGCACTGACTGTTGGGTTCCGCCGTGAATGCTTTTTTCTGTCCTGGTCGTTGTGGTGAACGGCCGGGGGGGAGGGATGATCCCCGTTCGCGCCTGCCCGTGGGTGCGTGGATGCTTTCGAGAAGCGCGCGTGTGCCCGCGCGATCGATGGCGATTGTCAATTTGGCGCCAAGAAATACATGCGCGCGAGCCCCACCACCGCACGCACCTCCGATGAGTGAGTGAACGCTTTTTCTTCCACTGTACGACCTGGTGGTATTGTTGCAAGAGCACTTGCCACGGTCGCCGACTCGCCCTCTGTTGCGCAACCGCACCCGCAGCCACGCGCAGCAGCTCACAGATGTATTGGATGGGGAGAGGAGGGGGAGGAGGAGTGCTTAAGCGATACGTTGTGAGCTCCGGACTCTTCTGAGGTGCGCGCCTTCTCGCAGCGCGCCCGCAAGCATCCACACGATATGCGCATTCACCCCTCGTGCGTGCCGGGCTAGAGACGGATTGGATTAGCAGCGCAGGTAGGTACTGTAGGAGGATGGGCACACACCCCAGGATTTTTGGGCTGCCGTCGTGGTGGACTACGGTCGGCCTGGCCTGGCCTGGCCTGGCCTGTAGTGGCAGCAAAGAGCCGGCGGGATGATTGCTGCCCATCCATCATCCGTCAGCACACAAAGTAGTGACCAAGCTACCGGCGTTCTTTCTTCTGCACGCAACGCTGTTGAAGAGGCCACGGATCGCCACTGATACTGATACCGGTACTGATACTGGTACTGGTACTGATACTGATACTGATACTGATACTGGTCCTGATACTGGTCCTGCTGGCGTGGAGGAGCTCACACTTATCGCTATCGCTGCACAGTGACTGCGGTGCTGCAGACGACCGGTCAGAGGAGCAACAGCGCAAACAGTCACCCTCTCCTGCACGTCCGTCTTCCCTCCGACGTACGTCCTCCACCAAACAATAATGCACCATCCAACACACACCACCGACACGACAATAATAATGGAAGCCCATCGAGCACAACAACAAGGCATTATTCTCCCCACCGCGCTCATCGTCCGCCGGTAGCACTCGCACACTCACACTCGCACTCGCACTCGCATCGATCGCCACCTCGCCCTGTCAGCCTCGGATCGCCGAGCGCCCTTTGCTCCTTCGGCTGCCGCTGCCGCTGCCGCCCCACTCGCCGTCCACTGCATCACTCCAGTCCAGTCCAGGATCCGCGAACCACACTTTCCACTTCCGTTCCAAGTCAATCCAAAAGTTCATCTCCTCACTTGTCTCCGCCTTGAGAGACATCTTCGCCTGCCTGAGGCTGCACGCCATGTCTCAGGCCAAGGCCGCCGCCAACAAGGCCGCCAAGAAGCCTGCCGCCCCCGTCGCGCAGGCGGACGACTGGGACAGCGACGAGAGCTCCGCCGTCCCGGGCACCACCGTCCTGGCCCAGCGCAGCGAACCACCACCGCAGCCCTCGCCTCGTCCAGCCAAGACCGCAGATTCACGTCGTCGACCTGACGCGTCGAGCAGAGGCAAGGCGGCAGCGCCTGAACCTACTCTGCCCGCTTCCCAGAGAGTCGTCCAGCGCCCGGCAAGTGGAAGCCCAATCAAGCCCAAATCGAAGCCCGTCATCCATCGCAACGACAGCGGACGCGATCCACGAGCTCACACCGTCTCGAGCGCCACCGGCAGGCAACCCGCGACACAATGCGATGACCCCAACTGTCGCGATCCCGGCTGCCTTCCGACAAGGCGTTCCACGGTGTCCTACCACCAACCTCAGCCGGCGCCATACGCTACTCACTATGCCCAGTATCCCAACGGAGCAATGCCTCCTCCAATCGCCAGCATGATGATGCCGCCGCCACCACGACCGCGCGCTGGCTCGACATCCCGCGGCGCGAGACCTGTCAGCATCCATGGATATTCTGGCCTGTCATATAGCGGAGCCCAACCTGGCCCGCCTCCATCCGCGTCTGCTTACTATGGCTATCCTCAACCCTACGCAGCTCCACAGGCTGCAGGATATTATGGCTCGACACCATCGACACAAGCACTGGACTACCCTCCCGCGTCGCCCGTCGTACCGCCTTCTCCAACGTCACCGAACATGACGACCTACCCAGGCTTCCCGGGGTACGCTGGAGGCATGTCTGCCCGAGCGATGGCCCCCAACGTAGCTGGTCTGGAGATGCCCAAGGCCGTGCAGCCACCTGGCATCGCTCGCACCATGTCAGCACGTAGAACAAACGAGCGTCGAGATAGTCGTCTACTGGAGCTGGAACCGCCAGCTGCGGACTCGGAGTCTGTCACATCGGATTCATCCGAATATGAGTCCGAACCAGAGCGTCATCGCCGGAGACGAAGCTCCGCGCGAGATTCTCGCCCGCGTGAGCAAATGACCGTCGTCCGTCATCCGAAACGACCCTCGGTCAGCCAGAAATACTACACCGAGTCTTCGGTGCCAACGACGAGTCAGATGCGGAGAGAGCCATCACGACCGCGAGAGCCTCTACGACGGGCACCGCGGTCCGACAATTATTACGAGTATCCTTCCAGCCCGGGCGTGAACGACTCGGACCCAACGCAACGCGCGATGATCCCTCGCCGCGGAACAACTTCTTCGTCTCATAGCAGCCGTCGACCCTCTGTGTCGACGACTGCATCTTCCGGGCGCACGAAGAACACATCACTGACGAGTAACACCGACTACTCGAGTGATTACTCCAAGGTCATTCTGGAGGGGCCGAACGGCAGGCGCACGGCCTATCTCTCCAAGGACCAACAGGCTGCTCTGTCCCGTCGCGCACGACAGCAGCAGATGGACGATAGATATGCCGAAGCGCAGCGACTGCAAGAAGAAAGAGTCTCAGCCTACCAAAGAGCAATGAGTGGCGGAGAGCTGCACGAGCTGACCGCTGAGAACATCAAAAAGTCGCAGTATCGTAAGAGCGCCAGTCACGTCTCTGGACGCAGCCAAAAGAGCAGCGGCTCGGGATCCCAGGCATCCAAGGCTGATGGCATCAAGATCCAACTTGGCGATACGGTGCTACATGTCTATGGCGATGCCAAAGTTGAAATGAGGCCGGGGGAAGACGGCCGACCTGCACACTTCTTCATCGCGAGCTCTTCGGGTCGAGACAGCGCGTACACGGCGAGCAGCAAGAGCTCTGGCAGCCGGATGGGCCGCTCGCGTGCCCGAGGGGACATGTCGAAGCGCGAGCGGATTCCGGAAAACGAATACGAGGAACCGCTGTGAGCCGGAGACCGAATCTATCGATTGACGAATTTTACTTCTGCGACCACGACCGATCCTCGAATACACATCCGCACGAGCTATATGACGACGCCATCTACGACACTTGAGAATGCAATCATATCCCCATCTATTCCCCTATTTCCGAGTCTGCGTGCGTTTGAGCGAGCGAGCGTTTCACTTCATTTTGCCTTTGGATACCCGAGAAGCATCACAGTACTGCTCCTTTGCCTTTTTTCTATCTTCCTCCTTTTAATCCGCTGCAGTGCAGCCGGTCAGGGAGATGCCAAAAGTCAAAACTGTTTTGTAGGCGGGCGTTTCCAAAAGAAGGGGGAAAAAGTCTTTCAGGATTCCACGATGCGGTGGTGATGATATGATGGGATCATGATGATAACGATGATGATGGGAGAAGGAAGACTTTTTGTTTTTGCTGCTTTTTATGAGGATGAATCTCGATTGTCTGTTGGTTAGCTAGTTATACCCCATCCCATCCCCTCCTCCCCCTTTTATTCTCGGCAGCGTTTCCGAATTCTTTGATACGTTACGTTACGTTGGACACAAGGACAAGGGCAAGGAGCGGATGTCTCCCCGTCAGTCTAGTCACTAGTCAGTCTAGGACGAAGAAGAAGAAGAAGGAGAAGAAGGAGAAGTCGAAGAAGAAAGAAAAAGACGAGTGCCCCCTTGTTGTGAGTTTGCTGGCTGGACTGCTACTGCCACCTTACTGCCGGGGGAGGAAAGGGGCAACACGAATGTGCGTGTGTGTCTGTGTGTGTACGGACCATATGATCCATCCATCAATAAAGTATGCATGCATGCCTGCATGCATGTTTGTTCGACGACGGCAGGGGGGAAAAACATGAACACACATGTATGTATGTATGTCATCTCATCTCATCGCATTGTATCCATCGCATGCATGCATTCTAGCCTGCTAAAGAATGAACAAATGGATATTTGTACCTTTTGAATATACGGCATCATAATTCCAACGCGACGGCTGTCTGAGGAATGAGAATTTCTCTCTCTCTCTCTCTCTCTCTCTCTCTCTCCAGTTGTTCAATGATTTCGTGTGTTCGCACGATGTTCATGTTCATGTTCATGTTCATGTTCATGTTCACGTTCATGTTCATGTTCATTATTTCACGCACGTCTGTCTGTCTCTCTGTCTATCTACACCAACGCCAACGCCAAGACCCCGGCCCCCAATGCCTTTCTCCATTTCTTCCCCGCGCATCCAGCGAAAGACAAGACAAGACAAGACAAAGTCCAAAAAAACCCCCCCACAAACGCCTTCAGACGCCGCCGCCGTCGTCGCTCTTGCATGGGAAAAGTTTCTTTCTTTCCCCCATAATAAGGTCGTCGGTCGGGCTGCAATACATGAATGAAACATGCTGGAAGGGTTTCTGTCGGGCCGAAGAAGAAGAGATGCTGCCCAACCCGACCGAAACACATTTTGAATTTTTCACGTCATCATCATCAGACTTGACTTGGACATGATCATCATCATCATCTTCTTCTTCCTCGGATGGATCCAAGGTCGCGCGATCCTCAAAGAATTATCCGATGAGAGAGGGAAGGGAAGCAGGATTCGTTCCGGCGTGGTGTGTGATCTTCCTGCAGCCAGCCAGCCATTCCATGTTCTCTGCGTTCAGACGATTGTGGTACGAGTTCAGGAGATTGTGGTACGAGTTCGCAAAGTTCTGCTGCCAGAGACTTTCAAGGCCACACACGCCTCTGCGCGCTCCACTCTCTGCTCATTCGAGGTCACTGTCGGTGTTGCCGCGACGGTAGCCGCCGGAGCGCGGTGCTCCTCTGCCTTGCTTCTTGCGCGGCGAGCTCTGTCGACTGCTACGCGCCGTGTGGCCGTACTCCGAAGAGTAGCGCTCGCTCGCACGGGGGCGGTATTCGTCGTAGTAGCTGGAAGTCCGCTGCGAGGTCGACTGGGTGTAAGCGGTGCTGAGAACCTCCGACTCGGGGCCATTGGTGTAGGAGAAATCCCGCTTCTTGGGAGAGTTGGAGCGCGAGCCACGATCTCGACGCGGCTTCTGGGCGGAAGATGGATTCTTGGAGGGACCGGCACTCTTCTTGGCCGCGGGGGGTGGTGGGATCCGCTCGCTCTCACGTGCGAGTGCTGCGGCGGCTTCTTCTGCTTCTCTCTTCCAGCGACGCTCCATGCGGGCTGCCTCCTCGCGAGCCTTGCGCTCTGCTCGCTCTTTTTCCTTGCGCTTGTTGTCGTCTTTCTTCTTGGGTATCATGGGTTGTTCCGAGCTCTCGGTGAGGACGGACTCGGTCATGACGTCGGAGCGGTCGGTGTTGGTGTAGTCGAAGTTGCTCCCATCCGCAGCACGGTTGAGGCCTCCGACCCGCGCAGGCTTCTCCTTCTTGTACTGCCGGACATCACGATCGCGGTAACGCTTGGAGTGGTGTCCAAAGTCAGGCTCCGAGCGCACTTCTGCCATCTCGTCCGTAACGGTACGTGTGCCCAAGGAATCCGTAAAGTCGTCGCTGTAGGTGATGCTGTGCGTCTTGGCCCAGCCTCTCTTGCCCAGGATCCCCTTTCTACCCTTCTCGTCCTTGCTCACGACAGAGCGAGCCATGTTCTTCTGCCAAGCATAGCGTTGCGTGCCGGCAATGGTGCCGCCGCCCAGCTTCGTGCTCTTGGTGGCATTACTCAACGTCTTCCCGTCTGGCCCCTTCCGTCGCAGCACGGTAGACTTGTAGTCGTCCCAGTCACCCTGTTGCCACTTGAATCCTCCATTCTTGGCCCAGAAGAAGAACCACAGACTGGCGAGCACCATGGCCGCGCCAAGGATGGCAAAGAGGGCGAAGAAGCCCCCGTTGTTGAATGTGTCCGGCGCTTTGGTGCCTTGGCCGGGTACGAATGTCGAGTCGGCTCGCTTCTGCACCGCTCCTGCGAGGACATCATGCTGTTGTATTGGTGACAGAGCGGGTACGTCTTCGCCGCGAGTGTAGAGTCCAGCCGAGCTCTCATCGCGCATGTCTAGCTCGAGCGAGGAGACGAAGATGTTCGCCACCGGCTCAGCGCTCTTGACTGTTCTTGGAGCGGCTAAAAAGCCCAATCGAGACGTTATTGGAGCCATGTCGAAGAGGTGATGCTGTAGGCCGAAGCCTCAGCCTAAGTTCGGTCGTTCGCGATCAAAGACAGGGTCGGGAGACGGTCGTCGGGAGTGCGGATACGGCGAGAAATGCTGGCGATTGATCAGCGTGTGGGTAATGATTGCAATGTGTGAAGAGATGACTTTCCAGCAGTGTGTCGCGGAATGTAGCGTGGTTTTGCTGAATTCCGGTTACTCGGTGGTTGGACGTTCCTGCCACCGAGATTCTGACACGCCTCGTCATTGTTTACCGAGCCGTGGACCCTGGCAACCGTTGCTGCACGTGTGCCTCAGGCCTCAACACCACTTCACTCCGCACATTCACACGTACAGTACAACTGCTAGTAGAGATGATGATGAGACAGATGCGAACACAAATTCGGAATTATCATGCGACTTGTTTAGCTGCTACGGTACGCCTCAGACCTCCGCGATCGACGAAAGCCTAGTCTTCCTAAACGGAACAGGAAGCGGCGGCAATGTATTCACAGGACGAGGCCTGGATTGGAGCTCGATACCTCGCTCTTCATCTTCATGCTGACGGGCATCGCTTACTGGAAACCAACCGTTCTCTGTTCGGGCAAGAATCTTTCCGCCCCAATGAGAGCGCGACGCCGGCCCCTGTTGACCTTTAGTCCGTCTTCTGTTCACAACGAGGAGAAGGACAAATATCATGGCCGCGACCGCTGCCATGATGCCAATGGCTGCGCCGATAGCGATGGCTCCACTCCTACCTGTTGCTTGGCTCGTCGCTCCCATGCTGGATGGTTTCGCAACAAGCTCGGTTCTGGATTTTATTCTTCTTCTTCTTCTTCACGAAATGTATAGCTTCGACCAGGAGAGCTATTTATCTTGTGAGTATTCAAAACGTGTGCTGATGGAAGTACGTAACGCTCTGAAGAATTGCAGTTTATATCTGCTCTGGATGTATGATAGGTGTCATTGTCCACCAAGGAACAAAGGCCTAAGACAATGCGCTTTCATCTATCGGAGGAAACAACGGACGTTCTAATCTAAACAATAGACCAAGTAGTCTTTCACGAGACTGAGCATTGTGATCCTTAGAGGTCGGCTCCGCGGGCAAAATGTTACGTTGCTAAAGAAGGCAGAACATGGTAGGGTATCATGAATCGATTCGTTCACGGCATCAGACCCATTTGGTACAAACCCCAGAATGCGATTGCTCGCTAGCTATCAAAAACCATCCCCAATCTCTCACACACTCTCTCCCCTATTCAGCGCTTTAGAGAAACCCAGCGACCCTCCCAGCAACCTTGCCCACGCGACCCCCACGCTCCTTACCCCCCGGCCAAGCCCTCTCCGCAGCCCCAGCGACAACCTTCGCCTTCTTCCTCCTATAACAGCAAAACGCCTTCACTCCGACATAAAATGCAATCAAGAGCACGAGCGCCATGATGGTGAGTCCGAGGGCGAGATGGAGGTGTTGCCATTCGTGCTTTTCGGTTTGGAGTCGTGCGAGCTCGGAGGTTTGGGTGGTGTTGGTCTTGAAGACGGTGATTGTAGGGGCGGCAGCAGTTTTGGATTCGGTGAGACGGGTGGTTGTCTTCTTCTCCTCGGGAGTTGCTGCGGCTGCTTTGATCATGAAGTCGCTGCTGCTGCTGCTGCTGCTGCTGGTGGTGGAGGTCATGGTTGGGAGGAGGGAGGTTTGAAAGGTTGAAGGGGCGCGTTGGACGATGATGGTGGAGTAGATTGTGTCCATTGTGTCCATCGTGGTGGTGGTGGTATGTCCAGACATGATTGCGTACTTGTTGAAGTTGAATGACTAAATCGTATGTGGTGCCGGAATTTTTATTCGTTCTGAGGTCTTGTGGTGTTGCTGCCAGAGCAATTCTTTCGCGTGTGAGTTCTTTAGAGGTAGGATGCTCGAGAAAGAAGGGGACAGTTGGAGTTGGTAGTGAGGATAAATAAGAAAGAAGGGAACTTCCATCGTCCATTGTGTCGTTCAACAATGCGAAAGTGCAGCTTCGAAGTGGCTTCGCCCAAGAATAGGAACAATGGCGATGAACAATGGGTGGAGATTACATGAAAAGCTATTGTTAGTCTTGAAGCAGGATTGCGTCTGTGGTGACGATAGTGCTTGCATTTCCAAGCCTGGTATAGAACAGAAAACGTTACCACCGTAATATTTCATTCAAAACCGCGGAATCATCAATCTGCGAAATCATCCCCATCTCCATTCCTAGCCACGCGCTCCCCAAAATCGCTACAGTGCCCCCGGCGCCCAGCACCTCGACAGAGACGAGTCGGATCGGCCCACTGGAGAAAATCCTCCTAACCGGCTCCCCTCTGCCACGCCCTCGCCTCGACCTCCTCCGGAATGCCCTGAGTCCCAGACGCCCTCAGCCACGCGCCTCTTCCCGGCTTCCCGGTGCGAATTCCCGTCGGTTGGACAGGCGTGTGGGTCCGGCCATCGCTGGAGTTCGCAAACGGGATCATCCCGTTGCTATCTTCCGCGTGCGTGGTGAAACCCAGCGCGGCTAGATACTGTTGGGTCCGATGGTTCTGGATGGCGTCGGGATAGGGTTGGCTGCTGTCGCCGATCACACGCGGGAGAGAGGGAGTCGACGACGCCGGAGGGGAGATGGAGCTGTGCGAGAGGTCTTTCAAGGGGATGAAGGGACCTGCTCCTCCGTTGGGGTTTGTTGCGGGAAGGGTGGCTTGCTTTTTCTGGTGGAGGTGTCTCTTCCACAGGAAGAAGCTGGCGGCCGCAATGAGGATCACAGCAAGAATGACTCCGAGGGCGATGAGAGCTGGTTTGCCGATGTTCTTGTTTGAGGTGTGTCCTGGGGCCTCTGGGGATCCAATTGAAGATGGGGCCAAGTCTGTGGTGCTTGGGCTTGGGACGGTAGTCAGAGTTACGACAGGAGTGTGACCATCCGTGATAGACGGCCTTGTAATCAACTGGACCTCCGTACTAGTGGTATATGTACTCCGTGCCCCTGTGACAGTGTCGGTAATAGAGCTTTCCGAAGTCAAAGTCGAAGTCGAACGCGAACTCGCAACAGCAGCACCACCAGTCGTACTCTCAACAACCGTAGCAATCGTAGACGCCACGCAGAAAAACGAACCCACACCCACCAAACCCGCCTGTCCCGACCTGACACATCCCACCGGACAAGCGCCCTTGACGCCCACCGTCTGTCCACACGAAGAAATAACCATTCCGCGTGCTGCGGAAGACGGCTCTGTGTCTATGATTTTCGTGATTGTGGGGAAGACGGTGGAGACCAAGACGCATTCGTTCCCAGTACATGTGCTCGCCGGTCCGGTATTCACGGCCGCAACGGGCGTTTTGGTCGCCTGTAGCGGCGGGGGACCATCCGTGACGCCGGAGGGGATCTTGTTTGCTGCTGTCCCCAAGCTGAGTAGTAGAGCCAGCGCGGATCTGGGGCGCATCGTGATGGTGTTGTTGTGAATAATGGTGTATAGCAAGTATTCTTTATACTATATCGTTACTGTCGTTATAGGTCGTGAATACCGTCGGTTCGTATAGTGTAGATGGATCGAATCAGCGGGCGCCGATGTTGCAAATGCGATGTTGCCTGTTGATTGATATTCGAGAGAAGAAACACTCCATCGCCATCGAAGGCGAGAAGTTTTTGTTCTCACGCAACATGTGACGACCACATCCCGCATGTGCATGTGCAGAGAAGTGTCCTCGCGCGCATATCTTATATGCTTTCGCTCTTGAAATTTTTATCATCGTCGGGTAGGCGAAGTAGACCAGCCGTGGAGGAGAAAGGTATTTTGTTCTTGGCAGCATGTGAAGACCACGCTAGTGCAGTCCGTCCCAGGTGCCGTAGGCGTAAAATGGCCCTCATACACATCATCTATACTCTGGATTCTTCAGGAATTCATCGTAGGAGCAAATTTCCTTTTGGGTTGTATGTCGGTCCATGTATTGCTCTCCTCGTCCAAAATTCTTCATGCTCCAGCTGCTCGAAAAGACCTGTAGAGAAGATAAATATTCCCTCTCAGACTTCGAGCGCTGTCTGAGGAGTAGGCTCGGCCGAGAATGGATGAATCCCCAGATTGTCGAGCCTTTCATAGCGCTACTGGGCCAGAGTATGGCTTCTGATCCAAGTAACTGTAAAGACAGCGAGCATGCTCACCAACTACCTTCCGAAAGAGCGGCCATATCATGTCATGGTTACGAAAAGCTTCCGTGAGAAGTCCCGAAAAACCTGCAAGATGTTTGCGTTTTGCTTGGCAGAAGAAGCCCTTGGTGGTGGTGGGTGGTCAACGTGCCTCCATATTTGCCGAAACACCTACTGCCAGATTTGTCTGTCTTCCTACAAACAGTTAAAAGAAGGATTGCGCGATTGTCCGTGAGTTTGTAAGATGGTCGTGCGAGTCGGAAAGACACTCACTTACAATCCTTCATTCATTCATTCATTCATCCATCAATTCATTCATTCATCAATTCATTCCTTCATTCGTTACTCCTCATCCTTACGAATATGCCAACACACCCACCCCGTCCGCGGGTCGCCTCACCTCGCAACAGCCCGATCCCGATCGACAAAGTAATAAGCCGCCGACCCAAGCCTCTTCCAGCCTTCGCGGGGGGGGTACTCTCGTCTTGCTTCCAATCACAGCAAATCCACCTTCTGCAGAAATCTCATCGAGGCTTGGCTTCGTGGCGTAGTTGACCCTAGGAGGAGGAGGAGGTCTCGAGCCTTCAAGTTCTGCCGGTCTGGGCACCTTCAATACCTCCCGGGACGGAAACTTTACTGAACGTCTGGTGGCCAGGACTGCAGATTCGTCGTGCATGGCTTTGCTGGGGAGGAGCACGTAGCCTTCCTGGATCACGGATTGGAGGAACGCATCCACTTCTGCCTGGAGAGCTTCTACTTCGCGTGAAGATGCGTGGCTTCTCTGTTCGGCGCGCCGAGATCTCGTGGACGGCAAGGTGTGGCGCGAGACGGCAGTTTTGCTGTCGGGAAAGATATGCATGATGGATTTTTCCCCTGAGAAAGACGCGGATGTGGCGATTTGCTTTTCGGTGTTAGTTGTTTCGACGAGACCGGCTCGATTTGACTTCTTCATGTGGTATACTCGCCAAAGGTGCTGCGGGAGCGGTCTTGGACTGTATCACCTGCATGCTGTAGAGCGCCATTGTTCGAATATAGCATAATGAGACCAGGACAAAGGTCTCAGAGGGCTTGGACGTGGGTATCCGTAACAAAGCCATTGGACAGGGTCAATGTACGGCTTTGTTTGCAAAGGCAAAGAATAGATCACAGACCAGCATGTGCAAAGCCTATCACGATAGCACGGCGGACTTCCGTCTTCCTTCTCTCGCGAGCGTCCGAACGTCGAACGAGATCAACGCATATCCTGGTAGACTGGAGCAGGATCTCCGGTCGATGAAGTATCTCTGTGGTCGCGAGAAACCGAGCAATTGCTTCCGACCACGTCTTGCCCCTAACAACTCCAACAGTTTTGCGGGTGAATCATTGAGACCCGGGTCCTGATTAAATTTCGTGCTCGCAACGGAGCAAGCGCTCGCACAGCAACGTCTGATCTTACATCGCAGATCAAGCCCAACTCCGTGTAAACTTTTCATGAATTGGAGCCTAGGGGACGCACCATTTCTGTTCAGATCCAAAATCCTGCTCGACGACGCAGCCTTCCTGTGCAAGAATTCTGAAAGCCCCGGCCCAGACGGACGATTCACTGAGAGCACGGCCGCTGGCGGTGAATGCCTCACTGACCCTTCGGGACGTGTGTTGCAATCGCTGGCGGTACCCTGCGTCGTCCGGTCTCGGGGCAAGATAAGAGCCGGGCTTGGCAGAAGAAGAAGAAGGAGAAGAAGAGGAGGGCGGCAGAAACTGTGTTTCTTGGCGCCTCATTTCTTCCAATACCTCCCAGCCTGCATCGTACATGGTACTATCCGTCGCGTTCAGCTTCGTCACTATACCGCTGACCAACGGCCTGAGGAAGATGGTATCTGTCCCTTCGCTTTCCATGTCGCCAGCGAGATAGCCGGTGGTTTCTCGAGATTGCTGGCTCTTAGGGACGTTGTGCAATTCGTGCGTGAGAATGACAGTGACCGAGCTTTTGGCCTCTCGCAAGACTTGACAAATTGTTGGCGTGTCATGATCTCGACCAACCTTAGTAAACTCATCCAGATGGAACCATCCATGTTCATGGTGACGAACGAGCATACCCAGGCTGTGTTGCTGCTGCGTTGTTCTTTGTTGATTGTTGGAGTAGGAATCACCCCTTTTGAAGATCCTGTCCATTTGCGTTCTGTTCTCTTCTGCCAATGGCATGGTCAGTGACATGCTGCATCCAGGCCAAGACAATCTCAGGCCATCTGGGTTCAAGGTAGCTGCATCGGCTGTGGCCTTGACACTCCAGCGTAAGCTGTGCTTTTGCAAAAGTGAGGACGGACTCCAGCGAAAGCCTTGATATGGTAATCGAGGGCCACTGAAGAACATAATCCTCCGAGGGATCTTGTGCCCGGACAGATTTAGGACCCTCCAGAACTCCGTCATTCGCTCTTCGTGACGGGTCTCCACTATGCTTTTCTGTGGTAAACCGAGACACGTAGCCAGGCAAAGCGGCTCGTCCGACGGGTTGGTGACTTCGCGAGCCCTGAGAGCGTTACGAAGATGCTCGAGCTGGGTAATCTGCCCAATCTTTCGGTCGGTGTTGATGAGTGTGCGTAGACCTAACAGCGTCCACAGGAAGGAAAGTGCAATCGTGCGATGGCATAGTCTATTTTCGCACGCCTGCTTGAGGGAGAGCTCGATGTCGTCTAGATCGAACGGTTGGTCAGCGAGGCCAATCCACAGTTTACAAGCTAGAGCTCCTTCTTGCAAAGTCCAGAGCCGTGTTTGCCACGGAGACGCCATCAATCTGGCAGACATTTCGAGAGGATCCACATCTGCTGCATTCCAATGCCTTAATGTAGATGATACGATCAGAACGTGACTGGCATTCTGGTAAATGGCGTGCATTTGCGAGAGACACATATCTTTGTGCCTTGTGCTCGATGCAGGGCAGCAAAGTGTATCAAACCAGACGAGTAAGGGTAAGTTGCGCTCTGTCTGTGCGTGTAGGATCTGTCTTGCGATGTGAGCGACGTAATTCAATTGGCACCTCGGTATGGCATTCTCGCGCTCGTTCCCTGTACCTTCGGCCCACACGTGAGAGATGGCAACATATTGCAAGCCAGCTTCATAAGAAAGCACGGAGACGAAATTGCTTGTTTCCGGGTCGTATCTCGACAAGTCGAGCAGCGCTATATTTCCATGCTCCAAGATCTGGTGCATGGCCTCCACGGGCGTAGAAACATCAGAACAGCGCCGTGAAGGGCATATATGTCTGAGGGATACAGCGGAAGCGATTGGAGAATGTGCGGAGTGACTTCCTTGGACGGAGTCCAGCCTAGGCGCCTGGTGGCGTAGTTGTACCTTGGCCAGATAGAAGAAAGTGGAGAGGCCCGATATCTCTCCCTTCTCAAGCAATTCAATTGTCTGCTGCGACCAGCCTTGTCGGGCCATCGCATCCAGATAACCATAAGGAGCTCGGAGAGAAAACCACGAGGCTCGCGCCCATTCACCTTTTGAGACGTATTTGATGACGACTTCCATGGTCTCAGCCAAGGCCGCAATGGTCTGGAGCACAATCTTCTGGGATACGATCCTCCGGAGCTCAATACCAGAGAGAAACATGTAGATCGTCGTGATGCAGGTCATGTAGTGTTCAAACCTCTCCTTCAGGTCGACTGAGCTTTCTCGGACCGATGTCAGCCAGTTGTCGATGACGGCAGGTAAGCTGGCTGTGGTCAAGACGGCACTTGAGCCCTGGTGGTAGTCAATGAACATGTGCTCGGATACGTCGTCTCCAAAGATGGCATGGAGAAGGCCAAAGAAGCACCAGGTCTGCGCAAAGGTCTCGAGGTCGGGGAGTAGATGGTCGCAAGACTGGGGGAGTACGTAGGGCGACAGCTCATCATCGACAGTGAACAGAGCGTAGAGGTCTTTGAAGCGGCTTCGCTTTGGATAGGATAGGAAAGGGCCTCGGTCATAAGGCTCTGCAACGTATGGGGCACGGTCGTCGGCGTTGAGGCTGGCGCCGTGAGGTAGGGGAAGATGCTCCATCGCATATCGTGAGGCTGTCACGGGACATGTGAGCAGTCATCAGAGTGGAAGCAGCCCGAGGTGTGCCGGCGATGGAAGTGGTGCGCTGTGCGTGTACGAGAGCACAATCTTGATTCCGAGCATACAACCTCGCTGGCGCCAGCGCAGCCGACGCGACGGGATGGCGAGCGCGAGGAAGTGGTGGTGTGCTTGGCATCGGAATTGCAGGACGAAACAGGGAACCACAGAACCTCCGCAATGGGGACCTCCGCGCGGGGATCTCCGCATCGAGCCGAGCCCGCGTGCCAAGACGTTGTTGCTGGGTGGAGGAAGATAAGGTAGAATGCCCTGTGTGCCTGTGTAAGAAGGATAGGTAAGGTATCCCAGTCGTGGAGCCGGAGAGTGTCTGTGTCGGCGTCTGTGCACAGCTTTGTGGTGGCGTGATGGACGTTGGCGTGTGATGTGGCAGCAGCAGACTCCCACATCCTCGATTTGTCGCGCACTCCTTCTGTGCTTCCTGCCCTCCGCACGCGCGCTTGTTGATCGAAGGAGAGAAGTTGATGATCACCTTCCACGCACAGCACAGCACAGCACAGCACAGCACAGCACAGCACAGCACAGCACAGCACAGCACAGCACAGCACACAGCGTCGCCAACACACGTCCCCCAACACAGGACGGGAATGTCCGTCTTCAACTCCAACCACGTCCCCTCTACAATCCATTCCTCTACTCTGCCCCGCGTATAATCACTTGTCGTCCGCGTGAAGAGGGCAGTCCAATGGCAGACACCGCCGCAAGCCTTACTGTGGCGTGAATCTCCAACCCTACCTTACCTAAGGTACGGTACCTACCTACCTTACCTACGCCTGTCCGCCTGTGCGCCACGGCGCCGCTGGAGCACCGCTGCTATGCCGCGCTTCACCCTACCACCTTTCTTGCGCACCCTCTCCTCCAAGCACTCCACCACCGCCGACTCGCCCAACAACACCGACGACGCCGCCACCGACACCGACACCACCGCTGCCACCTCCGCCTCGCCCTCGCCCTCCCCTGACCTCCGCGCCACACATCGCCAGCCCCGGAAGCAGTCCTCCCTCACCAAGCTGAGGGATAAGCTCCTATCTCACGACGCCAGCATCTCCCTCCACCCCCGCAAGACCACTCTGCCCAGCCTGAGACTGCACCGACAAGAGAGGCCCAGGACATCTGCTACCGCCACGCAACAAGACCAGCGTCGCAACGAAGAAGCTGGTAGAACAAGCCCACCTGCCACATCTGCCCATGCCGTTGCTGAGCTTAACTTGCCGCCGCCTGCATCGGACGTAGCTCTGCCAGACTCTGAGAGCACTCCCATTCTGGACGAGGCCTCGAGCCGCACGACACCGCCTGAGCCGTCGTTGCATCTCGACAGCCCGCCTGCCAACCCACGCGTGGTGCTGCAAGAAGCCACTCCCGACGCTCTGGGCGGATCGCCGTCGGGTCCTGAACAGTAAGTACACCACTGTGCATATGCTCTCTGATCATCTTTGCCCAGCTGCCATCAAATGTCTCACCCGCCCCTCCTCATCCAACATGTCTGCCCACATACATTCTTAGCTCCTCCTAGCTTGGTCTCGAGTCCACCCATCGATCCATCCTGCTCCCTGTCCTGTATACCTATCACCGGCTATACATCGGCTAACGCTTGCTCGCTCTCGCAGCTCTCACAACCGCCCGGCATCGGGAGAGCTCGCCCTCGTTGCTTCCAACGTGGACTTCAACACTAATCGAAACACCGCCCAACCGGCACTCATTCGCGCTGTCTCGCCTGCCAGCCTCTCGCGAGACCTCCATCTCCCCGCCGACCTGCATACCCATCTCCGCCAGCAGACCCTCCTCGGCGACTCCAATGCGAAGATAGTAAAGACGCTCGTAGACGTGCCGGCCAAGGCTGATCGTCCTCATCTCCCGCCCACGACCGCCAGCGACAGTGCGCTGCCCACCGGTGCTCTGTACCAGCACTGCACCCCGAGCGTACCGAGCATGTCCGCCATGCTGCATCGCAAGATCTGGGTGAAGCGGCCGAGCGCGTCTGCGACCCTGGTCCAAATTCGAGAGGATGACTTGGTGGACGATGTGAGGGATATGATTCTCAAGAAGTACGCCAACTCACTCGGCAAGACCTTTGACGCTCCCGACATGACACTACGTATTGTTACACGATCCGATGGGACCGCTCCTCGAACCGAGAGATTACTGGGGCCAGAAGAGGAGATATGTAGAACTATCGATACCTACTACCCTGGTGGGCAGACAGTGGATGAAGCGCTGATAATCGACACTCCCCACAAGAGGACACCTCGTCCGTCGCCAAGAAACTACAACAGCTATCATGCTATGGAGGATCTAAGGCCGCAGGAGACGGGTACGGATTACTTTCCGCTCATGCCGCCGACCATCATCCAACCTGCCATGCCTCACACTGGCGCACCAGGTCACCCTCATCCACTAGCGGCTGACCACCCTCGCTCGATATCAGTACTGAATACGGGACAAGTACCTCCTCTACCTTCTCCCGGTGGCCGGAGGCACCGGGCGGAACGGGAGCACCGCCCCAAATATGGACGACAGCATACATCATCACCTACGATACTGACGCACAACGGGGTGCCAAATCCAGCTGCCGCTGCAGCGCCTCTAGCAGCATCCGTCCACCTACCACATCGAGTGTCGGGTCGTCCTCGCGTTGACTCGTCCGCCTCAGAAGCCCACCATGCCAACGGTGTTCCTGCCTCAGCAGCGCAGGTCCCGACACCGCCTGCGCCGGAGGTTACGAACGGTGCCAGGACCAACTCAACACCTCCTACTCCATCCAGTGCTGTGCCTGGGTCTGCTCACGGACATCGTTCGACCCGGCCCCGTAAGACGAGAAAGTCGACCCCAGAGCATGCGGGCAAGAAGCGCGGCGGTTCAACTCCGCAGGCTGATCCCTACGGTACCAACCCAGCTCTCCCGAACGTCTCGAGCATGCTGGATGGTTCCGTCCCGCCCATCAACGTACTCATTGTAGAGGACAACATCATCAATCTCCGCATTCTGGAAGGGCTGATGAAGAGGCTAAAAGTGAGATGGCAGACTGCAATGAACGGACAGATCGCTGTGGATAAGTGGAAGACAGGCGGATACCATCTCGTTCTAATGGACATTCAGATGCCCATCATGAACGGACTGCAGGCGACCAAGGAGATTCGCAGGCTGGAGAGGGTGAACGGTATCGGCGTCTTCTCGTCGTCCAGTCCTGGGAGCCCCAACGACGCCACCAATGGGGACCAGAATAAGAATCACAACCCTGGGGATGACAAACTCGCCAAAGAAGATGGGCTGTTCAAGTCGCCCGTTATCATCGTCGCCTTGACGGCTTCGTCGCTGCAATCTGATCGACACGAAGCTCTCGCTGCTGGGTGCAACGACTTTTTGACCAAGCCAGTCAGCTTTGTCTGGTTGGAAAGGAAGGTGAAGGAATGGGGTTGCATGCAGGCCCTCATCGACTTTGACGGATGGAGGAAATGGAAGGACTATGCTGCCAAGGAAGAAGAGGGCAAGTCGGAAGAGCAGAAGAAGAAGGAGAGGGAAACGGAAGAGAAGCAGAAGATCAAGATGGAGAAGATGGCCAAGTTACAGGAAAAGCAGCGACTTCGCAAGGAGCAGGAACAAAGAGAAAAGGAGACCAAAGCGGCGAAGAGGGAGAGTCTGGAAGCACCCAAGGAAGCTGAAGAGGACAAGGAAAAGGCCACGAATGGCGCGTGAGGATATCGGATTGACTAATGAAGACTGATACGGTGGCGATCACTAAGGGATTTTCTTATTGCATTATTGCACGGCTGGCGTGTATTCGAGCGAAGGCGTTGTGGGATGGGAATCGCTGGGTTGGAAATCGGCGCCTTTCTGAGGCTCTTGTCACCCGAAATCTATCTCATCTAGAAAGTGTTGTTGGCCTTTATTCTTGTGGCAGGCAGGCGGCGAACAGAGCGTATACCCACCCAGTAGACAGATGTAGTAGCCTTAGTAGAAAGAAAGTTCAGATCTCTACACTGGTCTAGGGCTCTTTCGGGCTTGATTTATCGGATCTCTTGGGAATGTAGCTGCCTGTGGAAGCCGAGAATTCTGATGATGAGGTTGATCGGGTAGGAGGCGCTTGAACTTTCACGTGCTGAGCCTGGCGAGTCAGTCTGCCGAGGCAGAACCTTCAGTTCTAAAGGGTACCCACGTCACTCATTTTGCGCATAGCTTCCGTATTTTACCAATTTCCTTTGGCTGATGCGAATTCCGCGACTGTCGAGATACGATTTGTACATAGAGGATTGCTTCGTGCAACCGAGCTTACGCGAATTGTGCAGTGACAAGGATTGTGAGAGCCGGAGAGTGGTGATGGCGCCAAGGGATAGGTTGGAGAGCATAAAGAGGGGGGTAGCGGCTGGATCACCATCAGGAGGAGTGAGTGAGTGTGGCTTTCCCTCTCATCGTCTAACAAGAGCTGAATCCATTTCGTCCAAAGACGTCGCGATCCGAGATTCAAACCGAACTGGAAAAGTCTCTAGACCAAGCGGTCAAGGAGGGAAAAATTCCTCACGCGGTTGTGCATGCAACGAATGCCGATGGGAGTTTTGAATACCATTACCAGACGGGAATCCACGGGAAAGATGAAGATGAAGAAGAACCGGTCTTGATGCTGGCATCTCTCACGAAACTGATGACTTCGATTGCCGCCCTGCAAGCGGTGGAGCAAGGCCTGTTCACGCTGGATCAGGACATCTCGCCTCTCATCCCGGAGATTTCGAAGAACGGGGTCCTCCAAGGGTTCACGGAAGAGGGGAAAGCCATCGTCGAGGAGAGGAAGAATCCCATCACGCTCCGCCAACTCATCACCCATGCCTCCGGCGCCACGTATCCCACTTTCCACCCGTGGACGCTCAAGCACCAGACGCAGCGAGGCATCGACCCGCTCGGGCAGAATAACGCCGCTACCGTCACGGAGAGGCATGATGCCGCGATGGTCTTCCAACCCGGCGAGGGGTGGATGTATTCTCCCGGCCTGGACTGGTATGGCCTGCTCCTCCAAAGAAAGACGAAAGGGCAGTATGATCTCGAATCCTGGATGCGGGAATTCCTCTGGAAACCGCTCGGGATCTCCCAGGCAGAGATCACCTTCTGGCCCGACGAAGCCATGAAGCGAAAGATTCCGCCGTTGATGGTGAGGAATTCCGAGGGCAAACTGTGCCCCAACACCGCCGACACGATCAACACCCTCTCCACCGAGTGTTTCGGCGGCCACGGCGCCTACGCGGAGTTATCCGCCTACACCAAGATCCTCCGCTCCCTGCTCGCCGACGACGGCACGCTGCTCCGCAAAACCACCGTGCGCGAGATGTTCCGCCCCCAGCTCGGCGATGCTTCCCGCGCGGCTCTGAACGGCTTCATGCAGCGCACCGTCGCTCTCCTGCCGGGCGATCTGGACCCGGAAATCCCCGTGACGTATGGTCTGGGCGGCATGTTGTTCGAGGCAGGCGAGGTGGATCGGCGGTTGAAGGGCACGATGAATTGGAGTGGGCTGTTTAATTGCTTTTGGATTCTGGATCGCGAGGCGGGGATTGCGTGAGTCTTTCTTCGTCCTTCTTTTCCTTCTCCTTTTTCCTCCATTTTTCTCTCTGTCCTGTCCTGTTTTTCTTTTGGCTTCAATGTTGGAGTACCGTCTGTTCGCTGACGATGCATAGCTACACCTTCGGAACGCAAGTCTTGCCGCCGGGGGATGCCGGGTGTAAGGAGATGGAAGGCATTGCGGAGAGGGCGGTCTACAAAATGGCTGGGGTTTTTTAGGAAAAAGAAAAAAAAAAAGGAAGACGGGTGGTTTCCTTTGGCCCCTTTTTGGAGGAGGACACGGGCGTTGATGGGAAGGGAAAACGACAGATTCTGCATAGGTCTTGCGAAAGACGGTGGAATCCATGGCTTCAAGCTCCTTCAGCGCCGCTGCTATCGAATCCTTCGCCTGTCGCACACCGTGAGCCTTCAGCTGAAGGTGAATTTGAAATGGATCTACGCATTTGTGCTTTGCTTCGCTTACTATCTATACCGTGCCACGGTTCCTTCATCGAGACACCGGCAGAAAAGATCAATGGCCTGGATATCCTATTAGTTCAACGGAACTACCTTACCTCCTTCTCAGGCGCACTGAGTGACTTTCCTTCTTATACAGCTGCTTTCCATGTTCGGTGAAGTGTGTTGTAGGGTAGGTAAGGTATCTAAGTTGGTGGAAGAAGGCTCTCAGGTACTTTATAGCGCGCCTAAGGACGGAGCGCGCTCGCTTACCTTAGATAGTTTGAGGCTGTGCATGTATAGATGACTATATCCACTACTACTATTACTACTACTACTGAAATATCTGAATATACGCCAGAGCTTACGTATCGATAATATAGGCTTAGCTATCGGTAGTTCTATAACTATAGATATCATTACGAGGTCTAGATAGTAGTACGACAGACGGCCATATATATAGCCGCCTAAATTTCCCTACCCCCTAGTCTGAACTATACGAGAGATCCCTTATTAGAAAGGCTTACTTACTTATCAATAATTTCTAGGTATTGTTAGTACCTACTAGAGAAGTGCGTTCTTCCTATAGTATAGCACGCGAGGGCAAATTACTCTGTAGCTATACTAAGTTCGCGCGTTTTGTCCTTGGACTCGCTGCGCGACTAGTAGTCCGTAAGAGTCTGATGGAGATCGCTAGTAGAGGGGGACCAGGTGACTTGCATATCGTTATTAAAGAGGCAAGCGAGAAACGGAACCAGTGAAGGGGGTCCCGATCAAAGAAACCCGCAGCTTCGAGAAGACTCGTCTGCTCTGGCGGGTTGCGTCACCCGTGGCCGGTTTGGGATGCTGTTTCTAGACCTGTGGAAGAAGAGTCTGTCAAACATGGATTTTGGGGGTCCTGAGATTGACGGGATATGCTCAGGAGATGGGACAGCCAAGGAATGTGCTTGCTTGTCCAAGGGGGTGGATGTGGCGGGAATGATTTGCGACGCGGATGTTGTTGTTCGGAGATGCGAAAGGTTCGAGAGGGGATTGATGCTTGGAAGGAAGACTTCTGGAGTACGCAGAAGTCCTTCTCATCAAATTAGAGTGCGTATGGAAACTTCTCTCGACGGCTCAGGTCTGCGTGTGAGTGTTCGGGATGACAAGGTCCGCAACCCTCCCAATTTGTTCTCTGCTGTGAGTCTCGCCGGCCTGACTCGAGCTGAAGGTGCGCAGTGTTTCTCATCTCCAGTGTAGTAGATAGTAATAGCAAAAGGTTTGCATATGAAACTCCTTGGCTGGCTTTCCGTATCGGTTGCGATCCGAGAAGCTCCGGATCTACGATTGGTCGCGGACTGGAAGCGGTCTCAGGATTGTTACAACACAGGTGACAGGCAGTTGTGCTTATCACTGTTCTGTTCGATGCTGTCATCGTGATCGGCGGCAGCTCCTGGATCAATCAACAATTCCATCCCAGGCTCCGTTCGGGATTGGCAATGGCACCGCGAACTGGACTGGCTGACGTTGAAGATACCATGCATGCTCTTCTAATAAGGTCGTATGCATGTTTATGGGAGTTGAAATGGGCCTCGGCAATCTTCCGGAATAGGTGATGTTGCAACATGAGGTTCGCTTGGTCCGTGTGCGGCGAAGATTTTTTCCTCCTCATTACGACCTCATGTTAACCTCCTCCTTCCTCCTCAATTTCGCATTGCTGGTCACATCGACATCGACATCGACACCAATATCGGCGGCTTAGTCGGCCTCCCACCCAAAATCATCCAGTAATCCGCTCGCTTAGCGTCATTTTCACATGGTCTCCATCGCATAGTCGATTGGATCTCAGACTGCATCAGGGAAACCTGTCGCTATCGGCGGAAGGTGTTCACAACGCACTGCAATCGACCTCGCTCTTGCTTTCACATGGGTCTCCGGATTTCTACAGCAATAGGGAGAAATCGCCACCTGTTGACAGACGCTCCAGCTGATCTAAGCCTCTTCAATCGAGGCAATGTTGGGCATCTTGGCTTTCGGATGCTTGACGTACTTGCTATATGAGTGGGTACGGCCCGGTCTCAAGGACGCTATCATCGCACTGCCATGGTTCGTGAGATCGCCGCAAACCATCGAGGATCAATGATCCGAACTTCAAGTCGTGAGCATCTCCATTTGTGATCTTTTAGTTGTGCCAAGCACATTGCCATCTAGCCGTCTGAGAAGCCACACAGAAGTCCGACAAGCAACAGAACTAGGCCCTGCAAATGCTTGCACTGTACTTCCTCTTGGCTGGGAGCGTCACCGGGTTGAGAACAGCAGGAGATCCCACTCGACATGGATGAACAAAGTGTCGTCTGGTTCCGCACAGGAAGACGCGTGGAAGATCCATGGCAGTTGTTACAACGTCGCGGCACCGTCTCAATTGACGCCACTGGAAGCAAATGAAATCACCGCGACCGCACAACACATCGCAGCAGCATTCCAGGAGCCGATCCCCATGAGAACGTGGGCCCGTAGTTTCGAGAGCGGAGTAAAGTTCATTTGAGATGAGATTGCTTTACATTGCCGAATCGAGCCTCTGTTCCAAGAAAATAGACCATGCGGGAGACCGTACATCAGACCAGAGGATGTATAACGATCAATGCTTCGGGGCGCAATACTGCGGAGATGGACGCCTGATCTGCTCTCAGCACGTTCTCAACCCTTTGTGTGGAATATAGGAGTACGTTCTCATGACTCTCTTGGCGCTTTGTCACGCGTGTGATCGAGCACTGGCTCTCCCATGGTTTACGATTCTTATGTTGCCAAGGGGAAGTACGAATCAGCGAGGCTGAGCGCGACACAGACAGATCAGACTCCATCAACTTTGATGAGGGGCGACTAATTACCAGCGAATAGAGTTTTCCCCTGACTGCAAGGTCCCAAAGTCTATTGGACTGACTTACTATTTTCTGAAACGATCCGGAACAGTGCTTCGTGGGTTATCCTAGGCCTGAAGATTGTTTCAATTGGTGTGGCGAACTGTTTTCCTTGGAAGTGCATAAGGTCATCTCATGTCTCCAGGTTATGGAGTCATTTCGGTCACGATCATGCTTTGGTTCCTGGTTGGCAATTTCTGGTTCCCTTCGCACGTCGTGAAGCCACGCAACGCTGTCCAAGAGAATCAGTCGGGATTGCGGCACAGAGGGAGACTGCAGTCCGTAGGAAGACTGCAGTCCGTGATGGGAATTGGTGGAGGGTGAAACACCCAGGAACTCGTGTGCGCGGCACTGATATAGCAACAGAACCTGCTCGGCTCACAAGGCTGGCTTACGATGCGACGATTCATACACGAGCCTGTAAGCCAGGTCAATCCTTCTCCTGCGACGAGGAGTGGGTGGCAAGAATGAACTCTACCAGATTGGGCTTATAAGGAGTTGATCATGTCTTGTCGTTCATCTTCTCTCGGACACTGCTCTTCTCTGGTCACGCACATCGTACACTCCTGCTGTCAGTCGTTACTCGCTACCTAGTATTATTTCCAACACCTTCTCCATTTCCTTCTCCTTTCTCAACCGACACAGCAGCAACCCGATCCATTTCGAAAATGCGGTACACAACACTGGCACTGGCAATGGTTGCCGTCGCCTCTGCGGCCGTTCAACCACTGCCGGGATCGTCGGGCGGTGCCTCGGAGGCTGCTCAACCCCCTGCGGCGCAGGGGCAAGGCTCGCCAGCTGGAGGGAGTGACGAATGTGAGTAGATGAAATGAAGAGCGCAAGACCTGTGACAACATGGGCTCCAGCGCCCGTGAAGCGGCCTCGTGCTCGAGCAGAACAGCACTCGGTGATGTTGAGTGTCATTGTTACTGACAGCTCGCTCTCAGCTCCTCATGAGACTACTCCAGACTACTCGTCGTACTCGTGTGGTCCACCGGGCGCTAGTACGTCACATCATGAAGACGCAAGCAACGATTGGGAGAACAAATTGCTAACGATACCCTCTTCTTCCAGGTGGTCAGCAGGGCACTCCTCCTACTCCTGCTGGACAGACTGGAGCTCAGCCTTCCCCACCAGCCCCTGCGCCCGCTGGTGGTGCTCCTGCTGCTGGTCCATCAGGCGCGGTATCGCCCGAACAAGGTGCTCCTAAGGGTGCTCCTGCCCCTGCTCAGTATGGCTCGGAATCGCCTCAACAAGGTGCTGCGCCCGCTGGTGGTGCTCCTGCTGCTGGTCCGTCAGGCGCGGTCTCGCCCGAGCAAGGTGCTGCGCCCGCTGGTGGTGCACCTGCCGCTGGTCCATCAGGTGCGGTATCGCCCGAACAAGGTGCTCCTAAGGGTGCCCCTGCCCAGTATGGCTCGGAATCGCCTCAACAAGGTGCTGCGCCCGCTGGTGGTGCACCTGCCGCTGGTCCATCAGGCGCGGTATCGCCCGAACAAGGCGCTGCCCCCGCAGGTGGTGCTCCTGCCGCTGGTCCATCAGGCGCAGTATCGCCCGAACAAGGCGCTGCCCCCGCAGGTGGTGCTCCCGCCGCTGGTCCATCAGGCGGCAGTTCGGCCTCTCCAGCCGGTCAGCAGCCCGCAGGCGTCGCTCCATACCCAGTTGCTCCAGGCTACGGAGGCAACAAGACCTCTCCATACCCAACTGGTACCGCTGTCCCCACCGGCGGCGTACCTCCATCCTCGAGTGGCCCGTCGAATGGTGCCCCGCCAAGTGGAAGCCAGTCACCGGCTCCTTACCAGGGCGACGCGGCTTCTGTCGAGAGTACTCTGAGCGGTCTGATTGCCATCGTCGCTGGTGCTGTTGCTTTCGCGTTGTAAAGGGCCAAATCATTTTGCCAATGCGTCTCACAGAGTCTATCCTTGGCTACGACGTGGCGGTGAACCTGTCATCTTGCAAAATCTGAGCAGTGTGCCTTTCAGGGGACGGCGATGGTGGGGAGGTGGGGAGGAAGAGGTAACATTCACAGCATCCGTAGTGCTAATAATATTAGATCGCGTTTTACCGCCAGTGTATCTATCTGTCCCGTCAGTCTTGTCAGCACACATCTTGCATATCCACTGCGTTCTTCTTGTCCCTTCACTGTCATAAACATTGCCTTGTTAAGGAGTTGTTGTCGATGTTAAGACGTAGCATTGTGACAATGTTGATGGAATTTGAGGAATTTGATGGAGCGACCAGACGTCGTTGCTACCTCCGCGCTAGTCTTCGTCCTAAACCAGATTCGGCCGCGGCGACGACCGACTGCCTATCTCTTCGTCTCCACACTTCTTCCTTCTCGACACATTTCCTATCATCGTTGACAGCTCTCTCGGAACACACGATCGACTGTTGCCATAGACCGGGAACACTCCGTTTCTCAAAGCTAGCCGCTATCTGTTGTCGTCGGCATACGCTGCACCGAAGCTCATTGCCCGATCTCGGGCCTTATAGGCGAATGATGAAGCTACTAATGTACCAAGAGCATTGAATTGACACGCGATAGGTAGACACACTTTCTACACGCATTCTTCAAATTCTTAAGGCACTCATACACTACGACAATGACGAGCGGGGAATTGGCGACGACACCAACGTACACCATCATCCAGGCGGATGGATTGTATCCTGTATGCTCCAAGCCTTCCGCTGCTCAAAGCCTACGTACTGACAAGTATCGCTACAGGACGATGGGATCGAACAACAGATCTTCGCCCCCCGACCTGGTGAGAACTACAAGCTCGAATTCCTCTCCACGAATCTGTGGCCCACCGGTGAGGCCGAGCCAAAGCCATGGTCTGCGATCCCGGAAGATGTACGGAACAGAGTGGACGGCATAATGGACTTGAAGCTATACTTCACAGAAGAGGATGTCGCACTGTTTCCAAATCTCAAGGTGTTAGTGATCCATACGAACAAAACGGGAAGTAAGAGGTGATGGGGCTAAGGAGACACATAGTTTCGTGCGGATGGGAGTAGGCTACGACCGCCTTGCCCGAGAAGCAATGGCCAAACGAAACATCACCGTCTGCAACGTGCCGGACTATGGAACAGCAGAGATAGCAGACCATGCTATAGGCCTCATGCTCTCCTTGCGCCGTGGCATTCTGCTTCATAACGAGCGTCAACGAGCTACTCCTCCAGCACCTTGGATGGCAATCGAGAGTCCGCTCGTTGCTCGCCTACAGCGCAAGACTTTCGGCGTCTTCGGTCTAGGCCGTATCGGTACCGCAGCGGCTCTGCGAGCGAAAGCTTTTGGATTCAACGTCCTCTTCTACGATCCTTACTTACCCAATGGCGTGGATAAAAGCCTCGATATCGAGCGAACGAAAGACATGAAAGAACTCTTCCGCCGAAGCTCGGTACTGAGTCTTCACTGCCCATGCACGCGCGAGACCCGGAATCTGATTGACTACTCACTTCTATCTCTCATGCCGAAAGGCTCCATCTTAGTCAACACCGCCAGAGGAGAGATTCTGAACCTAGACGGTGTACAGCAATGTCTGAGAGAGGACATTTTAGCAGGCGCAGCGTTGGACGTATTGCCAGAGGAACCGATACCCGAGGACCGAGTACATCCACTCCTACAGGCGTATCGAAACAAAGAGGAGTGGCTTGAGGGAAGGATGGTGCTGACGTGTCACACGGCGTTCTATAGTCCAGAGAGTTTCGTGGATATCCGGGTCAAGAGCTGTGAGACTTTGAGGGATGTGCTGATCGACGGAGGGAGGAGTAATGTGATTACTCTGGAGATGGAGTAGAGTCTGGGGCGAGCAGCGACATTCCCAAGAATATCAATACGTATCAAAAGTTTGTCTTCAAACTTCCGTTATCTGAAACTTCACTAGCAAAGTACAGTGGGTCTCTCTTCCTTTGAGATCCAGCATTCTGATGAAGACCCAGTCGGAAGTGACATAAAGTAGCCGAACAGCCGCCACGGCAAAGACGGGGTTCCAAGCAAACTTGTCATCGCTTTTGATCAAGATCCTGAGGAAGACCAATGCATTGTCGTCATATTCCCACTCCAGTTTCTCCTTCCAGATCGGATCCGTTACCGGTGCGCTCTCACCGTGATGAGCAATGCCTAGCTTGTGGTGCTTGTATGTCGAAGTCTTGCGCTTTGGGGGCTCGGGTTTGAGATCTTGCGGGTGGACAAGCGTGCAGGTCACATACGGGCGGATCTCGTCTGCTTCGCGGTCCTCCGGCACAGGAACATCCGTAGCGCCAGCGATGTGCAGAACAAGCTTCCTCTTCCTACCTATGTTTCCCGTTCCAGAACCACCGTGTCGGAGCCCTTCGGGCTTCAAGATATATCCATCCGAGCCGGCAAAGAGTGCTTCGTTCAGTTGCATGCTGTGGTCAAAAGTCTGCCAATTCAGAGCGCAGATCTGAGCACCGAGTCCCCAGAATGGGACAGGGTTGAGATTCTGAGAGGAGATGCGAGTGCCTTTTGGATAGACTCTCATCAGGTGCTCGGCGTTGTGATGGCCAATCTTCTCGCTGGCAGCGGGCAGAAGGGATAGCAGGCCTGACTCCGAAACATTGATCAAATGATTGTGGGGACCGTGCTCGAGCGAACTCTCAAACCAGTCATTGCTGGCTGGCTTGACTGACTGAGCGTACACGCCAAGGTCGGCAAGCTCTGGAATGATGCCGTCAGCAGGTGCCTTCTTCTTTTCTTCTCGGTAAGCTCTATGGTCTTTTCGAATTTGCTGGTCTTCGTCCTCGTCAGCGCTCGATTCAGGGTCTGCTTCCGAGGGAAGGTGGTATTCTACGATGACGGCAATCTTGGAGCCAAGCTCCTCAAGTTTGACCTTATCTCCCGATCCCTGCTCCTCGCTGGTACCGTGATCGCGTACAGCTTTACTCAACAGTCTGTCGCCCCAAGTCTCCCTCATGATCTGTACAAGGCGTGATTGACCAGGAGCACCGCAATGGTTTTCCAAAGAGAGCAGAATCGGCCCAGCCCTGTGTCCGGACGGAAGTTGTGGCTCCGCTACTTCCTCATCTAGAACGTCTCGGATTGCCTCGCAAACCGTGCGGAAGGGGATGTGGCTGGCGAGCGTGTAGCCATGAGTGACCTTGGGCTCTTCATGCTCCTCCTGATTGTCCCAAGCATCGATTTCCACGCATCGCGCACCGGTCTTGAGAGCTGTTCTATACGCTACGGCCGAGGACGTACCGTAAAGCTGATGTGCAAGGAGATATGTGTTGTGGCTAGAACTGATGAAGTACTCCGTAAGAGGGTGTGATCTGTCAGTGAGCTGCCGTGGAACATGGACATGTGGCTTATCAAGGAATTCTTTCAGCGCCGCGGTAGTCTCGTCGTGCTCCAGTCCGGCATCTGCACGCGAGAGGACATTCTCATTGTAGAGGAAGTTCCTGATAGCGTGGCTGACTCTCAATTGCTCTTTGGTGATCTGAGTCCTTCGAGCGGCGTGGCCGCCTCCGGCTATGGAGTTCGGTTGGACCTCCTCACCGTGATTCTCCTCGTCATTCTCAGCTTTTCCGAATGGATTGAGTTTCGCGAATTTGGAGCTAAGGCCAGACATGTTGATGAAGATAGGTGTGTAGTTGGCAGATCATCGGGGGGAAAAAGGTTCCCAGACCCTTGCATCTTTCACTAAGCATTGACTAGTACTAAAGTGGAAGGACGCCAGATCCCTGTCAACACGAAACGTTTCACGCATCGCATCAACGACAAGCAACGCCAACAACAAACGGTATCATGCTCCTCGTCGTAATCATCGATGTTTTCTGGTGATAGGCACAGGCGCGATCACCATGCCTTGACCCTGGACTACACCATCTTGCTGAGACACCACGATCGGAATAACCATGAAGTACACTATCCAACCCCCCGCTCAATCGAAGACAGTATTTAGAAGAAGCCTCGTCTTCCGCTATAGAAGCCCGTATTCAGACTACCTCCGCCCACGAAGCTTGATCCAAGGCTGCCCACATAGCGTTTTCCTGCCGCTGCTGCTTGCCCTTGAACATTGTTTCCAACAGATCTTTGATCGCCGCTATGGGCGTCCATGCCCTGTGATCCGCCTGCCCAGCTCAGTGGTCCATCTTCAGTAAGGCCAGGACTTGTCGCAGAGTTGTCTGTCGATGGCTTTTGTCCCATTACTAATGCTGCAACTCCTTCAAGTGTGTTTGTTGTTCTCTGAATGCAGGAGTACATCAATGTGCAGGTGCAAGGTGATCAACCTATGAAGACCCGTGTATGTAGTACTGAGTGAAAGCTCTCTGGAAAAGCGCTGACTGCTTTGCAAGATGCTGGAATTCCACGGTAGTAATTGGCAAAATGCGCCCGCAATCGTCGTCACTTCTGCTATGCCATACTGCAACAAGACCGCGAGCGACCTTCACCTATCAAACGTTGTCAGTACTAATACTTTTCCAAAGTGGAGCCAGATCTTGTCCCTTGCTTCAACCCACACAAAAAGACATGGAAGCTCGAAAGGAAAACTCACCCTGCTCGCCTCGCAATAGAAGGCAGAGCAACCGTGCAAGAGCGATGTGCCTTCACTGCAGCCTCGACAGGGATATCGAAGACTTTCGAAGAGGTGCATCGGACTCTCTCGAGCAGACATATCCCGTACCGGATTGCGCGACTTTTTCGACGAGCAGTCACCAGGGAGAATCAGCTACCGTCCAGCGAAGTCCGCGCCTAAGACACCAAGATCGGCCCAGGGTGAAAGATGGTCGCTTCTAGCTGGGCAGCATGATATTCTGTGTGTACAAGTCCCAGGGGCTGAGAGCAGATTTGGCATATTCATCTCCGCTTGACGGTCGAGAGCAAGCTGAAAAAGTCCCGCGATAGCGTAAGAAGTCTTTCCCGTACTGAGAAGCTCATTCCAAGAGTAAGTCTCGTGGCCTGCACACGAAAGGCACATATTGCTTTTCCAATCCCGATCATGCCACGTGTAAGATTCACTTCACGAGGCGCGCATGTACCGGCCCCAACACCTTACATGCGACTAGTTTGTCAGCTTAGAAGACAACGCCTTACTACTATACCACCTCCTTCAAAGCGACCCCGCACCTCCTGCGTTGTGGATGCAGCACCCTTGGATCGCGGACATCTCGATGGATGGCTCCATCTTTTCCGCCAAGCTAACGCGGACGACGTCCTTCTTGGCCCAATCCCAACTCTGCACGACATTTGCATCCTCGAAGATCCTGACGCACGCGAGAGCCGCCGCATGATTGGGCACGCTCACTTGCTTCTCTGACGAGACACCCGAGCACCACGTCATGATCATAGACCTGAAGCCTGGCACATTCTGCTCCACGGAAGATTCCTTCCCTGAACGAAGGGCACAATCTTGCCAAGAGACGTTCCGCCGACCTCGTTTCATCGGAAGACAAACATTTACCGTTCTCGTTACCCGAAACAGAACATAATAGCTCCTTAACGCGTGTTTTTGTCGCCTTGTGATGGGCGCCGGAGGCCGCTGGTAGTCGCAAGGTCTCGGAAAAGGTCGGAGAGGATGTTCACTTCCTGGCAATGCTCAAAGTGGTGATGCGAGCGGGAAGCATCCAAAGGATAGTACCTTTAGCGTCGAAGGCTTGCGTCCGAGTATGCGTGCTGTTTTAACAGGGCCGCCAGAGTTCGCTCGGCGCATCACGCTGGAAATGATTATCACGTCGGCTCTGTATTCTTGCCACTTACATACACGAGGTTCTGAGCATTTCCAACGACCGAGCCCCTCTCCAGTAACTTCGACAACAACTCCAGATCAAATCGAACCATGGCGACGAGAACAAGTCCGGGCAAGCCAAACGCAAACCACGCGTATGTGAATGTCAATGCGAACCCTGGTGTTCCTATCCCACGCGTTTGGTTCGTAAAAGTGATCCGGAGGGCGCTCTCGTTCGCACGGAAAAGACCTCATTCTCCGGGAAGAGAAGTCTTGTTCGGAAGCGGGCTAATGCTGGCCGCGCTGACAGCGCGATAGTAAATGTTATGCAATTTGACGATTGAACCGGGGATAATATGGGTATCACTCGAACAGAGCGAGGGCATGGTGTACCATATGTGCGGGGCATTCAGAGGTAAGGTAGCGAGCATCGTGATCGAGCCGTCGCCGCCTTACACCCGCTTTGTTACGGGAGCAGCCGTTGAATGTATAAAAGAAATAAAACCGCGCCAAGACTCCACCACCCTCCGTGGTGCAGTGGTCCAGATCGGTGACTCGAATTTGGTTCCAGGACTTGGATGGATCTTGGGGGAAAACTCGTCGTTGTGACCGTCCTCTTGAGAACGAAAGCGTGTGACCGACTTAAGGGTTGTAGCGGTCATTCGACGAGCGTGGGCATCCGGGGAAAAACTCGTCTTTGTGTCCGTCCTCTTGGGATCGATAGTATGTGACTTTCTTAAGTGTTGTAACGGTCTGTTGACGAGCGTGGGGATCTGGGGGAGAGCTAGCTCGTCTTTGTGCCCGTCCTCTTAAGTCGGAACTCTGATGCCGAATTAAGTGTTGTAACGGTCTATTGACGAGCGTGGGGATCCGGGGGCGAGATGGGTTGGGACGTCGGTAATAAAGGAACTTCGAAAGAGTAGTACTTTTCCTAAGCAAAGCACGAGGGCGACGCCCTAGTGTGATCTTAGGTTTTTGCTCCATGCACGGATTTTTTTTTCTCTTTTTCTCGTTGTGATATCACTCCCATACTGTTTCTTCTCCATAGAGTCTCGCACTGATTCTGCGAACTGGCGAGACTCGAACCTTCCATCGCAAGTTTGACTTTTGGGGTGTCTTGGCGCTTTGGCAAACGTCACGTTCTCTTTTCGCTTCAACTCGCGCATTCGAAATGTGGCACACCAACATCGACGACTCGCAGCGCGCGCGCACCTCATTGTCTTTCCGGAGCCAGGGCAATAGCAATACCATCCAGTCACCTAAAGCGCAGTTAATAAGCAAGGATCCAGCGCGTGGCTGCCTGGTAGGGCTAATGGTTCCACAGGGCTGCATACTCCTGCGTCGGCCGGCACCAAGAAATTGGCCGACTCTATTCGGCATGTCGGACTATGCGCCTAGTCTCTTCTTATTTCATAGCCACACTGGAATGTCCTCGAGTATACCGGAGATATCTCGAATGGCGATACGTCCGCATGTCTACTAGAAGTCTCTTAAATAGCAAGGCCTTTGTCGGGATTCTGGAGATACACTGGCAGAGTCTCCTTGCTTTTTGATATACTCATTGATTATAGACGCCCCTGCCTGCCGTGTGACGCAATCTTACTTCATCTCATCTCCTTCTGGATCAACGAGGCGACTATAACATACCTGACTGGGAGATGTGTCTGTCGAGGAAAGAATATTGCTAGGAGGATGTCGCTTTGTCAGCACAAGTCGGTCTTTACTTCGCCACTTGAGACTGTCTCGGCTAAGGGATTGATATTCCTCTCGGTTTCGCGGCGCCCTTGAGTCATCATGGGAGCTATTCTCGGATGGATCCCGTACCGAGTTAGAGAAGTGGTGGTCAGCCCCAATGGTCGGTGAGCAAGCACTCGCCTATCATTAAGAGAAGTTTCTTCGGAAGTGGGAAGCGGCAATTGTACAGTGTCCTCGTGGGTATGGCCTTGGGTCTTACTCGTCTGTCTGTCTATGTTGACGTGAGGTAGGTTTACGAGTCAGAAGGCGGTCAAGCTAGTGAGGCCACCACCGACATTCTGGCGGAATGGTGAGGGATGCAACGAATGGCGTACCGCGAGAAGCGATCAGACGAAGCCATGTCCAGGTCACTGTTGGATGCAAAGAAGAGTGACGCAAGGAAGAGGAGGAGATGATAAGGATGAAGTCGGGGACGGGAGCGGGATGCCGGGCGGGAAGCGTGGGGTGGATCGAGGTGAACCTTGAAACCTTGATTGAAGATGGCGAGGATGGCTGGGCAGAATGGAGCTCTCCTTGTGCTCTGTCTCTCGACAGAAGTCTTCACTCCTTGCTTCGATAATCTCACAATGCCATCCCATCTGCACCCCGCCAGGCACGCATAGCTGCGGTGCAAGCACACAACTTGAAGCCGGCGGTGATGGAATGGCTACGGAGGTACTTCGGCGTCCTGCCACTGCCACAGATTGATTCCTCCTCCCGGATGACCTCTTCCCTTCACACCCTCTTCTACTCCTCCTCCTCACACCGCCCCAGACTCGCCAGACGGCTTTCCAGTCAAGCCGTCATGAATACCATGGCCGCCACCGCTACTTACAGGCAACGCTGGTAATACTCTTGGGCCCGCGTTACGAATGCAGCAAGCACCCCACTCTGTCTGGAGATGCGCGCCTGGCGCGGACCTGTGCACATGTCCCATTTGCAGCCTCGCAGCTGCATTGCAGATTGCATACATAGCACCGTGCCATGGCAGCAGCAATGGGTTGCGCGGATGACTGGCCGAATCGGGACCTGCATTTCCTGCCTCCAGTTCGCATCTTCGCCACGGTGGCTAGATGGCGGAACAGAGCGACGGCGACGGCGACGGCGAGCACGCCTCGCGTTAGTCGCAGACGCAGAGCTGACGCGGGATGTCTAGCTTCGCCTCGCCTGCCGCAGCTGACCAATAGCAGCAATGATGCGATGCGGCAGCTGAGGGCAGCCAGAGGCAGATCCGACATGGCTGCCTTTGACCATGTCTCACCTCTGATGACTGTCAGGCGGACTCATGAACGCGCAGCCACCACCCATTAAACCATCACTGCTCCACTCACGCCCTGCTACACTCATCCACCAGGCCTTGCTCCGCCTGCGTCTGCCTACTCGCATATTTGAACGCCTCTCCCTGCTCGAGCTGGAAAAACAAACCCTCCCGTTCGCTCCCTCATTGTCGCACCTTTCCATTGCCACTGGTGCTTGGCTACTTGTTGACGCATCTCCCCACGCTCGCTTCGGAGCTCCACGCCCTGCCCAACAGCCACCGAAGCCATTCACTGTTGACCGGCCACTGAGCCGGAAATCTTGCGCCGCCCTGGACCTACGTGTCCATTGTCTCCGATCGCGCTACTGCATTCCTGATCGCCTCGCACTTGGCGGTAGACTCTGCAAACACACGACCGACGCGGATCTGCTCCATCACCAACACCCGCCGTCCGAAGCTAGAAATCCCACGCGTCCTGCCTGTTCGGACAGGAAACTACTCGCGTGCTCCAACCACATCACCTGAGCCTCATCCGCACGTCGACCGTGCGTACATATTGACATGCCGCCCCAGCCCGAACAGGCAGAAAAGAGACTCGAGCCCGTTCGCAGCGCTACTCGGCTACAGACTAAACGCTTCCTCCGCGTGGGTGAGACCGATTTCGAAATGGTACATAAAACACAGCCCGCGCCTCCAACGGCGCCTCTCAACACCAAACCCGTCTACGATCCATTCGAGGATGAACTCAACAAGCACCCAGAGGATCACTTCTTGTCACCTGTGCAGATGTATGAGTACGAAGACTGGGCCGAGGACAGCGACGACGACGCCGAGGAGGTAGAATGGGATGCTGGCATCACCGATTTCGCCCTCTTCGAAAGTGACCGGCGTCGAGCTCAAGAACGACACGAAGACATTCCCGGCAGATGGGATGGCCTTCTAGCAAGCCAAGCATCTGCACTCCAGCGTGTCGTTGAGAGAAATCGTGCGGACTCCAGCCCTCAGCGCAGATGGACGCCACTATTGGAAGACCTGCCCGGCCTCACGCCTGACAGCTCACCCGACCTGAGAGGCGACTTCGACATTCATGCACATTGTGCACCACGCCAGCAACAGAGAACCACACCCCGGCAGACAAACAATAGCGTACCAAACTACCTCACCATCAGAGTCACGCCTCCACCCGAAGACAGTTCCGACTACGACTCAGACGACTTCGATGATGACGAGGACTCCGAGGACGACTCGGACATTCCAGTTTCCTTTCTCGTGGAACGCGCTCGTGAACGTCGTCGGCAGGCGCGCAAGCTCGAACGTCCAGGGCTGAGATACAGTCGGACCATGTCGGGTAAGGTACATGTGTGGAGGCGACCGAGCGCGCAGATCTACTCGGTTGGAGAGGATGTGGAAGCGGAGAAGAGGGCTGAAATGTTGTACTGCCGTCAGCATCAGCAACATCAGCTGGAAGATGAACAGCGTGGTCGAGGGCGATGATGACGAATGCGTTGACTGATTGATGGGATGAATGTATTATGATGAGGCAATTTCCCACCTTTTCCTGGTTCAAGACTGCGACTACGACTGGATCGAAGCAGAGCATTACATGGGCATCATTTCTCCATTTGGAGCGGGAAACGGAGTAGCGAAGGAACAATCACACAGACGAACACGACGGACAGACTAGCAGACCGGTCAGAAATCGAAGATCCACAGTCTGCAGAACAGGAATGGGAGCATTCGGATGGATTGTGCAATGCACGCACGCACGCACGCACGCACGCATATCTGTGGGAAGAGGACATGAGAATACCAGTATATTTGCTTTGCAGCGTCGTTTTTGGAGCTACGACATGGCTCGTTTAGATGCATTTGCATTAGATAGGTCGGAGCCCGCAAGGGCGGCTAAGGTATGCATGGAGAGGAGATAGAGAGGTAGATTCGATAGGTTACCGAGAAGTTTCATGGGTGTGGGTCACAGAGTCTAGAAGCTGCTGCATTGCATTCAGTTTCCAATTCTCCCTCCCTACTTTGCTCGGTTGCATGGATACAGCCGTCGATGCCCGAAGTTCTGCGTCTTTGGGGATCGTCAAAGTCCATCCCGCGTAAATGTGGCATGGACTTGTGCCTCCTAGAAAACCCAACCATGGTTCTGCCGATGGGTTTGCTCTTGTCGGTCTCCAGCTGTGACGAAGGATAGCCTGCCACGTGAGCTGGCTCGGTGTGGTGGAGCTAGCTCGATCGGCCCAGTCAAGGTTGTGGTAGGAGGTAGCAGGTAGCTAGCTAGCTATTCCCCGCGAGATCTACATTGCGTGGGTGAGTGGTACTTTTCGAAAAAGGGTGCATGTGTGCCCGGGCACGTATGGTGGTTGTTTTCGCTTAGCAGCATTCATTGCGCTAGGGGGTCCTTCGTCGGCCCGGTGCGCTCTCGCGCATGCATGTGAGAAGATGCAAGCCTGCCTAATGATCGGAAGGAGGATTCTCGTCGCCAGTTTTCGGGAGAGGGTGTGATGTGGTTGGAAGGCTTGGGATGTGCCGGTTCTTCGGACGAGGCGCGGCTTTATCTTCTTGTGGGTGAAGTGGTGTGGGGGGAGGGCTTCACATGCCACGTATCAGCGGCGGTGAGAGATCTCCCGGCGGGATCATGATGTCTTTTGGAGAAGGATGGTTATGCTTTTTCATCAGAGATACTTTCTCGCTGCTGTGCTCACTCGGCTGCGGAAGACCGGTGACGTGACGGGTTGATTCACGGCGTAGAATGGGTTCATGATGCATTTCATCCAGGCTTCGTAGACCTGGATCAATACCTGTCAGTGCGTACTTTCCGGACTGGTATTCAGACTGACGTACTTCAATCATGAATTGTCTGACTGCCTCTTCCGTTTGCTGAGAGGTCGGATTGCTCGCGATCAAAGTACTCTGCCTTGCTGCTCCCGTGCCCGGTCTTGGAGGCGGACTTGTCGGATAGCTCGAATACGTCGTCGCCGCGGGATCAGGGTTCATGAGCAGCATGAACTTCACATTGCCTCCTGTGAGGAACGCGTGTATGTGTGAGTTCTGGAAGGAGTCGACTTTCCTCAAGTATCTGCGCTCTGTCATTAACGCATGCTTGAGCCGTTGCATTTTGGTAGGGTGACGGACAGCTCCTTGGTACTCCATTGCGCTTCTTCCACGAGATCCAAAGACGAATGTACAATGAACTGATTCATGTGTTTTGCTTCTTCCCGGAATCGAGCGATGCCGTCGCCGCCTAGTTTGGAGGTGCCGAAGTCCAGTTCGAAAAGAGGGTTGTCTCGCGTGCCGATTATCGTGAAGTAGTACGACATTGCGACCTTTCGAATGCAATCAGTCTCGTGTATCGGTCTTTATTCTCAATGCCGCTTTTCATTCCATGGAAACTTGTTCACATTGTTGTAAATCTTGAGGCTCGTTCCTGTCTTCGTCCATATGCTTCGCTGACTAATCCCGCTTGGGCCGCAACTTCCCGATCGACCTCACTCAAGCATTGAACTGCTTTGACCATCAACACAACCAACGCAATCATGTTTGGCGCATTCAAACCTACGGCACCCTTATCTGGTGGTTTGTTATGGTATTATGTGCTCTAGCTCGCAAAAGCAGCGGCATGATGCTGACGATTTTTCAGGAAAATCCCCTGGCGACTCTCTTCACCACAAAAACTGCGCCATCGCCGTCGAATGCGCCGCGTCGATAACGTCGTCACCGTCCTCAATTCCGCATTGCACCGACACGTAAAGAGCGGGAGAAGCAAGACATGGCAGGAGAAACAGGCAGAATCTTTACCAAAAGTGCAGAATCAGGAGGGAACCAGAGGGGAAGCCACATCGGAAGACCTATCACAAACAGCAGAGGGACTTCGCATGTTGGCGCGAGATTCAGACGCGCAATCGAATCTCTCAGCGCGACGGCATGGGAAAGGACCCAAGGAAGGAGAATTCCTCCCAGCGCAGACATCGCCGCCCTCTTCTGCGCCTCATCACACATCGAAATTGCTTTCCCAGGAAGCGGCGGAGAGGAAGACTATAAAATTGATCGAGAGATGGAGGGCAGAAATGCCGACGGAGCAGGAGATGTTGCCGAAGGACAAGTACAGTATGTTTGACAAGAAGGTGAGAGGGTACAGGAAGGGAGTGCACAAGTTACCCAAGTGGACAAGAGTCAGTCAGAGATTGAATCCGCCGGGTTTCTAAGGAGGAAGAAAAAGAAGGAAGAAACTTGCTGGTGGGATGTTTGTGCAGATGCATACTGGGCGGCGCACTGTGGTGTATGATATGGGCATGGGAATCGAAAGCGCCTGGCTGGACGTGATTTGGTGCGCTGGAGGTTTCACGAATGGGATGGCGATTGTACAGGTCACACAGCAAATCAAGGAGTAGTACGAGCCCCAAAAGCCAAGTCGAATCCGCCATTGCTCGAATGCGTAGTGTACAACACTTCCCTTATTCGCTGCGCAATGCTCATCGAACTGCTGGGGAGGTTGAGCACAAACAGATCGAAGGCTTCAAAACATGCTCAATTGCTGAAATGTCAACCACATCGCCGCTCAGAAATGAGTTTTGATCGCTGTTGGTGTTTTGCAAACATTTCATGGGCATTTCAGTCATCCTGAAGGCGTCCCTGAAGTAGACGCTCAAGGAGTCAATTGTGTGCTTTCCTGACTTTCCCGGTCGATTTTGCAACACTATGGCGTCTTCGCATATCGGTATCAACCTCGAGGGCTGCTACGGCCGATCTTGTGCTATCCGACTCACTGCTACACTGAACTTTCGAAGCATCCTCAGGAAGACAAGATTCTCAGGACAACATTCGCGGGAAAACGATGTCTCTCCGCTGTAGGAGACGCTGTATGTGGGCATTCCAATGCAGAAGTGACGCAGTCACGGTGAGGTGGCGGTGAGCTAGAGAGCGATCATCTCTCTGAGCGTAATGTCAAGAGTGGCCTTGCTTCGCTCAATCCTCTCTGACGTTTGGCTGGAGCGTCTCAGGACAAGAAAATATATCTTTCGTCTTGCAACCAGACTTTCCAATTCTTATCCCGCGTTTGCTCGCTCGAGCGCAGTAGCTTCCCGAAAAGCCGCGTGCAACTTTCACTAGCGTGATCTTCACATGCAAGCTACCCCTACCGCATCATATGACCGCACTGAGCCTATATGACTTATTACACCACCATCACCTCCATCAATCAACACAAATAAGGCCGCGTAGCTCAGTGGCAGAGCGTCTGATTCCAGACTCGTCGGGAAGTCCAGAAGGGTATGTCAATCAAGCCAAGCGCAGTCCAACATGTCAGCTAACTCAATACTCCAGTCGTGCGTTCAACTCGCATCGTGGTCACAAACGGTATAAGAACTTTCTTTTTGTGCTTTTTGTATAACAGGGCTCGATGGCTAGGACTGCGACTTTCTCTGAAAGTACGATTTTCTTCCAGAATGATTTCGAGTGTGGACTGGGTTTTGAGCGATGGTTTGATTTTTTGTTTATCCGGACAATGAGCCCAACCGTCCGAGAAGGAGATAGCGAGGGAAAGAGTCTATCGGAAGTCCTACTAAGTGTCATTTTGACCATCTCGAAAAAGTTGTTCCTTTTTGTTGCAACAGAGGCCTACCCGTTGGCTGCAAAATGTCAACACCGACGGGACGTCAATCTCCTGTCGCTTAGCAGGTATGCTACATGTTTAGCAACGAATGCAGGTTAACATGTGTCGTACGATGTTCATTATAAGATGTTAGCCACTTCTTGGTAAATTCAAATGCAAATCAGTTCAATCCTGCTTATTAGCTTTTGCCGATTTTCACATAGACCCGGCCGGTCCAATTCCTCGCGCTCAAAGTGACCGGTCACAAGTGTATCGAAGCTCTATAAGTACTATGAAAGGCTGGATTCGGTGGCGGATGAATACGACTTTGTGATCGTCGGCTTGCCGCAGTGATCTCGACTAGATTGTTCGACTTATCTGCCTCCCAAGTCAGACCCGCGCATTCGAGGATCTTGCCTTAGGCCTGATTTGCTAAGATCCTCGCTTAAGCGTACTAGAGTTTGATTAGAGTACGCCCGCGCACACACACACACACTCCCTAACTTGGGAGGTAGCGACATCTTTGTCGAAGACGATGTACTCTTATCGAAGCTGTTGTTACTGAAAAGGGTGCCGCGCCGGATATTTGTTAGGGCTTCCCTCGCCGATGTCTTGTCCTCGTCCTGCTTCTTCGCCTCTACTTCTTCGCTTCCGCCTCTTCCGAATCCTTCGCCTCTGCGTCACACAGACTGTTTACTATGGCCTAGTAGCGTCCACGCGAAAGTAGCTAATCATGTCTCGAAGCCTTTCCCGAACAAAGCAGTCAAGATAGGAGGTTAGGGTACTTTCAGGAAGAACATAGGCATGACGCTTTTCCAACGGTAGATGTATATGAAGTCGCGCGGAGATGCTCGATAACCTGCCTTGCTAGCTTCGCCCTCCCTCGTCTGTGATTCCACCGATGTCCGTTCCCTATGAGGCTTCACGGTAGTATGACTCGCAGGATGAATTTCGTACAAATCTTATCATACGTTTCGAGGTGCAGGTATGGCGTACTTCTTTCCCCTCCAGAGCCAGGCGCGCACACCTAGATGCTAATGGGGGGCAGGGAAAGGGTGAAGAAAGACAGGATCTTTCTTCTTAAGGGACAGTAAGTAAGACTCCGCGAGTCTTTCTTGCTAGAGGGAGAAGAAAGACAGGATCTTTCTTAGCAAGGGGACAGTAAATAAGACTCCGCGAGTCGTATTTACATGTAAGGGGAGGTGTAAATAAGACTCCGCGAGGCTTATTTGTAGCGAGGGAGGAGAAAGACAGGGTCGTTCGTCTTAAGGGGAGGTGTAAATATGACTCCGCGAGTCTTATTTGCGTGTAAGGAAAGATGAAGCGCGGGAAGAGGAAGGGGTAAGGGGACAGTAAATAAGACTCCGCGAGCCGTATCTACGTGCAAGGTTGTAGAAGTGATGGGAGGTGGTTGTAGAAGTTTCGCGAAGTTAAAAGTTCCGGGGTTGGCACGCGAGTCAGATATCGAGCTGACAGTCGGTCAACACGTGACTCATGACTCGCGACACAATCCTCACAGTGCCTCGCAGCGTCCACGCAGGAGCAGCTCATACATTTCAACTTAAAGCCTTCCTATAGAAGGCCTATATTTCTCTACTAGTAATATTTCGACAGATGCAAGAATCCTAAGCCATGCGATTCCGTACATTCCCGCTCTCGATATAGTTTTAAGGGTAGCTAATTTTATATAGTAATAGAAGAAAGGCGAGACATCTTAACGGATAGAGGTATTAATCAAGATCCGAGGTTCTAGTCACTTTTAGCGAAGAAATGTACCGCTATTGTTCTAAGTAAAGATCTAGGAGCGTATAATACCTAGGCCGCGCTTATACTATCGGATACTAATCTTACAGTCTCGAATTAATAGATACCTAACCGTAGATATGTAGAGGTACAATAGTTCCAAATAGTAGTATAAAAAAGCGAAGTAGTAAAGAGACGTTTAACTAAGCTAGTATCTATTCCGCGTTATTAATTCCTATTAATGTCTAGGCTCTATCTAAGGCTCTACGGTTCTTATAGGATTTATCCTATAAGAACCCCCTTAGGTACTGAAATATACTAGACTCGAAGGCAACTCCTAGTATACGGTATAGATAAGGACGTTTACCTTTCCTAAATATCGGTTTATAGTAAGTAGTACTAGGCTACTTGCCGATAGCTCGGCCGTAAAACGTATACTAGGTATAGAAGCCTCTAAATCATAATAGGCTAATAATAAGTAGAGAGGCTAACGTCTTTAATAATTATCGAAATCGTACTACTTACGGGTAGTAGGAGCTCTTAAGGAGAGGGTAGCTACTAGCGTAGAGAAGCGGAGTTATCTAGAGAAATCCCGTATAGTACTATTCCGTCTCGTTTAACATCTTAAATGTACTCCTTTAGAGACTCTCCTATTATATAATTAATAAGAAGATCTTTACCTGTTCTCTTTTATAGTATTTCTAACCCTAGAGCTCGAAATCTCGCTAGTATAGCCTCGCTACGTAGACTAACGTAGCAAACCGTTACCCTACTAAAGCCGTTACTCGTAACGGATTACCGCGCTCTAATTCTCTAGAAGTTTAGGAAGTAACAATATAGAGACATACGTAAGCGTACTCGGCTAGCGTTACCGTAGATCATTTACTACTACTAATACCGGCTACTATAAGAGTAAAGTATAAGTAGCTACCTTTTCCTATTACCGTAAGACGATTTAACGTATAAAGATTACGTACCGTAACATGTACTTCCCTAGTTAGTATATATGTATATATATGTATATATATGTATATATATATGTATGTATATGTATATATATATGTATGTATATATGTTTTATTGTTATGTTATGATTCTACGAGGGATCCGGAAGAAGCTAAGACTATAAAGGTAGGGGAAAGAGAGAGGAAGAGAGAGCGAGAGAAGGTACAGACGCTATAAGCTAGTAAAAGGCTAATCCTACGTGTTTTAAGTCAGCCTATTCGTACTGTTTAATATATAATTGCTTACTTACGAGCGAAGGGAAGTAGAACGCTAGATAAGAAGTAGCTCTTCCCTTAGCTACCCCCGTTTAGGGCGCCCTTTATATACCTTCTTAGATGTTCGCCTATCTATAGTACTACTACTCGTACTTATAGAATAGGTACCTACGCCGCTCGCGATAGACTAGTTATAAGCCGTACGATTCTCTCGATATCGGTGTCTTTGAAACAGCGCTTAGGCAAATGATACCGGTAATGTCTACACTTACTATAGACTAGTTAGAAGCCGTAGAGTCTCGTATAGGCCGTATTATCCTTCTTATACTAAGTCCTCCCTCTAATTAGTCGCTCCGCCCGGAAGAACTTTTCCCTACTAGTAGGGGCTTGCGAGCGGTCTGTACGGTAATAGGCTAAGTCTAGTTAAACGCCGAAATAGCCCTTATCTATTAAGGTACTCCGGTATATATAACTTGTATAAGCCGTATCCTCCTCCTTACGCTAAGTCTTACTAAATGCCGCGACAGCCTTATTATATTACGAACGGAGTATCTAAGTTACTGTCGTACTCGGCGCCGCTATTATTAGTGTCTAGTTCGTAGTTAACGCGCTCCTACGTATACTTCTCGTAGACTTTTAGATACTACCGTACCCTTCGTCGCGTTATAGGCGAAGTATTTATACTTATAGGCTTACCGGCTAGTATAGAGTAGTAGTCTTTATATAGGTTACCCGTAAATGTACTTATCCGTAGCGGTAACTAGAGATGTTTACTCCCCGAATAGTAAGCGAATAAATAGGCCGTCGGATCTTATCCGTAATCTTATCTAACTAGGCTAGTATTAGTCTGTTATAACAAGTGCCCGATTGCCTCGGAGAGATAGAGTCGTATAGAGACATTTAATACAAATTTTAGTAGGGTCTACTAGCTCTATTATTCGTCGTTCTCGTTAATTGTGTAGTAAAGTTTCTTACCCTAGAGTTCGTATTATTAAATGTTATAGTCGATAGGGATGAAAGGAAGTGAGGTTCGACCGACCTATATTAATTTCATACTAAGAACCCTCGGAATGTAATAGAAGGAGCGGTATAAATCTAGCGTATTAAATAGGGCCGCTTCATTCGCTAGTAAAGAACGTACTAACCAAAAAAAAACTCTTCTCTACTATCTCCTACATTCTATATATTCTTAGAATGTACAAAAAGAACAGTATGAACCCGACCCGGATCGAACTTTTTGGTTTAATTAGCGATAGGGTGAGGGGATAAGGGAGGAAGAGACGAACCGGATGACCTTCTGGAAGCTCCATTTGTGGGGGAACTGGAATCAGACGCGCTCTGTGGGAGAGGTTAGCGGGGATCGGGTGATGGGATTGAGTGAACGTACACCGCTGCGCCACGGGTCCGGACCGCCGTCGCCCAACGCTGATTGGCTGATGTGGTGCAAATGGTTTCTGAATTGTTTATATAGCTTTGCATGCATCTTCGAACTCTATCGAGCTTACTTGCCGTGTTGGCGTGCCGGAAAGATAGCCCGTTGAACGTCACTCCATTCACAATTTCTGTCAGTCTGCTATGGATGTAGTCAACGTCTTTGAGGGCTCTGTCACTCAGTCGACTTCATCGCGAGGAGTCTCGAGCTTCTCGCGACCCAGACTCACTCCATCGACTGTACACGTGAAGTGGCCGTCAGCGTCGACATCTTGTCATGCAAGCGGAAGGAGCCCTATTCTGGGTGTCAAATGCAGATGGTGCCAGGGCAAATGCACATTGAATTAAGCGCCTGGGACAAGATCTGATTATTGCTACACTACAGTGATCTCTACATCGAGGCTGACGACGAATAGTTGCCCATAGCTGCATTCCAAATCAAGGCTTCTTAGAAGAGCGCCAATTCAGTATTCCGTCCCTATTATCCTGTTCGTTTGTGGAAGAGCTTGTAGCAGTGGGTCAATCGTGATGGGCTTGCTGGTCCCGCAGGCATGGAGAGGGGCTCATACTCTCCTCCCCAATCAAAAGATCTCTTACGCGTCTTGAAAGCTGAGTGCCTTGCGATCGAACGACCGAGGAGACTTCGCGGTCTTCGTGAAAGTACGTGTGATCCCACATGCCCCGGTTTGACGGTCTTCGGGGGAGAGAAATAACCTTCCGCTGTGCTGAGACACTATGTACCACCGCAGAATGAGATATAGTGTACATTCGGTGGCCCGAAACGCGGTCTTTCAGCGAGATGTAGTCGTGAGCCTCTCTCGGTGTGGTGACTCTACCGAATGGGCGTCGTGTTCGCATACAGGTGCGGTGTGTAGAGTCCCGCCCCGTGGGAGCCGAGCGGGAGCTAACCCGAGTGTGAAAGTCAATTTCCATGCCCCCCAGACCGCGCGCTATACATCTCTGCCCCTCGCGAAATAGACGATGCATGATGTCGCGTTCGAACCGCAGAGGATGGGGCTTTCGATTGGTGCCGATATGTCACGTAGAACGCGTTGTAGAACGCGTTGTGTCGCGAAGGCGTGCCAGGTGGTCTGCCTGGCCGAATGGTGGGATGGATGCACATCAGGAAGGCACGATGGGAAGGGACACGTCCGTGTCTATGCCCCGTGAAACCTGAAGATGCCTCCCAGATAGTCCTTCGACATTGCAACGACTCCAACCTACGCAAATATCAACGATGGCGATACGTCGTAGTGGCCGTGGCCACCAACCCATTCACTACGGGTTCACCGACTGGAAAGCAAATGAGACGGCTCCCGGTGTCCGCGGGCGTGGGCCTTCCCAACCACAAGGACAGCAGTCCACCTCGCAGGCAGCAGTCACACCACCTGCCACCAAGAGCACCAGCAAGGCGGCGGGGAAGAAGAGAGCCGTGGAGGATGTCGAAAGCCCTGTGCCCCTGGCCAGGCAAGATAAAGCCAAAGGTGCCGCCAAGAGGCCTAAGCGGCGGGCGAATAGAGGGGTGGTGGACGACTCCTCTGACGAGTACGAGGATGAGGATGAGGGCGTCGAAGAAGACGCCGAAGGATATGATGCTATGTTCGAGGACTGGGACAAGGGAGACGATCTCGTTGTCGATGGAGCGGGCGACGTAGAAGGCAGTGTTGATGTCGAGGAGGAAGACGTGGAGGAGATTGATGCTGCTCTCGAAGAAGAGGCCAAGGGTGAGATCGACGAAGTGGACGAGGCAGACTACGACTCTGCGGTGATTGAAGAGGCCCAAGACACACACGACCTGTTCAAGCCGTTCTACAGCTCTCTTTTTGTGTCCTGGAGGTCCTCCTCAAGGAGGAGAATGTTGAAGGTCGATTTTTTGGCGTTTTGGGTGTGGGTTAGCTTGGCCGGAATTTTCCAGCTGCAGCAAAGTTCCAAGCCCCCCAAAAGCGACGGTAGTCGACTCGCCGCATTGTTTTGACCCTACAGTGCATGTTTCAGAGTTGTGGTAGCATTACAAAATGTTCACTGGGTATGGATGGATTTTGAAGCCATAGGACGCTTCTCACGCGCATCCACAGCACACCAAGGCATGCCGACCGTAGTTTTCGTTCGAGGACATAGTGTAGAAACGCCCTCAATGTTGCCGGGTTGTAGTTTAAGTCCCATTGCAAAATTGTCATTGTCGACGTGGTTGGCGTCCTGACCGTCGATGAAACTCGAAGACCGTGATGAATCGGTGTCCGGCACGCAAATGGAGTGCATCTCGCCAATTGATTGATTGTGTTTTCGATCATTCATTGCGCCTGGGACATGATTCGTGCTTCTGTGCATTTGCAGATCGACCTGGAGCATGAGTAAATTTCCGACGCTGACAGGTGCCTTATCCGAGCTTCTCCACTAGAACGACGGATTTTGGCTGCGCTCTCAATTTTCTTGCAAACAATGATGCAGCTGCAAACGATTCTGTACAATTTCAAGCCTCATAAGTATGATTGTTCCATCACATGTGTCCAGAAGGTAATATTTAATGAACGAGGTGAAGTCCATCTCGGCGGAAGGAGGTCAATGCCAAGACTTTTCGAGCTCGGACCTTCCCGTCCAGCTTTTTGCTCCTTTGGTCTGCCTCCAAACTTCCTCCCATCCATCATCATTCATCAGCAACCGCACTCATAACACCCGACATGCCTCCTCGAATACAGCCTCATCGGATTTCGATACCCTCATCAACACAATGCTTCCGCACGAGGCCCGAGATCTCCATCATGGCCCAGCAGCCCTTTTCGTCTTCTCCCTCCAAGGAAGCTGCTGCCCAGGGCCAAACTCGCCGTAGGAAACGAATGACGCGTCTTCGGCGTGATATGTTTGCATGGCTCAATGGACCAGGCAAGGTGTTCCGCGAGTCGGCGAAGAATAGCACAAATTATATGAGCGCGTACGACAAGTCGGGAAACCTTATCCGCGCGAGACGCCAGCGGCAAGAGAAGGACGAAGCCCGGGAACAAGTTGTGCCCGAGGATGAGGAACCTGAGATCCAGCGGAAAGAGGAAGAGGAGGGATTGGACGAAGTTGAGCGAGACGCAAGATTTCTGGCACGCCAGGCGGCACGAGAACGGAAGGCAGAACTTGATGCCAGAGGCGGAGTGCCCAAGGAAAGGCTTTCCGACTTGCGGCCATTCCCTCTCAACCCACATTTCCGCTCACAGCCAGTGCTGAGCGAGGGTTTCAGAGAAATCATCTACAATCAGGTCGTCGAGAGAGGCGTGGATGTCAGCACCGTCAGCGCAGCGTTCGGAGTGGACACCAGGAGAGTTGCGGCGGTAGCCAGACTAAAGACCATTGAAAAGAAATGGGTCGCTGAGGTGAGTTACTCAATCCCTTTTTCGCTTGCGTTCAATGATGATTTCAATTCAAAAATTCGATTAGTCTTTAAGACATCCACATGGTTACAAAATTTGCTTTGCGAGCCTCTCTGAACTGGACAATCACAACACATTCAGCCGAGACACATCTGATGAGGACGGTGGCTAACAATGCTCACAGGGCAAGCAATTGGCCAAGCCGTATAACGACGCTGTGTTGGGTATGCTGCCACAGACTCGCTTGGACCCCAACAATCCTGGCAGGATGGTTCCTCATGAGAGCATCAATGACCTGCCTGTGCATCCATACACGCGGCATCAAATGTTCTGGCCAACCTCAGAGTCCCGCCAATTCACTCGTGAAGATGCCGCCAAGGCATTCAACAACGATCTCCTCCCAGCCGACAAGCGTATTCCTCACCCAGAGCTTATCACGCTGGAGAAGGAGTCTTTGGAAGGAGTTAGCCGTGACGATCGGTGGGCACGACAACAGCAACGTGACGAAGACGCAAGGAAGGAGAAGGAAGAGGCAGAGGCCAAGCGGATTGCCTGGGAACAGAGAACCCAGAGGGTAGTCCCCGGCCGCAGATGGGACTTCAAATTCCAAGACATCAGCGTGGATTCGGTGGGCAAAGACGGCAGGTCGAGACATGGTGTGGGTGCGCGGTATGGTATGCCGCATGAGGATCGCAAGAGAGGAATGGTCAAGATTCCCACGAGTGTCGAGTAAAGTTCACTCGACATGTAAATCACGTGTAATGTATTTTCCTCTCCAGGAGGGACAATGTGCTGAATTGTATCTATCCTTGGTTTCTTTTGCCGCATGACCGCCGGCTCGTGACATGTGGGAGTCGCCAGTTTGCAGCTCAAAAGTGAAAGCTCCCTCGGCGAAATTTCGCAGCACCCCACTTCATCTCCAATAAGGTACCATTTCAACTTTACCAGCAAACCGCACATCACCTCACTCTCCGCTAGGGACGATACGCTCGCTTTCGTACCTCTCATGTCCCGGTAACGACCTGCTCAACACCGTCGCCGCCGCCGCCGCCATGTCCTCCATACTCTTCTGGGGACTCACCGTAGTCACCGCCATCACCGTCACCGTTCACCTCCTTACCTTCCTCGGCCAGGTCCTCAAACAACCCGCCCTCGAGTATTACGGCCGCTCCATAGCCTCTTTCTCTGCTCTGTTCCTGTGCGCGACCTATGGTACCATCGCCTCAGCATGCCTCAACGTCGCCGGCTATGGAGGACTGGGTCAGTGGACGACTGCTCGAAGCTTCAAGTGGATCATGCTGCTTTTCACGGGCGTCTGGTTTGATATACGACAGGAAGATGGCGGAGACTGGTTGAATCAAACGAGGCCTGCTGTTTTTGTCGGAAATCACCAGACGGAGTTGGACGTTTTGTTTCTTGGACATGCTTTTCCCAAGTATTGTTCTGTTACTTCGAAAAAGAGTCTGAGCTATGTGCCGTTCCTTGGGTGGTTCAGTAAGTGCATATCACGAAGCAAGAATTGGATATGGTAGATTGGATGGGCTGATTGGTGACAGTGTCGCTCTCGAAAACTGTCTTTATCGAACGATCCTCCCGCGAACAGGCCGTTGCTGCTTTCGCCAAGGCGGCAGAGCAGATGCATTCCGGCGGCCAATCAGTATACATCTTTCCCGAGGGAACGCGATCCTACTACGACCATCCCGACTTGCTTCCGTTCAAAAAGGGAGCTTTCCATCTCGCGGTCCAAGCCCAGGTCCCAATCGTGCCAATCGTGGTCGCGAATTACAGCAATGTTTTGAACGTCAAAAGAAAGTTCTTCAGGCCTGGAGTCATTCCTGCTAGGGTGTTGAAGCCTATCTCGACGAAAGGAAAGACGAAGGAAGACGTAGATGCCCTGCTGGAAGAGACAAGAAGTAAGATGTTGAAGGTCCTGAAGGAGATCACAGTCACAGCGAGGGAGCAGGGAATTGCGGTTAAGAAGGAGGAGGTTAGCGGAAGACATGCGAACGCCATGGGTGCTACCAGTGGAGTTGATATTGCGAAGGCATAGAAGCGGTGGGCTCAAGTGTGGCCCATCCAACGGCTTGCTTGCTTTATGACTGATGCGATCAAGCATAATACCCTAGGGAAGCAGAAAAAGGCGTTTGGGAAGACGTGGCTCGGATGGAGAAATGAATCTATTTGGCGTTCGGCGAAAAACTTCGTGCACGATCGCGGTGCACGCATGTTTCATACGATCTACAACAATACCATGCCTCGAGGCTCAACGCTTTTGAGGGAATATCAGACCCGAATTGGTCAACTTCTGCTGGTTCCAGAACGGCGCATTCAATGACTGACGTTGATTTAGCTTGTCCAGAAATCGGCGCGTACTTCAATCTACAGGAACCACGACACATATCAATTGCCGAAGCACGATAGCTTCTCAGATGGGTCCTTCGAATCAGCAGCTCGCCATGAGGAAGGCTCACTTGGTCCACATTTCGGAGCTCAAAGAAGCCCGCGATCTGTCGCGTCAGCCACGACTTCCTCCGTTACATCTTTCCACTCTTCTCCGAGATCCCAATGTTTGCTCGGAATTACGTCAAAGCATTGCCCAGCCCAGAGCCTTGGCATCGGCCTGCCTAGCGGTTGTCTTGCCGTATTTTTCCCAGACCAACCTGTTCGCATCAGCAACGTTTTGCCAAGGCTAAGAAAAGGCTCATTCTCAAAGTGGACGCATTTGGTGGAACGAAGCCAGTGGCCCCAGTCTGGTTCTGTCTCGGCGGATACTATATCGCGGCTGAGTTGGAGACGGACGAATCGGCGGGTTGTCATATTGCGAAGATACCAATACGAACCTGCTTTTGTGTCTAGCACATGGAGTGCCGATTGCAGAGAACATTCCAGCTGCCGGATGAGAGATCGTGGCATATTAGATCTGGACACGACGGTGGTAAGAGCGGTTCGCGAACCGGTCGCAACATTCTCGCGCTCTAGCTCTTGCTACTTTTTCATGGAACGCCGTATCCAGCCTCCTGCTGGATTTTGACCCTCGAAACGCAGGTTGTCGTAGTCGAATATGAGTTTGGGGCAGAAGATGGCTCGTCGAATTCGATACTTCGTCGAAGGTCGTTGCTTCGCCGATGATAGGTGTTCTGTCTCAGCGGTCTGAGTGCGAGAGAGATCCACCAACGTATACGAATATAAGAAGATAATTCGCATGCCCTTCTTCGCGTGATACGACAGCAAGATCCAAGAATGCGAGTGACTCACCACCGGCAAGACCTCGGCTACTTGTAAGTGAATGCCTGTGTACACTGCCGCAAATTCGTACAACACAAATGTTGCATCTTCTAGGTTGCTTCATCCAGGAAATGGCTACCCCTGCCAAGACCGCCAGCTTCACTTCAGCACCCACAATATCGAGAAGATCTCAGCATTTTCCGATGACGTAAGGACGCAGGTCCCCAAGCTTGGGCTTCTCTCTCGATATCTTTTGATCTTTGGCATCCTACAAGTACTTCGTTCATCTAACGCGAGTCAAACCTTCCTTACATGCAATTCATCCAATCTGATCAATGTTTTGAGCTCCAGAACGGGGAGAAAGAAGACGCCTTTCTCTCCTCCCCATCTCAAGAACCTCCCTTCTATTTCATCCGTCTTAGCCTCCGCGCCTACGATGTCGAATAGTGATTGTACTACTGGCATATCGAATTTCAATTTCGGATTCAAGAGGGATTCGTATTCTTCGACTAACAACCGTGCGAGCACGGCTTCGAATTTCTCTTCGAAGAAAGGCGATAGAAAGGTCGTTCTCATCACTGGGGCTACAGGTGAGTAGACCACGTTAGATTCCAGAACGATTGCTCATCTTTGATACTTAGGAGGAATCGGTCGAGCTACCTCAGTTGCCTTTGCCAGGACGGGGAAATACGATCTGGCGCTGCACTATAATACCGCAACTTCCGCGACTCAACAGAAGCTCTTGCATGCTATTAATGATGCTGTCACACGAGTAATCGATGTTGCATTGTTTCAGGCTGATCTCTCATCTTATGATGAAGTTCGACGCTTGCACAATGAAGTGTCTGAGCAATTTGGTGGAGTTGATGTGCTGTTCTGTAATGCTGGAGCCACTGGAGGACAGACTGGTGTGGGATCCTTGGGTGAGGTTGACATTGAGGTGTTTGAGAAGGTGTGGAGACTCAATTGTGGTGGTCCGATTCTATTGACGCAGTTGTGTCTGCCTCTCATGGAACAACAAGGATGGGGAAGAGTAGTGATGTGCTCAAGTGTGGCGGCATGGACTGGAGGTTTTGTTGGTCCGCACTATGCTAGCAGTAAGAGGTGAGTCGACTCGTTCTCCTACAAAGACCGCAACACGCTGACCGGATGGCTCTAGCGGGCTGCATGGATTTGTGCACTGGCTGGGGAAGAATGTGGCCACGAAAGGTATTACAGTGAACGCGGTCGCTCCAGCGCTGGTACGTCAGGCATTATCAAAGAGAAATCAGGCATGCGAGGACTAATAGCTGGCAGATTGCAGACACAGCGATGATGGCACCGAAAACAGGATCTGAAGAGCAAGAAAAGAGGGCTGCTCAGAGTATGTAAATTTTTCTTTACAAAGGGGAGGATTGAGAGCTGACATCTGGACACAGATGTGCCCGTGGGACGTCTAGGTCGACCGGATGAAGTAGCAGAAACAGTCATGTGGATGGTCAACACCGCATATGTGACCAGAAAGATAATCGGTGTTGATGGGGGTTATCATCCATGTTGATAAGAACTAATTGTGGACTGCTGAGGCGCCAAAAGCAACAATACCGACTCATTTTGGAAGCTGGCCGCCCAGCTAATTTAGCCTCCAGTCGGCGAGAACCAGCAATACTTTCCTCAGCACAATTCAATGACTAAAGGTGGCCCCACTGCCTTTCCTCACAGAATCTGACAGGTCCTCTGTTGCTATCAAGGGATCGAGCCTCTAACCGTACGTGCCTTGCCGAGGTCCGGTTGAGGCTGAGCCTGGGGATCGAATTGCTTCATGGCTTGTTCTTGGAACTTGGAGAAGAGGTCGGCCGCCAGCGAGGGTGTGTCCACCACCAAAAGTCGAAGAGCGCTTGGTCGGCCGTAGGGCAGGATCTTATCTCCGTGTTTCATCAGGACCTCCATGGCGCAGTCACGGATTCCTTGCAATGCGTTGATGTCGGTGCTGTAAAGGAGCGCGATGGCGCGTGTGAATGGGGAAGGGTTTGTGCCCCCGTCTCTCGCGATGTTGGCACTACATTGGGTGAATTTTTCAGTGGCGAGTCGGTTGAGATGGGTCATGTTGTACTTGTCGGCGATGATAGCGACCTCAACGTGGAGCGATAGAGCCTCATGACCTTGACTTCCGTACTCCGCGCTGTAGATGTACTCGAGTAGGGCGTGTACAGCATCAGGCTCGTCGTGATCGAGAGTGATCTCGTTCGATGTCGCCTCCTGGAACCCCCCTTTGCAAGCCCCATCGAAGAACTCGCACCTCGTGCAGACGATGTTCTTGTGGACGCTCCAAGTTCTGTCGCCGCATTTGATGGTCAAGTCCGAGTATCGAGGATTATTGAAGAGGCTGTTGTTAGCACGTTAGCACCTAGCTGTAGAAGCATTGCCGGAGCAATTTTACCTGGAGACATCTTGCGCAGAGCCTTGCGAGAGAGCGCTCGGCTTGTTACCCATCTCTTGAGCGGCTTTCCAATTTGCTCTCCTTTTGGAAAGACGGGTTGGATCAGTTGTATGCGTGGCTTTTGTTGTACATCGAAGATAATTCAAGTCTTCCAGTGGTGGCAGTGCCAAGCTGACTGATGACGAAGACGGCGCGTTTGTCACTTGCTTTGCGAGTAAACACTCTGACCACCTCGAACGTTCAATGCAACGCGTTGACTCTTTATTCGAAGCTTCTAGAATTTGGCTTGGCGTGCTTGCTCTTTCCAGCAGCTGTCTCAAGGCAGGGGCCGTACAGCACGTGATTCCAGCGCTAAAGCCGGACATTCTTCGGAAGCTTGTGAAAGTCGAAATACCCCGCAAAGAAGGGAGAGCCAGCCTCAAACAATCACAAATCCTCTTACAAAGCCTTCTCTCTGCTTCACGCCTTCTCAGTCCATGTGTCCAGCAATATAACACTCCTCGATCCATCGCCAAGTATGGTTTTCCTGAAGCCGAAGGATCTCAGGAGTCTTCAGTCCATAAAATGCACACAACGAATCCCGCTTTTTCACACGCGGAGGAACCAGTAAAAGCTTCCCGCACAGGGTAGTTAAAACCCTTCGTCGCTCCACATGTTATCAAATACTTCGTGTCATTTGTTCTCGGTCCGTACCCTCGCACGTTACACCGCAGGCAAAGATGTGAATTCTTGCACGTTCAATACGTGCTTTTTCCGCAGCTCTCGTAGAATCTTAGAAGGCCGTCCGCGAAGACGTTCTCCTGTCAAATGAAGTCACAAAGACTTAGTGATCGGAAACTCATCCGAGTCCCACAGCTGATAAGGCTGCCGCGACACGTTGCCACTTGATATCCTGCTAATCGTATAGACACTCTACATGTTCGCCGGCTAGAGCAATCTCTTGGAAGATTTAAAGACGATGCCAGTGTTCGTTGCAATAGAAAGAGTAGAGAGCTGACTAATGCGATGCCTGTGTTTTTCTTCTGATGCTTGTTAAGATCGGCTTGATACCATGGCTAGCGCACTCTCTGGCGATTCTAGTCAATCATACGATGGTCTCTACGAGGTTCTCTGCCTTCTTAGGGTCCGATTCAGCTCTCATGAAACAGTAGACGATTGCCGTAGAATTATATATAAATCTAATTCGAGGTAGGTACTTATTCCGGTCTTCTATATTCGATTAATTAATATAAATAGCGTTAATCCAGACTCTCTATATTAGTTTATAAGTAATTCTAGAGTATCCGAGAAACCGGCGAGATAAAGCTCGTAGCTAGCTTCGTCGTTAGTCGTACCCTTATTTAAAATTAAGCGCAAGCGTCTTAAGGCCTAATAAAGATTGCCTGTTATACCTAACAGCTTTCCGTTAATATGGTATCTGCGCTAAGAAAGTCCAGCTGCCCGTTTAGAGGACAACGCGGCAAAGGAGCCGTAGTCTCGTCTTTGCTCTTTTTAGTACCTTTTTGGAGACATGCTCGAGGGTACCCTCTATGTCTGCACCATCGTCCTGACCTTCAAATAGTGGACCGATCGTTAACAGACAATATTTGCCGTGGTTTGTGTCAAGAGGCGTGTAACTGCAAGTCATCCGGTCGAGTTGGGCGCCAGGTCAACCTCAAATTCTTGCAGAAGAGGTCGTATCTTGTAACATCGAGGGTCCCAGTCACCGGGCAAAGTCCACGCATTCAAGCTGACCAAGGCTGAGTCACTCTCAAGATTACATGGCATTACAGCCCGGCGCAGCAGCGCTGGAGAGCATTCCTTCCAAAGAGAAGCTCTTCCAGAAAGAAAGTCGAAAGGGGGCCCCCCAAACCGAAATCTCCTGCTGCAAAAAGCCATTGCTGCCTCATGTAGATGTCATTTCACATTTATTCCATGATGAAAATGGCTCTGATCGGGACTTCTCTCTTCTCTAAGGTGGGAATATGGTAACTGCGCCGTCCAGTCTTCTGCAAAAGTCAGTCCCCATTCTGCGTCTGTCTCAAGGCGCTGCTAGACGCTTCAAGCCATTCCTTCCGCAAATCGCACTATACGGAAGAATGCGAATCCTCGCACGCAGCCTTCCGCAGCTCTCGTAGAATACAAGCACCTCGCACAAGGTGTCCGAAGACTCCACCAGCACACCTCGGACAAGACAGTCTACGCTTCGAATTCACGAGATTGCTGCAGGACCTAAACCTACCTCTTTACCCTCCGCTCGTCACTCGCCAACTCTTGAACAGGCGGCATCTCCGCCGGCAACTCAGACGGCCAGCTGAATTCCCGATCCAGCGTCGTCTCGGATGGTAATTCCGAAGGACTATACGTTCCCGTCTCAGGTGGCTTGTCGGGTTTGTAAGGGAGAGTCGAGTCTTCCACGCGGGCGACAGGAGCGCCGAGCTTTTCGTGGATCTGGTTCTGTGCCCCATCGACTTCTTCCACTCCTGTGGTGGCGGGAGGAGGAGGTGTGGATTGCTGCTGACGGCGTCTACGCCAGAACCAGAAAGCCAAGCCAGCAACAACCACCGCGACTCCTGCGAGGACACCGATGACGGTTCCTGCAATGGCGCCGCCGCTGAGCGAGCTACTCCTGTTGTCGCTCTCCCCGGGAGGGAGAATGGTCACGAGCTCCGGCGTCGAATCGGTCGGGAAAAGTGCTTGGGCGACAGTAAAGTTTCGCCTGTCGTAGTCTGCAATGACATACGCCTCCTGCAGAAACACTCTTCCCAGCGTATACTGACTCCCGTACTGCGCGCGCTTCAGGGGGAAGTACCAGCGGGACCCGTTCACGTGCGGATACGTGACGTTCAGATCAAAGGCATCGTAGGGGATCCTGATCTCGGCCGTCTCCCCAGTCTCGACGGAGCCACCGAGGGTAAAAGAAAACGTCGGATTCTGTCGCTGCAGTCTGTCGTGCGTCGTTTCGTTGAGCAGGTAGAGTTCCGTCGCGTTGTCCCATTCCAGCCCAAAAGCCGCTTCGAACGCTTGACATACTTCGATCGGCATCCAGATGTACGTGATCATGGAGTTGACGTAGGGCGTGATGGTCTGCGTGAGCAGCGGTGAGCTGCCTTCGGTGTCGTAGGTGATCGATTGCAAGTTGACTTGCAGATCCGCGGACGGGTTGATGGAGAATGGTACGGACACGGAGGTATTGGGGTCGAATCGGTTGGCGTCGTAGCCTCCCAGAGTAAGGCTACCAAATACCGGAGCATCTTTATAAGCTGCACCAGCAGTGTAAGCCCAAGTGGTACTGGGAATCTTCGTATCATTTGGATCCCGAAGCGCGCCCATGAGAGTGGGAGTTTTCCCTACATCCCCCGAAGATGCGTTGAGACGCAACGGACTGATGCCAAGACTTCCAATCCAGAAGTCATTCGACTGAACACCAGCAACAAGCTGATTCGGCAAAGAAGGCAATCCAGACTGATCTGTTCCGAGCGTCACGGTATCCAAGCCATAGGTAGCATTTGCATGGAGTCCCAACATGTTCTCAGCAATCAGGCCCAGGTTGTAGAACGATCCATTCGCCGAGCTCTTCCACGTCGACGAGTCGTTCATGTTGAATACATCTCCCCTTAGTTCTGCGCAGTCCCAGAGTCCGGGGTTGTCGACCGTGCAGCCCTCGGGAGCGATGGCCCAGATGGCATTCCCTGCTTGAACGGAGGTTCCAGGCAGCAGATGCAGCAGTTGTGCTATGAACGGGGTCAGTCTCTTGCTTTGAAGATCGAAGTATGGTCCCACTGACGCGGAGAGCCGACCTGGACGTGGAATGTCGACCACTCGCCATCATAGCCTTGCCTGACAGTCTGTCAGTATATAGAAACTGTGGCATTTACGAAGAGAACCCACCAAGACCCACTCGCCGGCACAGAAATCGGCTTGAGCTCTTCACTCGAGGCCCTTTTCACCATGGTGAGCGGCTCTGTTGCTGTTGCCAAAATCGCTGCGAAACGGGCTAGATGTTGCGCCATGTGGATTCATAACATTTGAGAAAGCCTTGTGTCGTAAAGTCCCCATGAGGAGCATTAAGAAAGAAAAGAAAGACACGTCCAGCCGCAGCGCTGACAGCCCAGCCCATATTTACGTACAATTCCAACCTGCGCACCACGTGAGAGAGACCCCTGGAGACGCGCTGAAGGCCTTACGGCTGAGTCCCGTCCCGACTGTATCATGGGGGTGTGGTGATATCTGACACTGCTTCCGCAAGCACGAATAGCAGGTCGACTGTAGCAAAGCCCTATGGCTCGCTAGAGCTTGCAGTCCAGGATCAGAGGTCGCACAGCAGGAAAGCAGTTGGTGATGTGAAGCTGTTGGTGACCCCGGGGTTCCAATAGAGAGCTTCCTGTGAGTCTTTAGCGCCCGCATTCCGCGGATTGTGACATGTGAATTCCGCCTTCGCTGTGCATTGCCGTTTTGGCTCGCATTTGTCAATACAGCCGCAATGCCTCGGTCCCCTGCGTGTCAACTTGGTAGGATCGTCGTAAGGTCAAGGCTAAGTGCCTGTTTTGGCCTTCTATGTGTTCGAAGACCGAAAGGGCCAAATTTACGCTGGAATAGCATCTCAGCATTCACTGGCCGGGGTCGTCCTTGGCAAAGCATTGCAGCATTGAGTGATCAGCCATCGATCCAACGGAAGATCATGCCAAGTAACTCACGGATGCAGCCGTCCACATCATCTGCGACGACGCAGTCGCCGTGTGACATATCAAGCGACAATCCGATAGCTCAATCAGAAAAGTTCGTCTTGCAAACATATCCATTGAACTTGGAAGTCCCTTCTTCTCCTTCTCTTTTCTTTACCTTCCACCTCCTCGCCCATTCTCCCCTTTGTTCATATCGCCGCCTTTCACTCCAAACCATTTCCACTTTTCTTACCAGTAAAACAGCAATCTCTCTCCGAGCGAGCAACGAAAACGCCCTGCAATCCCGTCAGCAAAGATCCCGAACACTCTCCCCACTCACCAATCGAGAACGACGCAAAACGCAATGCCAATCGTCCACTAACAATGGTATTTGTGGAGGTGGTGCTAGGGTATTCCTAAGCCTACAACAACACGAGCATAGCCGATGGTGCACTGCGATAAAAACCGGCGAACGTGCCTTCTCTTCCAGACGCAAACGCCAACAACACATAGCCATCTCATACAATGCACATGCGCTGTGATGTGATTACTTCCCACCACTCGAGTTCAACCACGAAAAGGCAGAAGCTCCTCCTATGGGATTCACCTTCGTCTTCGGCGCGGTACCACCAGTCGATGTCGATGATGCTGTAGCGGGCGTGTTCTCCTTGGACATGCTTCTTCTTCTGCCTTCGTCGAAGAATCTGCTCTTCCCTTCCCCAGCGGGACTCGAGGTACCCGTGGCACTCGAAGAAGAAGCGGCGGTCGCGGAGAAAGTCCGACTGTTCGTCTTGGGCTTGAGGACTTTGATGCCGGTGTCCTTGCGCTGGTAAGTGCCGGAAGCATTCCTGCTTGCACTCGCCCAGTCCATGCCGGGAGGTTGCGTAGTCGCAGAAGAGCCGCCGTCACGCCTCCAGCTACCCCAGATCGCTGGACCACTTCCAGAACGAAGCGGTGTCCATTGCGGTGCAGACTCGGTCAAAGGGGTTTCTTCTCGTTCTGATCGAGTGTTGATCATGCTTAGCGAAGGTCGTGAAGCGGTCGATTGGCGACTTGGCGGTCTAGACTCTTTGTCAGAGCCGGTTGCACCAGGCCTCGTGGCTTCCGCATGGCCCACTTCCGCAGCAAGTGCACCGGGCGGCCGATACTTTCCAGGAGGCGGACTGGCTGCAGCAGAAGAAACAGAAGCTCCGGAGCTGCCCTGGCCAAGCCCGTTGATATACGGTTGGTGCTTCACTGGCTCCTCAGCCTTTTCAGGACGAGACGGCGCCGGCGTTGCAGCACTAGTAATATACAACGAGTTGAAGGCCGCCTCGTTCTCTGGCCTCGAGAGCGGTATGCTCAGCTTGTTGCGCTCCCGATCAAACAACGTCATGGTGTTCGATGAGAAAAGAATGTCGGCATTGTGCTGTCGAAGCACGTCGCTCCCGAGGAAGATCTGAATCGCCTTGCTGTCGTCGCTGAGTCCAGCGCTCTCGATCACACGGAACTCTACCAGCAATGAAGGCAGCTGCGGCGCAGGGCTACTAGACCTCGACGAAGCTGGATGTGGGACAGCTTCAGGAAAGAAGACAGGTAGCTGGACTGTCCTAGGATCATCCCCATTGTCTTGAATCTGCTGTTCAAATCCAAGCTTCTCGATTAGCCGATAATCAAGGAATGACTTGTAAGATCCCGTACAGACGGCGGCATAGAGCAGAGCATCATGCTTGAAGTTCGTGTTCATCCAGCATCGGATGATGGCGGGTATGGCACCAAGATACAACAAACCCGGTGCAAGACCGGGGGTCTCCGCCGGCGACCGATTTGCCTCGCCCAGACTATACGCCGCCGTGTCCAGATTGAGGCTGTTAGCACGACCGGATGCAGCAGAGCGAATGGAATGTGCGGAGCTTGCGCGGCCCTCTGATTTGTGAGACGAGGTGCGCTCTGTCATCTGCAGCCCACCTAGGCCGCTGCTTGTCCGGGAGAAGAAGTCGACTGACGGCCTTGACGGGTGGGAGAAATGGTTCTGGTTGGCGGATTCGTCAAACCTGACGCTGTTAGCTCTTGAAGTGGCGCCCATAGCTCTGCGCGGCTCGTCGTCGGCATCGAGGTGTAAACTGCTCATGAGGTTCGAGGCCTCGTCGTCGAAGCTGCGGAATTGGTCGTTGGGGGGATGTTGAAGAGGTGCTACAAAGCATTAGCTTGTTGGGTCCGCATAGACTAAGGGTGCGAGCATGTATTGACCTTGCTGTGGTGTCCCACTCAAAACGCTTGGGAACGGACTCTGATTGCCCCAGACGCTCTTCATGCGCGCATCGTCTTCTTGGCGGCGCTCCAATCTCGCGATGCGATCGGCGTGCTCGGCCTGTATCTGCTGGATCCGTGCGACGTCGTTCTGTACGCGGCAGTTCTCGCTACTGGAGGAGTTGTAGCTATGAGGAGTGAAAGACTGGCTTTGCGGGTCCATCGCTCAGCGACACCATCCGAAGGGGCCGTCCAGCACGCGACGACCTCGACCGGCGCAGTGTGTTGGTATGTAGGTTGTACGTCCCACTGGTGGTCCTCCTCCTCTCCGCCCAGATCGAGGGTACGGCGAGCGCCGCTGACAGAGTCTCCTCTTACGCCACGATTGCTTCTGTCCCGTATGGTATAGGTATGGGCGTGGGATATCGATTCAGTATCTTGCGTGAAATGTTCGGTCGGAAATCGTGCAGAGGTGATGTATACAGGTGTCCTTCAGATCACAACGTGGGAGATGTAGGGTTGGTCGGCGGTCTCTCGAGGACGTCGAGCAGCGAGGACGCTCGCAGCCGTTGCCACAAGTCGTAAACAGATGGTTGTTGTATTCGACACGGCGATGTAACTGCGTAGAAGCTGTAGCGTATGGTACTAATATAACACAAGTGGACAATTCGTTCCGGGCGGTCAAGCGCAAGGCAAGTTTGTGGTGGTCGGACCCGGGTCACGCAGGCTTGAAACGGTCGGCGTTTGCTGGAGCAAGGATCTGGGTTGGACGGACTGCACGGGTGTGAGCGTGTTGAGGGTGGATGCGAGAGAGATGAAATGGATCTGATCTCGAGGTCGAGGTCGACGATGACATGTCCCTCTTGCCCCAAACATGAAGGACCTCCTACTAGATCTGATCCGGTAAAGCCGATTTTCACGGAACGACAGGGATCGACGGGCTGTGGCGCTTTCACGTGCAGAGTGTGGAGAAAGCTTGCAGGGAGCTGGAAAAGGAAATATCGTGCGAGGAGAGAAGTCTGAGGGTCTCATATCTATATTTTCAAAATGTTCCAAGCAAGTAGCGTAGGCTCAGTCCAATGTCAAACCGTATCTCATGCCATCATACTATCGCTTGGAATCCCGCTCATAATGCTCCAACATCATCATTCTTATGTTTGATGTAGAAGTAGGCCAACACACCGGACAGCATCGATACTGCGATACCAACAACGATAGCGCTGTCTTCATCGTTAGCATATGCCGAGTCAAGCAGAACTCTTGGATGAACTCACAGAAAACCAATGCCGGCCTCCTGCGTGGTTTCAGCTGCTTCCGTCGCTTTCTCCTTGAACTGCACATGTTTCTGTTTGGCGTTCATCGGCGTGTCCACTGCATCCTCTTCATTCTCTCCTCGCTCGTCATCCTCTCCTCCCTCGTCTTCCTGCTCCTTGGGAGTCATTGAAGGCGTCATCAAAGCCGCCGGACGTTCAACAAGCTCAGGGAGCGTCACTTCAGGTACATCAGCATCAGGTGGAATTTCATCTTTGCTTGTGACTTGTTGGGCCTCCTCTCTCAGTTCCGCCAATTCCTCGTCGCCATCCTCTGCCTCGATTACGTTGGGCAACGAAGGCGAGGCGCTGTAGACCGCAGACCCGGCCGGAGAGACTCTTCTTGGGCTATTCCCAGCACCTTGTGATGTCTCATCTTCTTGCAAGGACTTACGAGTGTGGTCTAGATGCTCCATGATGCCCCTCGAATCGGTTGGAAACTTGATTAAAGACGGGTCGTTTTCGTCGGCTTCCTCCGGTATGGAGTCGTTGCTATGCTTTCGGTTGGCGAGGTGTGCTAGTGGGCGGTGACTTTCATGGTTGTGGTGCTGTCTGTTGTCCATGGAGGTGCTTTCGTGTTTGAAAAGAGGGGAGTGGTCCTGTTCCTGGGAAGACGGCGCAATAGACTCATGTCGCAGAAGCGGTACATCATCTGGTATATCGTCGCTGTCATCATCAATCGGCATTGACGGTGGCGCCAAAAATTCGTGTCTGAGCAGAGGACTTGCGGGTTCAGGATCGTGTAAATGGCTCTCTGGCGGGTGCTGCACTAGCGGTCCCGGCTGAGCGTCTTGGAAGGACTCATGCTTCATGAGAGGCGCTGGATGTAGAGAGTCCTTACGCTCGGGCTCGGACTCGGGCCCTTTGATCTCGGGGACACTGCTTGGCTTTGAAGCCGGAGCCGCAGCTTCTGCGATCGGCACGGTCGCCGGTTCGGCCTCAGACGGAGCCTCAGGTTTGACGATGACCTGGTTGTTCTTGTTTCCCGCAGCGTCGTCTACCTGTGGCTTGCTGTCGTCGCAGACCCACCAGTCTCCCGGACCGAGTCGCAGCTTGTATTGGTACTCTCCGTCTTCCGCTTGAAATGTCTTGGTAAACTTCCACTGAGCCTTGTCATCCCGGACCGCATCCATCTCTACTGGCTGCCATTCGGGGTCGCTAAGACTGGTGCCAACGAAGACGGGTGGCTGGAGTTCTGGTGCGGAGAAGTCGATCGTGACCGGGCGTTTCATCGTGGCTTGCGCACTTGGAGTTGGAGATCGTTCAGGCTTCGATCCAATCCACGATGGCTGTTTGGAACTGGCGGGCCGCTTGGGGGTGGTGGGGACAAGGTTGGAGGCGGTCTCGACAACGGCATCGATGGAAGGTTGAACGGCTTTTTGGGCTTGAGCAAGCTGCTGTGGTGGGGCGACGTTAGCCATGAAGCTCGCCATGGGTGATGTCTGAGGAGACTGCTGTCCGGATGATGGAGAAGAGGGCGTAAGAGGGGTGCTGTTCTTCTTCTGCTCGAATGTTTGCTTGATGTCTGCAACGGTCTTCCGTGCAGAAGAAAACATAGGAAGCGACAGATGGGGAGTCCGAGGGTCCTGATTGATATGGGTGGGTTGTATGGTAGGACTGCTTGCAAGAGCTACGGGTAAGAGCGTAACGTGATGCGTATTGGTGGGCGGAGATGTTGCTAGGATTGTATGGGTTCTCCCAATGGAAGAGGCTTACCGTGACGATGGTATGTGTCGATACCGCGCAATGGGCAGGTCGCTGTCTCCTGACCGGCTGGGGTAGGGGCGGAGTGGATCGCGAGATGTTTCCCGTGATACCGATGGGTAGGGGGAAACGAGAAGGAGTTCTTTGAACGGGCGAGCAGAAGCAGAGGCAGGAACCGCTCAGACATGTGACGCAGCTGCCGACATCAACCTGGCGGTCCAGCACGCATCACATCAGGCACACCACAGGGCTGGGGCCCCGACAGTGACACGATGCCGGGATGCTGCACACCACTGCCGACATTGCGTGAGATGTCGTTGAGGCAGGCATCGCATCGCATCGCATCTTCGCAATCCTGCTTGTGTCGTGACGTCCATATCTCAGGTACTCTTCCCGCCTTCATCTCAACGGTTGAGCTTGTGCTTGTGCTTGTGCTTCGTGCCCGTCTCTCGCGAGAAGGAGCGGTATGGGTTCGCGAAGGTGACGTTGTTGTGGCCGATTCAGGCGGAGGAATGACATGGGTTGTTGCTGTCCACGCGACGGGAGTGACGCGAAGACGTGAGGTGGCCCGCTGCGCTGCGCTGCGCTGGGAAGCACGTTTTTCAATCTTCAAAAGCGTATCTTGCATCCCTGCTGTCGCGACTTCACCTGTTCACTACTGCTCGAAAATCCTAGCAAACCTCATGGTAACAGCGAGTCGGATAGCGCTGAACTAGCTGTAGCAGCCGTCAAGACCACATCGCGGAGTGTGAAGGCACCGTAGGCTACCTTACCCGGTATTCTAAGCGCTCTCACTGCCTCTTCTTCGTACTCCTGCCTTCATCCTTCATCCTTGTACAGACGACGACAATCTGCATGAGCTGAGTATCTTGAGATTAGCCCTCAGCCCAGATTGCCTATCCTGCTGACGGTCATGCAATAACGATTTCTAGCACCGTCCCGCCGAATCTCGATAGGAAACCGGCAACACGTGCTCAAGAGCCTGGCGAGCCACATCTTCCTTCGTCTCGTATGGGATTCGAGTCGACGCGTCCATGCAACATCCGTGCACTCCCGCTTCGCCAGCTGCCGGACCCTTCCCCGCTCCCGTGCCCGCGCGAGAGGTCTCAGCTTCCTTCATCTCTTTCCCACCCCTTGCCCCTCACACAGCATCCTCTGTCGAGTCGCCGTGGACCCTACCGCAGGACGCCCAAGTCATTACAATCGGGCTTGTACCCACGGCACGATACGTACAGGCAGGATACAACCCTCCAAAACCCCGGCTGGCCGCTACCTGGGTCCAATACCCGGGACACGCCTGGGCCCGAATGACGAGCAACAGATTGGCCTTGCGCCGTTGGAGGGTTCATGTGGCGGCAAGTCTGACTTGAGAGGAACCTGGAGCACGCGGCTCGGGGGTGCTCCCTGTCGCCAGTGATGATTGCCCCAAGGCCCACAAGCACCACTCGGTTTCCTCTCGTACTGCTTACTCGAAGCCCAGAAGCGCTAACAGCCGATATGCGAATTGAACGATTCCGCTGCGCATCTCCTTGTCATGCGAACCGATTCATGTGAACTCGTCCGAAGTCCTGGGAAACACATGGTGTCGCAGCTCTGGAGAGAGAAGAGAGAAGAGAAAGGATGAAGAATGATAAGAAGAAATTTTGAAGCTGAGGCGGAAGCCGTGGCGTACGGACGCACATTGACGAGGGAACAGCCGACAATCAGCGTGGGTTGTCCAGATTCGTGCATCTCCGTCTCTGGCAGGCACGGTGGTGATGGTGCGTACGGTAGCTCTACCGGGGGCTTTAGGCAATCGCGATTCCTTGGAGATAGGCTATACGATTGCCCTCAGCCGGTTTTGAAGCTTGCATCGACGGTCCACCACTTCTGGTCTGCATACTATTGCCTGCATTTGTCCAGTTGTGGCAATGCTGCAGCGACAAGCCGGCAGGACTTTGATGTTGATGCTGTACACAAGCAGATAAATTCACCGGTTGATGCCTCCAAACAGGTCATTCTTGTCGCTCATTCTTACGGAGGTGCAGTCGCGACGCAGCCCCTGAAAGCGTACTTAGGACGAAGTGCTCTCCCCGGAGTGGCAGACGAAATTGATCGAGGTGGAGAAGCAAGACGGCACCGTGATTTGAGGTCCATACGAACACAGCCAGTCACAGTCCCTTCTTCAGCCTTAGTGCGGCGATGAAAAGGAGATCATCAGAACCTCGATGTACCAGCTAGACACTGCTCCTTCGTCCGTATTTACCCAATCGAGAGAATGGAAGGGTTTGATCTCGAACGCGTCGTCGTTGTGATTCAGTCTTCGGTATACGTGTTAGTATACCTACCCTATGTAAGATCACCGCACTTCACGCTTAAAGACACATGTCCTGATGGCTTTCCCTTGTAATAGGCGATAAGGCCGTCGGTTCCGTACATTATCGCGTCGGGGTCTAGGTAGATATCGTCGGGCAGTCCCGCCAAGCCTCTAGAGGGGTGTTTACAGGTAGCCTGTACTGTGTCTAATATTAGATGGGGACGCTTTAATAGTTCGCGGTGCCGACGGTCCGGCGGCTACGAGCACAGACGCAGCGCGCCCACGGAAAAGCCACCTTGGAAGGAGGGGGACGACTTTTGTGAGATAGATTAGCTAATGCCTCGTTTAGACTCAGCTGTTAAGCTAATGTACGCACGAAGCCTGTCTAAACGAGCACTTGATTTCATCCCGCCTGCCTACCTTACAATTGCGTACTTTTGAAACATCCAGCACTTCCGCCATGGAACGCTCACGAGCATCCGAAAACAAACGGCGCAGCAAGCATGCCACTCAAGTCGGAAAAGGCCTCAGAAGGCGCGGCACTTTCAGCGCTCATGAGCACGTCCATTTGGCTGGCATCCCCTCACGCCGGGGATGAAAATGCCGCCTCATGGCAACGACCAGCCCTCGCAAACCGCCAGCGTGCGACTTCATCAATAGACGGACATGCCAGAAGTCCCTCCGCGACAGGTCCAGCTGCCACAGAGAAAGCGGTCTTGGAAGCCGTCTTCGCTAAGGCAAATAAATTGCCCAAAGGTGATGCAGCAAGCTCTCCTCTTGCGGACAAGTTTCGCTCAGCAGCAGCATTCTCAATCGGGACTACTCTAGTGTCCTCGTTGTTTGCTGCTGCGGTATGGAAAGCGACAGCGTGGGCCTTTCCGTCCTCGAACGCCGCTCCTACAGCCATCATCGGCTTTGTCGGCATCTTGTATCTCTGCCATTCATATGTCTTTCAATGGCTTCTACGAGAATCTGAGGCGAACCTCCAGTCCCGAGTACGGGGAGCAACGGCTGCATTTCTCGAAAGGCCGCTCACGGCACCAGCTGAAATAGAGGCTGCACACTGGCTGAATGACATACTGGACTCCATATGGCCATTTATAAACCCGGACGTCTTCAAGTTACTCACGGACGTTATGGAGGCCACCATACAAGATAATTGTCCTCCGTTTGTCTCTGCCGTCAGTATTGAGAGCATGGGTCAAGGAGCACGACCAATCCGACTTCGCGGGATTCGTCGGCTTCCAAAGCAACCGCTTGGTGAGGACGAGGCTCCAACTTCTGGAGAGGTGTTCGACGACATCATTGCACTCAAGTCTGGTCTCAGATCAAGAGCTAACACAGTGTCCACGAATAGCAAGCGTGGTTCAGCTCAAGAGCTTAGAGACAAGCTTAAGATGCTCCGCGAGAGAACCTCTGTGCACATGGAGGTAGTCTTCGACTACGGATGTACGGAGCGAGACCAAGACAACCACAAGCGCATCCACTTCCTGCTTGCCTTCACTCTTGTTGGCGGGATTCGGGTGCCGGTCTGGGTTAATATGCAAAAGATTGTAGGCTGCCTCCGCGCTCGGGTACAGCTCAAGCCAGACCCACCCTTCGTCTCTACGAGTGTAATCTCACTCATGGGCAAGCCGGACGTCCAGTTCTCATGTCAGCCTCTTTTCAAAAGCAGCTTGAATGTAATGAGTATGCCACTGGTCTCCGACCTGGTCAGGCAGGCCCTTGACAAGGCACTCGCTGCCTATACATCGCCTCGAAGCATTAGCATCGACCTTGGCGCCATATTGGTCGGTGATGCGACCGCACAAGATGTCTCTCCGCTCGGAGCTATGCTCTTGAAGGTGCACCGAGTTTACGATGTCGAGTCGAAGTGGGCCGACGATGATCTTTGCTCCTTCCTCAGTGCTGGCTGGGCAAAAGAAGGGAATCCACTCTACATTTACCGCACGATCAACAATTGTACGTCGCCAAGATGGGAGGAGAATAGCGCGTTTACGATAGAGCCAGATGATGTCAATGCCCAGGAATCGTTGAAGATGGACTTCGTCAGAGTCGGCTCACTGGACAGTGAAGAATGCCTGGGATCCTTGCAAGTCCTACTCGCAGACCTTCTATCTACACCAGAGTGCACCGGAAAGATGCAAAGACGAAATGATACACTATTATGTCCAGAGGATCAGCATCCAGTGGCCAAGTTGGACTGGAGCATCGGCTTCTTCCCCAAGACACAGATCTCGCTAGAGCAGCTGAAACGGCAAACCATCTATCCTCCAGTCAAGAGCCGCGAGGAGTTTGAAACACGCATCGAGGAGCATGTTCGTTACAAATTTCGCGAAGCTCCTGATTGGGCTGAACAGGAATACGAGCGCGAGAAAATCGCATCAGTGCGAGAAGCGGAATTGAAAATCATGAACAGCCAGCCTCCGCTGCAAGACTATCCAAGTGGTATACTCCACGTGGAACTCCCATCGATGAACTTTCTCTCTGCTCTGAGAGCTTGCAGAGGAACAGAAGACTCTGAGGAGATGACCTTTGATGACGAGGACCCGGATGCGCCAACCTCGTATGCAAACATCTACATCAACCAATATCGATGCACGCGAACCCTTATCAAACCAAGAGACACCGACCCGGCTTTTGGCTCAATGGACCACCGCTTTGTGCGTGACTGGAGGACAGCTGAAATCATTGTCACCGTACGAGACAAGAGGTTTCACAAAACGGATACCTTGCTGGGGGCCGTCCGCATCACTCTCGCGGATCTCTTCCAACGGCATCAAGCCTCTCGAGTCCAGCTTGGCTTTCCAATCGAGGGAGGTGAGGGCTGTGGACTTGCGAACCTGACAGTGCTCTGGCGGGCCATCGAGATGAATCCCGCCCCTGCTATGAGATCCTGGCAATATGGGACACTGAAGATCAACGTGCCCATCTGCGATGATGGAGGCACGCTGGATGATCTCAAACACGGACCTCTAACAGTCTGTTCTGTTTTGGAGGAAGTCAAGCTATATCCCAACCACAATCTCAACCCTCTATCCAAGGATCCTCAGCAGCTAGCTTGGCTTCCCAAAGACAAACACAAGACCTCAATTTCCTTTCCGATCAAGAATAAGTACTCTGAACGCCTCCTCCTGGCCTGGATCTCCAAATTGCCCTGGAAACATGATAGATTCTCTGCTTATGCTTTCCTGAAGCTGGAGGACCTGGTGGAACACGAGGAGACGAGATTGAAGCTTCCAGTATACGCTTTCCATGGCAAGGGAAAGGATGTGCAAGAGCTGGAGAATGATCTCTGGCCTGAGACACATGCTGATAAAGTTCCTATGGGTTATGTCGAGCTAGAGATGATATTTCTGAGAGGGTTAACAAGTGAGCACGCGAAAACCATGAAGAGTAAGGACGTGGACGATATTATGGATGTGGTAGGGGCTCTGGGACCGAATCCTCAATTGACATTAGCTGGTTAAGGCGCTGCGGTGCAACCAAGGCGAAAACGACCAAGCAAGCAATGTTGCTGATGCAACGTCTTCTCACGGCGGAAGATTATTGCATTCCCCACGATGCTGCCATACTTAGGGCAACAGCGATTCGAATAGCACAAATTCAGCGGTAGCAGCCGGCGAGATAATCGTAGACAGATGCAGCTGCGCACAGACCTCACAGTCAGCTGCCGGTCACAGCCGAGCCGAGACTCCTTAGAAAACCACGGACGTGCTCTTGTCGACTCGGAAAAACAACAACACCGTCCACCCAACACTCTCGCAATGGCGACACTTCCCGATAGCGAGCGGACCGCTGCGCTTCCATTGACCTCGAGTGGCGAGGATCTCAAGGAGTATGTGCTCTCGAATTGTAACGAGCTGCCGGACTCTCAAATTGACGCGCATCACAGATACTACAACTCGCCCATCTTCTCGGATGTCGTCATCTGCTTCGACAACCGTCGAGTCTACGCGCACAAGATCATCCTCTCGCTGGCGTCTCCCTACTTTCGCAGCGCTTTCGCAGGCCTCTTCCGGGAATCCAGCTCAAAAGAAATGTCATTACACGACGACGACGATCACGAGGCTGTCGATGGAATGCTGAGACACATTTATGGCCTCGACCATGGCGCTGCCGCCCAGTCACCTGGTCCCTACTTCAGCCTCCGCATCTTTGCCGTGGCGGGCAAGTACGGTCTTCCGAAACTCCTGGATAAAGCAGTGCAGGAGGTGTGGCGCGAGCTCGAAACTGGCTGGGACATGCCTACGTTCGTGCCAATGGTCTACAGCATCTACGAGGAGGTTCCACGGCATGGCGGGCAGTTACGTGGGCTTGTGCAGGGAGTGTGCGTGAAACACTTTATGGATTTGATGCAGATGGAGGAGTTCGAGGAGATGCTGCTCAAGGTTCCAGACCTGAGTGTGCAATTGCTGAAGGTGTGCTACGGAGTGATGAGGGCAAGTCTGGACAACAAGGAAGAGGCGGTTCGGAGGGATCACGCGAACGAAGTTATGCGACGGCGTTGATAAGGATGTCAAGACCTTGCTGTCACGTGGTACGTTTGGTAAAGACAGCAACAGCATGTCACGCATGGCTGTGGTCTGCGGGTGCAGTCAAGGCCGTGCCTGACTGAGATGCTTCTCGACGCTTCGTCGGTACATCGAGATATTGGGGGCGACTTCAGCGAACGGTTGCCATCCAAAAAGCGGAGGCAACACGAAAAGGGCGGAGTTGGTCACCGTGAATACAACGGTCCATCGCAGACGAGTTCGACGTCCTTCTGCAGCGGAACGGCATTATCTTCCCGACAAGCATTCCGAAACTGAAGGCCACAGCGAGCCATGTAGCGCAACATCAGTAGTAGTAGTAGCCGTCGAGATAACCCTCTGACGCGTGAAGCCGCTACTTATTCACGCCCTTCTCCAACCTCTCCCGATCCGTCCCCTCGCCCATCTTCCAATCCCTCCCAACCCTCCTCCCCATCGCGCGATTCAGAATCCACTGCTTCGCCGTGATCCCTTCCTCTTCTCCATCCCCTTGCCTCTCCTTCGCCTCCTCAATCATCGCACTCCCCTCCAACCCCCTCAACAAAACCTCATCCCCAGGCCGATTGAAATACACCAAACTCAACCTCACCTCCCCACCCTGCTCCCCGGGCGGATTCACGACCCGATGCAGATTACTCCTCAGAATCCCGCGTGTGAACTTCACCATCGCATCGCCCAGATTCACGACGCAATGTCCGCGGAGGGGTTTCACGTATGCCCAAATTTCTTGCTGGGGATGGGGCAGGAGGACTTGCAGGCCGCCGAGACGGTTGAAGAGGATCGTGACGGAGCCGAAATCCGTGTGCCCGCCGAGAGCCGCGGCGCGGTCGCCGGGCGGCTGTGGAGGGGAGCGTACCCAGCGGACTTGGTCGCCGCTGGGGTTGTCGAGGCGGTGGATGTTGGGCAGAGTCTCTGGGGGGAGGCCGAGTTTGTCGTTGAGGCGGTGCAGGAGGAGGGTCACGAGGGCGTGGGAATGGAGGATGTAAGTTTTCAGTTTGGCTCTGGTTTCTGCTTTTTGGAGGATGGGAGGGTTGGGGAGGGGGGCCTTTAGGAGCCCTTTTTGATCAAGAGGTTAGCAGCCATTCTCAACTGCGTCGAAGGAAGAAGAAGATGGATTTTTGCTTTGGGAGAAGAGAGGCAGGGACGGACCGAGTATATCATCCCGACTCACATTCCAAAACTCATTCCGATCCCTCGTACCTTCCTGATCCACAACTCCCTTCCCATACCCTTTATACCCGAAATAACTCCCCTGCTCGACGAAATCATACTTCTGCTTCTCTTCCACGGGGAGCTCAAAGACACGATCCGCCAATTGGAATAATTCATCCGCAGATTTCAGCAGAGCATCCCCTTCTTCTTCTTCTTCTCCTTCTTTTCCCCTCAAATCCAGGTAGAAGAATCCGAATTCACAGCATGCTTTCCAGAGTCTTTCGATTTCTTCCAGGTTTCCTTCTTGGATGCTCTTCAGGTTGAGGCGCAGGAGCGGCACGGTGGGGACGTCGTCGGGGAATGGCGGCAGGTCTTCGAAGTCGAGCTCTTGCTCTGCTGTCGGTTGGTGTTTCGTGGGTCCAATGGATCCCATGGTGATTGCTTTGGGAATGATCGGGAAGATTGTGGAGGTAGGAAGGCTAACACAAGGAGTCTATTCTAGATGAGTTCGGGTCGGCGGGTCAGCCTTCTATAATCAAACTCGAGACCCATATCCTCGGTGGTGCCGTCCTGCAGAACATACGTACCGACCCCGCCTGGAATGTACTAGTAGCGCGACAGAGGTACGAAGCTGGGCACGAGGTGAGCTTGACTAAACCGTAATCGAACCTCACCATAGACATCTTCATCCAAACTAGTAGCAATGCGTCCGTGCAGAGAGTGAAAGTAGAAGACAAGACGTACGTATTCACATTCTGTCCAGACTATCTACCCACTTCAATCATCATCCATACAACATCCGTTTGCGCGGAGAACCCCATAGTTCATGACGCATTTCCCTCTCGTTGCAACAAAAGACATTCGATTCAAGGTACATCAAGAAGATGAGGTTCCCAAGGTAGCCTCCCGGAATGACTTTTGCGTTGGTGACATTACGCTATGCACTTCATGTACCATATCATACTGCTAACAGTCAGTGACAGCAACACCGGGTCCGCGACAGTGATGACATACAGTTCGAAATTTACAGCCTGCTTCCGTGGACGACCTTGTAGTCGACAGCGAGCTCACGGCCCTCATCGCTGATGACAAGGACACGAACACTGCCACGGCCGTTGTTGAAAGCATCAGTCAGGCGGTTGAGCAGGCTGCTCTGGTCGAGGACGGGAAGGCCTTGCTTGACATCGCCAGTCTCCGTCATGGCGACCACGCGGCCATCGTCACGGATGTCCAAGACACGGTACTGCTTGAAGACAGGGCCGATCATGTTCTGGACAACGACGGAGGGGCTTGGGTTGCTGACGAAGGAGGACTCTTCATGCAGCTGCTTGGTGAAGAGGTCGACGCCCAGGTATCGGTGCTGGCCAGTCTGTGCGGAGGTGGTGATACGGATGACCTGGCATGGGCGGCCCTGGAGGATGAGGAGATCACCGATGCGGATGTGGTGGCATGGGATCGTGATGGTGTTTGGAGCACCCATGGCTGGACGACGAGGAGAGTACTCGCGCTCGGAGTAGCGGGGAGCAGTTACTTGGACTTCGCGGTCACGGACGGTGATGTCCTCCTCACGCTCAACAGCGGGACGGTGGTGGTGTTCGTGACGCTCGTGGCTCTCGAACGGGTGCAGGATGCGGTCGGCAGCGCGGTGCAGACCGTGACGGAAAGAGTGGTAGTGGCCGTCTTCGTCGTAATATCCCATGTCACGTTTGTGTCGGCGACCTTCGCGTGGCTCGTCGACCGTGCGTTCCTCGACTCTCACTTTTTCGTCGAGGCGGACAGGCTCACGCTCAGCAGGGTAACCTTCAACGGGATAGTCGCGTGGGTAGGTGGACTTGTCCTGCCAACCACGAGAAGCTCTGTACTCCTCGGTGAATGGGGTGGTGCGGTCACGGAAGTCCCTCTCGGCGATGTCGATGCGGGAGTCGACGTCGATCTGAGTGGCCGGAGTGTGACGAGTTGGGTACTCGCGGTCGTAGTCGCGGTCCTGTACGTCGATCTGAGCGTCGGTGTAACGCTGGTAGGGCTGGCGGTAGCTATGCAGGATCCAACGTCAGTGACAAGGACGATCAATGGCAGCTAGAAAGATGCTGCTGTGGTGTGTTGATGCTGATGAGGTGCAGGGAAGGACGGTGAAGGAAGTGGATCGCGGTTTCCCCGACGACAACACCCCAGCAGGCGCTAGGGCCGTAGCGTGTCTGCCAAGCGCGCTTCAGGGGGAGTTATGTGTTGTGAGGTCAAGGGAGCAACGGGCAACGGGCAGGGGGCCTGAGGCTCCGAAACACCCGGGTGAAGCGGTGGGAGTGATGGTGGTATGGTGTAGATGGAGGCAGGCAGTTTGAGGTGACAAGCGTGAGAAGCTGGGAAATACTCACCGCGGGCGGTCAACTTCTACGTCAACACGGGTGTCGACGCGGTCCTGCTCCTGATGGCGACCGGCTCCAATGTAGCGTTCGTCGTTGCGAACGCGAATGTCGTCACGGATGTCCTCACGGAAGTCTTCTTCTCTTCTCTCACGACCAGCACGTCTGTAGCGGTCTTGTTCGGTGATGCGTACGTCCTCGCGGTAGGTACGGCCGTCTCGACGGGAAGGGCCGGCCTGAGAGGTGAATCGCTCTCGTCGATCTTCCCGTCCAGCGCCTTGGACGGTGACACGCTCGTCAGTCTTGACTTCAGATGATTCGGAAACCTCTTGGTTCCTGTAGGACGACGGAAAGACGCTGAACGGGACTCTGCGGGATGCGTCAGTACATGTAGGGACGCGTCGAGATGGGCGTCTGTCTACTCACGGAACTCGGGCGTCGTAATCCAGCGTGGCGAGCTATGTGCTCGACTTGTAGGCCTCCCAAATCAACGAGATGGAAGACAGACAAGCAGAGCCAATTTTATGGGGTGCAAGTCAGAGGTGTCTTGAGTGGAGGGAAAGAAGAGATGCCAGCTCGCAACGCAGCTCACTCTTGTAGCGGGCCAATGGCTGGTGCTTCGGGTGGGGCGAGGGCAGACAACAATGCGTGTGTTTTTGTGGGCGGACGAGGGTGCTGGCGTGAGAGGGAGAATCGTTGCAGTGCTCGCTTGGTGGTTGCTGGGTGCTTCACTGGCTGTGCTGGGCTGGTGATGATGAGATGGTGAAGGGGGGAGGGGGGGTGTGAAGGGGATGGGCGCGACTTGTCTGTGCTTCTTATGCAGCCAGCCAATGGCGAAATGTGTAAACACACTAGCAACCACGGCAACCGCCAACCAACGATATCTGCCCCCCCTGCCTGCCTGCTTGCCAGCCACCGTTGCCTCGCATGCATTATTGCTCCCGCCTGTATTATTTCTCTCGTCACTCCAACAGCCTCGGCATCGCCATCAGTCGCAAGCTGAGAGAAAGAAAACATTGAGCTCTGATGGATACGGGTCACGTGCATCCCAATCTTGGGTCTCGCCAGCAAGTGTGAAGCTCCGAGCAAGACCAGCATCAGCCCTCTCTCCACATGCCCAATGCGAAATGCGACCCACCGGCCACCTGGTCACCCTTCATTGGCGCGATCGAGCTCTTCGCCATGCCCACTGTGCACTGCTGCTGCCTCTCGTTGCCCAAAAGAAATAATGCCCAAGGAGCCCATCATCCTCCCACGCAGCGACGCCCTGTTGTCCAGCAACACGCGTTCAGCTCCGAGCTGTCTGCACTGCAGGCATGGGGCGCGGAAGCAAGCCCTGCGCATCCCATGCGAAGCTCCACTAGCGCGTTAGCAACGCGAGGCTGGCACGGCTGGGGTCATTCACTCAACGACAGGGTATCCGCCTGCTCCCAACCACCGGCATTTTGGGCTGACTCGCCCTCGCTCTCTCACTACTCTGGAGCTCTCCTCTGCACACGTGATACAGCGTGGAAACTCGTATGCAGAACCCACAATCGAAGGGACGTTGCTGACACATCGAGATTCCAGCAGTATTTATTGACGCCCTCACACAACGACTGCAAATGGAAGGAAATCTCGGAACGTACGGTTCTCAGCCCTGGAATTGTACGTCTGGGCGTGGAACAAGCAATGCCTAATGTCTCCAAAACCTCTGTCGTCAATGCTGGTCGCTTAGTCGGATCGCAACACTCCCAAATCTACGAGCGGCTTCACTACGAACATCACCTCTTACTACGCACCAGTGTGCTGCTGAGGCGTAGAGACCCGTGCTATTTGCGGATGCTGCGGCCTTTCGTCTGCATTCAAATGACAGGTCCTGGCCTTTCGGTCGCTTGATACAGACATGCGTTCGTGCGGCACAGCGCTTCGGCACTTCAGCACAGCTTCTGTCTCCACTTGAACATATCTCTACTACTGCGGAACGACATTTCGAACAAGTGAGTTGGTAGACAAGTTATACCATCAAGTCTCTGATCAATCAAGTCTTGGATGCGTAGACAGGATATTCTCCCAGAGGACAATCTTATACGACACATCGAACATCCAGCGAACGGTCTTCGCATTCAGTCGAGGCTATGTCGACATGCAAAATGCTTGTAAGAGGCTTAGACGTACTGCTGAGGCGAGGCGAGGGTGCTGCGACCAGTGTATTCACCGTCGAAGGCCGCGCGTGGATGATGAATGTAAAGGCAGGTCCTTCTCATGTTTTGTTTTCTCTACATTGATCATCTCCTGCACTCTTCCTCTCTCACTCTTTCACAACCCGAACAACAGCCAACATGGCCACCCTCGTTACGGAGTGGGATGCATTCCAGCTTCTCCAGATCAAAAATCTTGACACCCACACGGTCACCTGTGTTGGATACGCGCCTTCTAAACGCCGTCGCTGCCAGAACCCAATCGCGCAACACAACCGAATGGCAGCCAACGAGATTTTGCAAAAGCTGCCCAGAAGAGCGCTGGACCAGGATCATCTCTACACTCATCTCGAACGTCTTGCAGGACTCTTGCTATGCAGACGAAACCATCAGGATCAAGCCTGCACTGTTGCCACGGAGTGGCACAGAACCGTTATCTCGCAGGTGAACGGAAGACACCGTCACTACAGCGCCACCAACCGCATTTATCGCAACTGCACCCTTCAAGCCTTCAAGACGGAACAAACCTCTAGTTGCGATGATGACTGGCAAGAGGAGATTTCTCGACTGCAGCGTGAGCTGGAGGAGGCAAAGAGACGACAGCGAGCGGCGAATGCCCAGAGAGCGTACGAGCGCCAAGAGGAAGAAGCCCACCGACAAGCCCGCCGAGAGCGAGACCAGAAAGATGTAGAAGAACGGCGAAAGCCCGTGCAGGAGGAAGCTCGACAAGAAGAAGCCCGTCGAGCCGAGGGGGGCCGTCGACAGCAGCAGCAAGAACAATCTAGTCGGGCAGCAGAAGCTCGCCAACGCCGGGAGCAGGAAGCGCGTGCCAAAGCCCAGCAGAACGACATTACCTGGTCAGAAGCATGGCGCCGCTACGAGCAGCGCTGGCTCGAGATCCGCGAGATGAGCGAGGAAGATCTAGCCAAAATCTCTTCCGGTTCTCTACATTGGCCGGTCAAATCTGGCAAATTCCAAGACGTTAACGAAGCCAACGTCGAAGCTTTCCTCCGGAACGCCTCAGATGATGTGTACAGTTGTAGGGAGGCATATTTGAAGGTCCTCAATGGGCAGAATCTACGTTGGCACCCGGATAAGATTGGTCGCTTCTCGGGCTTGAGGGGCGATGATATTTCAGAGGCTCTTTTCACACTCGTGGCGCAGGTTATTAATCGCGAACGTGATGCAAGTAGGCTGAAGTCGAGGTTGTAGTTCGAAGCCGCCCGGGCGGTCATCACGTGGCCCTGAGCCCGACATGCATAATCCATACATACCCAGTGCATATATTTTGCATAAATCCCATCTCTGACCTTACTCCATCGACCAAAGTCAACCCCATCAATGTTACCTACCCGCTCTTTGAACATTTCAACAGCCAGCACTTCACAGCTTTCCCAGTCTTCTTCACGCTCATAGCCGGACTTCATTGACAGAGAAACCAGCTTCGTGATCTAAGACAACTCGCCCGAGCTTCCCAAGATGAACATCTCCACCTGCTCCTTCTTACCCCGCGCATCTCGGGATATACATCATTGTGCTCTGCATGCTGGATGCGTGAGAAATCCATCATAACTACGCAAGTAGTCTCCATCTTCTGCTCATCTCACTCCTTTCCTCCCCCCATTTTCGCCACCAAAACTCTCATCCAACATGTCTAACAAGATCCCCGACTTCGACGAACTTCCCGAGGTCAAGGGCATGCCAAAGGGCACCGCCTGGGGCGTCTGGGACAAGAATGGCAAGAAAGATGTCTACGGGACTCTCAACCTGCTCACGCCAGAAGTCATCAAAGCGGCATATGCTGAAGCCCGTGATGGCGTTCATGTCTCCCTGAACTGGCCCATAGGAGCAATCAAGACGCCTGGCTTCGGACGCAAGGGACTCGTGCATAAAGTGTTCTCCTTCGTCGATACTCCGCTGGCTTGCCACGGATATGACGACGAAATCGAATTCAACACCCAGGTGAGTACAAGGCCCCTCTCCATCTGTGGCACGGCGGCCTGCTTACCTTGACATAGTGCTCGTCCCAGTGGGACAGCCTGATGCATTTCCACCACCAACCAAGCCAATCCGGCTGGAACGGCACCAAGACCACCCCAGCAGCCCTCAAGCAGGACTACGACGACGATCAAGATTCCAAAACCGAACTCCCCACCCTGAACCACTGGCATGACCGCGGCGGAATGGTAGCCCGAGGAGTCCTGATCGATTTCAAAAAGTATGCCCAGGAGACCGGGCGGAAATTCGACTGTTTCAACGACGACAAAATCACCGTGCAGGACATCGAAACCATCGCGAAGAAACAAGGCGTCGAATTCCGAGCCGGAGACGTCATCATCATCCGTTCCGGGTTCACGGAGGAGCTCTCGAACATCTCCGGCGAAGAACAAGCCGCCAAGATGGGCACGCATCGGGTCTGTGGTGTCACGGGAAACGTGGCGACGGCGAAATGGTTCTGGAATCAACACTTCTCCGCCGTGGCCGGGGATATGATTGCCTTTGAGCACATCCCGCCTCTGCGGGAGGATGGCAGCGAAGGCGCGGTCAGTGAGTTGGTCTTGCATCAATGGTTCCTGGCACAATTCGGCATGTCCATCGGGGAGCTGTGGGATTTGAAAGCTCTGAGTGAGACTTGTGAGAGGCTGGGGAGGTATTCGTTTCTGTTGACGAGTGTGCCGTTGAATGTTCCGGGAGCTATTGGGAGTCCGCCCAATGCGTTGGCGATTTTCTAAAACGTGCGTGTGCTTTTGAGGTTGTGCTTGCAGGAGGCGGAAAGGTGAATGTGTATGGTTAGTTGTCTCAGGCAGAAAGTTATAGCATTCCTTGTCCAGGCTGAGTAGGTCACACAGCAGACATACAGCGATTTCGATAAGTCGATGATGTCGACACACTTTACTATACAGGTGAATCCAGTGCTTCTTCGACCTCTAATCCACGAAGACTTTCCAATCAATCGGCGGAACGACAGGCACGAAAGCCACCGTAACTCCACGGCACCCAAATCTAACTCCCCAGAGACTCCTTAAGCTTCATCACAGTCGATTTGGGTGACTCCACAAAACAAAAGACATTCCTTTGCATGCGAAAACGCAACACTAGACGCAGAATCTGCTCTAAAGGTCCAGTCCAGGGAGCAGTAACCGGCATAACTTCGTCTTGCAGTGAATAAGAAGCGGAATGGCGGGAACGGCGTGTGGAGGGACAAAACTGAATCCTTCGAAGGCGCTTTGTGACGAGAGGGAGGTTTTGTTGTTTGTTCTGGTTTCGCGATTTGGTAGGAGCTAAGAGTAGATAGATAGTGCCTAGGCCTGGGAGTCGGAAGAGTATCTATTGGGAGAAGAGGAATCGTTGAAAAGCTGCGCCAGAATGGAGGGCCGGCCGGCCGGCAGGGAGGAGGGAGGGAGGCTGAGTGGTTACCTACACCACCCGCAGGAAGAGATGCATACGAGTGGAAGACATCATGATCATTTACAGTATTGATATGGTCAAAAGACCCTGAGTCACCGCTCCTTGTAACTTTTCAAATCTCTAGTCTCCATCCGGATAATGCCATGGTTCGAGACCTCTCAGCACATGCCTTCGCAGCTCCGGATTATCCATAAGCAACAATCGATGCCGGGTTCATCTGGCAAATCAGTGAGTGCTACTCCCACGACGATAAGTGTTTGTAAACGTGGAAATTGCCCAAGGTTGGCCTAGGCCCAGGATCTCCAATGGGAACTCCATGGATCCGCCAGAAATATGAGCCGTTTGCGAAGAGCGACGAGAAAATGGACCCATATATCGGATTCCACGAAAACTTGATGGACGTTGCTTTTCGTCTCACTGTGGACAGCGCATTCCCAGGCGAGAAGGCGGCAGGAAAGAAAGGGAATTCACCAATCTGACATTGGTCGTATGCTCGCGAGGGTGTGTCATCCTGAGTCCGTTTCACGTGCTAGAAAGCAAGCGGCTGACAATGGACCGTGTCTGGGATCGGAGTCGGAGGAGTACTGGAAATACTGATAAGCAAGTTAAAGGCATGACGGCACCAAGTGGTCATGGCCAGATGCTCGTTCAACTTGGCCCTATCTGCAATCAACCACCACTCCAGACAAATCTGCTGTACCTCTGAAATCATTTTGTTTTACCTGACCCCAACCAACGCCACGCTAACAACGCACAATTCTGAACTTCAAAATCCACGCTCGTAAAGAGCCCTACTTTCGGGCATACTCTTTCAGGATGCCCGTCATGTGCGAGTTGGTAAGCTTGCCACCTCGTCGATTGGGCTTCTTGCGCTCCCTCCTCCTGCCGTCGTTCTTCTTCATCTCCTTGACCTGACTCGTTGGTGTGATACCAGCCTTGTCCAGCTCCGCGCGCACTTCTCCTTCGGACGCTGGAAGCTTGGTCTTGGCCCAGAAGTCTTTGAAGTCCTGATCAATTTGAAGATGATAACCCGGCGAGTCTGCGAATACCGTCTTCGGCGTGTTGTCCTTCTTCTGCGAGACGTTAGATACGGCATGTTCTGGCTTCAAACCATTCTCGCTACTCACATTGCGAATGACCAACACAGCACCTTCCTCCTCGAGCTTGTCAATGGCAGTCAGACAATTTGGCCAGCCGTCCTTCAGCTCCTTCACCATGATGCCGCGCGCGCTGGATTGGCGCGCGAGATAGTCCTTCAACTCTTCCGAGTTGGTGACCGGATGCTTGGGACGGTATTTGAAGGTATCCTTTGCAGCGCCCCGTGGGCCCTTTGGGATGAAGGTCACTTGCTCATGACCCTCCAAGCCTTTGCGTATATTATTCTCGACATTGGCGCCGGCATCGTTGGGGAGCGAGAGGTGACGGATGATCTCCTCGAAGGGGAGAGCCTGCGGGCTCTTCGATTTGAGGTAGTCGATCGCAAATTTGACGTTCGTGAGGATCTCCCGACCGGCGCCACCCATCGACATGCTGGGCGCTGTGGGAGCAGGGGCACTTGAGAAAGCAGCATCGCGGTCTCGTTTGGTTCCAGCGTCGGCTTGCGGTGTGGAAGTGCGCGCGGGTGCGTTTGGTGCTGGGCGCGAGTGACCGATATTGCGAGAAGCTGCGTCTGCGCGCTCTTGCTTGAAGCTAGCGAGTTTCGACTGGAGCGACATTTTTGCGAAGGGAAGAAGTCGTAGTGATATAAGGAAAGGCGTCCAGGCAGTTACGTGTAGCTGGATGAAGGGGCCTAGAGTGTTCAGTCAAGAGCTCCAGGCCGGAATTTTCGACGTCACGGTTGTCCTCGGGAATATGTGTCGTGCGTTACAGCAGGTGACACTGATCTGTGCTCTCCACTAGTCTCGCAGTAAGTGAATGTCGACAGTCACCGCAAAGTGTCGTGAAGAAGTGAAGAACTGGTGAGGGCCGCAGGTTGCAAGTCGCAGTCAGCTGGATGCGGAAGTGACGAGCGTAGTGGCCCGTGCGACTCCGCAACTAGCAGTCGCGATTCATTGCTTTCAGAAGCTCACGAACAAAAACACGACTTTGATCCACGCGACAAAGAACTTCATCTCTCCGTTCTTTCGCTGGGACATTCCCTGTCCACACCCCGACATGGTGTAATCGGTCGCAAACACCATCAGCCACCATGAGGACCCGCGCGCAGGGCACCGATCCGTCGGCCGTGGACGTGGCCTACCTCGCTACAACATACGGCGTGCCCGAAGCCGACCTACGGACACTCCTGACCGAGCCGACGACAGAACTCGTTCAGAACCTCCTCGTGTCACTCACCACCAAGGGGGAGGAATTCGATGCCTTGAGAGCCGACAAAGTCAGGATTGAGGTGGAGTTGGAGAACACTGTCCGAACATCTGAGACCAAAGTAAAAGCCCAGAAGGCCGCCGTCTCTCGCCATGCAAAGGAAATCGAAGAGCTGAGGACGAAGTTAAATGAGGCTGATGCCGCACGAGAGGCTCTGTCATCTGAGATTGAGCAGTTGCGTTCGTCGACCACCGGTTCTACCGCAGAGACAAAAGCCCTGAGACAACGCATCGAGACCCTCGAGGCCTCCAACCGCGATGCTTTGGCTCTGGTCGAGAGCAAGTCGACCGAGAAGGACCGTGTCGCTACCGAACTGTCTGAGCAGCACTCCAAGCTCCTGGCACTCCGTCGCGAAGTCAGCCAGCTGGAAGAGCGTAACCAGACATTGGAGAACGCCGTGTCATCGCAGAAGTTCAAGGAGCAATCGCTGCAGCAAGAGATCGATCTGCTGAAGCGAAACAACGAGTGGCACTCGAACGAGCTACAGACACGCAACCAAGAACATGCCAAGTTCCGCAAGGAGCGGAATGCCCGCATCTCAAACCTGGAGCGTGAACTGGAGGAGAGCAACGCCTCAGTGGAGACCCTGAAGCGCTCCGAAGTGACGTTGAAGAAGAGACTGGAGGAGCTGCAGGCCAAGGTCGACGAGACCCTTGCCAGGAATGCCACTTTGGAAGGCGAGACGATGAAGAGGGAGGAAGACTTCCGGACAGAGCTCACTTCTGCCAAGCGGCTCGCAGACCTTCAAGCACAGAATGCCGCCACCCACAAGGCTCGCTCGTTGGAGCTGCAGAACGAACTGGATGAGGTAAGGGACGACATTCGCGAGGAGATTAGCCGTCTTCAGACCGAGATTGAGACCGAACGTATGGACAAGGAGGAAGCCGAGCGCAAGTTCGCCGAGCTCGAGCTCAAGTATGAGGAGCTTGAGCGGCGTGCGCCGCGACTAGGTACACCGAGACGTAATGGCGGCCTGGACCCTACGACACCTGGAAGAAGCGGTTCGCGCGCGGGCTCACCATCAGCTTTGCCTGGTTCAATGCGGAGATCTGTTGGCGGAGTAAGCTATACTCAACTGTACTCTCAATACACTCAAGCTCAGGAAGAGCTCGTGGAAGCGAGACGACGTAATGATCATCTCGCCTCTACCCTGGATGAACTGCTCGGGGACATCGAGCAGAAGAAGCCGGAAATGGAAGAGCTGCGCGCAGATCAGGAGCGCCTAGAAGAAGAAGTGCTGAATCTGTCCCAACTCTTCGATGAGGCAAATGAAGGTCGGAGACGTGCCCTCGAAGATGCCAATGAGATGCGGCGTAGCGCGGATGCTGCGGCCAGCAGGCAGAAGATCCTTGAGCAGCAGTGCCGTGACCTTTCTGCTCAAGTTAAGATACTTCTTGTGGAAGTCCAAAGCCGCGATGAAGGCCTGGGCGAACTGTCGGCGGAAGAGCGTCTCGAGCTTGAGCGTGCTGCTCGTGGTGAACTGGAAGACGGTGCTCTGGATGGCATGACAGATACTGGGCGTCTCATCTCAGAACGACTCGTCATTTTCCGCAACGTGTCGGAGTTGCAATCGAAGTTCCAGGACGCATTGGAGGTGACACGGAGACTAGGCGATTCGAAGGAAGCCCTCGAAGCCCTGGAGCAACAGGCAGCTGAGAAGACGCGTGAGACGGAAGAGCTTCGTCAAAGCGTCAAGCGCTACGAAGAAGAGCTGAAGGCAACCATGACGCAAATCGAGAGCTACGTGAAAGAACGAGACATGTTCCGTCGCATGCTCCAACACCGCGGTCAGATTGCTCCGGACGCAGATCTGCAGTCCTTGTTTGGACAGAGCATGGGTCCGGCGACGCCCCAGCGAAACAGCATGGCACCCCCGGCCACTCCGCGCACTCAGGATGCTGAAGACTTCAACAAACTCATCCGAGATCAACAGAACGTCTTCGATCAGTTCCGGAACGAATGGAACACGGACCGCCGCACCCTCACCGACCAGATTGATGCGCTTGTCCGGGAAAAGAGCTCACTACAGGCTCAATTCGCTCGCTCCGATTCTCAACGCACCCTGTCCGAGGAGCGCTACAAGATGTTGGAGTCGAACTTCAACGCTCTTCGCAACGAGAATGGAGAGCTGCAGAAGCGCTCACAGCATCTTAGCGAGCAAGCAGCTAAGCAAGATCTACGTACTCAGCAGGTTGCCGAAGAGCTAGTGGAAGCTCGATCCATGGCAGACTCTCTTCGCAATGAGAATGCCAATGTCAAAGCCGAAAAGGATCTCTGGAAGCGCATCGAAGCACGCCTAACGGAAGACAATAAGACTCTCATGGACGAGCGCAGCCGTCTCAACAAACTGGTTGCGGACCTTCAAAATCTGCAGAACGAGCGCGAGTTGGCCGACTCTGAATCACGTCGGCGCCTTCAAGGTCGCGTTGATGCCCTGGAGACTGAGCTCAGCGAAACGCAGAACAAGCTCAAGGCTGAAGTTGAGGAAAACAAGACAGCAGCCCAGCGTCGCGAGTACCAGGAGAACCAGAATCGAACTCGTATCGATGACCTGGTGAAAAGTCTCAGTCATGTGAGAGAAGAACTTGTCGCAGCCAAGACAACCCGTGATCAATTGCAATCTCGCGTCGACGAGATGAAGATCGAGCTTCGCTCGGCCGGGGAGAAGGTTGCAGCGCTTCAACCTCGCCCAACACCGCGCACAGAGCCACAGCAATATGGCGCTCAGCCGACGAATGGTGACGATGGAGACCTGTCACCAGAGCAGCGCTTGGCACTCGAGGCATCAGAGCTTCGACGCGACCTCGAGCTGACAAGATCCGAGCTCGAGAATGCAAAGCAACAGGTTGAGCAGTATCGATCGATTGCACAAACCACGGAAGAGGAGTTGGCGTCGTTCAATGAGACCTCGGATCAATATAAAGAGGAGACTGACCGCGAATTGGCGGAGAAAGATTCCAAGATCAAGGAGCTCGAGCAGCGCATCGGGGACTTGGTTTCAGAGCTGACGAGCACTAACAACGAGCTGTCGGAGCTCCGCACCAAGGCCGACGACAGCGGTCGTGTTCTTGCCGACCAGAAAGCTTCGTACGAGGCAGAGCTGTCGCGTCTGCGTGACGACGTGGAGCGCCACGGCGAGGAGAAGAAGCTGTTCCAGGAAGACATCACGGCGCAAGCCGAGATTGCTCAACAAGCGCAGCAAAGCTACGAGGACGAATTGGTAAAGCATGCTGAGGCCGCTAGGTCCCTACAGTCCGTCCGGAAAGAATACAACGAGCTCCGTACCGAAGTTGCCGGACTTCGAGCTGAAGCTGAAGCGGCCAAAGCCAGCTTGGAACAGAACGAAGAGAGCTGGGCGGAACAACGCGCACGGTTCGAGACCGAGCTCGAAGAGGCCAAGCGGAAGCGTCACGATGTCGACGAGCAGAACAAACTCCTGCATCAGAACTTGGATGCTTTCTCCAACGAGCTTGCCGCACTACGACAAGGACGCACTGTGGAAGGCGGCCGTGAAGGCACGCCGTCCGGCGAAGAGAATCAGCAAGAAATCATTCGCTACCTCCGCCGTGAGAAGGAGATACTTGATGCTCAGTACGAAGTCGCCATGCAAGAATCTCAACGCTTGCAGCACCAGCTTGACCACGCCAAGAGCCAGCTAGAAGAGGCGCGAGAGAAGCTTACCGAAGAGCGCCGTCAATCTGCCAACAAAGAGCACTCTGAGGGAAGCACCAACAAGCTTGCTCAAACCATCAACGAACTGAATCTTTTCCGGGAATCTGCAACTACTCTTCGCAATGAGGCTCGACAAGCTCGCGAGAAGCTCGAAGAGAAGAGCAGGGAAGTGGAGCGTCTTGTTGCTGAGATGGAGCCTCTCAAGGGTCGCGTTGGTGAGCTGGAGGGAGAGCTGGAGAGCAAAGAAGGCGAAATGAAGCTCCTTCAGGATGATCGCGATCACTGGCGCGAGCGTACCCAGAACATCATCAGCAAGTACGACCGTGTAGATCCAGCAGAGATGGAAGAGTTGAAGAAGCAGTTGGAGGAACTCAAGGCTGAGAAGGCCCGCCTCGAGAACGAGCGGGCACCTATGCAGGAGCAAATTGCTGGGTTTGACTCTCGGTTGGAGAGCGAGAAAGCCACTGCGACTCTTGAGCTTCGCGAACGTCTCGAGAAGTTCAAGACGCAAGCGAAAGAACAAGATCGCAAGCGTTCAGAAAAGATTCGAGAAGTCAATGGTGAGAAAGAGGGACTTGCAAGTGAGCTTGAGAAAGCGAAAGCCAGCCTCGAATCCGCCAATACCGAACTGCAACAAACCAAGACTGCCCTCGAAGCTGCCAAGGCCAAAGCAGACGAGGCTGAGGAGGGCCAAGTTCAGGAAGACGGGACTGCTGTTACTGGCGAAGATCATGCGGCTCTGCACGCCAAGATTGCTGAAGCTCAGGCCAGTGCGGCCGAGCACGCCAGCCGTGCAGAAGCCCTCAACACCCAAGTTGAGCAGCTCCAGGCACGTGTCCAAGAACTCGAGGGTCAAGTTGGAGAGCTACGGCAGCAACTTGAGGCAGCTCAAGCAGGGGCTTCCTCTGGAGATGCTGCGGCTCCTCCTGTGGACAATTCAGAAGCTTTGGAAAATCTGAGACAGGAACTCGCAACGGCTCAGCAGGAAGTCGAGGCGCTCCGCGCGAATTCCACCTCAGCAACGGTTAATGACCAAGCCGAACCAGGCCGAAAATCGATCGCAGATCAAGTTGCGGAGGAAGTTGCCAAAATCCGTGCCGAATTGGAGCAGCAACATGAACTTGCCAAGAAGCAACTGGACGAGAAGTACCAGAAGAAGATCGAAGGAGCGAGGACACAAATGGCTCAGAAGCTAAACGCTGAGCGAGAGGAACAGCGTCAAAAGCTGCGAGCAGAGATCTTGGTCGAGCAATCTCAAGAGATGCAGAGGCTTAGAGACGAGCACGCCGCTGCAATCGAGAGGCTCAAGTCTGACCACCAGGCAGAGATCGAGCGTCTGAAGAGCGAAGGCAGCGTTGCCATCGAAAAGGCTGAGAGCGCCGAGGCGGTCAAAACCGAAGCACCTGCTGAAGGCTTCGACGTCGCGACATTGCAGCTAACAGATGCTCAAGTGCGCGAGATGATCAAGAGCAACCCACCGGTCAAGCAAATCTTCACGCACAACCTACGTTCGCAGATCGAGAAGCAGACTGAGAAGCTACGAGCTCAGATCGCTGCAAAGGATGAAGAAATTGCGAAGCTGAAGGAGGCCCTTGAGAAGGCACCTTCAGGCAAAGGTGGCGAAGTCAATGGTGATATGGTATCCCGCGAAGAGCTTGAGAAGCAGTTGGAGAATGCCAAGAAGGAGAAGGAAGCTGCGATTCGTCAGACGCAGGATCAAATGGAGAAGAAAGCCAAAGTGCAGTTGTCCTCCAGGGACGTCGCTATGGCTAAGATTAGTGCCATCCGGAAGATAGTGGCCGAGACACCCGACAAGCCCGTGAAAGAGGCTTGGACGGAGGCAGAGAAGGCTCGTCCCACTCCAGCAAAGCCTGCGCCAGTCGCTGCTGCCAGTGGTTCCGCTGCCAGTGGTGGTTCTGCTCCAGCGCCTTCTTCGCCCGCGACTGCTAAGCACGCAGGCGCTCCTGCTTCGCCAGCTCCGACTGGTGCTTTTGGACAGCCCTCTCGTCCAGCTGGCGGTCCGCCGAACCCCAAAGCAACCGAATTCACACCTGCCACGAGCACGAGCGAAAACAAGAATCAGGCGCAGAACAAGCCAGCCGCTGCACCCGCCCAGCCTCGGAGTGCCTCGCAATCAGGCATTCCAGCACCGGGCGGCGCGGCAGCAGGCAGCAAGCTTCCTCGTGCGCCGAGCCGCCAAGGTAGTATGGGCGGAGCTGGAAGCGGCATCCAGGGAGCCGCACAGAACCAGCAAGGTGGAGGTCAGCGTGGCGGTAACCAAGGTTCTGGTCTTCCTCGTGGCGGAGGCTTCTCTCGCGGCGGCCGCGGCGGTAACCGAGGTGGTACACTGGCAAATGCGGGTCAAAAGCGACAGCACGACGGCCATGGCGAGGGTGGCGATGCGAAGAGGACTAGAGGCGGTGGACCGATGGGTGGCGCATCTTAGGACGATCGCCACTTTCGTCGATGATGCCGCTCTCAATTCTTAGAGGAATCAAGTGGAGGAGAGCAAAGTTAGAATGGCATGCACCGTGATTTACAGGAAGCGAAGGCGCTATGGGACGGACTGACCGCACCTTAGGGGGGAAGAACGCAAGGGTAGTATCATGTGCATGGTTGGGAGTTGGAGGTATGCATTTTTCCTTGACAGAGCGAGCGAGCACCAGCGAGGCTCCATTAGCAGTACGGATGTATTCAATATGTACAACAAAGCCGTCACGGCAATCTTTTCATTGAACCTTTACAATTGAGGGAAGACATGCTGGTGATCGTGTTACGACTGGAACGGCGGTATGGAAACCCTGCGAGTGAGACTGTTCACAAGATAAAAGTTGGAACAATCTGGGACTCTTGCGTTGAAATACTGAAACTTCACAGAGACAGTAGTATCAACAGGAAGCATCGCATGCTAGACCGCAGCCCATCCGTGGACCCAGACGACCTCAGACCCCAGCCCGCAAGGACCCCTGCACATCGACCAAGATCTTCACATGCTTATCCTTCTCATTGATCAGCGCCAAATACCCGCGATCCACCAACTGATCCATACGAATCGTGCTCGTAATCATGCCCTCGGGCTTCATCTTCCCCGCCCCCAAAGCATCCACGACGCCCTGAAAATCCTTGGCCTGATACCCCAGCGTGGCCTGATAACTCGCCTCGCGGAAAACCAACCAGTTGGGATTAAACGGCACTGCCGTCTCCCAGATGGCCACGTTGACGACGGCGCCGCGGGCGCGCACGGCTTTACACGCCGCTTCCAGCGACTGCGGCACGCCGGCGCAGTCGAAGACGATATCGGGCCCGTGCACGCCGCCGCAGAGGTCTAGGCATGCCTGGGGGAGATCGCAGTCCGTCGGGTCGAGGACGTGGTGTGCGCCAAACACCCGCGCGAATTCCTGTCGCTTCGTCGCCACTTCGGCGCAGATGACCTTCTGCGCTCCCCGCCCCAGCAGGACCTGCACGACCGCGAGCCCGATGGGCCCGCCGCCGAGGACGAGACATTTGGCGTTTCGCCCCAGGGAGGCCATGGGGGATGCGTCGACGGCATGCCACGCCACGGCCAGCGGCTCCACGAGCGCGCCGACTGCCAAGCCGACGTTGGACGGCAAGGGGAAGATTGCCGCTTCCGGCAGAGCGACGTACTCGGCCATACCGCCGCCGCCGCCGGAGAGGCCGACGAAGCCGCCCTTGGGACATGCGTTCTCGGCGGAGGTTTGGCAGGCGCCGCACGCGCCGCAGGCGACGGTGGGTTGGATTGCCACGTGCTGGCCGATGTGTAGGTCGGTGCGCGTCAGGTTGCGGCCGAGGGAGGTGATGGTTCCGGAGAATTCGTGGCCGATTGTGATGGGGATTTTCTCGTTGGTGACGGGGTGTGGGGTTGTTGGGGAGAAGCTTGAGGGGGGTGGGGGTGTTAATGGGTGGTGTTCTTGGGAGCAAGATAGGGGAGGGCGAGGGCGAGGGCGAGGGCGAGGGCGAGGGAGGAGGGGTGTTGGCTCACTTTGGTCCGCCCATATCTATATAGCAGAATAAAAAGTAAGCAATTAAATCAACCAATCAATCAATCAATCAATCAATCAATCAATCAATCAATCAATCAATCAATCAATCAATCAATCAATCAATCAATCAATCAATCAATCAACCAATTCTTGGGGGTTTCATTTTCCATTTCCCCTTCTTCCCTTCTCCTTTCCCTCCTCCTTCTCCTCCTCCTCCTTTTCTTCATCCATCCTCCTTTTCCCCCTCCTCCTCCTTCCCCTCCTCCTCCTCCTCTCTCCCCCTCCCTTCTAATCAACTCCAACATCAAACTCACTGACATACACTCATGCAGATCCGTCCCACAGATCCCCACAAACGCCGGCGCGACGAGCACCTGGCCCTCGCCGCATGGCGGGACGGGCACGTCGTCCTGGATGCGGATGTCCTGCTTGCCGTGGTAGCGGGCTGCTTGCATTGTTTTCATCATCTCTCCTCTTTTTTGTCTCGGAGAGGGAGGGTTGCTTGTCCAGCGGAAAAGAAGACTTGGAGTGAAGACGGGGGTGCTTGGTTTTAATTTTAAGAAGGGGGGGTTATTGGTGGGGGATGGAGGAGAAAGGAGGAGAGCAAGAGAGAGAGAGAGAGAGAGAGAGAGAGAGAGAGACGACATACGGTACGGTACAGTACGGCTCTCGGGACGTGTGTCGTCGACAGTAGTTGGTTCCTGTTCCCGGGTGCCCGGAATCATGATCATGATCATGATTGTTAGGGCGAGGTCCCCTCCTCCTCCTCCTCCTCCTCCTCCTCTCGTGTGTCTATCCGTCTATCCGTCACGTGTTTAGCGGGGTCGACATGAGTGAGGGGTATCGTCCGCATTGAGGAAAGAGCGGCATTGGAGGGCAGTCCTGGAAGGGTGCAAGAGGTGGGCGTCGAGTTGTGAGAGATTGAACTGACGGGAATCCATTCCCATTCCTGGGCAAAAAGCAAAAAGCTTCCATCTGATGCCTGAGGCATACATATATCCTACTGCAAGCAAGCAAGCAAGCATCACATGTGATTGCTCTCTCGTTCTGTGTTCCCATGGCATGCATGGCATCAATATTATTCATGAGAGACCCGTCCCCTTGCCTTCCTTGACCAGCCGAATCCCTTCCTCTCGGAGCTTGAATTTCTGAATCTTGCCGCTGGCCGTTTTGGGATAGTCGGATACCCAGAAGACATACTTCGGTACTGCTCACACGCACACACGGAATCATCAGCTATCCCGAACAATCGCCCATATCCAAAAACAAACGCGAAGGAGAAGTAGAAGTAGAAAGAGAGATTTGGAACCCACCTAAATGCCCACTCAACCTCTCCCTCACCCACCCCCTCACTTCCTCCTCCCCCAACTCCAACTCCGCCCCTTCCTTCTGCACGACAAAAACAGCAACCACCTCCCCATACCGCTCATCCGGCAGTCCCACGCAACTCACCTCGCGAACCCGCTCGTGCCCCAGCAGACAATTCTCAATCTCCAGCGGATGGATGTTCTCCCCGCCGCGGATGATGAGGTCTTTGATGCGCCCCGTGATGGACACGTAGCCCTCGGCGTCCATACTCGCCTCGTCCCCCGTCAACATCCACCGCTTGTTGGACGCATCGTCCGGGTCCGCCAGCATCACTTGGCGCGTCCGCACGGGGTCGTCGTAGTATTCCTTCATCACCAGGTATCCCGACACCGCCAGTTCGCCCCTCTCCCCGACCTGCAGAATCCGCGTGTGGTCCGTCGGATCCAGAATCTTCGCCTCCACGTGCGGTTGCAAGCGCCCCACCGTCTCGATCCTCTTCGCCAAGGCGTCGTCCGTGCGCGTCATGAACGATACGGGAGACGTCTCCGTCATGCCGTAGCAGATGGTCAGCTCTTCCAGGTTCAGGATGCGATGCAATTTCCGCATCAGTTCCGCCGGGACGCTCGAGCCGGCCGCGATGCCCGTCCGGAGGAATTCGAAGCCGGAATTCGGCACGGTGCCGTTGGCGAGTAATTCCAGTTCGGCGAGGAACATGGTCGCGACGCCATAGAGGGCGGTGCCGCGGAATTCTTGGACGGCGCGGAGGGAGGCCTCGGCGGAGAAGGCCTCGGAGGGGAAGACGATGGTCGAGCCGTGCGTGGCGGTGGCCATGTAGCCGAGGATACACCCGAAGCAATGGAAGAGCGGAGGCGGACAGACCACGACGTCTTCCGGCGTCAGCAGCATTCGATCGCCAATCTGCGCGCCATTGTTGAGAATGCTCCGATGCGAGAGACAGGCCGCTTTGGGGGAGGAGGTGGTTCCGGAAGTGAATTGGATATTCACCACGTCGTGCTTCTCCAGCTTTTGATCCGGGAGGGTCTGTGTGGAATTGCCCTCAGCAAGATCCGAATACGCAATCGTTCCCTCCCATGCTTCCCTCTCTCTTCCCCCCCTCGACGAATTCTCCACCACGACCACCCCCTCTACCCCTCCCTCCCGCAACACCCCCTCCACCAACCGCCGATTCTCCCTCGCCTCCTTCCTCACCAACCGCGTCTCTCGCCCGATAATCAACAACTTACTGCCCAAATGCCGCAGGGCGGAGACGACCTGCGCCTCGTTGAAACTGGGATTCAGGGGATTCAGAATCGCCCCGAGCTTGAAGAGGGCATACGTCAGAATGGCGAATTCCAAATTATTGCCCAGAGAGACGGAAACCCGATCGCCCTTGCGGATTCCGAGAGACTGCAGGCCGCGGGCGAGGCTGTTGGATTGCGCGTCGAGGAGGTGGTAGCTGAGGGATTGGGAGTTTTGGTGGCGCGAGATGACCCTGGAGCAGGAGAGTGTTTGTTAGTCAGCCGGCCAGTCTAGGTTTACTTTGCTCGTGGGTATTCTTAGAGAGAAGAAGAAGAAACCTACGCCGTGCGATGTCCATATTTCGAAACGATCGAGGCGAAATGTTGCGGGATCGTCTGTTCCAGGAGCGGTGGCTACAAATCCGTCCCAAAAGATTGGCACAAGTCAGCAAGCAAGACCCATCCACATTGTTCAATTCCATTCCCCCCGATACATGTACCGGTCTACCCGATACGTCATCCCCCCATTCCCCCTCCCCCGTCCCCGTCCCCAGGACCGACCGACCCATGCGAATCTCCCATCTCAGCCGCAACACAAGACAACCTGGAAGACAAGACGACATACCTCCGTCGGTCCCACATCATGGGCCGTGGTCAACAACGCCCTCGTCGTCTGCTGTTGCACCACTTTCGGAATGAAGAAGAACAACCGTTTCCTGTCGTGGAGGGCAGCAGTCACCGCTCTGCGGAGGAGCATTTTGTGAGAGACAGTGGTTCATGAAGAGACGAGCGCGAAATCCAGGTGGATGTATTGGAAGACGACAAGCAACATGACGTCTTCGGTTTCGTGGACACGATCCTGGAGGATATATATATATATATGTGAGCAAGTTGTGTGAGGGATGTGAGAGAGAGGGAGACACGGCCCGCCTTTCGCTGCCTTGACTTGCCAGGCACGGACCGGCGGGGATTGATGAGAACGAGTCGTCTAGCTCGTGTGGGGTCGGGCTTTCGCTTTCGCTCCGTTGCATTGCATTGCATTGGGAGCTACTAGGTACATGTAGGTCCTGTACCTCGACAACGAAAGAAAGAAATAATAGTCGGGAGGAAGTGTGCTTTCTCAGGCGTGCTCGGAGAGTCGCCGTCGCTGCTGTGGTCCAAAAGCGTCTCATGCCTGCTTCATCACGCGCCAAATCCATCCTGTCAAAATACCAACAGATAGCCTGCCTCTCCACACACGATCCATCAGCCTCGACGTCGTCGATGGCCGTATCTATCCCAATCATTCATCACCCCAGTTCCACGTCAATCCCAAGATGATTTTTGGCCGATCCACACTTGCACGTCGTCGTCGTCGTCGTCGTCGTCAGCATCATCTCATCTTCATCATGCTCGTCGTGGGTCGCTCGCCGTACGCCATACGCCATACTCTCGCTCCTCGGATGCAGTAGTGTCATTAATCACAACCAAGTCAGTCTCACACTCGCTCTGTGTCTCGGTGGATGCCGTCAAGGTGCTCGAGGTCGTCGTCGTTGTCTCCGTCTCTAGAAATCGGCAAACATGCGGTCGTACTTGTCCTGCATCTCCTGCATCGCCAGGTTAGCTGTTTCAGAAAGACTGCTGCGATTGCTGCGATTGTGGCATGTTACCTGGGTATAGGGCTCCTTTTGTAGAGGCTCCGCATCATATTCATCAAAGTTCCTCGTATCATCCGGAGCCTTCAGATGCGGCACAATGGGGCCCTTCATCTTCCGATGGTACAGCTCGTCCCAGTTGATGTGCGCGAACCACGGGTGCTTCTTCACCGTCTCCGCGCCGCCCCGGATGTTGCCCAGTCGCTTCGCCACGTCCACCGTGCAGAGGCCGCCGATGATGTCGCGCGCATCCTTGGACATGGCGCTCGGGTAGCGGATCTTGCCTCCGACGATCTGTTCGTAGATCTTCATCGGGTTCTGGTCCCAGAACGGCGGCTGGCCGACGAGGAACTCGTAGATGAGGATGCCAAACGCCCACCAGTCCACAGGTGTGCCATGTCCGGTGTTGCGGATCACCTCGGGCGCGAGGTACTCGGGCGTTCCACAGAGGGTATACGTCTCTCCTGCCACCTTGTCAGCATCCAGCGACTCCCATGGGGAAGCGTGCCGCACTATTCTCAATCTTCTTGGCGAAGCCGAAGTCGACCAGCTTCAAATGTCCCTCGGCATCAATCAAGATGTTCTCCGGTTTCAGGTCGCGATAGGCGACGCCCTCCCTCTCGTGGAGGAACTCCAAGATCAAGACAATCTCGGCGGCGTAGAATTGTGAAGTGGGCTCGTTGAATCGTCGCGCCCGTCGCAGGTAGGAAAAGACCTCGCCTCCGGGGCAGTAGTCCAGCAGCATGTAGAGCGTGTCGGGGTCCTGGAAGCTGGCGACCATGGTGGTGATGAAGGGATGGCCGGCGACGGCGGCCAGGACGTTGCGCTCGTTGCGGACATGCTCGACCTGCTTCAGGCGAATGACGTCGGCCTTGCGCAGGATCTTGAGGGCAAAGACCTTGTTGTTGTTGTTGTCGCTCTCCTTGCGGTTGGCGAGCTTGGTCAGCCAGACGCGGGCAAAGGTGCCGGTGCCGAGGGTCTTGACGAGGTCGAAGTCCTCGCGGCGCAGCAGCTTGCTCGAGTGTCCCACGGGCTTCTTTTGCGGATCGACGACGATCTGGTCGGGCTCGAGGGGTCGCTTCTCGGCCTCCCATTCTGCCAGTCTGGTCTTCTCCTCCTCGCGCTCCTTGCAATTCTCCTTGTCGGCATTGCTGTGGCTGTGGCTGTGGCTCGCCCGGTGCAAGCGCGAGGTGATGTTGTGCACCACGGCGGGTGCCATGTTGGGTGGTGGGTGGTGGGGGGGTGGGGGTTGCCGCTCGGGACGTTGCGGGCGATGGGCGGCGGCGGCGATGGGCTTGAGATGGATTGGAGTTCAGCGCCGGTAATGCTCGCGAGGCATGGCGTCCTGGCCGGCCAGCGGGATCGAATATCAGCGAGATGAGATGATCAGCCGCACGCTGGTGTTTGTTCTATACACCCGGTGGGTGCTGCGGGCGATGCGAGCGATGCGATGCGATGCGATGCGATGCGATGGTCCGGGCGGAGGGTGGTATGGTATATACAGACGGATGAATTGTGAATTGTGAATATACAGAGACGGATGTAGAGACAGGAGGAAAGGGCAATTCTTCTCCTTCTCCTTCTTCTTTCTTCCTCGACACGACACGACACGACAGCGTGCAGGGTACGTCACATCGCCCGGCGCCAGGGTACGAGTCTCCGTCTTCCTCTAGCACACTTCAATTCTCTATCCCTTGATGTGAGACTTGTCGTCTCTTCTCTTCTCTTCTCTTCTCTTCTCTTCAGAGTCTTCACACCTGCACCTGCACCTGCTCCATCCTCGGACTTGACCGTCACACAAGAATCATCTCCGGATTCCCATTCCCACCTTGTGTGCAGCTCAATGAGTCTCAACCACCATGTGATCCCTGCCCTCTCCACGTGCCCTCCTTGCCCACCTTATCATCTTCACTCACATACATCATCATCATTCATAGGCTTTGCTGAAAACACGATACAAGAGACCGACTCCAAATGTCATGCTAATACAGTACTTGAGCTACGCTTCAACCCCCTTCTCTCCCCCCTCCAAGAGCACCTCCCTCTCCCTCCCCCTCTCCCTCTTCGCCTCCCGCCCAACCCTCCCCTTCCTCACACTCCCCACCGTAACCCCGACCACAACCACCAACACAAACAGAACCATCAGAGCCGCACACCCCTTATGCACCTCCCCCTCCACCCCCTCCACCCCCCTCTTCCACCCCCCCATCCGCATCCCCATCAAAGGCGCCGGACTCGCCCCTTCCATCCTCTCCCCCCAATCCTTCGTCACCTCCTCCAGCCCACCCCACGTATCGAAACTCCCACTCGCCACCGTCTCCTCCGAACTCTCCTCCTGCAAATCATACACCGGCCCATCCACCCCCTTGGCGTCCACGTGCTCTTCCATCTGATGCTCCCCGTCATGCGTGCCCACAAACTTGCCCTCCTCCCCGCCTCCATTCGCATACTCCGCCGAGAACGCCCCATGCTCCGAATCCACCTGGCTCGTATCCGTCGTCCCCTGGATCCGATCCGTCTTCTCGTCCGACAGGTGGTGGAATCCATTCTCCTTCCAGAAATCTTCCTCTTTCTTCTTCCCCCCTGCTTCATCATCATCATTATTATTCTTGGCAGGACTACCGCTGCCGGTACTGTTGAACTTCCACGACTGATCCCCAACCCCCGAACTTTCCACATGATCCGCACTCTCCTCCGCATCCTCATGCGCATCCCGAAACCCCGCCGAAGCCTGCGAGGCATGCTGTTCGAAACTCGCCGCGGGCGGCTGCTGCTGCGACGATGGTCCACCAGAGGTAGTAGGAGGCTGGAACGTCACGCCGTGGATATTCCCCGTGGTATTCTGGGAGTGTTCGTGGTGCAGGTCCGCCACACCTATTTCATATGAGAGAGAGAGAGAGAACAAATCAGCTCACTGGGTGTAATGGGTAATGTGTATGGGGGAGACGAACCTCCCTCACGATGAATCTCCGTCAGGTTATGTGCCTGCTTCGCCCAATCGGCGCAGACGCGATGGCCGTTGCCGTCGAACCAGCAGGAACGATGCGTGCCATTGTTGGGCAGGGGAGGCGTCGGGGCTTCGAGGGCGACCATGCTGCCAGCTGACTATTTTGAACGAATGAGAGGGGTAGACTTCAGAAAAGCGAGCGAGCGTGGCAGGAGGGAGGGAGGGAGAGAGAAGAGAGAGAGGAGAGAGACAGAGAGACGGAGAGGGGGGGTGGTGGTTGGACTAGATAGATAGATAGATAGACAGACAACAACTTCATGGAATGGAGCAGCCGGAAGGTCCATCAAATGACGCTAAATGATGAAAGCAGACCCGTTGAGAGAGATGGGGTATGTAAGGTAAGGTATGTATGATGTATGATGGGATGGAATCGATACTCCACCCCCCATCGTACCTTTTGATATCCGCCATTGCATTGCCCCTTTGGCATACTCTGCTGACCATGATGCCGTCGCTGAGTCGTTCCCAATCCATGCATTGGGGGGGGGGTGGGGGGGGGGGGCTTATTCATCCCATATACCACATCCGACACTCCTCCACTCCTGAGCCACGGTACCGCTTCTCAACCGACACGCAGTACATGTAGTAGTAGTAGTAGTAGTCATGCGTCCATCGATCGATCGGCCAAACGACGTGACATACATACATACATACATCCATCCATCCATCCATACCTACATGTACCCGTCGGGGGAATCGTCGTTTGGGAGGGGGGGGGGGGGGGGGGGGGACAGGAACCCGAGGCCGCCC